TTGCCTGTGATTTTTTTGGCTTATTTCGAATCTATGCTTGATGGCTAGCATGATCTAGATTTGGGGAAATTTGATAGTTAGATATTGCATGCGTTAAATGTTCATATTATATGCAATTTTTGATTGATTTTGATTGGGTTCTACATAATTTATATGCATATTGTTTATTTGCTGTATGCATATGACAAATATCAAATTTGGCGTAATTGACAGAGAAAGTAAAGAAAAATTCAGATTTGCACCATATAGTTAGTAATGGTCATGACTAACTATACCCTCGACATGAGAATTTAATTAAAGATCCAAAAGCCTAGCTGCAAAACAATTAGGGCAAAAATTAAATAAAAAGGTGGAGTCACACGCAAAAGAGAAGAGAACGGCCAAAAGCAAATACGCGCAAGAGCAGGAGACTAACATACTCATAGATCGCGCATGAGCAAATCGACAGAGAAGATTTCCCTTCTCACTATGACTTAATTTTTCTCTTTTGTTCTTTGATATTTGATTATGGAGTAGATACTTTTCTGATTTGAAAATGATAATGTTTTGGTCCTTATGTTTTGGAGATTCTTGATTTTCTTTATAAAAGTTTTTTTATTATCAATATTTTTTTAATCATGAAAATAATGTTTGTGATTGTTAGATTGATTGGATATTTTGGTACCGATATTTAAATTAGTTTCATAATCTAAATCAATTCAGGTAAGATATCTGTAATTGTATTCGCGCTTGAATATGTGACAACCGGGTTGAATAGTCCCTTCTCGGGGTTAGACAATCAAATCTAATTGTTCATCTTAGGTGGTAATTGTTTTTAATTGGGTTTTTCTAGATTAGAATGCAATTATGTAATATTTCATATGGGCGTACCTAGATTTTTTTTAGTTTAATTAGGGGTAGTTAACGGTCGTATCTTAATTACCTACACGGTAAGAAATAATTGATTGTCAGAGCTTATTGATAACTATAACCAATATATTAATACTTTAATAATAACCAACTTTATTGAATCAATGATAAAAACACAAGTGTAATAACTACATCATCCCTTGAGCCAGACATCCTCTTAATAGCTAGTTCTCCCTTAATTTAATTGTTTTCATATTTTATTTTCATTAGATAATAAAAGAAAATATCTCATTTATTCACTGCATTAGAACACGAAGTGTGAATCACACAATCCCTGTGGAGACGATCCCTTCCTCTGTATTACATTAAATTGTGATAACGGAATAAGTGAAATATTTGATTGATCGTACGACATGTCAATTTTAAATTGAGACGGAAGAAATATCATATATCATATATAATAATAATAATAATAATAATAATAATAATAATAATAATAATAATAATAATAATAATAATTGAAGGGAGGAGACTCAGGAGGGGTTCATGGCTATTGATATAGGCTTCAATCAACTCATATGCATTCAATTCTCTTGACTCTTCAACATTTTCTGAAATTGAGACATCATTTTCTTTAATGTATTCTTAAACACCAGTCATGAAAGCCACAACGTCATCTTTTTCAGCTTGCTCCTCAACACAGACAATTTTCTCTTCATCATTATCACTCCATGGTACTTGATATGCTTTTTTATCCCTTTTCTTCACTGCCGGACATTCAGACTTGATATGAACAATTTCTCCACATCCATAGCATGTTGGCTCTTGGAAAGATTTAGGCTCAGGGGACACAGTAAACTTCTTCTTGAATCCACCATCGAACTTCTCTTTTGGCTTGTTGTAATATGATGGTTTTTGTTCAGAGTATTTCCGTTGTGAACTGGATGTACTCATACTTTGATAACCACTTATGTTCTGGAACTTCTCATACTGGACATAAAAGAACAAAAAGCTACTGGACACCATCTACCGACTGGAAGCTCAGAGGGAGAAACTAGAAGGATGTTGTCGAAACTCTGAAGAAGGATGTTGCTGATAAATCAACTGAATCTGATGCTTTGAGGAATAAAAATCTGAAGCTGAAAGATGAGAATGATCGTATTCGAAGGGGAAAAGAGAAATTGGACGAAGTTCTTTCTATTGGAAAACCTTTTGAAGATTACAAAGAAATAGGTTTTTGTGAATCTTCTCAAAGCAAACCAACTACATTTGTGCATGGTGGTTTGTTAACTGATGTCAAACTTTCAGAGAATAAATCAACACATGCTAAGAAACAAAACTCAAAGAAAAACATAAACAGAAAGTGAAAGAAAAAAATTGCAGAAGAACAAAGAGTGTTAAATCATCGTCATCACGACGTAAGGACTATGGATATTGCAAATGTCTTGGTCATGCAGCTGAAAAATGTTTTCGATTAGCAAAGGATATAATGAATGGAATTAACATTCGATGGCCTAGAGAAGGACAGAAGTAGATTGTTAAAGTCAGATTGGTGTGGATGCCTAAAGAAAATCAAAAGGCGTCGGATTCGAATTGGTTTGAAAAGTTTCGACGTCATTTGTATGCATTCCTACCCCACTTGATTTTGCATGCATAAACGTAATAAATTTCTCCAATATATTTATGGTAGGTGAAATATCGTGGTGAACATTGGAGAATGGAAATAATTTGGAAAGATTTTTCTTGAAAATCCAAAAAGAACTAATATTGAAAGAAAATTGAATGAGCAATGGCGAAAACCAGATTTGGTGCTCATCTTAGTGAGGGGTAAGTGTTCATTGCACAATCCATTGTTGATGTTGTTGCTTGAAGAATTGCTGGTTTGCAACCATTTCTCAGCAAATTGAGAATGTTTTGAAAGACATTGATCATTTTGGCATCTGCTCTTCGAGGGGGAGAGATGTGCATAGTAAGGGAGAGCCCTGGTGATTTGTTGCTGCTATCACAACCATTTCATTCGAAAGGCTGCTTGTAACCTATGCTTTATTTCGGCCTATAACAAATTGATGAACTTATTGTCTGAATTATCGGATTGATTGGTTTGGTATGAGAGTGATTCTCCTGCACATTGGGCGAAGTCTCATATGCCAAAAATGGGGAGAATGTTAGAACCCCAATTTATTTTGGCATATGGTCTTCTTGCTTTCCTACTGGTGCCTTTTATAGTTTCCATTTGACTAACTTGTCTTATCAGGTTGTTGCAACAGACTATCAACAACATTGTTTGTTTTACACTCTCTTGATTGGTGAGCATACAAGACAAATGAATGGATGTTTTGGGTGGTCAAATTGCATCATAATTATTCAGGAATACATCATTTCATTTATGTGCAAAGGGTTTTAATTGTTTTTGTCTTACATGCACAACAATGTGACTTTATAGATAAAGTGTGGAGTGAGAGAGTTGGTTGTTGGAAGGTTTTGAGAGTGTGTGTGGGGAGAGAAAAAATGAGTTAAATCCTTTCAACCCCAACCCTTCTCTTCTCCATGTATTGAGTGAGTGCTAGACATTTTACCTGCCGAAGACCTCGTCGGAGAAAGGAGAAATCGGAGTTCCAATCAAGGGAGACGTCCAAATTCTGAGCAGCTCTACTCTGTGGTCGTTGTCAGCATGAGTTTGTGACAACATAAACCTGTAGAGGAAATTTCCAAGGTAAACTATGTTAGAAGGTTGAGTTGATGGAGTTGTGATTGTCTTTGTTTTTAATCAGCACTGATTAGTGAACTTTTCCTGAATTGGTCTCCTCGGATGTATGATTGTTTATATCCGAACCGGGTAAACAAATCCTTATCTAATTTATTGCTTTATATTTCCGCATGCATTCAATTGGCAGTAGCATGTTACAATTATGATATAACTACGCTTCGGGTGTTGACCCTTGAATAGGTATTCGAAGTATATTGGTGCATCACCTTATTCTTTTCCAACACTATATTTTAACTACAGTGAATAGTTAAAAAAGTAGTGAAAAAATAATTTTATCTTTATCTTTTTGTGTGAAAATAATAATGTGATAATAAAATATGAATATTTGTAGGAAAAAAAAAAGAGAGATTTTTATTGTTATTAAAAAAAAAATTATTTTAAAATTAGATAATTTAAAATAAAAATATGTATATATTATGAATAGATAGAAGTGGTATATTGAATATAATATTTTTTAAAAAAAATTATGCATATGGTCTAAAACTATATAAACAATATTTAGGTTGTGTTTGTTTTAAAAAGTTTTAAAAGATTTTTAACTATTCTTTTTTTTTTTTTTCTTATAAAGATATCAAATCAAATTACAGTAAAATTAACTTTATATAAAAAAAAATTATATTTATTCAAGATTTTATTATTTAATTCTCAATATCAAAATTCAAACATGATGACACTCTAAATGTGTAGAGCTTATATGATTTTCTTTCATATAGTAATAAATCTTGTTAAGTTTATATCCACATTTAAAATACCATCTGAATTTACGACTATGGTTTTATATGCGATAACATATTTTAGAAAAATAAAATAAAATTAAAATACACACGAATCAAAAAGAATAAAATAATAGTAATAAACAAGGAACAAATAACCATTATTAAAGAAAAAAAAAAGATATGTTTTATAATAAAGTATAAAATAATAATAAAAATAAGGATTGGAACATAATAGGGTGTCCAAAATCCAAATTGGAGTAAAATAATGGGGTAAGAAGCGCGGGGGGCGGCTGGGCTGGATATTTCAATAATTGCGGGGCCCACGCGTGACGGACCAACCCGTTATGGCGGTTCCATATTGGATTCTCAGTCCTCGCCCGGGTCCCATCCCATTTGCATGTGTATGTGCATTTGCATTTGCATCTGCATTTGCATTTCACCTGCATCTGCATCTGCATTTGCATCTCCATTTAAAGTGGAACCAGTAAGGCACAGAACGGGTGTGAAGTGTGGGGCCCATGCCTTCCAGCTTTGACTTTGACCCATTTGGGAGGAAAGAAAGAGGACTGATCCAAAATAAAATTAAAGAAAAAATGGGAAAAACTATTATTAATTCGAGCAAAAAGGAAGCAGGAAGAAAAGTCACACTTTCCTACTCGTTTCGCGTCTTTGGACTCGTCCTTTCTGTGAAATCCCAGCAATATATATATCGCCCTCCGCTAGCACCGCCTTTCACAACTTGTGTGCGTGCTTCATCGGACCACCAAATTGTTCCTAGTTTTTTTCAATTGGAGGTCTCTGGGGGTTTCAAAGGGAAGCCGCTTGCTTGATTTGAGGTACGTTGCTTCTGATTCGCCGACGTTTGTTTGTAGGCTTTGTCTGTTTTCTCTCTGTTCTTTTCTTTTCTTCTTGAGCTGGAATTTATCATGTGTTGGGTTTGGGGGTTCTTTGTTGATTCCGCGTTTACGAATTCGGATTTGAATTATTAGTAGGGGTTCGGGGTTTGTGATTCAGCATCCTGATTCGTTGTTAATGATTTTGCGACCTGTCTGGGTGGGGGCGTTGGAGGCCTCGTTGAGGTTTATATCTTTTTGCAGAGAATGTTTTTTATTGCAGAGCTTTTAATTGATTGGGGGTCGTATCATGCTTACCTATCCAATCCTTTTTCCCCAGTTCAAATCCGGGCGGAGCTAGTGATGCTCTATCTTTGTATTTTCTATGGGATGAATTTGAGATTTGCGTGTGGATAGTTGAGATTTGGGGGGTTCTAATCGATGTATTTTGTGGATATGCTTCAGGTTTTGATGTGCGGTGATTTAAAGCGCAGACTCAGCCCATTCGATTTGGAGATGGAGGCTGCTGGATTTCAAGACAAGGGCGGAGTTGTGCATAAATCTTGCTCAAAATTGCTCGAACTGGCGGCGACGGACGATGTGGAAGGATTCAAGTTCGAGGTAGAGGAGAGGTGTTCTGATATTGATGGGGTGAGCTTCTGGTACGGCAGAAGCTTTGGATCGAAGAAGAGGATGGGGTTTGAGGAGAGGACCCCTATCATGATTGCTTCCCTGTACGGAAGCCTAGAGGTTCTCAAGTATATTCTCGAAACCGGGAAGGTTGATGTCAACCGGGCGTGCGGCTCTGACGGCGCCACCGCTCTGCACTGCGCTGCGGCCGGCGGCTCGTGGTCGTCCGTCGAGGCTGTGGGGCTGCTGATCGATGCCTCCGCGGATGTCAACGCCATTGATGTGAATGGGAAGAAGCCCGGCGACCTGATCGCGCCGTGCGTAAAATCGTGCGGCAGCTCGAAGAGAAGAGGGGTGCTGGAGATGCTGTTGAATGGAATCAAAGTGGAGACCGGCGATCTGGAGGGGGAGGGGGAGGAGGGGGGAGGGAGCAGAACGCCTCGGGCGGAGAAGAAGGAGTACCCCGTGGACGTGTCGTTGCCGGACATAAACAATGGGGTGTACGGCAGCGACGAGTTCCGGATGTACAGCTTCAAGGTGAAGCCGTGCTCAAGGGCCTACTCCCACGACTGGACCGAGTGCCCCTTCGTGCACCCCGGCGAGAACGCTCGGCGCCGTGACCCGCGCAAGTACCACTACACCTGCGTCCCCTGCCCCGAGTTCAAGAAGGGCAGCTGCGCCAAGGGTGACGCCTGTGAGTACGCCCACGGCGTCTTCGAGTCGTGGCTGCACCCCGCGCAGTACAGAACCCGCCTCTGCAAGGACGAGACCGGCTGCTCCCGGAAGGTGTGCTTCTTCGCGCACAGGACCGAGGAGCTCCGCCCGCTCTACGCTTCCACTGGTTCCGCCATGCCGTCGCCCAAGTCCGTGGTGGCCAACTCGATGGACATGACAGCGTTGAGCCCGCTGTCGCTCGGCTCGCCTTCTCTGATGCTGCCCAACACCTCGACCCCGCCGATGTCTCCTTCGGTGGTTGCTTCCTCGTCGTCCCCGATGGGTGGGTGGCAGAACAAGGTGAACCTGACCCCGCCGGCTCTGCAGCTCCCGGGGAGTCGTCTCAAGGCTGCTTTGAGTGCAAGAGACATGGACTTGGACATGGAGCTGCGCGGATTGGACAAAATCCACACGCAGCAGCAGCGGCAGCAGCAGCTCGAGGAACTGGCGAGCTTATCTTCGCCGTATGGCCGAATGGGGGATTTGAAGCCAACTAATCTCGACGATGTCTTTGGGTCCCTCGACCCTGCTCTGCTGTCTCAATTGCAGGGGCTGTCGCCGAAGATCAGTGGCTCCGGCAGCTCCGCCCAGCTGCAATCCCCGACCGGCCTTCAAATGCGGCAGAACATGAACCAGCTCCGAGCGAGCTACCCTTCGACGGTCTCGTCCTCCCCATCGAGGAAGTCCCCTGCAGCATACGGATTCGACACCTCTGCTGCAGTTGCTGCGGCAGTAATGAACTCAAGGTCAGCTGCCTTCTCGAAACGCAGCCAGAGTTTCATCGATCGCAGCGGTGGTGGTGGTGCTGCTGCTAGCTATCGCTCGAACCTCTCGGGCTCGGCTAGCTCAGCAAGCCTGATGCCGCCGAAGCTTTCGGAGTGGGGCTCCCCCAATGGGAAGCTAGAGTGGGGATTCAACGGGGAAGAGGCGAACAAGCTGAGGAAGTCTGCGTCGTTTGGGTTCCGAAGTGGTGGCAACAATGTTATTACCCCGACCTCTCCGTCGGTGGCCGTGGCTGCAAGCATTGGCGATGAACCCGATGTCTCGTGGGTCAACTCACTGGTGAAAGACGTGCCGTTGCAGCAACAGAGGCAGGGAGGCGGCGTCCACGACACAATGCCGCACTGGTTCGACCAAATGTACATAGAGCAGGAGCAGATTTTGGCGTAAGCAGCAGCAGCAGCAGCAGCGAATGTCGACATCGAAGATGATCTTAAATTGTTATTCTTTCTGATTCTTAATTCATACATTATTGTTACATGTTTTAGTTAGTTAGTATATTGGAAGCAAACTGATGAAGACGAAGGAGGAGGAGGAGGAGGATGAGGATGAGGATGGATGACATTAGGAGGGATATATTTTTTAACTTATTTAATTCTTTGTTCAGAGAAGAGAAGAGAAGAGCGACCTAGTCTAGTCTATTCTATTCTATTCTTGAAGCTATATGTCTATGGAAATGTAACCCTCGTAGTGTGTTTTCTTGGTTGCCATTTCACAATAAATGTGCATTTTGATCATCAAATGTATCACTACTTATTTTTCCTTGAAAAAACTCTTCACTCCAAATTCAATGGGAAAGTAGGAATGTTTTGGCCACACAAACTCCTCCCTCTTGCCTTTTTTGTTTTTTTTGGGACAAAAGATATAAACAATAATGATGATGCTGCAAGAAATTTATTATTGCCACTCCCCAACTGAACTGATCCCTCCTCCTTCATTCAAATAAATATATACTTAATCATTATATTATTTTCTACTTTATCAAAATTGTTTCAAAGTTTATTAAGCAGCAATAATAATAATCATCATAAAAGTTTGCAAAGTGGGAGTCACTATCCACCCCAAAATAATAGACCTGTCAAGAATGGAAAAAACAGTGATGATCCCACTAAATAATTCATACACACACACAATATAAGTAAATAATAGATACAACGTGTGTGTGTGTGTATGTGTATGTATGTATTAAAGAAGGTATGAATGATTAAATATTTAAGTTGAGAGGAAGATGATATCAAAAGCACGAAGAATAAGATCAGTGATCACTGCAAATCCATCTTTTCCATTTTTTTAAAAAAACATTTTTTCCTTCTAAACTATTAAGTATAAAGTGAATTATAAAATGAGTACTGTTTTGTCCCTTATGATTTGTGTTGTGACTTAAGCATGGAGTTGTGGAATTAATTTGAAAAGATATGACTCAATCTATCCCAATATGCTTGTTAGCTTTTATTTTTCCTTTTTTATTTAAAATAATCTTACAAAATAAAATTAAAATGGTAATAAATGAATAATTAGTAGATACACAAGAAGAAAAAATTGCAATTAATTTTTAACATTCTAAATTAAAATAATAAAAAGGTTCCGTTTATACATGAAGTTTTTTAAATTCTTGATTCTATTAATTTATGATAATTTTTTTTTATCATACAAATGTGACATTAAATATTTATTTTTTACTATTTATTAAAACTTTCTTGCAAAACTCTCAAAAAATTTATTTAAACAGAGGTTTAGTAACGTTGAATTAATATTTATAATTCAAGATTTCAACCGAGTCCAATTTGCACTGATTTTTTTGTTGGAATTTGGTCTACACACGCAATTTGAATGTGTTTCTCAAGTGGGTTTGGGTTTCTTTTTTCTCTTTCAATAGTTTAATTAATTAATTTCGGATAATAAAAATAATAATAGATAATACTAAAACTCAATCATGTCAAATTTGAACAAAGAATAGGCAGATTTTTGTGATCCAGGATGTCGGAATTTTGAAACATCCAAGGAGTTCAACACCGGGTATATCCACACCGTCCACATCTGGTCAAGTCGTCAAGATTCATCTGGTTTTTACACTCCCGGATCTCCTCAAAACAAATGGAGTTGGTCTCTGACTCGGATCTTGACGTCACACTCAACGATGAAAACGAAATGTAATCCGCACCGTCCAGGGTCCACACCACCACCAACGGCGTGGATTCAATCAGGAGCGCAGCTCCTGATGGCTCCCAGAGATAAATTTCCGCGTGTGGACCCCATTGAAATTAAATAAGTAGTAGGAGTATATATTTTTTCTATATTATAATTGCGTAGCATAGTATAGCCGCCCTAGCAACTTTATTCTCATCTCTCCACCACAAATTTTTTAGTTAGAAATTCTAATAGTTAAAAGAAAAAGAGAATTATGAGTGTATTCGTTTCGAATTTATTTTTTATTTTTGGTTATGAAAAAAAAATTATAAGTCTTTTATAAAAAAATGTGATGATCATATAATAAAAAATTAAAATTATAAACATAACTTATAGATGTATTGATCTAAATTTTAATTTGATAATATTATAGTATAATATTTTATAAAAAAAAAAATATAGCATATTTTTATTAAAATTTCTAGTCCAAACTAAATCAGAATATTTTTAATTTAAAATAAAATACAAACAACTTTTTATCTTTTTCCCCTCCGACTTTTCTTTCAAACAATAAATAATTAATTTATTAGTTCCCATCATCTTTTATCCTATTATTTTTAAGCATAATGAATTTATTTGTTTTTTTTTTAATATTATTTATTTTATATAATTTTTAACAAAAAAAATATTTTGTAAGAAATATTATAATAAAATATTATTCAAATTAAAATTTCAATTAAAAAAACGCATAATTTCAAATTAAATTCAAACACATCTATTCATCCAACACCAAGATTGTGATTTTGTATGCTTATGTTTCTTTTTAGCTCGAATTGAATTTTGAAGTTTAAATTTATTATTTAAATGATATTTAATTTGATGGTTTATAAATAAAACAATATCTTTGAAATATAAAATGTAAATAAAAAAAAATGCACACAAACGCTAAAGTTTTTAGAAATATTTAAGTTTAGTTACAATTATAAAGATTTCGTATAAAAATACAATATTTTGACAATTTAATTTTATTACATTCAAAAAAAAAAAAAAAAATTGTTTTTATAAATTTTTGGAAATATAAAATCAAACTTTTTTTTTTTTTTTGACTTTTGCAATTTTGTTTCTAGTTATTTTTTAAATTAATTCCAACGGGCTTATTCAATTAAGTTTGACAACGACTATCGAAATAGTGGGAGAAGATTTCAAGAATTCTACTATTCAAACCCATTTATCTATTTGGGCCTTGTAAAGTCGATAAACAAAACAAATGGGCCCAATTTCCTAACCTCCTAAGTGGACGGGTTTTTTTATATTGAGGTGGCATCGTAGAGATTTATCTCGAATTCGAAATTTCCATCTTGGGGAGGTCCAAGTAATTCATCAAAAAATATTTTCCAATCTTAAAGGACTATCTTAGAACACATTTCACCATCGGAATTGTACGTGTAGGATTGGAACATGGCATGGCAGAATCTTGCAACTCTGATGATGTTTATAAGGAAGGCCTACTGCAATGCAAATATGGAAAGATTACTCAATCAAAAGAAAGCACTGGTAATTAAATTAAGAGAACAATTTCTTCATTTCTTTGTATATGATACAATAATTGAATGGTTGCTGTCTCCATTTGTAAAAAGTGGTATCATGTTGATGTTTTCAATCGCTACTTAAAAAATAATTATAGAGCATAAATAAAACATGCTGATATATATATATATTTGTAGATTTGTTGTATGTAAATATATTAATCAATAACAATAGGAATTGTTATTTTATTGAGATATTTGTATTATATGAATATAAATAATACTATTATATAATACCGATTAGTGCATGCATGATGTGTTTTAAAATTTTGAAAAAGAGATACAATTAATTAATTAAATAGGAGGGTGTGATTATTTGGATAGATTCCTTAAGCCCATAAAAGAAGTATGATAGCCAGGTAAGCAGTATTAAATTGGAAAGTAGGCTTTTTAATGTGTGTGTGTGTCTGTCATGTCATGTAGTATTAAAATGAATCAACAACTAACGTTAATTAATAACTCTAATAATATTATAGTATAAACATCAATTTAATATTCCAGTAGAGCAGAGCAGAGCAGAGCAAATACACAAACAAGCAAGTTTCCTGTAATTTTTAAGAAATTCCATGCTAGAGCTAGAAAGAGCTTCCTTTTTCAAAGAAATTTGTACAATATTTATTTACCATGTTTTCTAAGCCTCATTTTTAAACCAAAGAATAAAACTTGTCAAACCACACGTATACAACAATAATGTATATTAGTATTTCTTTTAATTGGGATAACAAAAATCTTGCTTACATTTAATCTGCACATCATTTTTGTAATCCAAAAATACCTCTCTATTATACTCTCCTAAAAAAAAATTGATAAAAGTAATTCAAAGTTAAGATCGAGCTCACACTCACACTCACACGGCATGATCAAGGCTCGATGCATCAATAATAATAATAATAAATCAAGTTCGATTCGATTCCTGCTGTTAGGAAGAGGATTCCTTGGCAGCAGCAGCAGCAGCAGCAGCAGCAGCTACTTGGGGATCGGTTTGATAATAGACAATGTCGCCGGTGTCGCTCACATAGTGATCCTTCTTCATGCTTTTTTGAAGGATCTCCAGCAAGTGAAGTGGAAGGGGCCCTGACTTCTCCGGCTCTCGGTAGTACTTTCCCAGCACCGGTTTTGCTGCCTCCGTCTGCAGCATCATCATCATCATCATTATCATTATTACCATTACTATTATGCGATAAATTAAATTAAAATGGAACAGTTCATTGAATAGTAAACTGAGACTTACTGCTTCGATCAAATGATAGTGTGGGATTTGCGGGAAGAGGTGATGTACCACGTGCGTCCCTATGTCGTGGTGGATGTTGTTTATCCACCCATAGTCCCGGTCTAGTGTCGTCAAACCCCCTCTTAGATAACTCCATTCCTGTTTTGAGGTAAAATAGTCATTAGATGTAATGTATTAATAAAAGGTCGAAACATTCAATGACAAAACATTAAATATATATATGTTTGTATCCTTTCGCATTAATTCCTTCCAAGCATACCAAAATTTAAATATAACCCGAAAAATAGAGCTACATAAACCACGACGCTAAGATTCATATTCGATTCATTAGGTTTAGATTAGTACCTTCCCACGGTACCATGGAAGCTTTTCGTCGTGGCCATGGTGATGCAAGTAGGTGACTAAATCAAGCCATGCAACAAATCCCTACGAACCAAAATCACAATTTATTCCAACAAGTAGTCACGAAAACAAAAAGGCAATCCTAACAACCAAAAATCTCTCCACGTGGTTGACATACGAAGTAGGCCTCAAACAACACCATGCATTTCTAAAGTATAGAATCGAGATGGGATTTCAGAGGCTTACTAAATAAGGTATCCCATAAAGTTTGAGCAATTGCATCGGTCCCATTAGGAAACACAGTCCGGCGAGCACTCCAACCATCGCAGTCCAACATATTGTTGAGGTCATTACATCCTTTCTCTCATTGGCGACGAAGAGATCGCTGTCCGGATGGAAATGGGAGCCAGTCTTCCCAGGACTTCTCCCCCACTGTGATCAAGTACAGACATGAAAGAACATATCAGACAGGTCGATTAGTTGAAAAAACAAACTGATTTTGGCGCGGATGGACTTACAAGGTAGATGGGATATGCCAGCAGTGGGAAAGGCAATGTGAACCTCAGCTTCTTCGTTATGTTGTCCAGACTATTATAAACTTTCTCTGGAAGCTGTAATAAGATGCAAAAGCAAAAGACAAGATTGGATTCTGTCGAATTTATCGAATCATCAAAAGGTTTTAATGAGATTTGCAAAATAAAAAAGTGAGCTTACAGGGTGCCAAGATTCATCATTCTCAACATGTCCATGGTGCTGATGGTGTGTCCTGTGGCTGATTCTCCTGCAAGATTCGATGAATGAGTTTTTCGAAACTCCATAGCCATAGGCAAAGATTGAGTGACAAACTAAGGATTGGATGGATGTAAGAAGAAAGAACAAACCAGCCGTGGTAAGGGACGAGGATTGACGAATGGAGGAGATGGCCGACAACACTGTTCAATTTATGGCTATTTGAGAAGCTGCCATGTCCGCTGCACAAACAACAATAGGTATCCCAAAAGGGAATGAGAATGGGAATGGGAATGGGAATGGGAATTCAAGAAACCTAATTTGAAAACAAGCATGTGCAAAACCTACCAATCATGGCCAAGGACAAAGAGAGCCCAAAACATGGTGCTCTGAGCGAACCAATAGAGAGGCCACACAACCCAATGGTTGAAGTAGGCGGCGGCGGCGGCCAATCCGAAGACCACAGCCACGTCCCTCACCACATAGCTCATCGACCTCCAAGGGTCCTTCACCCAGCAGTGCTTCGGGATGGCTTCCTTGATGTCCGCCAGTTTGAAGGGAGGGGGCGCCCCAGGGTCGAAGAATTCCTGGCCCTGGCCCTCGCCATTAATGAACCCTCCTCTCCTTCCATGGAGGCTGCTGTTACTGCTCTCATTCTCATTATCTTCTTCTTCTTCGATTGGGTGAACTCTGATTGGAGTACTCACCCCCACAGCCCATCTTCTCACTCGGCTGCTATTTGGGAATGGGAACCACAATGGGGGGTGCTGCTTTACGGCCCTCAGATTCAGCCCCAAATCGGAGGAGGAGGAGGAGGGTCGGGGCTTCGGGTAGAGGAGTTTGGGGAGGGGTCTGAGGCCACATTCAGAGAAAACCAGACTCGCCGCCATTGCGGACGGAGGAGATGGAGATGGAGATCTGTATCTGTATCTGTATCAGTATCAGAACCCACCACCAACAACAACAACAATGGTTCAGCAAGCTTTCATTAAAGGTGCTGCCTGCAGAATAAAAACGTAAGGAAGTAAGTAAATAAATGTGTGGACTTTAGGGCTTCGCAGATTGAACGAACCAGGGCTCTCTCTCTCTCTCTCTCTCTCTCTCGCTGTACGTATATATAGATATGTATATATGTATATTGAATAATGATTCGCTGGAATGAATGGATGGATTATAGATAGGAGGCGAAGTGATAGTGATGATAGGGAGGGAGGGTAGCGTTAGCGTTAGCGTACCAACAGAAGAAGCACCACTACTAGTAGTAAGGATGAATTCTCTCCTCAATTTGAAGATGGAGAAAACTTGCAAGTTGTGGGATTCTCGTGGCCCTCCCCGCATCCACGACTGCCTCCCTGCCTGCTTCGCTCCTTCTCTCTCTCTATATATATACAGCGAGGGGATGGGTCGGCAGGAGAGGGGGTTTCGTCTGAGTTTCCAGTTACTGACTGCGGCTGCGTTGGGTATGGAACGTGATTTTTATGCTCCCATCCCATTTATCTTATTAGTACTATAATATTACTATTGGGTTTGGTCAATTTCCAACACCCCTAATCGTTTTCGTGATGGGACTTTGTTTGGTTTGGTGTGTGAGTGTGAATCTCTTCTTGGGTTGGGTCGGTGGCTCGGCTCGGCTCGGCTCGGTCCACTGCTAGTTTCTTGTGTTTCAGATTCCTTTCAATCTCCACCGTGGGTGCTTTCAGATTGAACGGCACGGATGACTCCTGGGATTAACGCACTTGTGTTTATTTATTTGACTTCTTTGCTTAATAATATTACTTATGCGCTCCACAGTTTTTTAACTTTTACCATTATTTATCCATGATTGTTTTCTTTTTAAATACATATTATACTACATATTTCTTTATCTTATTAAATATTTAATTTATAACTTTCTTAGAAACTCTAAAATTGTAAATTCCTATATCTAACCTAAAGCTCTTATCAAATAAATGCTTTGAAGATGTTTTAATAGAGTACTATTTATTAATAATAATTTAAAAAATAAATATTAAATCATATATAGTATTTTATTTGCGAGATAGAAATTTAGTGGTTAGATTAAGTGAAATAAAATAGAAATTAATTGTTGTGATAATATATACTATACTTTTTTTTATTTGATTGATGTGATAAAATAAGGTATAATTAATTGTTTATTATTTTAGAAGAATTACATGTGAAAAATGCCAAAACAAAAATATTAGCAGGAGATGTGGGATGAAGATAGTTAAGACTTGAGACTCACAAAACCTACATAAAAATACGTTATTCAACGGTTGTTCCATCAAGGTCACTCTTTAATACTTCAACATTTGAATCTTTATCTTGAATCAACATACTTCTTCATTCCCATTGGAAGGGTGATATTTGTTTAATTGCAAAATAATTATATACACTATTTTGATTTGTCTAATTACAAAATAATTATCTTATTTTTTTGCTAGTATGAACATGAACCCTTTTTCTTTTTAACCGATACTAAGTTTGACCATCACATCAGTTGGAGTCGTAAATAGGTCTGATGGCCGGTGGGAAAGACTAACTCTAACGGCAACATATCAATAAGCCGAGGTTAAAATGACAGCAACAACCTTTGCCGGAAGGCCCCACACTTTCTGTAATTGCCAAAAGACACCTCAATAAGTTGGAAAACTGTCAGCCTCCTCCCACAATTATTTTTAAAGTCATCCCACGCTATGTGTATATTAAGTGTCGTCCTCTTCTTGATTAGCAAACCTTTTATTTTATGTAAATTATAATATTGAAAACATGTTTTACATATGACACATTACTTTTCATATATATTTTAATTTCTAATACAAAATACTTTCCATCAAATAAACTTTACAATTTAAAACATCACAACATATCATATATATATATATATATACACACACACCAAATAATTAAATAAGAATTAATTTAAGTTTGGAATTTAAATAGTATTTTGATATAATATTATGAGAAAATCAATATATTTTTATAAAAATCCTGTAAATTGAATAATAAATTTTTTAATATAAAACTAAAATCAAACACTAGATTTAACATTTGTTTTTTATTCAAAATATTACTTAATAATTATTTATTTGAAAATAAAATAAAATAATTAAAAATTGAGCTATCTAAAGTTCTATTTATATATATATTAAAATTCTTAGTACTATTTATTGCTGGTGTTTTTGTTTTTTTAAAAAAAAACCAAATATATCATACTATTATATATTTATTTATTTATTTTCATAAATCATCACATCAAATTCAACCTTTTATTAATTTTTAAACTTTTTCAAAATTTTAAAACTCCAAATGCATATACGTAAATGGAAGGTAAAATTAAAATGACGCAGTTTTTGAAAATGTTTTGCAGTCACCAATTATTGGAATTTGAGAAAACGATTTATCCGAATTTGGGAAAATTGAATTCCGATTGGTGGGCAAGATTGTGCATTGGCTGGATGTGGTCTGTGGTCCCTATCCTATCATGGATAATAAAATTCAATTTAATTATATAATGCTTGTGATCTGTCAGAGTGTGATAAATGATAATACATTTTATTTTATTTACTATTATATGTCAAGCTTTATTATTATTATTATTATTATTATTATTATTATTATTGTTGTTGTTGTTGTTTATAATGTGAAATTCAACGGAATCTAATAGTCTATAAAAAATAAAAATAAAATAAATTCAATTCAATTCAATTGAGTATGACTTTATTTAATTGGATTAGGGTCATAATTAGAGCATATTTAATCTTCATTTTATTTAATTAATAGCGAACCGATCAAATTAGTATTTTAATTACATTAAGCTAATTTATATATGTGTGTGTGTGTAGGAGATGCACCTAAGTTACAAAATGTCGATGGGTTCGATAGAATTAATATCTAGAGAATATATATATAAATAAACATATATATTGAGTATTATGAAAATAAGATATATGTCTACAACGTTAATCTGTCGACGGGTATGAAGGGTTTAGTTGAGATTGAAAAATTATAATTAATTCGACTTTAAGAATTATATTTACTTTTTGCGTGTTAATTATTATATAAAAACGTAATACAAATTATAAAAAAATGACAAAAAATATTTAGGGGGTGTTTGGCAAATAGCTTTTTGAAGATCTTGAATAGCTTTTAGCTGTTTGACTAATCAAAAAGCTAATTTAGGTATTTGGTAAATTAGCTTTTTGGACCCAAAAAGCTAATTTCTGAAAAGCTAACTTATCCAGCGTTTTGAAATAACTTTTTCTGTAAAAAATTTTTCATTCCTTATATGCCCTTAAAAATATATTATAAATTTTACACAAATAAATATATTTTGATTATTTATTAATTACATTAGAATATTTTATTATAATATAGTTTTACTTTTATAAATTTAAAATAATTAATTTTTATATAAAAATTATTTTAATTGTAAAATATATAAATTTATTAAAATTAACATAAAATAAAAATATATAAATATTAATACTTTATTTTTTTATTAAAATTACATTATATAAATTTTATACTAAAAATAAATTAAATTTATTGAAAATTATAAATATAATGAACTAATCGATAACTAACATAATAAATATATACATGAAAAATTTATTATTTTATATTTTAAATTATTTTCAATAAAAAAACTATTTATATATTTTAATAAAAATATATTATTTTTTAAATCTAACTGTAATAAAAATAAATATTTTTGTAACATTTTTACAATTTTCAATAACTAATAACAAAAAATTTTAAATATTCTAAACTAAAAAAAAACATAATTAAATATATTAGAAACATAAATAAAATAGAAATGTCCTCAATTGTCATTTAAAGTATAAACAGCTAATATCAAACGGTTGTTTTACCAAACATTTTAATACAAACAGCTAATCGAATCGGCTAGTCAAACCAGCTAATTGAATAAGCTAACAACTATCAGCTATCAGCTAATTGCCAAACACGCCCTTATACTATATTTTATAATACTGATAGAAGAATATTTGTACAAAAAATTATACAAATATAAAAATATTTTAATGTTAAGTATAATGATACAAAATGTAAATATAACCTTAAAGTCGAATATAAAAAGTATATTTTTATCATTTTAATCTGAATTGATGCATGATAAAAATATATATTTTGATATATTCTAAAATATGAACATCCAACGTCTTCAGGTTTTGTCTGCCACGTATTGTTTGCCTAGTATGATTTGCCTTATCAAACTTTATTTGCAAGCTATTAAGTTTGATCGAAAATTTATCCAAAACATACCTAAAGAATAGTGACTGGGCTTCTCACCTTATAAGAAATAATGATATTAAGAATAGTGAGTGCGTTTCTCACATTATAAGAAGTAATAATAATAATAATAATAATAATAATAGAACAAAAGTTTGAAGTGAGGTCAAACGCTAGCTGTAGTTAATAAATTAAGTGAAGTCAAACCCCTATAATTATAACTACGGACTACTTCCATAATTCAGACACATATGTATTTTTATTATTTCTATTACTACACGTTGTAAAGGACTATTATGTGTTCCATTAACTTTAATATAACCGACCATGCAACATATGTTTGAATTCTTCTTATTATCATTAGGTGATATAAATTAATTTTATAGTCTTTTTTATACCTATAAATTTTTTATGATTTTGTAAATTGAATTGAATTGAATTATAAGGATAAAAAAAAAATCAAGTGTAAAGTAATAAATTATAAGGATAAAAAAAATCAAGTGTAAAGTAACAGTAAAAGAAAAATCACAAACATTCTGAGATAGAGATAGTTTCAAAATAAAAATATTTACAAAGGCGGATGGATGACTCTTATTTTTAACCGCCTTTTTGTCCATCTGTTCACACTGAACCATAAGTATATACCTGTGTTAGGGTAGGGTAGGTAGGATTGCTTGGTCAACAGTCAACACCTCGAAAATTATCGATGGTTAATTATTTATTACTATTTGTTGTTCACATTGTATTTGTTGATTGACTAAAAATAACCAAATAACTTTATAAATTTTCTTATTAATGATATAATTTGTTAATAACTCTCAATTTATATTCTGTCCTGACATGCTTTTGTTAGATTCTTTTTTTTGTTTGTTTGTTAATTAGTAAAAAGCCAATAGAAAAAATTGCCTAACTTAAAAATTCAAAGACATTATAAATAACAAAAGATATATTATGAGATAGAACAACATAAATTATATAAGAAGATTTGAATGAGAAAAAGGAAATAAATGTTAGATAAAATAATTTGAATCAAAAAAATATTTTTTAAAGTAATAGAAAAATAATTTTTTTATTATATTATAAATTATATTTCCTTCATTTTAAATTTTTTGCTTTAGAGTCGGTGTTTAAATGATCAGTTTAGATATATATATATATATAAATATTCTCTTTATTTTTAGTATAAATGGATGTTTTATAAATTATATTTAAAAATTTACAAGAAAAGTAGATAAAAAACAATATGAAGACTACAAATAAACATCCAAAACTATCCATGATCTAAAACTAATTATTATAAAGAATATGTTCTTCCTAGACCTAAAAATAAAATAAAATAAAATAAAGAATGATCCAAAAATTTGATTTTGGCATCACAAGAAAAAAATCGAACTAGGACCTTTAAGAAAAGCCTAAAAAAATCCAAATTGGGTCAACTTGATCCAATTAAATATTGAGTCGTGTTTGGACTTTTAGCGCCGGACTTGGCTTTGGATTTTTAAAATAACATATTTAAATTTAACTATAATTTTAATAATCGTATAGCATAGTTAATAATATCTAATTGCAAAGTTTAAATATCAAAATTTTCTATTATTGTTTTCTCCTAAATTCCAAACCCACACTATTTGTTCTTTTTTTTAATTTTGACTTTTGTTGTTCATTCTTCGTTCCTGGTTCACTTTGTGTCTATTTTGTAAGAGTGCTTTGAATAAAAACTTGAGTTCCTTTAGACAGAGGTTTTTGAAGAGTTTTGAAATTTTAAAAAAAAAAAATAAAAAATTAGTATTTAATTTAATGTTTTGTGAGAGCAAAAATTTGATATTTTTTTTCCAAAAATTAATAGTATCAAATGAGGAAAAATTGATTTTGTAAATTGAGCCTTAATTTTCAGATATGGTATGCACATTATTTGACATAAAAATAGCGAGCAAAATATAAATGGTGAGATAATTTATAAATCAGTTCGAATTTAAAATCCTAAACTATGTATATGAATCTATGTTGAATTTACTATCCTACTTGAGACTACAAACATGACACGATACTTGTAGATCAAACGGTGAGACATTCGTGGATGGGTGCGTCAATTCGACCACACAATATCACATTGACGTTGTAACCTCTCTACAATTTAAAACCAAACACAATGTATATGGAATGCATCAACACAAAAGTAAACTAAATTTTCTAACACACGTAAATTTAAAATTTCTTAAAAAAAAAAAAAGAAATAGCAACATATATATTGGTTTATGCTGGGGCCAGGATTTTGGAGCCCTGTTTCAAACCATTCTGGGCAACCAGCCATATTTTAGAATTGATTTTACCAACTCCAAAGTTTTTATGACATTGTATACGAAAATAAATAAATGTACAAGACAATTTTTAAAAATAAAAAAATAAAAAATTACAAAATATGACAAAAAATTTATTTATAAACTATCCTAATCTCCTATTCCTAATCTTGAAAGAGCTTGCTACGAATGCCTAAAACAGCATGTATAAATAAATGAATAACTAAATACACACACAAATTGAATGCAAACCGCTGTATATTAAAGATGCCACCATTTCCGTTTCTCCATGTTCTTGGCGATCTGCTGCGCCAGGGACGCAAAGTTCTCGGCGCCACTCTGGAGCTCTTCCGTGTCTCTGCTCAGTTTCTGCACCACCCCACCCCACCCCACCCCATACATAAATTAGCTACTTTCGCCGACTACACTGGAAAATGTAACCTCAGAGGAGATTGAGATTGAATCATTGTTACCTCGAGCTTCTCCTGGCGCTCGAGGAGCTTGTCCCTTGCTTGAGCTGCTGCGCTCGCTGCATCCTGCAATCAACGACGCATGCGATTGGTGAATTAGTTAAGAGTGATATTATATCAATGAATAGTTATGGAGTAAGGTTAGGAGTCAACCCCGCCCCGGTATTTTGCGATGATTTCTTCGCGTGTGCGGAGTTTCGGCTTGGCATCAGTGGAGCTGCCTTCAAATAGTCTCGCCCTCTCGTCTTCCTTTTCTGTATTAGCATGCGCAGCTCACAATTAGTATAGCTAATTCCGGAAAAGAACTACATTTCAGTTTTAGATCCAAGCATTTTTTTAACAAAAAAAACTTGATCCCTCTCTTTGCAAAATTCCAATCCCACTATAAAACATAAGTTTTACCTTTCGTGTCGCTGTGACTCTTTTGTGAGGAGGATGATGATGGAGGAACGGGGTCATTGACTTCAACAAATACAGCATCATCGGTTATGACATCATCTGCCGAAGAATGAACATCTGGATGTTAAGGAGAGGCTGCCTGTATTGCACAATGCAAATTTGCGCTCACCTATTTCGAGTTCCATGTCATCAAGATCATATGAACTTGAGAATGGAAACCTCGAGAATATCTTCTCCAGATGTGTGGCTACAGCTTCACGGGCTTCGCTGTAATTCAAATCCTGCTCGCCATTGCGCCCTTTCAACCCTTTGATCACATTGCTAAAAAATCCAGGCAAATGACTCTGTCCCTGTTTTGAATGCATCCTTCAGGACTTCAGGAAATAAAATAAACTGAATAAAATCACCCAGGAACTTCATATGACCTGTGGCTTCTTTTGGCTTACACCAAAGTGTAAATCGGGATCTGCAGCTGCAGCTACAGCTTTATCGTGCAGGCAAGGTAATGTCTCGGGAATCCTAATAAGACACAACAACTTGTCAGGACTTCTAGAAAGAAGAGACCACATGAGCGAGAGTGAGGGAATGCTACCTGAATTCATTTTCATATGCTAAAATGGAGACAAAAGCAAACTCGCAACCATTTACCTATAAAATGTCAGACACAGTTGGATGTAATTCAAATGGTCAAACACTCGTACATACAGAATGTGAGACGTGGGAGTGTTTTTTATAAGCAACAGGACATACCACGGTGATCTGCCCTCTCTTGGAGGCGCTCATAGTTTTGTCCATGTTGTTTTTGAAGTTCCACCTTAGGATCGATGTCATTGAGGTCCTTCCCAGTGGTTTAAGCTCTGGAAAATACCTAAATAAGATGGCACATATATGTAGTTTTTACAAGTTCTTTGAGCAAAAACTTAAGAAATACACGAACAATGTATTGATTTATGATCAATTTGATGAGTTCATGCTCATCCCCACGTGGGTATAAATGAGAAACATACAAACCTAAGCTGCAACTATTATAAATGGTGAAGTAAGATTCTTATTCTTTGAAGCGGATATCTAGAAGATAAAAGTATCACCTTATTTCAATATATCCATTTTGATATACTAATATGAGGCCGTGTTTCTCTTCATCTCTCTTGAAAGTGGATGCCCACGAACATGGTTGCTCGAGTCTCAATTCATGAATGAGTGAATTTTCCCCCTAGAATTAAGAATTCATCATAAGCAGTCAAATGATCAAAATATTTCGAAGCAAGGATGGTTTAACATGAGCACAAGAATTCATCATTAAGTAGTCAAATGATCAAAATTCGGGATGGATTTACACAAGCAAACCTGAATCAAAGACTTTAAAGGGTACAAGAACACATCTTCCTCACAGCATAGTAAAATCTGAGATCCTTCTTTGACTCCTGATAAAATGCTTCGATTCAGGCTGCTGTTTTCATCACCAACTTCACATGCTTCAGCGAGAGAGTGCTTGTTTTCTGGATGCCAGGGAAAATGCACACATCCGTGTATGAAACACTACGCGAGGTTGCAAAAAAAGAAAAAAAAGAAACACTGGAGGTTGCAAGAAGATGGGAGTATAATACCTATTAAATGCATGCTTATTGCGGTTGAATTTTCTTTCAGACAAATTGGCTGTGAGTTGATTGTATTGCAATTGGAGCTATCTATCAAGATCAAGCGTGCATCTCTGGTCAGGGCAAATACAATCTCTGTTCCAGGTACTTTTTCAGCTTCAGCATCCATATCATTTGATTCTTTGTCATGAGTATAACACAAGTTATCAACAGCCAAAGATATGACAGGTGACTTTGTGCTGGGGTCACAGTCCATGACGAATAAAACTGATGGTGAAGTAATATCAAACAGTGCCACCTGTGATGAGGAAAACCAAAATTTTAGACTGAACTTGTGAACAGGCACTACTGATTTAGCAAAAAAAAGGGGAAAACAATTGATACCTGTCCAGACTCAAATCCTGCAATGAGTTTGTCTCCAGAAGTTGCAAAGTGCAGGGCACGAACACAGGTGTTAAGTATTGAATATATGATGTCACAATGGCTTTTCTCTTCAGGTTTATATTGGTGAACTGTAGATGAACTACATAAGGTTATCATATTTAAAATAGCTACATCAATTGAAAACATGCCAAGCCTGAGGATTAGAGAAAGCTAGCACTACTTTTCACCACCTTTGTGATGAAGTGTTTCCCAAAACACAATCCAAAAAATAAAATATAGAACAGTACAACACATCGAGTATGAAAAGTATACCTTCTTGTTTGGTATCAGTTACAACGGTAACAGATGGTTGATTTGTGTTTCCTTGTAGCCTACAAAGGAAAATCTGCAGAGAGAATGTATATTAATTATCTGCTACTCCAGTCACCAATAAAGTTAGTGAACAAAGTCCAAAAGTAACACTATTACTGACCGTGCCAGATTCGTTGCCAATAGCTAAAGTTAAATTATCATGACATAAATCCAGTGCAGAGATCGCCACACTACCTCCCAACTCTTGAAAATCCGTTGCCTTTCACCACATTATATACAAGTGTGATAAAGAGGTTTCAAAACTCATACATGCAAGAACTGAATAACAGACAATAATAAGAACTGCAGTAAGAATCTCACAAACCTCAAATCCCAAAGTAGAAACAAGTGACACAACTGGAAATGTGGTATCCCAAATTCGAACAGATCCATCTTGATAACCTCCTATGTATATTCTCTCGATATTACAACATGATGTTGCAGCCTTTTGATAAGGAACACCACCTGTGATGGGCCACTTTGTCCCCTCGCCAGCTAGGATGCTCTCTGAATAATGCTGTTTTGCAGATGAAACTGTCTAATGAAATTACTTGATCATATAAATTAAAGAGTTTTCAGTAAATAATGGTTTGATGATATCCAATACCTGTGAAAGTGCATTAAGATTATTTCTCTCTGAATCAATCACAAAGAGCTTTCCCACAGTCATATACGGTTCCAAAGTGGGTATGACTGACTGATATTGTAACGTATGTGCGGAATGATCTTTTCCTCGCTCGGGCTTTAAGGCAGATACAGATACATAAGCATAGTAGTGCAACTGTCCAGGGTTGGTCAGCACAAATAATGATTTTTCCTTATTGTTCTTTGCATTGTAAGCATTTGGCATCACGAGAACATCTGCAAAAGATCCATCGAGTCTGAGGTCCACTCGCTCACTGCACTTTAATTTTGACAACCCAGAAGACCAATCAAGATCGAGGATCTGCAATAATAACAGTATTTTAATAAAATAACGATAAATAATAATAATAATAATAATAATAATAATAATAATAATAATAATATGTTTAGATTAGGATCAGACATTGATGCTGTGTTATTTGAGGATCAGACATCAATGTGAATACTAAATAATTCTAGATATAGAAATCAGAGTTGTCCACTGCTTGATCGATCAAGACTGATTGATACAGACATATACTACAGCATTTCAATCAATCTATAAAGCATAACAACCAGGAGTATGATATATACCGTTAATACTTCTTCAGATCCAATGTCTTCACCACCATAAGCAAAAAGTTGACCTCCACAGCTATGTTCATTGTTGGAAGACCAACGGAGGAAAATGACAGGAAGTCTCCTGTCTCCCGATGATTTCTGTACCTTAACAACATCTACATGTGCCTTTTCAGTCCTCTGACCTTTATCATTCTCAGGAACTGACAGATCCCATAGTAGAATATCTCCATCTACATAGCCAACAGCTAACACAGATCCCTCAGAGGATACCCAACAGAGAGAGCTTATTTCCTTCTCTACTTCTTCATCTTCTAATATATCAGTTTGGCAAGTCTGGCTCTCGTTATTTGCAAAATTCACAACTGTCCCCTTCTGCAGTTGAAGATCCTTATTGCTTCTTATATGAATAGCCTTATCTTCAGTAGCATCCCATAGAATAATCAATCCATCCTGAAATGCAATCAACATCCTACAAAGGAAATAGATATTCAAGGTTGGATCCCTTTGATAAGAACAGCATCTCTAAATTCATGCCTAGGTGATTATATGGGGCTGAAGGAAAAGAAAGATTTCATGTTAATCTGAGTTTGGAAATTTTGAAGAGAACGGTTTGATTGGGCTGACTGTAGTATGGCAGCTACTTATTAAACTAAGAAGGATTGCAAACCTTTAATAAGATATCATAAAGTCACATAGGCACAAAGTCAAGGATGAATTCGGAAAAATACCCAATAAAAGATTATACCTATTCCCAGAAGAACATGGTTGGGAGAGCACACCGACAATGGATGGATGATCAGGCAATGAAATCCCTGCTCCTTCTAGAAAATTGTTGGCATGGAAAAAAGTTTTCATGTAAGATGCAACACAGCCTCATACAAAAAATTCAAACTAGAGATGCTACATAAAATTGAATAAAAAAGAAAAAAAAAAGGAGGTACAGATTCACTAAAAAAGTGGAGCATTTTTTTGGGTGTTTAAACAGTGGGACTTAGACCTGCATTTCTCAGAACATTCCTGTTACTAAGAACTCGAAGCATGTAACTCTTAATGGTTTTCTAGAGATCTAGTTACCAGCAATAAGGTTTGGAGGAACATGATATGGTAATTGGAGGATATTCCTTTCTTCAAAATCATACTTGAGCACGGACACAAAGCCATACTCATCTCCAGCATACCTGAAAGTTTGCAATAACAATGGATGGTTAAGTTGACTCTCAGGCACTTCAGGGTCTTAGAAGCAAAAGATATGAAAAAACTCCTCACTTTCTTACATGTAATTGGTACCAGAAATTACAGAAAATGCAGTTATATTAGACTCCCACTTTACACTTGAGGATATACATCTCTTCTCCAGATCCCAGACCTGTTGTAGCATAAGTCTTGTGAAAAGTACTTGCATTGTCCATATAAGTAAATAACTCAAAGAAGGTTTAGCTGTATCAGGATAGCCTTGAAAAAGACAAATCAATGCAATATAGCAAAACATTAAGGTTTCACAGATTATAAGTGGGGTGTATATATATCTAATCCATACCTGAATTTCATTTTCATTTGAAACACTCACTAGAAAACCTTGGTTTTGAAGGAACTGCAGACAGAAAAAAATAAGGTCTTACTGAATTGATGCTGTGTTTGAATATTGTTCTTAAAATAGCTTTCAAAAGCAAACTAAGAGAGATCAAGAAACACAAGTAGATATAGAAGTGACAAGGCTACATAATATGAAAATGCCTCAGCAAACTAAATGAGCAAACCTCTAGGTTCTTAAAGGGTAAGGCCTTTGGGGATATAAGAAGAGCTTCAATGTTGTCACCACCGACCACTTTAATCCGGCCATCCCTGCAAACCTCATTCTATCAACACGAAAAAATATAAATCACATGGCATACTAAATCAAATTTGAAAAACCATGCCCACGCCATGCATTATCTACAAGTTCTAACTACCACACCAAACTTTTAGGCAGCTCATAACGCAAATAGAAGTCAATCTTAAACGCACATATCTGGCTAAGATTTTAACATCAAAATTGAAGTGAAGAAAAGTATTAGGGACAAAGGGTCCACAAAAAATTGCACAGCACATTATAATGACCTATTGCTGAAGGATAATCACATAACCAAGACCGACATCCCTAAATGTACAGAAACCTTCGAACTCACAGTGTCCCTACAGCCAAGAGCCGCTGGATGGAATCATAACCAAGAATTGATGCAGTCGACGGAATACCATAGTGAGCAACAACACGTGGTGCAAAGTCGGGTGAGGCCATGATTTGTCTCGGATCCCCCTGCTACCACCGAAAATGCAGAGGCCAATATTCATAAGTAAGCTCATGATCAGGCGGATGATAAACGATAAACTCACATACATAATCAAAAGTTTGATCTAACGCCAGCAAGGTACTGAGAAAAGCCAGTAATTTTTTAGACAAGATCTAAGATGCTAAATGCCACTTCCGACAAACTTCACCTTCCATCAAATGAACATTATCAAATCCCTAATTAGGAAAAAAACACAGGTTTCTACATCTTCGTACCATCCCAGTTAGGGAAATCATATAGTCATGATCATAAATTAAAATCCTTCATGACAATCTAAAATGGAAAGAATCCAACCCAATTTGAATTATATATACCACCAAACTACGCATTGAAATCAAAACCACACCAACATCACGAAAAAGCTAAACAAAAATCCCAAATAAAAGACAATATATCAAAACCAAACACATGATATCATACGTTGAATACGCAGACACGAATCAAGAAGTAAAAATCACGAAAATATGGAAGAAAACAAATCCCTGAGCTTACCTGGGAAGAGAGCTGGGATTGAGTGGGTTTTTGGAATAACTTGGCAAACATTACAGATTAAATTAATTTCCAAGTACGACTTGCAAAGCAGTTCTTTCAACCACCGTAAAACCGAACACGGTGAAAATAAATGATCGCGGATGAAAGTGACGTAGCGTAATAGGAAGAACCGGTTTGTCTACGCTGCGCTGCGGTGATTACAGTTAAGTGGCTTCCATTGTCGCCCTTGGATCAACCCGTACAAGCCTTAATAGCCGTCGATCAACCGCTCCATTTTATAGAGCTCAATTTTCTGAGTAATTGTAATTATGGGAAGGTAAATTTGTTTAGTTTTGACTCACTAAAGTTATAAATACAAGAGTATAATTTTTTATTTTTTTTATAATATAGTATTACAAAACATTTTTATAATATTTTTTAAAAAAAATTTACAGTATATTTTGATATAATAATTAATATTTAAAATCTAACCTAAAAAAAACTTTAGAATTTCACCGGTACTGTGTTAGAATTGTAATATAACAAGCGTAGAGAAAGAATATAAATATTGTTTGATTTGTGTTTTTTGTTTGAATATTTTCTTTATGCAGCAAATTTTGAAATAACAAATATACTGATAAAAAAACTAGAAACATCACTCTATTATTTGTTTATTTATTTTGTGTAGATTTACTTGATGGCCGAGTGTGTGTGTTTTTTTTCTTTCAGCATGAAAATATAAATAAAATACTGTATTACATTATAAATTTCATTAAAACTTAAGTTTTAAAAATGTTTTTCAATCTTGGGTATATGCATATTTATAATATTTTGAATGAAGAATAAAAAAATAGTGTAATTAAACTTTAAATTTAATATACAATGATGAAATAGTAATGGTTGCGAGCAAAAATGAATGGAAATGAGGCAATCCAATCTTTTACTAGTACTAGCAATAATGATAAGGGCACGTGTATAAACAAACAGCAGCCACTTATGACCTCTTCCTCGTGCTGCCGCTTTCTTAACTTATAATGGAAGAAAATATATTTCACTGTTTTATATTCCAAACTTATATTTATTTATGCATAACTGTTCAAATACATACTAGTATATTGTTACAAGCTTGAGTTTTAAATTTTAATATTGGAAACTCTGATTTTAAGTTTAGTATTTTAGCTTTTGATTAAAATATTTAATTTAAATATATGTCATTTGTTTTCATTAAAATAAATGGAAATAGCTCTCAAGTGGTTGGTGGCAAGTTCATTTGACGACAGCGACGTTCTTGCTAATTTCCAATTAATGACTCTGCTTAATTACAAAGAAATGCTCTATTAATTATTATAAATTTGTGTGTGAATAATGATAATTTTAAAAAAACAAAGATGTCACTGTTCTGTTCTATTCTATTCAATACATTCACTATCACAAACTATACATTTTATTATTATGGACTACTTTAATAAACATTTCTATCATATACTCATTTTTTTATACTACTACAAACTATGTTGTTTTTATTATTGATAAATGTTATTTAATTTCTTTTTAAATATTACTATTACTATTACTATTACTATTATTATTAAATTGGAGATATCTCAAAAAATTTATATATAGCATAAAGGATTTTAAATAAAAATCAAAATAAATTAATCAAAACCTATTTAAACTATCTTATTTTTCATCCTAAAGCTTTTTGTTTGTTTGTTTTACTACTAATTCTTATGCTATTACAAAAATACATCATTATTTTTCTATTAAATATTAAACCAAATCATTATTTTAAAAAATACAAATCAAAAACACCATATTGTTTGTTTGGGTATTGATTTTTATCCTTCATTATTCAATACTCCATTTTTTACAAAATTATAGGTTTGTTTGTTTAGTATTTTTTTGATTTTTTTTTTTTTATATAAGTTATAGATAATCGTGTGATAATATAAAAAATAATATTTTATATTGAATATTGATTTTTGTGATAGAATAATATATATATATATATATATTGAAATTGTGTCCGAAATTTTTTTTGTGCAAACAAACAAATATAAGTGAGTTAACGATGCGAGAGGAAGATGTATTTGTTTTTTTTATTTCGGACCGAAATCAACAGTATTCACTTCGAACGATTTTTAATAAAACTTACTAATTTTTCACAAAACATTATACTTGCTAAATTTATTTCATTATTAATTTTGGCCAAGTCAACAAATCAACGTTTAATTAATATATTCAATTCAACACTTATTTAAAACAAATATTACTACCCTTATTACATTTTTTTTTAAATTTTAACTTCTAACTAAATTTCCAAAAATAAATCAAACTATTTTTTTACTTTTATTACTTTTCAATAAAATATTTATTTTCTTAATTTTCGTGAGTCGGCCCTAATTGTGCTAATTTTAATGAAGAGAGAGTATTAAAATATTATTTAAATAAAAATGTAAATCAATAATTTATTTCAAATTAATTTTAAACTACAATTCAATATTTTTTTAATACATTAAGTATATAAAATAGTTATAACATACTTATAAATAAATGCAATATTGAAAAATATAAATTAAAAAATAAATAGAATTTATTTACTATACATATAAAATATATATGTTTAATAAATAAAAAAACATACATGTATATATATATATATTTTTCTATACAGTGGGAACTCGCGGCCGTTACCCGATAGGTGCTTTCGACATAAATCCCCGACCGAAATAATTTAAAAAAATTAAGTATGATAAAACAAATTATGCTAAACGAAAATACACATATATTATATTTTGTGTATAAAGAGAATATAACACTACCCATCGTTCCAATTATCAAATAAAAAACAATTAATTTAATTAAAATACATGTTTAGTTCCAATTATCAAATAAAAAACAATTAATTTAATTAAAATACAAGTTTAATACTGTCATACCCTAAACCCTACTCCACAACCTGAAGCAAACAAACCCAAATTATACTAGTTTTTTTCACATAGTTTTTGTAGTATAACATAATTAACTAACGTTCATGATTTCAGTTAGTAACCTAGCAATTACTTTATTAAACATTTTCAATGCCAATCTCCACCGTCGAACACCTAGAGCTGACGATCCAGATCAATCGAAGAATTCCATTCCTCAGTGAAAACATATAAAGTACCCTCGAGTATATTCCAATGATCTCCACCGTCGAATACCCGGAACAGACAAACGGTCCAGATCAATCGAAGAATTCCATTCCTCAGTGAAAACACCTAAAGTACCCTCGAGTATATTCCAATGATCTCCACCGTCGAATACCCGGAACAGACAAACGGTCCAGATCAATCGAAGAATTCCACCCATAACCGGTTCAGAATGAAATACCTAAAACACCCTCGCGTATATTCCAATACACAGAGACAGAGAGAGAAAAAAGAGTGGCCGAAGAAGAAGAAGAAGAAGAAGAAGAAGATCGCAGGCAGGCAGAGTAGTTAGAAGCAGTTGGCGATGAAGCAAAGACGACAACGACAACCCTCCCTCCGCCATTAACCTAATCGATTCCTTTCACCTTCACCAATTCCCGACGACGACAGTGTCCGCTCACCAAATCTCACCTCACTTCTCTCTCTCTCTCTCTCCCTCCCTCAACTAATTCTTTACATAATTTAATTGATCGATTCTCTCTACTCTCGATTACAAATTAATGTAGGTGCTGCTGTTGTTCTTGATCGATCTCATTCATTCTCTGATAAAATTCTGTGTATTTTCTCTTCTGTTTTGTTCTGATCCTCCAAAATTTCAATTCACGTGATGCAGCCGCCGTTGCTCCGCCGCAAGTTCTCGCCGGCGCTGATGAAGCCGCCGCGGAAGGGCGGCAACCTCTCCGTGTTCGTGGTGGTGTTCTCGGTCTTCGTCTTCGGCTGCTTTATGTACAACGAAGACGTCAAATCCCTCGCCGAATTCCCATTCTCCCGCCCCAGCAAAGACCACGCCATTCACCAGAACGACCCCGCCGCCAAAACGACGACGTTTTCAGTTGTAATGAATGCAAGAACCGTCGTCGAAACCGAAGTCGCCACCGCCGCCGACGACTGGAAACAGGAAAGCGCCGCCGCCGTCAGCCTGAAACCGAACCCGCAGGAGAATGACAAGGAGAAGGAGCAGAATAATAATAATAATGTTAATAATAAGGTCGTGGAAGAAGAGGAGGAGGAGGAGGACGATGAGGACGTGGAAATCCCGCCGGAGGAGTGCGATCTGTTCGCCGGCGAGTGGGTGTTGGACAATTTAACGCATCCGATATACAGGGAGGATGAGTGCGAATTCCTGACGGCGCAGGTGACGTGTCTGCGCAACGGCCGGAAAGATTCTTTGTATCAGAACTGGCGATGGCAGCCTCGACAGTGTTCATTACCCAAGTAAGCGAGGAGGAGGAAATCAATTGGATTAATGGAGTTGATTGATGATTCCAATATAATGTTATTATTACATTACGTGCGCACAGATTCAAGGCCCGACTGCTGCTGGAGAAGCTTCGGAACAAGAGGCTGATGTTCGTGGGGGACTCGCTGAACCGGAACCAGTGGGAGTCGATGGTGTGCCTGGTGCAGTCGGCAGTCCCGCCGGGGAAGAAGTCGCTGAACAAGACCGGTTCTTTGTCTGTCTTCAGGCTCCAGGTTGGTTTGGTTCATTCAATTCAGTTTAATCTAATCTAATTGCTTCTGTCCCTTGTACTTCTCCGTCCGCAATCATTAATATCTATCGTCCAAAGTCTTCCCTGTCGCCTTTTTAATCATTGGAATCAGGTTTGCTTTAGACATGTACTACTACTATTATTATTTAAATTAAATACAAATTGCCAATATCCTTTTTCGTATATAACTCCATATAGGATATTTTTAGATAAAAATATCTGGAGGATATGATCTTTATTGATTTATTATTAAAATAATATGATATTTTATGTAGAGAATCAGTGAAGCTTGATTTGAGCAGTAGTTAAAATATATTTTTATAAAAAAGAATGAAAGTATGTACTATATATTTTAGTTGATGTGAAATTGCGATAATAAAAAAGGTAATCCATAAAATAGATGCACGGGGATTGATTGTCTTTGTTACTGGATGTTTTGTGATTTTATTATGTGTTGAGTTGATGCTTCGTGCGCAGGACTATAATGCCACGGTGGAGTTCTACTGGGCTCCATTCCTGGTGGAGTCCAACTCGGACGACCCGAACATGCACAGCATCCTGAACCGGATCATCATGCCCGGCTCCATCAAGAAGCACGGCCGCAACTGGAAGGGCGTCGACTACCTCGTCTTCAACACCTACATCTGGTGGATGAACACCTTCTCCATCAAAGTCCTGTAAGAACCCATTCCAATTCCAATATCAAATCAATAATATTCATCTCTCTTACAAATCAATGGACTACAGCCGCGGATCCTTCGACAAAGGCTCCACCGAGTTCGAGGAGGTCGACCGCCCCGTGGCCTACGCCCGCGTCCTCCGGACCTGGGCCAAATGGATCGACAAGAACATCGACCCCAAGCGGACACAGGTGTTCTTCATGAGCATGTCCCCCCTCCACATCAAGAGCCTCGACTGGAACAACCCCGACGGCATCAAGTGCGCCAGGGAGACGGAGCCCATCCTCAACACCTCCATGCCGCTCAACGTCGGGACGGACCGCCGCCTCTTCGCCAGCGCCGCCAACACGACCCAGCGGGGCATGAGAGTCCCCGTCTACTTCCTCAACATCACCAGCCTGTCCGAGTACCGCAAGGATGCGCACACCTCCGTGCACACCATCCGCCAGGGCAAGATGCTCACGCCCGACCAGCAGGCCGATCCGGCCACGTACGCCGACTGCATCCACTGGTGCCTCCCCGGCCTGCCCGACACCTGGAACGAGTTCCTCTACACACGCATCATATCTCCATCTCCATCTTCATCTTGATAGAGTTGAAGAAGAAGATGAAATTTTTGCATCATATATAGATATCTGGTCGGTCGGTCATGGGAGGATTTTTTTCTTTTCTTTTCTGACATTGCTGCACGAAAAGAACAGTTTGATTAATTCAGAATGGCAAGAGGAAGAATGCCATTGATGGATTGGGTGAGGTGTCAATTGTAAAATGGATTTTACTCTCATAAGAAAATAATGTCAAAAGTCAAATTTGTAGAGCCCGATTGATTCAATGCAAGTTGAAAATAGTATTTCAATTTTCTCAATATCTATAGTTTTGTACTCTAGATAGTGAGAAAAATACACCATCGATTCTGTATAGCTTTTTTCTTTCGACCATACAAGGGCTTGGACACCCAAACTTGTACAATGAACCAACCATAAAAGGGATCGACTGACACGTGTATTGTCGTGTTGGATGTTCTGGAAGTGTCTTTAGGAGGAAGGATTCGTCGTAAATTCGTCAAAGTAACAGGAAAGCAGTTGGACACGTTACTTAAAGCTAAAGTCATAAGTATTTTCTTCCTTTTTGTTTTTTTTAAAAAAAGTCACATTTTATAATATCACACCGCTGCTGCCTATTTTTACACTTCATCTCCTTCTAAATTGTCTCTGGTACTGCAATATATAAGAGAATATAGTTAATAAATATATTTATAAGAATTCTTATTATTATATAATAAAAAATATAAATGTAAACCAAACGAAAATTGCTGCAAAAATATACAGGGAGAACCACAGCCACACCTTTGAAATTTTTATAAGTAGCAGGAGTAATTTGAAACAACCATGGGAAGGGAAGGGAAGGTAGGCCATGGCTATACAACTATTTCCAGTTTGAATTTCAGAAACGGCCGTGTTCAACAAGTGGGCTCCGCCAGCTGAACCTGAAAGCAAGCATACGCATAACATATATATAATGTATTCTTAGTCAAAGGGGGAGTAGGAAGGAATAGCTGAATACTGAATAGGCAGGCAGGCAGGTGTTAATAATCAGATTTCAAAACTGCGGGATTTGCGTGTTTGACCATTGACCCACCTCCACTAGTCAAAAACCCCATTCCCCAATCCCAAACGACGCCGTTTCCTTATATAGTTAACAAACGGGGCACCGTTGAACTCAAAAGAAGAATTCATCGAGCGCTGTGCTTGAACAAGAAGAGGAAATCTGCTGGAAGAAAAAAGAGGACAATTGAATTGAATTGAGTCGAATCGAAGAACCGCAAGCAAGGTTCAATATTTGTTTATTATTGGCAAGGAAAGGAAAGGAAAGGAAAGGAAAAGAAGAAGAATCATCATCAATCATCAACCATCAATCTGTCATAGCATATCATATCATGCATTGCGCTGTTGCAGCACTGTCAAGCCCCGCCGGAGCCATGACCAAATTGCCGCCGATATTCTGCATGCCAGTTGCTTCTCCGCCGCGATTGGCTCTCGCGCATATCGGAGGAGGACGAGAGAACAAGAAGAAGAAGGAGGAGGAGGAGCTCCGACCTGCCAAACTGGCGATGAAGAGGAAGCGGCCCACGAGGATCGATATTCCGGCGACCACCACCTTAGGCTGCAACCGAGCGGGGGTTTGGGATTTCGAGAGATCGTCGAGCGACTTGGTGGCTGAGGTCGAGGTCGAAGGCGAAGGGCATTCGGTGTATGCCAAGCGAGGGAAAAGGAGAAACGCCATTGAAGATCGATACGCCGTCGGTTTGGCCCCTTCCCAATCCCAAGGCCAAGAGGAGGATTCTGCTTCTGCTTCCAAATCCAATCCTACTGATAAACAGGTAGGCTAGGCTTAATTTTTTTGGCATCCTTCCTCCTTCCACATAATTCTGCCTGCCATTTCCAGTCCATTTAATTCAACAACCACTTGTTGTTTCTAATTGCAGAGTTTCTTCGGTGTATTCGACGGCCATGGCGGCGCCGGAGCTGCCGAATTTGCCGCAAACAACTTGGAGAAGAACATCCGGATCGAACTATCATCCAAGGGATTAGGAGGAGTCGGTGTCGGTGTCGGTGTCGAAGAGGCAGTCAAGAAGGGGTACCTCACCACCGATTCTGAGATCCTCAAAAACGACATTACAGGGGGAGCTTGTTGCGTCACAGCATTAATTCACAAAGGAGATCTCCTCGTCTCCAACGCCGGAGACTGCCGCGCCGTCATGTCTCGCGGAGGCGCCGCCGAGGCCCTCACCGTCGACCACCGCCCTTCGCGCGTCGACGAAAGGCAGAGGATCGAAGCTCTGGTAAGCAACTCCGGTACCATCTTGCATAAACTTTTTATCACTTTCTCAAAAAGATACCTTCAGACCAAATCAAACCTATTTTTTATCACAGGATATCATATTGAATATCTCTACCATTATCACAAATTTTCTTTTAAACTGCCAAACTTTCAAAACTTGTGTATAAACAGAGCTGACTCATTCATTCATTACTCAGTGGGGGAAAAAAAATGATCATTGCTAACATTGCAATATTTCACGACATTGCAGGGAGGATACGTCGATTCTTGTAGTGGCGGCGTGTGGCGCGTCCACGGATCCCTTGCCGTGTCGAGAGCCCTCGGCGACAGCCATCTCAAAAAATGGGTGATTGCGGAGCCGGAGACGAGACTGATCAAGATCACTCCCGATTGCGAGTTCCTTATCCTCGCCTCCGACGGGCTGTGGGATAAGGTGATTTGTTACAATTTACAATTAGACACGATGTTTGAACCACTCGATGTGCATGTTCGATGCTTAAAATTGTCTGGTCTTATAATCGCAGGTCCGTAATCAAGAAGCTGTCGACATTGTCCGATCATCGACCAAAACATTGGCAGCCTGCAAGAAACTCGTGGATTTGTCCCTAACAAGAGGCTCAAGAGATGACATTAGTGTCATGATCATTCACTTAACTCAGTTCTTGGAGTGATGGATGGAAAGATGGATTCTGATTAACACAAACATTCTTGCATGAATGCAAACATGTGCAAGAAGACTGTGTTCTTGCATATGAACACGATGATGACAAATGATGCAGGGATGGAGACATGAGATTCTGGCAGCAAAACGGTGTCGTTTACACTAGCAACAGCCAACAGGTGCAGAAAAGAAAATCCGTGGAGGAGGAGAAAATTGAGGCAAAAGCCAGCCGAGTTTGAAAACGTGTTTACAGACAGATTATGGTGGGGAGATGAGATATTTTCTTGTGGGGTGGGGTAGGGTAGGGTAGGGTCCACAGCGTGGACTGAGGCTGTTCAATTTTAAAGGTGAAAGCGTGTTTTAGGGGTAATTGATTTCGTGATACTTACAAGCGCGCTATCCTTTTACCATGTAAATATGAACTTTTTGGTAGGGAAGCTGACTGAGGTATTCGAATTTGTGGTTTAGATTTTACCAAATTCGGAATAATTTACAAATTCAAATTTTTGTTTGTATAAATTTAAATCAAATTGTATTGCTCGAAATTCAAAATCCAAATTAATATTATATTATAAAGTTGATACATTCTAAACTAGATAGATGTATTCATAACCAAAAACATTCAATCAAACAAGATAAATTTTGATTTAATCTACAAATTCAAACAGAATTTTTAATTTTGACATCAGGTCCTAAACCCTGTCTGTCCCTCTTTGACATAAAATTGGTCTGTATTATATTTGGTATCATATCTATAGTTAGCAATTCGATCTCCATCTCCGTGTCTTGTTCAGAAATATTCAAATGTTAAATGAAGTTAAATTGAAGTCCGAGAATCTATACTTAAAAGTATCCGATTAGTCTGTATGATTTGGTGGGTCTTATCAAAAAGTTCTATTATTTAGATTATATGTATTTAATTTTTTTAATTTTTTACTTTTAAAAAATTCAAATTCTAAATTCTAAACCCACAAACACACAATTCCAATTAAAAATTGTTTTAAGTCACTCCCTCCTTCCTGAAATCTATTTTCATTTTTTTTGGATTGTCATTTAAAAATATTATTCTTACCTTTTTTAAGTTAAAAATTATCATATTTTTGTACATTTTTTGATTATAAAAGAAAAAATAACTATTATTATTCACTTTTATTAAAATTCGTTCTGGTCAAATGAGCATGAGGGAGTATTTCCATCATTCAAGAATAATTGTCCTGTAATGAATGATCTGACAATAATGTGAATGAACTTGTGCCTCCATATCCATCTACTAGAAAAATTCTTAGGCAAACAAACACATTACATCGTACTCCATCTGTCCAGTCAGAAAAGTATACATATTTTATAATGTCGAATTACAAATTAAATATTTTATAAAATACATTTTTTTTTCCACAAATACCTTTGTTTTATATCACATAGTTGCTTTACATCAAAAGACAAAAAAAAAAAAAATCATTACACTACTTTTAACTACCGATTATAATTAAAATATTATTATATCTTTACTTTGTAAGTGGATGGATGAAATATCATTTAAATACACATTTTATTTTAAATCAATTTCAAAGTACAACCAAACAAATATGTGTATTTATTTAGTATTTAAGATTTTTTAAAATTAATTCTTAAAAATAATTAAAGTATTATTAAAATATTTATTTTATTTTTATTTTTAAAATTTATTAGATAAAATAATAGGAGTATATTTTTACTCCAAGTTAATGCCTATTCTGAATTGTAAAAAATTTAAAAGTAAACATACCCAAATTAGAGTACTTGTTTTTACATGTATATATAATAATTTTTTATTGTCATATATTTATTAAAGTAAAAAAGAAAATACATATAATATATTATATAAAACAAAATACTGTATTTAAGATGATACTTTTTAAATAAAAATAATATTTGAATATTAAAAAATAAAAATGTTTTCTTAAATTATTATAATAATATATTAGTATAATCTTTTCTTAAATTAAGGACGGAATAATGGTTGTAAATCTTTTATTTTAATTTTGGGCTGTAGTATTTTGGAAACTTTTGTGGGCATGTTTTACATTTGATAAAGAAGAAGGACTATAGAATAAATAAAAAGGGCTTAGAAGCTTGATTAGTGTCTGGAAATGAAAGGGCAAAGCCGACATTTCATGTGCAATTTTAGCGTCACCATGGGAAGGGTTTATTCAATTTAGTAATTTAGCATTTGTAACGTGTCACTGTTCCGAATTGCAGGAAGGCTCACTGCAGACGATTAGTCATCTCTCACGAGAGGCGACACTCTGTTTCAGTGTTTCAGATCTCTCGCCTCGTTGATAATTTTCGATTCAGAAAAATTTCCATTCTCGCTGTTGGATATATAATAATATAATACACATATACTTCTCTTTGGTTTGAAGAACTCTCTCTCAGCTCATTCTCTCTCTAGATCTTTCTTTCTCTGGTTTATTGGAATCTAGGAGAGGGGTTCGAGTTAGCCTATTGCTACTGCAGATCTCTGAATATCTGTGGGTGATTCGCTGTTGTTTTCTTGGTCGATTTCCAGATCGTTTGCTCCAGATCCACTGCACTGATCTCGGTGTTCTGATCGTGTACAACCATGGCGGCCGCCAACGCACCAATCACTATGAAAGAAGCGCTCACGGTAAAGCAATTTTGGCTTATAGTTAATTTTGCGATTACATATAATCGTGTTCGACTGGATTTCACTTTCTTGCAACTGTTTGACTGCTCGATTGATCTATTGTTTTGTCTTAAAGTGAAATTTTGCTGTTATGACTGATTGATTTGATGTGTGGATTGGAGGTTGGGTGTTATTTAGTTGCAGATCTGTTAGTTTATGGTTCGAGGATTTTGTAATTTGCCTTAGTTGTGGCTGTGCTGAACTGAGTGTGCTTGATGTGGTGTTGCAGCTGACTAGCTTAGGGATCAATCAGCAGTTCATTACCTTTACGAATGTGACCATGGAATCCGATAAGTACATCTGTGTTCGTGAGACTGCTCCTCAAAATAGTGTGGTGATCATCGATATGAGCATGCCAAATCAACCATTGAGGCGGCCTATTACTGCAGATTCCGCACTTATGAATCCAAATTCTAGAATTTTGGCACTAAAAGGTGAGTAACTGCTGTTTCAGTTAAGTTATCCAATCAGCAGTTTGGTTGGTTAGGGTTCAATTGAGCACTTTATAATAAAGTATTTTCAGTAAGTTTGTAGTATAGGTGCCATAACTCTGTTCGGCTAAAGCAAGTTTAAGTTAATAGTTGGCTGTGCTTGAGAGTATTGGCTGTTTGATACTAAAAACATAGGCTGTGTTTACTTATGTTTTGTTGTTTTGGATTTTGAAATCTTTGATCTGAAAATGGACACTAAATGTGATGTTTTTAATGGATAATAGGTATTGTAAGTGATATTTTTTGGGAGGGAAAATGGAACACTGTGGAGTGTAGATCTAATAGTGCAGAAATGAAAATGAAAGCATCAGTGAATACAGTATTTTCGGACAAATTTCAGGTTTATGTGAAATCTACTTGGTATTGTGTGGAATAGGAAAAAATGCATTGAGTTATGATTCTAGTGAAAAACTATGATAACTCATAGAACTAGAAAATTTACAAGGGATTTGAATGCTGTGACCTTCCTAGTTATGCCCGATTGAGTAGGCTTGCTGGCTTTCACCAAAGAAAACTTGTGCCATGATTCTGACAGATTAGCTGAACACTAAAATGATGACTATTAGAAATGTAACATGAGACTTAGATATTCTAAATTTCTGAATGATATGAAATGGGTGGCTGGACGGATCTATGCCAATGAAAGCTTCATTGTTCCAAATTATGGTTACTTAGCGACACACTTAACTGTTAGTAGCCTCTATCTGAAAACTTATTTTGGGCATTTATCGGACTTGTAGTTACTATTTACTAATATGGCAAACAATGGAATATGACTACTTATACCAGTTTGGCAATAATAATAAGATATGAAATCTGTGGGTTCGTTTGGATATGTTTTGGAAGTGTTTTTATGCCTTGGGTATTATGAAAATAGTAAAAGTATGAATGAAAATAGGTGTTGAACATGATGTTTTGAATATAAATAGGTTTCTGATGTAATATTTAACTGAAACATAGGTGTAAGATGTGATGTTTTTTTAAGAATTTCTTTTATGAATATTGTGAAAACAATGTTGGAAACATAAGAAAGCATATCCGATGTGATTATGTATTATCTTTTATGCTGCTAGCTTTAATCTTGATTGGAATACTGAAAGTAGTATTTCTGTGATGAAGCTTCACTTTCTGGAACCACTCAAGATCATTTGCAAATATTTAACATTGAGGCAAAAGCAAAGATAAAGTCATATCAGATGCCTGAGCAGGCAAGTTCACACTATCTTTACACAAGTAGATGCTTCAAATAGTATAATATAATTTTGGATGTTTCTTATGTGGTTATGTGGTTTATTTTGTTTGGCAGGTTGTGTTTTGGAAGTGGATCACCCCAAAGATGTTGGGTTTAGTGACACAATCATCTGTATATCACTGGTCCATTGAAGGTAACAAGTTGCTTGATTCTCTTGATTTAGCAAGTTTAAAATTTTCCAGTTATTTTCTGCTCTTTCATTTTCTTAATGTTTTTTCTTTTGTTCATCTTTATCCACGTAGGTGATTCTGAGCCAGTAAAGATGTTTGAAAGAACTGCAAATTTGTCCAACAACCAAATAATCAATTATAAATGTGATCCTTCTGAAAAGTGGTTGGTTTTGATCGGCATTGCTCCAGGTTCACCTGAGGTGTGTGATAACCATATTTTCTTTTCTCAACCAAAATTGTTTGCTGTGGATGTGATAGATTTACATTGTCATATTTAATTGTCCAAATTGAACTTTTTCATGCCTTGGATGTGAAGCATGATATATTGTTCTAATTATATAAGATAATGGTTATAAAGATGTCAGTTTTTTTCATAGTTCTATTGATTTTTTATTACCCTACAATGGTGTTAACATATTAATTTTCCCTTTTTAGAGACCTCAACTGGTTAAAGGAAATATGCAGCTGTTTTCTGTGGATCAGCAACGGAGCCAGGCTCTTGAAGCTCATGCTGCATCATTTGCTTCTTTTAGAGTATGAATTCCTTTTTTTTATACTTCTTTTATCCTTATGCAGTTTTAACTGTCAGTGTATTTGATGCTTATCTGTACCCTTGAGCAGTGTTTATCTGTATCCTTGAACAGGTTGCTGGGAATGATAAAGACTCCATACTTATTTCGTTTGCTACAAAATCGTCTAATGCTGGTCAAATTACGTCTAAGTTGCATATTATTGAGCTTGGTGCTCAGCCAGGTGAATTTTTACATAAAAAATTATATATCCTATTTTGTGATGCAATAGACAATGCTCGTCTTGACTTGTTCTTTATGCGCTTATTGGTTTATTCTTTCAACTTGTGCAGGGAAGCCATCTTTTACGAAAAAGCAAGCAGATTTATTCTTTCCTCCAGATTTTGCTGATGACTTTCCAGTTGCCATGCAGGTTCATTCATTCTGGATTAATTTATTCCCTTGAGTTTATGTGTTGAATTCCTTTTTGTGTAATCTCATACTAAACCTTTTTTGGCTTCATAGATATCGCACAAGTATGGTCTCATCTATGTGATTACGAAGCTTGGGCTGCTTTTCGTATATGATCTGGAAAGTGCTGCAGCTGTATATAGAAATAGGATCAGTCCAGATCCTATTTTTCTGACGTCAGAAGCTTCATCTCTTGGTGGTTTTTATGCAATTAATAGGCGAGGCCAGGTTTTGCTTGCTACAATAAATGAAGCAACTATCGTGCCTTTTGTCAGTGGTCAAGTATGTTTATTTGCTTTGTGTGTACAGTTTATTTATTTATTTATTTTTATATTACTATTAAAATTTTCACACATATTATAAATGGCTGTTGATTCTTGTCAGTTGAACAATCTAGAGCTTGCTGTCAATCTTGCTAAAAGGGGAAACCTTCCTGGGGCAGAGAACTTGGTATGTTGATTTTAGTTTTTCTTAATATTTCTTGCAATGTAAATTCTTATAGATCTTTCAAAGGCTCCTTAAATGCAAATTGTAGAGGGATAATTCGCTGTGGGGATTTTGTGTTGAACAGGTTGATTCAACAACTGCGAAGTACATCTTTGTCTATTTTATTCTATTTTATTTGTAACATGATAGTTATGCCGTCCAAATATTAATTATTTCTGAATGCCCTAGAATATATTCTGGCCTGCTTGTAGTTTGTTAATTAATTAGCTTTTGTTGGGGAGATGGTCTGAGAAAGACAAGTTACTTAGGCTCCTTTATTTGCAATAGGTTGTTCAAAGGTTCCAAGAGCTATTTGCTCAAACAAAGTACAAGGAGGCTGCTGAGCTTGCTGCAGAGTCACCACAAGGCATTCTCAGAACACCAGATACTGTTTCAAAATTTCAGGTATTTCTTGTGAGTTGTTCTTTCAATTAAGGTATTCCTACAAGCCCCGGACGTGGAGGTGGGATCATAAATTCCTCAGGATACATCTTGTTTTTCATAGAAAACATGAGTTGCAATTTGATTTAGAACTTGGAAATTGTTGTTGTGTGTGGTAACTAAAGGCGACAATCGGCTTTTTATTTTCAGAGTGTTCCTGTTCAAGCTGGGCAGACACCTCCATTGCTCCAGTATTTTGGAACCTTGTTAACCAAGGGAAAGCTTAATGCGTTTGAATCTTTGGAGCTATCTCGACTTGTTGTTAACCAGAACAAGAAGAATCTACTTGAGAACTGGTTGGCTGAAGATAAACTGGAATGTAGTGAGGAGCTTGGAGACCTTGTGAAGGTTAGAATTAACTGTAAACTTTGAAATGTCTGTTGTCTACTACTTTTCACTAGTTTTATTGATAACTTCTGGTAGATTCCACCTTTAATTGCTTGCTAAGAATTTTGTTTCTTCTACTCTTTGTAGACTGTTGACACTGATCTTGCCTTGAAAATATATATCAAAGCCAGAGCTACACCGAAAGTTGTGGCAGCTTTTGCAGAACGCCGTGAGTTTGACAAAATATTGATATACTCGAAGCAGGTTATATTCAAGATTCCTGTCTTGATACTTTTCTTATAGTTGATACATGATATTCTTGGTTAGATGAGGATCAGATGCTGTGTTTTTTTGTTAGTCATCGTAGTTCTGGATTTTAATAAAGGATATATTTATCTTTGAACAGGTAGGGTATACACCTGATTATCTGTTCCTTCTGCAAACCATCCTCCGATCAGATCCCCAGGTATGCTTGGATCTGCAGAAAGCAAATTTAATTACCCAGCGATTTCAACTGTAACAATTGTCCTATCACACTAAAGGAAAGAGATCAAGTATTTGCTTTGTTGATTTATTTGGTGTGTTCAGGGAGCTGTGAATTTTGCCCTGATGATGTCTCAAATGGAGGGAGGTTGTCCTGTCGATTACAATACTATAACCGACCTTTTTCTTCAGGCACACACATTTCCTCTCCTTGGTTGTTTGATTTAATTTGTCATATTATTCATGAGTTTTTTTAACTTATGTTTTCCATGCTATTTGGAAAACCCCATATTTTATACATGTATGTAATGTCCTTGGGACAGATGATTTGCTAATGTTCATTACCTACCATTTTCCACCAGAGGAACTTGATCCGTGAGGCCACAGCATTTTTATTGGATGTTCTGAAACCAAACCTGCCTGAGCATGCATTCCTGCAAACTAAGGTTACACATTAGATTATTGTTCACTTAAATTGAATGGATATTCATCCAACCTTGTTGCTGGTGAATCAACATCTAGTATCACCTTATGAGCTTTTAGAATCATCGTTTCCTTTCCAATTCAGGTCCTGGAGATCAATCTTGTTACTTTCCCTAATGTGGCCGATGCTATTTTGGCAAATGGCATGTTTAGCCACTATGACAGACCGCGCATCGCACAACTTTGTGAGAAAGGTGGCCTTTACGTCCGAGCACTTCAGGTAATGCCTTCATATCTATGTGCTTTCTTTGACTAATTTGTCTTATTATATGCTAATTTAGTTGAACAAATATCTTTCCCTACCTGCAGCATTACTCTGAGCTGCAAGATATCAAGCGTGTCATAGTGAATACTCATGCAATTGAGCCACAGGTTATTAAATTATAGTTGCCTTCACTGTTTGTTATCCAAACATTATAGCAGAGCTTAAAGATGTACTTGTTGCAGGCACTTGTGGAATTCTTTGGGACCCTTTCCAAGGAATGGGCTCTGGAATGCATGAAGGATCTGTTACTGGTCAATTTAAGAGGAAATCTTCAGATAATAGTTCAGGTAGGATGGGAAGTTCTGTGTATGATTTTTTAGGAGTTTTTGAATATATGTTTGGTGGAAACATGATTGGCCTTGCTGACTCTATCGATTAATGTAGGTTGCGAAAGAATATTGTGATCAGTTAGGCGTGGAAGCCTGTATTAAGCTCTTTGAACAGTTCAAGTCGTATGAAGGATTATATTTTTTCTTGGGATCATATCTGAGCTCCAGGTTATCTATTTTATCCCCAACTTTTATTTTCTGTTGGATGGCCTGTATTTGGGTAAATGTATCTGCTAGTTTTTGTTCTAATTATTGACTCTGGCAGTGAGGATCCTGATATTCACTTCAAGTACATTGAAGCTGCAGCAAAGACTGGACAGATTAAAGAAGTTGAGCGGGTAACAAGAGAGTCAAATTTCTATGATCCTGAAAAGACAAAGAACTTTTTGATGGAAGCAAAGCTTCCCGATGCACGACCATTGATCAATGTCTGTGACCGGTTTGGTTTTGTTCCCGATCTGACGCATTACTTGTATTCTAACAATATGCTTCGGTATATTGAAGGTTACGTGCAAAAGGTGTGTTTTTTTTTTCAAAGTTGTCTTCTCCTATTGTTGAATCTAATTTTTTGTTTTTATTTCTATTTATGGAAGTTAACCTATCTCTATTTTTAATAGGTCAATCCAAGCAATGCTCCATTGGTTGTTGGGCAGCTTCTTGATGACGAGTGTCCCGAAGATTTCATTAAAGGGCTCATCCTGTCTGTTCGTTCTCTTCTTCCAGTCGAACCTTTGGTTGAGGAATGTGAAAAGAGGTATTACTGGCTCTACCTGTAAGGTATATTCATGGGATCTATTCTTTTGTTATCTAATGTATGATATGTTATGCAGGAATCGGCTTCGCCTACTTACTCAGTTTTTGGAGCATCTTGTCAGTGAAGGAAGCCAAGACGTGCATGTGCACAATGCTTTGGGTAAAATAATCATTGATAGCAATAATAATCCGGAGCACTTCCTCACCACCAATCCATATTATGATTCTCGTGTTGTGGGTAAATACTGTGAGAAGCGTGATCCTACCCTTGCTGTTGTCGCATACCGCAGAGGGCAGTGCGATGATGAACTTGTTAATGTCACGAATAAGAATTCTTTGTTCAAGCTGCAAGCCAGGTTTGCAATTCATGTTGTTATATGGCCCTTTTTGTTAGTTCCTTTTTTTATATATATATATAACCAAATATAATAAATTTACTTTTGTTGCAAACAGGTATGTTGTTGAAAGAATGGATGGTGATCTTTGGGCCAAGGTGCTTGATCCTGAAAATGAATTCAGAAGATTGCTCATTGATCAAGTTGTATCCACTGCTTTGCCCGAGAGCAAAAGCCCAGAGCAAGTTTCTGCTGCTGTTAAAGCTTTTATGACAGCTGATCTACCCCATGAACTAATTGAGTTACTTGAGAAGATAGTTCTTCAAAACTCAGCTTTCAGTGGGAACTTCAACCTTCAAAACTTATTAATCCTAACTGCAATCAAGGCAGATCCTTCTAGAGTTATGGATTATGTGAACAGACTCGATAACTTTGATGGTCCTGCAGTTGGAGAAGTGGCTGTTGAAGCCCAACTGTTTGAAGAGGCTTTTGCTATCTTTAAGAAGTTTAATTTGAATGTTCAGGCTGTTAATGTATTGTTGGACAATATCCGAGACATTAACCGAGCAGTAGAATTTGCATTCCGAGTTGAAGAAGATGCTGTCTGGAGTCAAGTTGCTAGAGCCCAACTCAGGGAAGGACTAGTTAGTGATGCCATTGAGTCATTCATCCGTGCTGATGATGCAACTCAGTTCCTGGAAGTCATAAAAGCTGCAGAGGATGCAGATGTTTATCATGATCTGGTGAAGTATCTTCTCATGGTTAGGGAGAAGGCTAAGGAGCCCAAAGTGGACAGTGAGCTCATTTATGCATATGCTAAGATAGATAGGCTGGGTGAGATAGAGGAGTTCATTCTCATGCCTAATGTTGCTAATCTGCCGAATGTTGGTGATCGCTTGTATGATGAGGCTCTATACGAGGCTGCTAAGATTATATTTGCTTTCATCTCCAACTGGGGCAAATTGGCAAGCACGCTTGTGAAGCTGAATCAATTCCAAGGTGCTGTTGATGCTGCTCGAAAAGCTAATAGTGCGAAGACATGGAAAGAAGTTTGCTTTGCCTGTGTTGACGCAGAGGAGTTCCGCTTGGCTCAGATTTGCGGTCTGAACATCATTGTGCAGGTGTGTTATATATACTAGTAGATTTATATTAGATGCTTCTAAAAAAACTTCCGCTGTTCAAGTTTTTACTCTGTTGCTTCCATTTGTGATTCTTATAGGTCGATGACCTAGAAGAGGTTAGTGAGTACTATCAGAACAGAGGATGCTTTAATGAACTCATATCGCTTATGGAGAGTGGTTTAGGGTTAGAACGTGCACATATGGGCATCTTCACAGAGCTTGGAGTCCTTTATGCTCGATACCGCCATGAGAAGCTTATGGAACATGTCAAATTGTTCTCTACTCGTCTCAATATTCCCAAGCTGATCCGAGCCTGTGATGAACAGCAGCACTGGAAAGAACTGACTTACTTGTACATCCAGTATGATGAGTTTGATAATGCTGCAACAACTGTGATGAATCATTCCCCAGAAGCTTGGGATCACATGCAATTCAAAGATATTATTGTCAAAGTTGCCAATGTAGAGTTGTATTATAAAGCTGTGCACTTCTATTTACAAGAGCACCCTGATCTCATCAATGATGTTTTGAATGTCCTTGCTCTGCGCTTGGATCATACCCGGGTTGTAGACATAATGCGAAAGGTAAGTACTTATTCCTGGTATAGTAATGCATTTCTATCACAGAAGTGATTTGATTTAACTTCTTAGATATAAAAATGATTCTCACTACATTTCATTGTGTTTTAGGCCGGTCACCTACGACTTGTCAAGCCATATATGGTTGCTGTTCAGAGTAATAATGTGTCTGCTGTGAATGAAGCTCTCAATGAGATCTATGTGGAAGAGGAAGATTATGATAGATTACGTGAATCAATTGACTTGCATGACAGCTTTGATCAAATTGGCCTTGCTCAAAAGGTGATTTCCTAATTTCGTTATGCATCCTCCGAATTCTTGTTTTCGGATGAGGTCTTACATATAAGCATGATTATATGCCTGAACAGATTGAGAAGCACGAGCTTCTTGAGATGCGGCGTGTTGCGGCTTACATATACAAGAAAGCAGGCAGGTGGAAGCAATCTATTGCCTTGTCAAAGAAGGACAACCTTTATAAAGATGCAATGGAGACAGCTTCGCAATCTGGTGATCGCGAACTTGCTGAGGAGTTACTTGTGTATTTCATAGAACAGGTATGTATTAGCTACATCTGGTTTGGTTTGTGGTTGTCCTGTAAAATGTGCATGCTCCACCTGACAAATAGTCGGTCTAAATCATCTGATGGTACTTGTCTTGTTTGCAATTTCTTGATTTCAAAGGACGTTCATGTGATACAGTTCTGTTGTTCATGCTACTTATTCGATGATCTTTTTCTTGCTTCTTGTTGACATGGATACTATAGAACTTTGAGTTTAAGATTATTTCCTAAAGATATCAAGTGGTTGAAAGCAAGATATCTAATACTAATATCATGGTTTTGCAGGGCAAGAAGGAGTGCTTTGCATCGTGCCTCTTTGTTTGTTACGATTTGATTCGACCAGATGTTGCACTTGAACTTGCCTGGATGAACAAAATGATCGACTTTGCTTTTCCATATCTGTTACAGGTAATTGCATGCATCCATCCCCATTCCATACATTCTTGTTCCTGTTATATAAAGGGTTAATTATCTTTGCATTCCCCATTTTTCCTCCAAAAATATCACATTTAATACCCATGTTTTATATAAAATATCACATCGAACCACTATTTCACTATAGAAACATCAAAACCCCAAACACACACACACACTAAAACACCAAGTGAACAAACCCAAAGAGTTCCCCAAGTTCCTTAGAACTACTTATTCATTTACTACTTGGTAGTTAGCTTTGTGTGTGAGGGCGATAATTTTGAGCAAATCTTTTAACATGCAACCCTTGCGTTTCTTAATACTTTTGATCAGTTCATCCGTGAATACACGGGCAAAGTTGATGAGCTAATTAAGGACAAGATTGAGAATATGAAGGAAGCAAAGGCTAAAGAAAATGAGGAGAAAGATGTTGTCATGCAACAGGTATGCCTCTTACCAATCTATAAGAGAATTCATCTCCGAAGTCCAATCACCACCCTGCTCTTTGAATTTCATCAAGCATTTAACATATGAGATAAAAATACTTTGCCAATGTATTGCAGAACATGTATGCCCAATTACTGCCTCTTGCTTTGCCGGCACCCCCAATGCCGGGTGTCGGGGGTCCTCCAGGAATGGGCGGGGCCTTTGCTGGTCCTCCGCCGCCAATGGGAGGAATGGGCATGCCTCAGATGCAGCAATTTGGCATGCCCCCCATGGGGTCGTATTGATAAGGAGGAGAGGTGGATATTGACTAGGAAGTGGTACGTGTACTTTGGACTTTATGGTTTGACTCAATATGTTATCTATCTATCTATCCATCATCTTTGTTTTTAGACTTTACTATCTTCTGGGAATTGGGGGCTAGAACGGCCGAGGCATTATTGGTTGAAAGGGTTAGGGTTATATGACAAAACGAGAAAAATGATGAATAATGTGATGGGATGGATGGTTGGTTGGTGTTGTTTTTTTCTTCTATCATATACTCATAGGGTGTGTGGGTGGATATATAGTTTCTTTTCTTCCTTTGTAATACTGTATTCTTTGGTAGGCTGAGGCATTTTTTGCAGCTTTAGGAGACAAGGCTGAAGCTTAAGGAAGGATGTTATGATAAGTTGTGTAATTTTTGTATAAGCAAGTTGCCCTGCCCTGCCCCCCCGTACCTGTAGGGAGGGAGGAGAGGATAACCGCCCATTTTTATTACTGTTTGTTTTCCAAGTATTATATATTGTTTTTGTGGTGGTTTGTTCTTTTTTTTTTTTGGGTAAAAAAGAGATGGTATGTATTGTCTATATTTGTGTATGTGACTTTTTTGTTCATGTTTCTGAATCCATTTGGGGTTGATTCATTCGACTATGGAGTGTGATTTTGTGGATGTACTATAATAATAACACATCGTTTTGGCATGGAATTCGAACGAACCAAATTTTGGTATTTGGAATTAAAATTGCCCGTTTAATGGTGTGAAGGATTGTATGTTGTCTTTTGGATTTTATTTAAATTTTTATGAGAAAAAGGAGTTTTAAATGAAAGAAACATATTTTGAGTTTTAAATAAAATGTTAGAATTATAAAAATGATAGTATTTCAGTATAGGTTGTATGATGGTGGGAAAATGACTACAAAAGCAAAAAGGATCATAGTGGCAATAAAGGATAGGATAGGGTAGGACGTGAAAAGCAAAGGGAAATTGGATGAGGGTTTTCATCAATTTCATCTGCCCCACCCCACCCTACCCTACCAAAAGGTGATTTCGAGGTAATTAATCAATAGAAGAAAGCCTAGAAGAAAATAACAGCGAGAATATTGTGTAATATTAATATATATATATATATATATCATGCTAAGTAATGCAGTTGGCATAGCAAATACTAGTACAAACCAATACATACCAACCATTCAAATTTCACTCCAGGCCCTGGGGGGTTACCTTATCTATTCACTACCCCACCCCCAAATTATATCATCTCTCTCGGTGGTCTCTGTCTCTGTGTGGAAGAAGAAGAAGAAAAAGGAGGAGGAGGAGGAGGAGGAGGAGTTGAATGGGTTGGGGTTGAAAGAAAGAAAGAAAGAAGGGAACCAAAAAGAAGATTGAATGGGTGTTTCGTTGAATTCCGTCGTCGGCCTCAGAACTCCTTTCGTACGTATCGTATCTTGTCTATATTTATTCGTGTTTATTATTATTGTTATTGTTGTGTTTAGTGCATTTCCTTCCCTTCCCTTCCAGTCCAGTCCATATGTGTGTTGCGTTGTATATGTTAATACTGTATTCTTATGGATATGGATGGATAGATAGATAGATAGATTTATCACCAACCATTCTGACTCACTCGCTTACTCACTGACTTCTTCTTCTTCTTCTTCCTTTTTAATTGAATTGAATTATTAATATGTAAGCAGCAGCAGCAGCAGGTGTTAAGGGGTTTGGGCGAGCTTAATCATCATCATCATCATCCTTCAAGGCAAAGGCAATGGCAATGGCAATGCTCTTCCTTCCGCCATGGAGTTGGAGTTGGACTTAGAATCAGAGTAAATAAACCTCGTCAATATTATTACTGTTCCAGAACCACCATCATCGTTTCAGAAGACACGGCGGCGGCCTCTACCCCTACCCCAACCCCAACGGATTCCCAAAGTGCTTCTCCTCCTCCTCCTCCACCATCCAATCCCAATCCCAAAAAATCTCCTACTCCTTCTCCTTCATTGACGGCCAGAGAGCGCCTCAGGGCAGCCCGGGTCCTCAGCCGCTACAATGATGATCCATCTTCACCCTCAGCAGCAGCATCCAAGTCCAAGCCCAAGCCCACGCCACCAGAGCTCGGCAGCCGCCTGCTGGATGCTCTGCAAGAGACTACGGCCAACAAGGAGGGAAAGAAAAGGCAGAGGCGGTCGGGGCTTGGGCTTCCGGAAGCTCCGACAAACCTGTTCGACGACAGCAAGAGGGGGATGCCCAAGGCAGGATGGACCTTCGACTTCTTCCCCGGGGGAATGGACGTCTTCTTCGTCCTCCTCTCCTTCCTCCTCATCACCACCATCATGCTCGCCACCACCTACCTCGTCTGGAGAGTCGGCGCCATCCATTTCAATGAATACTAGCTAGACAAGAGTAAGAAGTAAGACACACCCACCTTAGCAGCCTGATTGATTGTGGAATATGAATATGATGATAGACGAGCTTTAATTTAATTTGGTGGTGCAGGGTGGTTTACCGCTTTCTTTCCAATTTGTTTATGCCAAAGATGAGTCAGTCAGTCAGCTTCAGAGGGGAACCCAAAATTGTTCAGTCTTTCACACCACCTCAACTCAACTATCCCTATGTCAATTTCTAGCTACAACAATATAGAAACATTTCTTAATTCTTTTTTTTTTTTTTTTCTTAATTCTTGATTACATGATTATTAGCCATTTTTCTTGAAGGACAGATTAATTAAATTTATACCGTAATACTAGTGCTATACTTTCAAAAGGCTGCTAATAATCAATCAATATATTTTGTTAGTTTAGGGTGTATTTTGAAGAGCCTTCGGATATAGTATGTAACAATATTAAAATCTTTATAAATTTAATTAAAAACAGTAAGTACATTTATAAAATAACAATTGAGATGTATATGAATTATGGTTGAAAACATTCATTCACACGGCAATTAAATGATTTGATATATTGTGTAGCAATTCCATGTTTACATTGTTGTGTGTAGGTGTAGGTGTAGGTGTAGGTGTGTGCGCCCCTCTTCTCTTCAAAAATCTCAAGTCCCGTTAAGATCAAAAGTTTTTAGCTAGAATTTTGAAAAGTTGAGCAATCTTGATGTCAGGTCATCATCTTGAGTTGAGTTGCAAACCATTTCTGGATGCAGTGGGAGTGGAAGCAATGGCGGCACTCCACTCTGCCAGCACCTTCACCTCCTCTTCATCTCTAAACTGCCCCAAGCATATGCAGCTGCACCCTGGGGTGTTTCCATAGAGGATGACCGGCACATTAATTATTATGTCGCTGCAGCTGGCACCTTCATCTTTTTGCGGAGGTGGAGGGCAGAGTCACCGTGTGCAGGCGAAGATGATAGTGATGACAAGTGCACCGGAGAATAGCACGACCACCATTAAGAAGAGCCCATGCCCAAGCCGGAGGACCTCCAACTTCTCATCCTCATACTCACATGGCAAAGGCGGAGATGCCACTGAAGACAACATGCTATGCTATACTATACTATATTATTGTAACGTGTCCGGAAGCTGATACGCCCGGCGCCTAGGTCATGTCCGCGCTGAGGTCCAGACCAGTTGTCCCCTGTGTGCAACACGCTCGGGATATACCATACAGTATGGGAGAATCGTGCAGAACACGTACCTACACCAAAATATGAGTTATTAGTCGGCCGTATAAGAATGTCAGGCCGCCCGGACACTATAGTGTCATTCCATGCAAATTTACTTATTTATAGAGGCTACAGCCTACATGCAGTCAAATATTTATTTATTTATTTTTAAATTGGAATATTATACTATTAAATATTATATATGAATATTGATAGATTTATGCATTTAATCAATCAACAATTTTATATTGATGCTTTATACAGTTAAGCATATCTTTACTTAATTATATAATTAGTTATATATGTGATTCAACAAATAATGTCGTAACCACACATGGTGGTGTGGGGAGTAAATTCGGTCAGGTCATGAATCGACCTCAATGCCTCCTGGTGTGATACATAGTTCGTTTAGTGTGACTTATCTTGTTGGGTCTAGTTTGTAAGGAATTAGGTTTGTCAGAAATTTATATGATGCGAACTTTTGGTAACGATTGCGGATTCTCGTGTTAAAAAAAAAAAAATTAATATACTAATGTGTATGTCTATGTATGTGTTACCAAACCCCACTAATATAATTTCTTAAATAGGAACTAAAATAGTGAAATATGGGAGACGTCAGTCATTCCCGGCCACTCATTCCATGTTAATTAGATTCATAATTGGTTTGGTGAAAATACCCTCAACAATTTGCAAACATTAATCTAATTTAATTTAATTTTATAAAGAACATACAACATGAGCCACGCAATTAACAGCAGCTTTCCCGTTCCCAAAAGGTCACTTCCCCCTACCTCCTCCCTAAACCCAATATTTACAAAATTAAAAAATAAAAATAAAAATATTAGTATATTTGGCTATGCTTGTTTTTATTATTATGTGGAGAAATATATATATATATATATATTTATGAAAATACATCATTATTATCTTTATATAAATAAAATATAAAATCATATAGATGTTCTTTTGATTTTGTAATTTGTATTTTTGAGTGAAATAATTATTGTACGTAATATAGCATTTTAGAAATTAGGAAAAACTTTCATTATTAATCTCATTGACATGATATAATAACGTTTTTGGTGGATACATAATTTATATAATTAAATACTATATTTGATCATATATATATATACACACATGTATATTATAACTGGATCGATCACTATTTAGCTTCCTCAACGCATATATATATGGCCAATTTTAAAAATACTATTAATGATATAAATAATAAAAATAATTATTATTATAAACTTTTATTATAATTTATACCCAAACATTTAAACAAATGGCAAATGGAATATTATTTTAACTTATAACTTCATAAATTCCATGGATAGCCCATAACCAAAATCGGCCCATAATGAGAAGTATTAAATCAACAAATAGCCTAATATAATATGTGGGCCTACATAGGCTACGGCCCGATTACTCACCTCCTCTGGCACTGCCTCTGCGGGTTCCTCAAAAAGTACAGGTAATCGTCGACGGCCGTGGCCGGCACCGCCAGGCTGACCTTCACCGCCCTCCTCCGCCCCGTCGCCGGCGCCGGCGACAACATGCAGTAGCGGTCGTAGCAGAGTGGGCCCACATGAAGCGGCCTCCCCATCCCAAAATCCAGAGTGTCCAGCCCCAACGTGGTCCACTGAGTCAGTACCAACGCGCCCACCAAGTCCACAATACCCGCTCCGCCGCCGGAACTCACGCATTCCACCACCTCTCTCACGTACGCATCCCCGACCCGCTCCTTCGCCCGCCGCACCAGCTCCGCCGCGTGCTCCAGCCCTTTCTCTGCCAGGTCCGCCGCACGCGCCTCCGCGCAGCCCAAGACGATGGCGTTCCCGTAGTAACCGCTGGGAAGATTCGGGCTGACTCGCTGCCGGACGTTGATGGTGAAGAGGAGTTTCACGATCTGATTCGCCGGCAGACGCAGCGATCGCGACCAGCTCCGCCATACATGGCCGGCGACCGCCTCGAACGACGTCGTTTGGGCTGGGGGCGATCGGCTCAGCTTCTTCAGATCTTTGATTCCATTTTCGTCGTACGTAATGCACGTCGGAATCATTCTCTCTTCTGCGTAGCGAGCCGCGAACTCCGACACATCGGGAACCGGCCGGAACTCGGGATGGCTCCCCGGTTTGAAATTGACTCGGCCGGACCGGATCGGACTCGGGGGGTCCAAGAGGTGCCGGTTCCAGGTCGGTTGCGGGTTCAACTCGCTGATTCCTGACTCGCCGGCTGCCAGCTCAGCAAACACTTTGAGGAACTCGCCGCTGCCGACGCCGTCGCAGAGGCAGTGGTTGAAGCCGGCGGCCAGCGCGGCGCCTCCGTCCGACAGCCACGTCATCTGGACGACGAGGGGCGGGGCTCCCTGTAGGACGTCCTCCACGTGTACCGACAACAGTTTCCTCCACTGCGCGCCGCCGCGGCGTGGCGCTCCGGCGAATTCCGCCACCGTCGATCCCGAAACCGCTTCAATGAAAACAGCGCCCTGCGCACGACAGACCACCTCCAGTCCCCCACCCTCCGGCCGCTTCCTGACCCGGCCGGCGAGCGGGTAGTACGGTACGAGGGCCCGTCCCAATCCCGCCTTGCAATTCTGGGCGAGTGCCGCCCTGTCGACGGAGGCGCGTGGCTCGTAGACGAGCAAATATTCGAACGTGAATCTGAGGAAAAGCTGAGAATCCAAGGCGGAGAGGCGGAGAGTGTGATTCGGCGTAGGTTCCGACGGCGGAATCAGAACAGCTTCCTTGACACAAACACTACCACTGCTCGACATCTCTCGATGATCGATTGATCAGATTAAGATTAGATCAGCTGCAAATTTATCATTTAGGGTTAGGGTTAGGGTTAGGGTGTGATCAATATGGAGAATTCATAAGAAGACACTCTATGTAATGTGTATGCATTTATAGACATGATCGATCGATCGATCGATGCCACCCATCATAATTATTAGTATTTGAAAATATTGGATTATATGTTGGATTTGTTTAATTGATTTTTTTTTTTTTTAATAGAAATTAAATACTATAATTTGCGACTTGTAAATAGATTTTTGTTTTTTGAAAAGATGATTGAATTAGATAATCATAACAGTACGGAATCGGAATTGATATATAGATGCCTATATATATATATATATTAAATAAATGAAAGGGATGAGACGAGATAAACTAAATATTTTGTTTAGAGAGAGAGAGAGAGAGAGAGAGAGAGAGAGAGAGAGAGAGTGTGTAGTGCAAACAAGATTTGTCTCAGATTCTCCACCCAACACAACACTTTTTACCATAACATAACCAGCCTACCTTCTTTATTTCGTATTTTTTTTAGAGTATGTTTTTTGTTACCATGCAGCTGTCTTTAGAAGGTGATTTTTTTATTGTTTATTTTTAAATAATAATTTGTATATTATAAAAAATCATAAACTAAAAATTGAATGAGAGAATTTTTTAAAAAAAATCACAAAAAGAATCCCAAAATTTGTTTGCTATTATTTTCTATTTTGAAATATCTCAAAATGTTTTTTATTTACTTTATATATATATTTTTTCTCTTTTATCTCTATCAATAATTAATAAAATTATCACAAAATTATGATAAAAATATTATCAAAATTATTACCTAAAAAGTCGTGTTGGAACAAAAACAAGCAAAAAGATATAGGAATAATAGAGGTAGAATTGTTTTATTTTTTTATATATGATACATATGAAATAAGTGTATACAAGTAGTAAGTGCAATTATAATATACTTATATTTGATTTGAAATGTTTAAATTAAAAATACCCAAAATCATCTAAAAATATAAATAAAGGCACGTGGGGGAGTGTTGTAGATTATAGTGAACATTGAATAGTTGGTCAAATGCCTCTCCTTTTATTTATTTATTTATTTTCAGCTTATAACTTTAGGCACATGCATAAATAATAAGAAAAAGAAAAAGAAAAAATAAAGTTCTTTGTTTATTTATTTATTAGTGAAATATTTATTGACGGCATATTACATGTAAAACTTGAATTTTAAATTATAATATTTAAAATATTACAACTTTTTATGTAATAAGCTAATAATTGTTCACTTTGTGGTTTTAAATTTATAAATATATATTTATATTACGTCTGAAAAATTATATCAATATTATAAAAATTAATATTTATATTGAAATGTTGATTATTTGCAAATTGATTAAATATACTTCCATCATCCGAGTCATATATATCCATTTATTTTTTATAGGTGAATTTTAGTATATTAGGATTTTATAGATAATAGTACAATAGAAAAATAATAAAAAAAATCATTCTTAAGTCAAATTACTTTTTAATAATATTGTTTAAAATTTTGTGTAAAATATAGGGGTATTATTTATTAAAGAAAAAAAAAACTTTTATTGAAAAATAAAACAAATACTTAGTTGAGCAAACAAAAATGATAAAATGATTACATATAACTCAAACATATATGTATATATATTGTATTATTCTTAATACTAGTATTTATAGAAAATCAACCAAAAAACCACACTTGCCTTAAATGAATAAATACAAAGTCTCTTGTTTTAGACTTGTTCAAACTATTCATCAAAATGTTAAACTAAAATCGAATATTTTAAGATGCGATTTTGCTTTTAGTGTACTCGATAATGAGGCAGATTTCTAATCTGGAATTTAGTGGCATATATAATATAAAAATGTTCATTTTATCGCACAAATGACGAGTTTTTTCATTTGCATGAAACATGATTTGAAACTCTTAAAATTATAATGGAAAGGAAAGGAAGGAAAAATAAATTGAAATTGATCTTTTATTTTATGTTAAAGCATTTTCAAACATAAAATAGCAAAAACCATTTAAAAATATATATACACTACAATTTGTTCTTTTTTATTTATTTTAATATTTGTATATGTATTTTTTAAGTTTATATTTAATTTTTTACTATGCAATTATTATAATTTTCTATATATATAAAAAAAATATATTATTATTTCTCTCATAAAACATTACAATATTAAAATTACTACTAAAAAAAAATCCAAAAGAACACACCTAAGGTTCTATCTTTACTTTCATATATTTTTTTTTAATTATGTAATTTTATATAATTTCTTTATAAAATATATTATTTTTTCATATACAATATTATATCAAATAACCTAGTCTTTACATGGAAACTAAATTACAAATACTTCAAAAAAAAATCAAATGTTGAATCAAAATTTTACTATTTACTTATTTATAATAATAGATTAAAGCCTTTGTTTATGTTGGTTTTTATTTGTATTTTGTACTTAAATAATTATTGAATATAATATTTTTTTAAAAAATATATTGTATTTTTTTTAAAAAAATTAATTTAAGTTGATCCTAAATGATGTGAAAATAGTTGAAAGAGGCAAGGTTAAACAAAAATATGCTTATATCAAACTTTAATTTGTGGGTCCAGATTAAATAATGATATTAATAAAAACAAATTAATTATGAATTATAGGATTATATTATTAAATTAAGGTGGGCATTATCATGAAATCTCGTTTTAATAAAGGTGGATATGATTTATTTTTTTAGTCAATCAAGATTTGATTATGATTTCATCATAAGATATACTATAATTTAATTTAATCTAATTTCATAATTCATATTGATACAATACAAAAGAATATACCATAACACATATTAATTAGGAAGAGTTAAGATAAGAAAGTGAGATGATTATATTATTTATATTACCCTAAGACAAAATTAATGATAAAAAAGGGAATTAATTCCAAATGATTATGTGCTTAATATTTTATTTTTTATTTTCTTTTTTTGATGCATCTATTTATTTAATTATATATCACCAAATATTTCAGTCATGATTTTGTTCTAACAGGTTCAACCTTAATTGTGGATTTGTTTATCTATTTATTTTATTTTATTCTTATAATTATAATCTAGATATTTATTAATTTCTTTATAAAAGTATATATTCAAATTTTAATTTATAATCATATTTTTGTAAAATGAAATTGTACTTTTTCTTTATGGTCTGGGAATCCGCTGATCTTCAAGTAAACTCGGAGTAAATCCCGAACAAAATTGTATTTTTAATGTATAGTATATGGTTAAAAAATGTTCAAATATAGTTATATTAGATGTTTGAATCATATTTTGAATTTGACGGGGTTTATTCTGTACTACATAATGTAACAACACATCGACAAATAATAATAATAAAAAAGCATACGATATAATAATAGATAATATATAATTTATGTTAATGTAATATGAATATAATACATAACAATTATCCACACAAACACTATAATTGATCTCATCATTAAATATATTAATATAACACATTTTATGAATATGAACGGCAATACATAATTTCAATTAACACAATATCTCATGGAAAAATACAATTCATCTTGCAAGAATATGCGTAACAATAACAAATAGTATGCACTAGTAAAATATGAAAGGAGACACAATAATTTTTAATGTAAAAATTCTTTTAAGACAAAAAAAAAAAGATAAAAAAAAAAACATAGATCATTCATGCTAAGAAGAAAATTCACTATAATTATCATTTAATAATTGATATAAAGTGCTCCAATTATCAATAAATCAACCAACCAACGAATACTACAAACTTTAACAAGAATCAAGATTAAAAAAATAAAAATCAACCCTCCAAAATTCTTCCACGTCCGTAATTTTTTGGTCGAGCTATAAAGGTCAGTTCAAAAATCACTGTTGTATTGGAAGAAGAACGACTCACAAACACTCCCTGAAAAATATTAGATGCATCTAGTGCTTAACAAAATGGGAATCACTATTTTTTTAAGGTTGTTCGGTCTTAAATGGAAATATTTGTTTTTTTTTCTTTTTTTTTTTTTCTTGTGAATAATTTTTGTTTGATATTTCTTCAATTGTGATAACCCTAAATCTAATATTGATTTAATTGAGATTTTTTTTTAAGTTTGACTTTATTCTCCACATAGAAAAAAAGTTTAACCTAATATTTCTCTCATATAGTAACTATTGTATAGTGTCCATCGTCAAACTAATAATCTAACAACAAATATCAAACTTTTTCATTGACAAAGCTTTTGTTATCATATCAACATCGTTGTCATCTATATAAAAATTTTACATTTGCATTAGCTTAGCATTCAAAACATCACGTATCCAATGATATCTCACATTAAAGAGAATAAAATTTAGATTTCTTACCAAGATAAATGATGATTTGAATATTGCAAAATATCGCATACTTGTCATAAACAAAACAAAGTTACTTTAAAATTTATTTACTCAAAGCAATTCATTGATTGCTTCTATGATGATATAATAAATTTTGCAGTCGTAGATAATTGAACACACTTGTACAATTTAGATTATCAAATTACAATTCTTCATTCAAATTTAATTAAGTGCCTTTAAATAGACTTTTTAGAATAAATATCTCTAGGCATATATGAGCCTACACAATTCTACAATTTAAATTATCAAATTACAATTCTCTGTTCAAATTTAATTAAGTACCTTTAATAGACTTTTTAGATTCAATATTTTAGACATAAATGAACCTACACACTTCTACAATTTAGATTATCAAGCTACAATTTTTCTGCAAATTTAATTATGTGTATTTAAATAGATTTTTTAGATTCAACATCTCTATACATTTGACTACCCAATAAGAGTAGATTATGCTTTCCAAAAACAAAGTTACAAGCCTCCAATACAAATACTTGATTTTTTTTTACAAAATTCTAATATTTTCTTTTTGAATTGGATAAAAATTTATTTACAATCCAAATTACATGTGATAAATTAGATTGTGTACACATTATTTCATATATTGAACTTCTAATGTGACACATAAGAAATCTGCATCATATCGGACCTCTCAACTTCATTTAAAATACTATGTTCAAGGTGAATACATACAATCTTAAAATTTTTCATTCAGAATCTTTGCACCAGGTTTTTAATGGAGTGTCTTGCGATAATCAAATTAACTTTTTCATTATATCGCGTATAATTTGGATATTAAACATTTGTTTTGCATTGCCCAAGTCTTTAATCACAAATGTCTCATCCAACTATTTTAATGTTATTAATATTCTTCCCAAACAATAAGGATATCATCAATATATAATAATAGAATAATATCATTAAAAAAAAACTTATGCACAAAGATACAATTACCGTATAAACTCTTTTTCAACTTACACAGATGGTCTTTCTTACTCTTAATGTAAAATTTATCAGGTTATTTATATAGATCTTTTTCTTTAAATTACCGTGAAGAAAATTAGTTTTTCTGTCTATCCGTTCAACTTCCAGATCAAGTATAGTAGCAAGACACAATAAAATTCTAATTGATGACATTTTAATAATTTGTGAGAAAATTTCATTGAAGTCAACCCACTTCATTTGGTTGTATCTTTTACTAACAATTTAACTTTATATTTTGAAAATAAAAAATTACTTTCAAATCCTATAAATTCATCTATTTTTTTTTTAAGATTTTTTTACCCTTTTGGTAGCTTCACTAAATTAAAAATATGATTATCATGTAAATACTTTATTTCATCATCAATTGCATCCAATCACTTTTGTTTTTATTCACTTTCTATGGCCTTTGGATAACTCTCACGTGTGAATAAGGTGTTTTCTATTTTAGAACTACAAAGTAAGCGCAATTTAAAATGTTTGTAACATTGAGAAAGACATCACCCTAAAATTAATAGATGTAAAAACATGAAAAAACGACGTTTAGGTGACTTACAATAGATGCTTGTGCTATGTATGCACTCTTTTAGTTTGTTGGATGTGTGAAAACATAAATATTCACATACATGGCTATGCATTTTGAATTTAAGAATTTAGAGTTCTTGTCAAATCGAATAATTTTTATATGACTATTGACATTATTTTGGACATATAGGATAAATATTTCAATTATTTGATGAACATGTTTTTTGTTGGGCAAAAAATAAGTTCATATAAATTTAGAAAAATAATCAACAATAGTAAAAAAATGGTGAAAAACAATTAGTGTAGGAGTTTGACAAGGATATGTATTTATATAAATAAACTCAAAAATAAAAATAATACAAGATTCACTTTTGAATGAGTGTTTGGATTGTTTGGTCTTGTGGCAAGTGCCACATAATTTGATATCAAAAAATTTAATTTATCTTCTAAAGTGTCAAAGAGCTCAATCATTAATAACAATAAAGAGAAAGATATCAAGAAAGAATATAAATATTTTGAATGTATTATCAAATAGTCAAAGTAATCTTAGATATCGTATAATGTACAAGACATATATTTTTTTTGTAAAGATAAGAATGCACTTAGACAATTGTAGAAGTCATGGTGATGGTTTCTTTATACTCAACTATTAAATAAGAGTTATCACGCAGATATATTTTAATTTTGTGTTTAGATGTTTCAAGGTGGTGAACATTAAGGGTGGTTGGGTAGTTCGGGTTTGAGTCAATCCAATTGGGTTCAAATTAATCAGGTCGGTGTTTTTTCTACAAAAAATGTGAAAAATACTGACCTCATTGGCATCTGGATCACATTTAAAAACCAAAAAAAAAAACAAAAAACAAAACATATTTTATCAAATCTGACTCGATTTGATTGAGTTCGATCGGGTTAATCACGACTGTATTTTTCATCATACTGTTAAACTCGGCCGTATTCAAATCCAATCGTATGTCATGTTAGTCTTCGTTATGTATACGTCAATATTTTTCGTTAGTTTTTTAAACTGTGGGACCAAAATTGATTATAATTCAATTATACTAATTTTGATTTTTCCGTATAGAAATACAATTATTATTTTTTTTAAAAAAATACTATATATAATATAAAATTTATTGTCATTAAAATATCAAAATAGTTATAATATATATTAAATATAGATTCATGGCCAACACAAAACCCATGATTTAATCCCTAAAATTGGGAAAGTCTCCCGACAACCATATATATTTATATAGATGAAATATATTCGCGTAATATTCATAGATTTCATAATCATATTAATTAATAATTAGACGTGGAAACCTACCTAGCTATAGATTAATTGAGTTACAAATTGCAATTAATTTTCTGCCATAGGTCCACCAAAGTTGCGAATAAATGCAATTTACTACACTATGCAAACCCTAATATATCGGATAAACTTAATTTTTTGAATATTTAATACTAGTTAACGTCTATTTATTTGAATAAAATATGCTTTTTAAATAAAACTAAATATATGATCAGACATGTGGAGAAAGTATATCTTACAGTATTATTTTATCAATTTTTTAAAAATAAGTTAAATAAATAAACCCTAAAAATTAGTGATGGAAGGGTACACATAATTAAGGGAGAAAAAGGTGAGGAGAGAGAGAATCTTGACATTGTTTCTATCTCACCTTTTCATTTCTTTATTCATTTTCTTTAAAAGAAAATTTAACGTCTTTTTACAAAGGAAGCTAAGGATATCTATGACAGCTGGAATATATATATATATAATTTGAATTTTGCATATCAAAGATAGTGAAATTTGGGGACTGTTTTCGTGATTTTTTAATATGTCCTTAAAATAATTAATGTTGGATGCAATAATTTAAGTGAAAAATAATATCAAACGTAACATATCTGAAGAAAATTTGTTAATTTAAAAGTCAACAAAGTACAATAAAGTATGCAAGTAGATAAACATTTGGATGTTTTATTACATCAAAGTCAACTCGGGAGCTTGAACCAATAATTTTATGGTCATGAATTCAATCCATATCATCAGGTCATTTTTAGGGGACAATTGTATTGTTGATTGACTTGGATAAAATATAAATAAATAAAACATATAAATAAATAATTTTGTATCCGAGTCCCACCTTCCTCCTTTGTTATTTTAAAATTTAAAATAAAAACCCCACTTCAATTGAACATTTAAATATGGAATGATGAATAACAGTCAACACGACGTGGTGTAAATCTACAAAGAAAAAAAATATGATAAATCCTCTTTAACAAATAAATTGAATTGCATTAAAAAAATATGTAAGGATATTCAATATCAAATCCATATACTTTTTGGATAATAACACTATGTTTGCTTTCAAAAAATAAAAAACACTATTTTCATTATGTTAAAGTATGAAAATTATGTCACAAATATAAAAAATAGTATTTTGTGTTGAATCGATAGCTTTTTGTAAGTGAATAAAATATATATTATATTAGTATATTGTATTAATATATCTATATGATATATTTTTTGATAATATTTATGGGGAAGCATACAATTAAAAATAGAAAGTGAACAAACCAAAAATCAACACCGTCGGCTCTTTAACACAACATATACCGTGTTAAATTAGAATAAGTATTTTTGTCGTCTTTGACTATTGATAGTGTTGATATTAACTATTATAAATTATATTGTCTTTGATTATAGTATGTTTAAATTAATTATATATTATGTTGAATAAAGCACAGATTGTGTTCTTAATTTGTGTTATATTTGTATTATTTTAACATAAAACAAATAATACAAGTTATGATCAAATACAAAATAATTTATAATTAATTTCAGCAAAAACTATAGGAAAAAATAACATGATTATGTGATTTGATTTAACATATGTTATTTATATTTATTTTTATTTTTTTGTCACATGTTGTCATTATTAAGCTGAATTTTTTTTTTTTTTTTTTTCTCAATTAGCACAATCACCGCAGGAAAAAAAACAATAAAGATAAAAAAAAAAAAATACACCCTATATAATTAATTAATAAACGAATTCTTTATAAAATGAATTTTGTCGGCAGCATGCATGCATGACACATCATTGTTATACCAAAAAAAAGCTACATTGAATATAGTTATATACTCCATTATTTTATTTTTAGTTTTTATAAAAATAAAATAATTATTTTGTGTAACATTTAATAAACATAATATAAAAATAAAAATATAGGAGTATATAATTAAGAAACGTTTTATTTATTTATTTATTATGAAGGGATTAGTTTAGTGGTTGGGATCGATCATATCGTTCACGTGACAAATAGAATGAAATGATGTAACACTTGCACCTTTATCCTTTCAACTTATTATGATTGTTACACGGCTGGAATCCTGGCCTCAATTACAAATACTGATCTAATCTGTAAATATTATTTATTTCATTTTTACTATTTCTGCATAACTTTTTCTTCCTTGTATTGTATCTCAGAGCTCTGTTGAAATTGCTGCTGCAATGTATGTATAAATAAAGATCGATCCATTGTTCTATTACAAACTTCACACCCGGCTGTAGCTGTAAATAAAATTACATTCATTGTATTGTGTGGGGGTACTGAAGGAGGATAGACAGACAGCCCGGCTGGCTATTCGAGACCGACCACTTATTTATCCGTGAACAATAATTCACAGATTGACGGAGGGACAGGCAAGGGGTGTTAGTGTTTATGGCTGTCTACCAACACTAGTTCAATGTGCGCCCCCCCGTGTATTTTGTAGTTCCAAAACCATGTTCCGCAGTCCATTAATTCGTCGTCTATAGGTGTCAACTCCATATCTAAACCTGGGGTGCAAATGTAGAATAAGAATATGTAACATTAAAAAGGATGCATAACACCAAGGCTAAATTGTGTGAACAAGTAAAGCAAAGATAAAATAATGAGATGAACAAGTATGCAAAAATGGTGAGGTAATGAGGCAATTGATTGTAACCTGAAATTCCTGGTGTAATACGCAATCTGTGACCATCTGGGACTTCAAAAACTTGATCTCCCTGCATAACAAAAGGCAAGAATGCATATTACGGAACTTCTTCTGGGACTCAAAGGACAGTAATCATCAAGAGTCTACGACACCGTGAGAAAGACAGCAGAAATAACAAATGGAAATTGTTTAACGATCCTAAGAGAATTGTATTTCTCATCTTTCCAAGGTAATAATCATAGGTTAGCTAGCAGTCTGGTGGCCATTAAACACACTTTTCATAATTGCCAAATTTTATAATTCATGTAAATTGCAACAGCCTCACTGTTTTCCTTCTCCACCAGTCAAATGTTAAAATATGTTATTTAGATTTGATCTATTTCCAACAACAATAAACTTCTACTTGTTAAAATGCGTAAGGATATGATTGCAGCATTGGATCAACCGATTTACCTGTATCACCACATCTGTTGCTTCAAATTCAGCATTACCATGCAGTATCACCTTTACGGCCTCTAACCGCTTGACATTATGCTGCCAATACCGGTTATCTCCTGACTTCCAATCTATTCCATTATTCAGCACCTTAACATTCTCTAGTTTGCACCTTGCACACCTATATATATAATTGAAATTTGTTAAGAGTACATGATTCGTGTAAATTAATCCTCAGCGATGAAAATTACGTCACAATACCTCCTTCCATATTGAAGTATAGATTCACCAATTGCAATAGTTTCAGTTGATCCCACAGCATTTTCAGCCAAAACGTTCAAACTTCCATCAAGCTGCAATATCTAGCATTGATCAGTAAAAAATACGTGAAAGAAACCGTGCTTTATACTCTACAAGCACATTACCTGAACATTTCTCCAAAGAAACTCAGCAACTTCAATCTGCAACTCAGAACCCTTGGCAATGGAGCCACCTAGAAACTAACAGAAAGATGGAAAGTCTTAGACAATACAAGGGGAGGGCATGTATGCATATCAAGGACAAAATCAAGAGCAAAATCTAGTTGGTTCAGTACCCAATACATAGGGGCTACTCCTAAGTCATGGCTTCCCTTAAATGGTTAATGATTCTAAAGTGGTTAAGCTTAATGTTACCTTTTGTCTGGTGACTTCCCAAATAGGGCCAAGAGCAGGATGAAGGAGGATGAGATATGGAGGTCCAGAATTAACATACTCTTCATTGGCTTCCACCTGCAAAGACCAATTAATATACTAAAGAATTAGAAGAAAAAATTCCCCCGTGCCAACAATTCTTAATAATAGAGAATTGAATATAATTAAGACAAACACAAAAAGGATATCTCAAATCTACCTTTGGCATTGTTATTCCACAATGAGACAAAAGATCGTAAGCATTACGTGTGATGTCCAACAAAGAACCATCTGGAGTCTGCAAGAAAAACATAATATAAAGATTTGGACTATGTTGTCACAAATCATTGTGTAGTTATATTGCCAAGAGAAATGCATATTGCATGCATTGTCAGTGCAATGAATTTTTTTATCTTTATGCATAAAAAGAAGAAAATGCCAGACATGCACTTTTCTCTCCTAGATGTTAACAAGTATTAACACAACTATGCAAGATCAGGATTGTCATAAAAAGGAAAGTTGAAATCATGTCTCTTTACACGCACCCACACATATAAAGCAAGAATAAAATCATTTGCACTTTACAACCTGTTGCAGCAACTTATCACCATGTTTCCTTCTCTTCTTAGCGGAAGAAGTAACCTTTTTTCTTTCATTATAAACAATAAAGGTGTCAATCTCATCTGCAAATATTGTTATGGAATAATCTCAATGTTAAGAGTAATGTTCCAACAAGAAACTCGGATGCATTTACAAAGCACAGGGAATATTTTCAAACCTTTTACACTTTTATAACATCGAGAAGAATATGTGTTTCCAAAATTATCTGCAATGTTTTGCATGGTACATTCCAAGCGACCTCCAGATACACTGTCGCAAAGAAATAAAACAGAAATCAAGAAGAAATTGGATAACAATGACAGAACTTCCACAGTAAATGCAAAATCATTGTAAACACATGATATAAGTAGTTACTAGCTTAACTGCTTAAAAAGTACTGAATAATCTAGAATTCAGCCATTTATCATTTCACATAATTATCTTACACAAAAGTAAAATTATAAATCAACAAATAGGTAACACCCAATTTTACATAATTTCACATAATAAATGTAAAGATTGCCGACAAGCCTTCAACAAATTTAACAGCATCTTCTCACTTTGAGACCCAAATTTAAGAGTGAAGTGGCCAAGTCCCAATATTCAGACTGGCTTAAACTGACATAAAGTGATACATTCTTCTTTAGTTTATTAACATTTCCAGATAAATATCTCTCTAGTTTTTGTACCAAAATCACACTGAAAATAATAGAGCGTTTGAGTATTGCCTACAGAACTTGCAACACAACAATATACACAGATTATCAATTCAAATGTTAAAGTATATTAAGCATAAGTCCATCATTTCCCCAATCTACTTCATTTGGTAATAGTTTCAACTTCCCATGTTTCCACTAATAATTTCCATAGTTAAGAGGTTACGTAACTAAACTCATAAATACAGAAATTAAACCAAACGGTTGTATAATATATAAGCATGAGTTCATCATAATGTTTCCAGAGATTCATAAAAGCCATTCAATGCTTCATTAATATGGAATGCAATTGCAACTAATTAAAATGCAGCAAACTCTAATTTAGAATGGCCACTGTACGTCATCATCTCATACCAGTGCTTCATTCCAAATTGATCAACATATGAGATAGCCTTTTTCACATTAAGCACCATCCCTGGTAAACTGTTCTCATTTTCACTAGATCCAACAAGCTCTGCAGAAGGCAAATCCACGTAAAGGATATTCGTATTTGCTGGAAACTCTTCCTGCGGACTTAAAGAAGCAAAAAATTGTAAGTTAGAATGGCATAGCCATATCATGATTAATTGATCAGAAATTCACTTAGTTTCTTACAGCAGGATGTGTGAGATTTAGACATGCCACAGAGAATTTCTAAGAAACAAAATGATAGAAAAGGAGCTGACAAACAGAATTGCAAGGACTTTATATATATATATATATATTTCTTCATGGGAAGAAGGGTTAAGCAATGAATACAATTCACTAACTAGACTATAGGTGTAAATTAGACCCACCTAACACAATACATTACAGGATACAGTACAGTACAGACATGCCACAGAGAATTTCTAAGAAACAAAATGATAGAAAAGGAGCTGACAAACAGAATTGCAAGGACTTTATATATATATATATATTTCTTCATGGGAAGAAGGGTTAAGCAATGAATACAATTCACTAACTAGACTATAGGTGTAAATTAGACCCACCTAACACAATACATTACAGGATACAGTACAGACTGATGGATGAGTAAAGGACTGGTCATATCATGGCAAGATAGCACACAGATATGTAGTAACAACCTCACTTTTTGATTCTGAATGGCTTCTTATTTGTACTGATAAATTCACACCCAATTAAATATTTCACATGCCATAGCAACTATAACACTGACAATGCAGTTGATGAAAAAAAAAACACTATCAAGAAGATATTAACCAAACAATCACTAAATTACCATAGCAAAAATTTCATATTCTAGTGAAAGTGATATGTCTTAGGAGCTAACTCTAGATGCAAATTTTCAGTGAGAATAAAAAGTTAAAATATGTAAATGTAGGGTTTTATTCCTTTTGCAACTTTTTCCTGTTTCTTTATTATGCAATCCCTGTGCACTCCAAGAAAAACATAATATTTCCTCCCACAAACATCACATCAAATTACTGTGCAAATACAAAACAGAAACAGAAGGAGGCCAACAACCAGGATTCAATGTAGGCAGAAAAGAGAATAACACAATCATAGAAAATGTAAACGGGAAAAAAAAGTACCTGTTGGAAGATGAGGGCACAACACTAATTCCAAACTTTTCAAACTCAGTATATTCAATGCAAGACAAACCATATGTCCATTTTCCATCTAATGTCATCTTCTCGAGTAGAACATTGATGCCTTCTGTCGCACCAGAATTGCGTTTACATGATGCGAATCCTAATTTCTGAAAAGACAACAAACAGAAGACTTGTAATATTGGTTAACAAACCCCAACTTCTGGCCACAACATTTATGCGTCTCTATATAGACATGTTACATCACTAACAAGTTCCTTGGAACTCAGGGACTAGCACAACCATAGAAAAACACCAGTCAACTAATAATGGAAGACTATAATATTCATATCGTAAGAAAAACACAAAAGAGTAAGGTGTATCAAACAAAAAATAAATATATGTTAAACCAAATCATCAGCATTTTAATTAACGCTAGTTGCTTCTGTCTAAAACATGAAAGGAAATCCATAAGATGGTTAGCTGGAGAGAGATGAATGGTAAACTACTGCATAATTTCAGTTGAATTCTGGATAATTATTTTCAAGTACTGGTAATGGTTCAAAAAATTTCAGATAACTTCTCCAGAGAAGTCCATATGTCCAGAAATTTAATTACATCGAGCACCATCATGATTTATAGAGATGTATATATTCACTGTACGAATCAATGATAGTGAGAAATAAGTTTCTTGCCTTTCCATCATGTAAACCAATTCCAGCCAATGACAGTAAAGTCAAATCTGTGGCAGCTACAACATTACTGCAAAGTTGCGGTGTTAGTATATTCCTTTGTTTCGATAGTTACAAGCAAAAACTTGTAAGAATAAAGCTAACCTGATTTGTCTAACAGTTGCTCCTTTTCTTGCATGACGCCGAAACCATTTAAAAACACCTTTATCATGGGCCAATTTCCATATTACACCATGACCTCCAGGCTTACAAACAGGTTCAAATGGCCTTGCTACAATCCACTGACCATTTTCTGCAGTAACAGCTGGAACAAGAGGCTAGCAATTGACAAATAAGTATGAAATACTGTATACTGTAAACTGTCTAAAAAAAAAAAATGGCTATTGGTAAAGAATTAATGCTAGAAACATGCTAGCACTAAATTAACACCTGTTCAAAAAGATAAAAGTTTGATTCTCCTCTTCCAAACCATCCAAGCCTTTTGCAGAGAGATGTAATATGCAAATGGTTGTTTTTTGCTGAGCTTGTCATTATTGCAACAGGAGTGATGCATTGCTTCCCATACAGCTTGAAGTACAAGAACTCCCTAGCCTTTGCAATGTATGAAACTACCACCATTTAGATCATAAATATATTTAATCCCTTGTGTTTTAAGGATTTTTTTCAATTACCATAAATAGGTATTAATGTGATGATTTAAATGTAAAATTGATTTTTGATATAATATAAAAATAAAAATTAAGTATTCGATTTGATGTTTTTTACAGACAAAATTTTGATGAATAGTAAAAGTTTTAAAGAATCCTCCAACCAAACACAGCCCAAATGTACTTAGTTTGATACAGAAAGATTACATACCTGAAGATCCCTTATGAGACATTCCAACAAGGTTCGTCCACAGTACGGAAGCATTGCAGCAGGAAGGCATTCACCTGTTTCTGGGTCAACAAGGCCAAGCCTGTCTGCTGACCCTCCTAGAGGATAAATTTCTCCCAAGTTAGGCAAACCCTGAAAATTGGTTAATCTTTGTAATATCAAATACAAATCCAAACGTACGAAAATAGGAAGGAACATAGTCTCACACTGACCTCAATCCCCCAAAGAGCCGCTTGATGTGCATATTCAGTGTCTTTAGAAAGGTCAAGAACAGAGGGAGGATGAATTTCAACAAACTTGCTTTTTAATAGCCTATTTGTTTGCGAGGACCAATTAATGTTCTGCCCCTCTTGATTTGATTGTGCAATCAGCTCTAATACCATCATCTGATATCTGCAATGGAAACATGGTTAATTTGCTTATCTTAGAAAATTATTTCATATGAGATAAAATTACTGCACCAACTAAAGGTTCAGCATTACAGTTACAATTTGGCATCCTTCAGTCTACAAGAATCCACTTGTGCAAAATTCTCCTTTGCGATAGAGCTTGAGCATCATTAAAATGCAATGGTCATGTGAGGAATAATGCTGAATTTAAAGAAGAAAATAAAACCATCTGCAATGTTTGGTTTTGCATTGCTAATTCTACAACCAAGTACTTCCTCTAACAGAATGCTGAAGCTGAACTGCAGAGAAAGTTCCAAGAACCAATTGTAGCTCGTAAACATTGACGGTGTATTCAACTATCCATGTTTAAGAAACCCCAAGGCAAAGAGTTGTAAAGGGACAACAAAAGTGCACGCCTATAAATGTTATAGATTCATCTAATCAAATGATGTTTAAAACCTGAGTTAAGTGAGTAAGTGCGAGAAGCTGATATTTCCATGCAAAATTTGACTGCATCATGATTACTCATAACATCCTTAAGTAGTGTATAATTCTATAGTTCAATGCACAGATACAACTGCATAGAGCTAATATATTTAATTATCCATCTCTACACACCGGACAGAAGTAATTATCATATAATTTGGCTAATCAAAAGGGTTCCCATAGAGTAAATGGTTACGATCCATGAAAGTAAATATGCAATTAGGTTACATCACACGATGCAAAGTTTGCTTTTGAAGTACAAGAACACAAATAACCTTGACTTCTCAAGAACCGAAATCATCTTCGCGGCGAGAACACAGCATCAATTGTATCAAAGTTATTCTAATTTACCATAACTATAATCTTTTTTAATAGTATACGTTCCCGAAAGCTAGGACCAAAAGCATTTAATAGACAAGCAGTTCTTGAAAAATCAGCATTCACTCCAAACCAAATAAATAGGGACATCGTTGAATAGCAATGTAGCAGAACCACGTTCAATAACACTAACCCGATGATTCCGCCAATGCAATCATAGAATCGCTCAACCTCTCCAAGCATCTTCGCTAGCGACCTCAATGCATCTCTGTCTCTGTCCTTCAAGCCCTGACTAGTACTACTTTCGCCATTTTCAATCATCTCCGCCAACGCATAAAATGCAGCTCGAATGGAACTCCTCCCGAGTTCAGAATCTCCATTCTCCAATTCTTCCCCAAATTCACCCAACACATGAGCTTGACCCGCCGCCACCACGCATTTCAGCAAATACATATCGTGATCGCTCAAACCCACCCCTACAAAATCATTCCCCCGGGACTTGAAAAACGACTTAACCCTAAAATCCGAGTCCACCGCCCTCAACTTCTCCGCCAACGTGCCGCAACCAGCTAGGGTTTCCTTAAGCCCTCTAAGCCTCGCGATTTCTTTCTCAAAATCAAAATCCGGCGGAGGAGCCGCGTATTCCACCAGCGCGGTGGAAACGCGCGTTACACGAGACCATAAATTCCGCGACTGCGAAAACAAATGCAGCTGCAACGGCGACGAAAACACCGAAGAAGATGAAGAAGACAAAGATTTCAAATAATTAAACTGGTGGGACGAATTCCTAAACAACATGAGCGATGGAACCGGCTTCGAATTCCCAGACACAGCCGCCATATTCTGATGCAAAACCGGCCAACCAACGCTCCCCGCCATCGCCGAGTCGGAAGTGACCCTGCAGCACGGAGCCTGCATCCCCGCTTTCGTAGCTGCAGAAAGAAACTACCGACCGAATATGCAGGAAGCATATACTCTACTATACTGGACTTTAGGGGAACAGCGCATTTTAAACTACAGTGCTTCCGGTACAGTACCATACATGACTTGTACGTTCCGGACATCTCGGGGTAATTCGCTCCACCAGCCGTCCGAGAGTACAACACCAGCGAAGCAGGAATTGCAAGAACTGTAAAGAACGTACTGGCGACGATTAACGGTCGAATCATAAAGATAGTCTCGAAACCTCATCTCTTACGCTAGATTTTGATTGGTCAATTGTATTTTCTTTATTTCGGCGTTGTGGTATTCTCCGAACTGGCCGCGCCGGTCCGGTCTGGGCCGGCCCGGTCCACTTCCTTCGTTGACTTAGTAAATCGCGTTTATTACATACATACATACATACATACATATGACCGACCAACACAAATCTTGCCCTTCACTAAAAATAAAAAATAAAAAATAAAAAATAGATTAATGTTAGTATAGAAGTAATCGAGATGATATAGTTAAGATACACAAAATTAAGCACTAGTATAAGAATATGTGTGTAATTAATTAATAATGAATCAGTGGAGTTATAACTAATGGGGTGGTCGCCAAAAGCCTTTCTTCCCAACAAGAAATTGATTTTGGTGAATGTTGGTAGACCAGTGAAGAGATTCCAAGATAGAATTGAGCTTGGTTAGAAGTTCCATGTTGTCCTGAACCACCAGATACCCTTCCGGTCTCAACACACGGTCGATCTCCACCGCCACGTCCACTGCGTCGCATCTGATGATCAACGTAAAACCAACCAGTTCAGTGACAAGCAGTAAACTTTCAGCTGATTGAGTGAGTTCAACGATGATTTACTCGATTGGAACCCTATATATATATATATATATGTTACATTTCAGATGGGTAAGATGATCATTTATTTTCAGCACAACAAAAAAAAAAAGATTCGCCACCTACAAATATCTACCTTTTAGTCAAGTTTTCGAAGAGAAAGCTTGCGTGAAGAAGGTCGTACGTCCGAGGGTACGTGTTGAAAGATTCGCACCAATCATGGTAGATTCCAATTAGCCCTCGGTCGTAAATAATTGGCAAAGTATCGGGTTCGTGGATAGGGATGACATTCATCACCCACACTATCATTTTCATTTTCACTTTCACGAGTGCGGCTGCAAATCTAGACTCCAATGCTTACGTTGTCAATAAGACTATTTTCAACATCAATCAAATAAGCATACTATGTGTCAAAATTTATAGATAAAAACAAACTTACCCTCCATAGCCAGCGTTCATGTCCATGACATTCCTTAACCTTGTCCAATTAAGACCGAGTGCTCCAAGGTACACTTCCGAGACGAGTGCAAACCAATGTCGACTATCTTGTTTGAATGTTTCTTCACTATCCGGCTCATTAGGGAAATGCATAGGCTTATCGGTTAGTCGCTTTGGCCAGACTGACACTCGTTGGCTCGAATCATCTTCAAATGGCACAATGCAATTGTCGAGAGGAGCGTACCTATTTATAAAGGAGAAGTACAAATAGTTAGGACAAGAACAATTACATCGATAGTGAAAAACAAGACAATACCATGAAGTGTTGAGTTTACTACGACGATTGCAAATAGTAGGTTTGTTCACATTTCGATCCTTGTAGCAAGAAGACGAGTTGGGCTTTTGGTATATGGCGAGGCCAATGTGGGACAATGGAAAGTAAGTTTTTGCCACGGTTGTCCAACAAAGTGATTGCGTTAGATCTACCATAGCTGCACAATGTCAAAAATATAAATTAAACACTATACATGATTTTGAGAAGCCGCAGTCAATACTATTTAAGCAATGAGGAGATATTTGTAGCTAACATTGCCAAGTATTGACATGTCTTTCATCCTTTTGGTACACTGGTGTGGCCGACCATATAAAGTATCCTCCGGGCCGAAGAAGTCTATTCAGTTCTAGCAAAGGCTTTCCACCTGTAGTTTTCGTGTTTTTTTTTTCAGTCGAATGAAATTTAATGAAAAATTATATGCACGGTTGTAGATCTTGTACTGATCCGGCCAAATCAATATAGTATTGATTTGACCAAATCAGTATATGCTACAGAGGTGACTAGCATGCATATAATGGCGTTATAAGATAGCATATGCTAAATTATAATATAATATATATTGTATTATAAATATGATGAAATATATATATAATATACGATGATCACCCAATATCATGGTGTTAACTTGACCGGATCAGCAGCTGATTCATACCTATATACACATATGTAACATGATTTAAGTAAATTGTACCATCGGCATCCCAATGAACGCGGCACCTTGCGCAGTGAATCAAGTCAAAAGAATTGTCCGGGAACGGAAGCCTTTGGGTACCGATGACGGCAAGTATTGCGGGAATCCCACGCTCAAGGGCGAATTGGATTTGAGCTTCGTGTTCGTCCTTTGGAGCCATGGACATCGTGATGACATTCTCATCGAGCAATTCACCGCCAAAGCTAGCAACACCACAACCAACATCTAGAACCACCCGGATCCTCTTACCCCATTCGATCCGAGGTAATGTCTAGAATGACAAGACATGGAAAGATCGATGATTATTTGGTGGTCTAGAAAAAACACAAAAATGAAGAAGGTGAAATCACGAACAAATAGTTAATTTGTTTTACTATCCTAAATCTAATTACCTTCTCGATGGATTCAATGTAATGCTTGACTCCATCGCGAAACTGCGTGCCGCCCCCGGGAAAGTAAAAGTATTCGCCTCTTCTTGCAACCCAACGTTGGTCCTTCTTGTATTCGATGAGCTTAGGATGAGGAACATTGTTGTACCATATCTTAACAAACAAAAAGAAATAGAGAAACACTAAATCAAACAACATATGTAATAATGATCATAGGCAAAAACATGTTTAAGACAAGACAATCAATCCTAGAGGCAAGTAAGAATCAACATTAAACTCGTGAACATAAAGCTTACCACCAAAGAACGAAGGATCTCACCATGTCCTTGCTCTGCGGCCACGTCACCGGAATTTTGTAGCCGTTGGGCAGCGGAACGAGGCAACGGAGGCTCGGCAGGGGGCAATGCCGTTCCCGGTGCTCCATGCGCTTTCGGGACTTCAATCTTTTTATGGCTGACCAATTATCAAGGCAGGGGATGTAGTCCACCGCCACCGGGCCTGTGCACAGCTTCCATTTCACATCCGCCGCCGTCTGATTGGCGGTCGGATTGCTGCTTGTGTTGGCGATTGCAGAGTTATTATTGGCGTGGATTGATGTGTTGGAAAGTAGTGATGGAATTTGTGATTCGTTAGCGCGGAGGTCGTCGGAGACGGCGGTGTTTATCGGCGGAATTGCGGAAGGGGAAGGGGAGTGGGTGCTGGTTTCGGTGGAGGCGTTGGCGGAAGGCACGGCGGCGATGCTTTGATCGGAAATGTGGGATTGGTGGTGATCGGCGGCGCGGGGGAGATTGGCGGCGATCGGAAAAGGAATTGGGGAATCGGAGACGAGGAGGAATGCGAGGAGGAGGAAGAGGAGAAGGAAAGAGGCCAAGAGGAGGGGGATTTTCTGATGGTTTGGGAGCATCATCGGCGGCGGCGGCGGCGGTGATCCAACGGTGGTGGTTGTGGGATGAATTGGGCGTGTACGTACTTGACCTTTGCCTAAAAAATAACGCAAAATGATAATAGAAAGAAAATTGAGAACCGGTTTTATGGAAGAACTGCAAAACAATCGTTCTATCTTTTAGTTTGTTTATTTGTTTTATTTAATTTAAGATCTTATAATATTTATTTTTTTTAAAAAAAAATAGTGAACTATCTCATGATTATTATTGTATTCGTTCAACTTAAAATGTCTATAAAAATAATTATTATATAATAAAAATAATTAAATATTTAATTAAAATTAATAAAATTATAAATTATAAAATATAAAATTAAAATATATAATCATATTTAATAATTAATAATAAATGATATAAAACTAACAAAAATAAAAATAAAAAATAAACATAAAAAAAATATTTTATTTTCAAGAAACATAAATATGAAGTAATCAAATTCAAAATTAAATTTACTTGAGAGAATAAAAAGATTAAAATGTTTATTTAGTAGTTATTTAAAATTAATTTAAAATATTTGTTTAAATAATATTTTAAACGATATTTTGTATTTTAAATTTAAAGTATTTTATATTACAAAAAATACAATGATATTATTATTAACGAATATTAAATAATAATAGTAATTAACGATGTATGCATATATAAATATTTATATATTTATCCAAATAATCAAAATTATCCAAACCCTCCATTTAATGTCTTATTTTGTTTTATTAGAGGAGAAACTGAGCAAATAAAGTAAAAAATCTACTCTTAAATTATAAAGAAAACAAAATAAAGAATAAAAACAGGGAAGGTTCAAAACCTCTTTGCAGGCATGGTGGAGCTGTTGTTGTAGGTACTGGTTTGGCTTCTCGATCAGGTTGAAAATCAGTTCGGTGCTTTGATCAGCCGCGTGGTAACCAGGAAACAGGCAGCCTTATTGGGGTGTTCTGATGTTATGTGAAGCTTTCCTCACTCCGATATATGCGGTGATTTATTTTCTTCTTATCCGTACTGAGATCTGATTATTGAGTCTCGTTCTGCTGTTCTATTCGAATTTCTGTGCCATTTTTGTATGGTATGTGCAGTGTCGGTTGAAGTTCGGTGGAAATGGAATTTAAGGTGCAATTGACTTGATTAAGTGTGCGAATTTGGGTGTAATCCTTAAGAAGGTGAGGATGGAGGGGAAACATCTCGGTAGACATAGCGTCTGCGAACTATTTGGGTTTAAGAAACCATGGGAACAAGAGTTAGAATTCCAGCTAGGGGTTTAAGATTAAATTTGTATTTGTATAATCATGGTCAGTTTGATTGCTCAAAATCCATGTTCAAAATAACCTCTTAGGCAATTTCTTTTTCTGGCGTTAGTATTTTCACTTAGGTAAATTTATCAATTGTTTTCTGTTAGCGTTTTGTGTGCTGTATTATGTTGAAGTTCAGTTCTATAGGGAAAATCTCTGTTAATTTGGTTTGTAGGACTTAAAATATTGTGATGGAATGGTAATTTGAACATCTTATAAAATGTAGAGCATCTATCTGCAAATTCAGGGTGAATGAGAGGTTGATGAATTATCTTCTTGATTCGGCGATGCTTTGAATGAAGCTGTTGTTTCTAGTGTTCAACCGAAGTTATCAATTTTAAATTTCATTTGTTGTAACCTCCCTTATTCTTCTTCAGGATATTGTGAGGATGCTGAAGCTTGTTGGTTCTTTTTGTTCTCAAGAGTTTTATATTTTGCCTAGAAATTTTGTAGAAAGAAAATAGGAACCACTATTATATTGACCGGTGGTAAAGTAGTTTAATTATGTCTCATATTTGGAAATCTCTGAATTTATGTATTGTGATGATAACATGTGTTCTTCCTCCTGTTATTATTGTTTTTTGTTGTCGATATTCGTTTTCTCTGTCACTATTTTGTTAAATCATTAATTTGCAATTTCACTTATATGAAGAATGTGCCTTTAAATGTCACGTCGTGTGTGAATTCTTCAGGACTGATTTCACTGATACTAGTTTTAGTTTTGCCTGCAATTGAGTGTAGAGCTAACATGGCCTATTGCTTTGGTTATAACTTGTGATGAAAGGGGTAGCAGCATTGAAGCCAGGATCATTTCAAGTGCCACTTTCGATTTCGGATAACATGGTCGTCAATAAACTTGCAGAACTTGTATCTTCTGTGGCAACTTGTTTGTCACCTGCGAAGGCATCTGTTATTTCATATAAATCACCCGGATTACCTCCCATTCATCAGTCTAAGAGCGACACCTTTTCCGTCACAGAGAATAATAATAATTTCAGACTTGCGGCATCCCTTCAAAATTTTTCAGCTTTCCAGCAAATTGATCGTGAAGGCGATCCTAACCCTGATTTAGAAAGAAGTTTAGGTCATAAATTACCACCAATTTTGTTGAAGCAAGAGAATGTTGTCTCGAGTTTTTCCAAGGAGAAGGGATCGCCCATTTATTCGGGGAGGAGTAAGTGGGTACGAGTGAGCTGTCTTCTCCTTGGCTTATCGTTGTTTGCTTGCCTATGTTTTACCCTAGTAATTTTTTGCTTGAATTGGTTCAGAGGACCATCCAAGTATTTTGTTGTACTCGACTGTGGTAGCACAGGGACTCGTGTATATGTATATCAGGCCTCTGTTAACCACAAGAAGGACAACAATCTTCCTATTCTATTAAAATCATTGCCTGAAGGTTTCCAGTGGAAATCTGGAAGGCAAAGTGGGCGAGCTTACAATCGAATGGAAACTGAACCAGGATTTGATAACTTGGTCCGTAATACCTCTGGGTTGAAGAAAGCTATAAAACCACTTATTAAGTGGGCCGCGACCCAAGTTCCTAAAGGATCGCATAAGTCTACTGCTCTCTTTCTATATGCCACAGCTGGAGTGCGTCGGCTACCAAGTTCAGACTCTCGTTGGCTTCTTGATAGTGCATGGTCAATTTTAAAAGAGTCGCCCTTTCTATGCAAAAAGGAGTGGGTAAAAACTATCACAGGTATGGAAGAAGCTTATTATGGATGGATAGCTTTAAACTATCATACTGAGGTTTTAGGGTCCATTCCTAAAAAGGAAACATATGGTTCACTCGACTTAGGTGGTTCGTCCCTACAAGTTACTTTTGAAGGCAAACTACATGGCCGGGATGAAACAAGCTTGAAGCTGAGCATTGGACCGGTTAATCATCATCTCAGTGCTTATTCTTTAGCTGGGTATGGTCTCAATGATGCCTTCGATAGATCTGTTGCTCATCTTCTGAAAATGCTTCCTAAGGTTGCTAATGCAGATTTGGTCCATGGAAAAGTTGAAATCGAGCATCCTTGTTTGCAGTCTGGTTACAAAGAACAATATTTATGCTCCGAGTGTGCTTCCATTCGGCTAAAAGATGGAAAACGTCCTATAATTAGGAAAAGAGTAGGTAAGGGGCGTAAATCTGGTGTGCCAATTCGGCTTATTGGAAGCCCGAAATGGGAAGAATGCAGTGCGCTGGCCAAAGTTGCAGTTAATTTGTCTGAATGGTCTGATCATAGCACCGGAATTGACTGTGAGCTCCAGCCATGTGCACTTGCAGATAATCTACCTCGACCGGTTGGCCAGTTTTATGCTATGTCTGGTTTCTATGTGGTATACCGATTTTTTAACCTGACTTCCGATGCTGCTCTGGATGATCTACTGGACCACGGCCGAGAATTTTGTGGAAAACCTTGGGATGTTGCAAAGAAAAGTGTTGCTCCTCAGCCATTCATCGAACAATACTGCTTCAGGGCCCCATATGTTGTTCGCCTCTTGAGAGAAGGATTGCACATTAACGATCACCATGTAAATATTGGTTCTGGAAGCATCAGTTGGACCCTTGGGGTCGCTTTATTTGAAGCCGGAAAGGTGTTTCCATATGGAGGAAAAAATCACAGCTATCAGATTTTGAGGGTTAAGACGCATTCGTTCATTCTTTTTGCGGTGTTGTTTACTTCATTATTTGTTCTTTACATTGCATTTTCTTGGGTCAACACTTCATGGTTGCCAAAGTTCTTCAGAAGGCCTTATCTGCCCATTTTGAGACATAACAGTGCGACATCAACATCCATGCTCAATATTCCAGCCCCTTTCCGGTTTCAGGGATGGAGTCCCGTCAGTGCAGGTAATTAGTTCTTCCTTTCTTGATCTTTTGTCCTTATTTAGCAATGATCCCGGGCGATGCAGTCGTGATATTTCATTCCCTTTGTCGATGTATATGCATGATTTCCTTAGTAAGTCTTTAATTATTTTGATTTAGGTGATGGAAGGATTAAGATGCCACTTAGTCCTACAGTTTCGAGTACTCAGCAAAGACCATTTGGCCCGGGATTCGGTTTTGGAAATGGGGCATTTCAGTTTGCTGAATCGCGATTTTTCTCATCGTCTAGTAGTGCATCGCATAGCTATTCGTCAGGCAGCTTAGGACATATGCAATTGGACCATTCCTTCTGGACACCCCACAGAAGTCAGCAGCGGCTTCAAAGTAGGCGGTCCCAATCGCGGGAGGACCTGAATTCTTCAATTGGTGACGCCATGTGCCCGCGCATGCACACTTAGCTAAGGTACGCGTTGCCCTTTTTTTTATTTACCTTGGTCGGAAGATTCATTAGGAATGTGCATACATACAAACATAGGAAGTTAACTGACTTGTGTTAAGGTGTTGAATTGTCGAAAGGTTACCACGGTCCTTTTGTCGTTCCTCGGAAACGATAGGATTCGCTTCATAGAAGTAAGGAAGAAAGCTGAATAGGGGAAATTTTTACGGAGAAAATCAATCTAGTATCTATTAGTACTATGCGGTGGTGTTGTTCATAACTTTGTATATAGTCTCAATGCTGATTGTTCTTCTTCTTCGAATTCTGACAGTGGATGTATATGTATATGTATAAGACTTACATACTGACAGTCTAGGCAGTTTAGAGTGAGAGTTAGAATAAGAGTAGTTCCGATGCTAGTGTTACAGTATTTATTACATACGATCCCAAAATAATTCATAGCTGCTTTTTCGATTTTACGTGGTATACTTTTAATACATCGGTGTGCACTATTTTGATTCAAAGAAGCTGTAAATATTTTAGGACATTTCAAAATGAAATTTACAGTAAATAAATTGGGATGGATGGAGTGTTATTATAGAGGTGTGTTTTATTTCTACATGTGCTTTTTCAAAAATATTAGGATTTAAGAAATATGATATACAATAATAATAATAATAATAAATGAAAATACACAGACAGTCGATCAAATATATATATAGTATATCGTTTTTATAATATTTTTACAAATTCTTTCGTTTTTCATAATGAAAACATGACACAATGTTTAGAGCATGATATACCTACCACAAGGATGTACCTTAGGACATTTACAACACAAGCAGATAGCAATTGGATTAACATAAAACAAACTTGAGAAACTCTAAAGACTGAAGAGAGTGCAATGAACAAGCAATTCTACAAGAGCCAAGGCCAGAGACTACTAATCATTAAAAACTCGAACTCATCCTTGGAGTTCGGCACCCTATAAACCAAACAATTTCGGCACCGGTGGAGTGAGAGATGAGTCTTGAGTGTGGGTATTTTATTTATTTATTTTGTTTAATGTTGTAGCTTTAGTTATTGTGTTTTAGATGATTTAATTTAGCAAAATTTAGTTAAGTAGGTATGGTTTAATGATATTAAAGTATAATTAGGTTTAATATTTTATTTTTAATTTTATATGTAAAATAATACGATGATATTCGTGTACTAAATGTGACTAAATAAATATTAAATAGTATAAATTTATGTTTGAAATTATAAACAAGCAAATCCCAACTGAATGCACGTTTCTGCCGGCGAGATTTGCTTTGATTCGAATGAATTGAGTTTATTTAACAGTGGTTTGATACCAATATTATTTTTATTGGTAACTCAAAAAATAATCTAGATAAAACATAAACCATAGAAGAATAATATGTTTGTTTGATTGTAGTTTTAAAAAATAAAAAATAAAATTGTTGATTTTAATTTTTGGTTTAGTTGTATTTTAATTTAATATTTTATAAAAAAATAATAATAATATATTTTCATTAACAATAAATTAATCATATCAATTTCAATTTAAAATAGTAAAAAAAAAAATGTTTTTATTTACAATTAATGTCATACAAAACAAACAAGTAGAAAAATATAAACAAGCATCACCAAATTAGGGGTAAATTGCACAATACAATCAAATTTGAATGATTAGAAATGTGTTTACAATAACTTTGGGTCATCATCAGCTTAAGTATCTTATGCTTAATCCCATCCAAGGTTAAATTAGAAAAAGCTTTAATTGAAAGTCACTCACAAAATATACACAGATACATACAAATCTCACACGTTTGAGATCAAACCAAATCCTGATGGGGAGGATGAATAGAATAACCAAAGCGATTCTGTGCATCGTCAATATTGATTAATTGATTCTCAAGTAAGAACTGAATGCAGCAGCAACCATATTAATTAGATGTTAGAGATAGATTTTTAATTTACTCGGAATTTTTCGGCGATCTGAGCCAACGATTGCAGATTGCATCTCACGATGGTATCCACGAACGCACACGTTTCCTCCGGCGTGTTCCCCGCCGGCGTGTCCACCACGTACGATTCCACCACCACCGTACCGCCGCTCCTCCCCTCCGCCGCGTGGAGCGTCGTCACCGACCGGTAGTTGTGCAGCCGATGATCGCCGCCGACCACGCTGAAACTCATCACGTGCTCCGCATCGTCCAAAATCTCCAACCTCTCAGTGCTCTTCCCTGCCGGCAGTCCAGACACCACGCGCACCTCGCGCAGAGTTCCGACGTCGCCGTCCCCAACGATAACGTCGCAGCTCTTCACAAAATGCTTGTACGCCTGCGGCTTGTCGAACCGCCGCACCACCGACCACACCGCGTCCACCGAGGCGTCGATCGTGCGCACCACCGCCGAGCAGCACTGATTCTCCGCCACCGCGTGCGTATGGCGGCGCACCACATTCTCAGGCACCGATCGATCCTCATCCGACACAGGACAATACCAGATCGGCTTGGATTGCTGCTTCTGGCGCACTCCGCCACCGCCACCGGTTATGACATCGATCCGGCGAATCTGAACCGAAGAAGGCATGGTTTTCCGGCGCAAATTTCTCCAAAATCCGATGGCAATAACAGTAACTACTCTACCAACGCAGCCACGCCGGTACATATATAAATAAATTGGAGAATTGAAATTTTCTGGAGCTAGTTGCATTATAATTTATCATTTTGGAAAGTAGAAACAATCAATCAATGAATGAGATGAGATTGCGAGGGGAGGGGGATGCGCAAGTTGCAGTTACAGTTGCAGCTGCAGCTTTTCTTCGAAGTCGGCCACCATTCAAAAGTGCCCCCCGTGGAACCCTATAATTACGTGATCTGCCTCCCTAAAACTGTCTCCCTTTCTTCTGTAATGACGATTATGCCCTTCAACCTACTATATACGCAATTACCTATTTCTTCCCTAAAGTAGCATACGACGCCGTTTGACTTGGAGTTTAAGCCACTGCTTACCCTTAAGCCTCTTTCTCTATTTTTAATCCAATTAAATATTTGAATTAATTTATATTCATTTTTGTAAAATATAAAAATTATATCTAATTCAAATCGTTATATTAAATGTGTATTTATACCCCATTAAATAAATATTTGTCTAATTTAATTTTCAATATCCAACATCCAAACAAACACGCCTTCAGATTATATTTGTCTTTTTGTTTTTGAAATTTTTATTATTAAGTATTGAAAATAGTAAGGATGTTATTAATATATTGTTTATTTTTGTAAATATATTATAAAAAAAAAAAAAAAAAACATTATATTTGTATTGACAACATAAATATGAAAAAAGAAAAAATGAAAGCAAAGTCGGGCTTACATTCTTCACTCTTTTCAAAAAATAAAAATAAAAACACCTCAAAATTTTAATATTCTCTAGTGGATAATTAACCCACCTTAGTATATAAAATCATCAACCATCTTAGTTATTAAATTAATTGTTGAATATTAAAGTGCAATTGAATTGCATCTAAATCTGTGGGCTAACCCTAACCCTAACCCTAACCCCAACCCCTGTTTTACATCTTAACAATTATTTAATTCAATTTGCTTTTGGTACACAATTGAATCAATTCATGCAATATAGTATATATATATAATTCGTCCTTTTGTCAACTTTTAACAAATCAGTAATAGTACTACTATTTTTGTTTAATTTCTCCCTTTGGAAAATCGATTTTTGGCCTTGAATTTTTTATTGGAAAAGAATAGTGGGTTTTTGGATAACCTATGATATGTAATCTGTTTAAGAAAAAATTAACAAAAGAAAACGGCATAAACGAGTGGCAATCAATTAAAAATTAAATTACATCATTTCTTCTTTAATTATTTTTTAAAATAACATGTATTCATAGATTTTTGAGACTATATATTCACATATTTGTTTGTCATTCATTTCGAAATAATTCATATTCTCATTATCTTTTTCTGACTTATTTTGAGATAATTTAAAATTTTAAAGTGTTTTTGCGACTTTTTTCGACGACAATGCTCTCAATATACTTTTTGGTGATGGATTTTGAGATAATATATATTGAACTTTTTTTTCATAATTGGTTTCGAGATAATTCAAACTCTCAAAGTAATTTTTATAACTTTTTTCATGACAATTTCTACACTTCTATTCTCGCTGCGTTTCGAGACAAATATGCGATAATATATTGTCATGAAATAACTTTCAAGATTATAGTCGAGATAAATTGTCGTCGCAGTGATGTTTCAAACTAGGGTTAAGATACTAATTATTATCAAAAAAGATTTGTTACAATCTTTGAGACAATTTTTCAAAATAAATTAGCATTTTTGTGATAGTGCAAAAATAAACCCACCCCCCCCCCCCCCCAAAAAAAAAAACTAAGGAAAAAAAATTTGCGATAACTTTGTGGATGAAACTCTCCTCGGACGATTCATTGGACTTCATTGAACTTGCATTTAAATGCTTCAACATTATTTTGATAATATTTATCTATGTTTTCATGTCTCTATTATGTTTCAATAACCTTTAAACGATCTTTTTTAAAACATGATAATAAATCTTGTTATATGATCAATAAATTTTGTTAAATGACCAACTAATCTATCACCAATAAAATCGGTTGATCTTTCTCTAAATCTCTGAGCTGGTCATATTATTGGATCAATTTGCATTGTTTTTTTTTTTTATCTATTTTTATCGAAATAATTTTATGTGACAACATTTATATATGCTATTGTTTTTATTTATATTTCTCTATTTCTAATTCTACAAATTAATTTCTCTCTTATTGTTAGGAGTTTTCTTTTCATCTCTTTTTTTCATGCAATATCATTATGTATTTTAAATTATTTACAATTAATAAAATTAGACTTTGAAATGAATAAACATCAACTTCTCAGTCTAATAGTCTAATAGCTGTAATATTCCTTCAACCTTAATAAAAAAAAATTCATGATATTTACTATTGAGATTTTACTCTGTTCTAAGTTAAGTTTTAACGTAATACTTCCTCCGTCTCATTGAAATAATATGATTTTCTATTTTCGTTTGTCCCAAAATAAGGTTATCATTTAGTAATTGTACTACCTACCTAATATAATAAATATCTTTCCAATTTAAATTATATTTTTGTCTTTTTCACTACAATTCTCTATAATACTATTATTCAAAAATTTACGTGTAAAAAATAAGCGGCAATCTTTCTCCGGGGGAGTATATATTTTATTAAAAATAAATTTAAAAATTATATTTGAATATTTTACAAACAATAAAGTAATTGCTCTTAGGGTGCTAACATCATCCTGGTAATTTAATATAAATTGTCAATAGTGAAGTTACATGATTATTTAACAATATGTCCTAATAAAATCAATATACTTTTCAACATATTGCATTATAATTATTCAAAAGTTTGGATGTGTATTCAATCGGGATTTCAATAGATTTTTTTGGATTTTAAAAAGTCTATAGATTTTTGTAAATTTAGAAAATCCACGGAGTCTAAGCTGAGTTTGATGGATTTTAGTAATTGATTTACATGAATTTGTATATAGATTGAATTCTTTATAGATTTATTTGAATTTTGTGGGATTATAAAAAAATCTTTTTATGAATATATAATTATATAAATTTATATCAAACACAAATTTTATAAATATAATATATTTATAATTAAAAAATTTACTTATATATTATTAAAACACAAGTTTTATAAATGTAATTAAAATTATTATATATTATTATATTTTTATAAAAGAAAATTTAATACTATTAATATTTTATAACGTAGAAGCATTGTAACATATGTAATAATATTATATTATTTATTAATATTTTAAATTTTATAATTTTAGTATTATATTATCATTCAATATATCAAATTAGTTTTATATTTTTTTATTAGTTATTATTATTATTTATATAATTTTTTATGTAAAAAATAAATACGTATATAAATAAAATAAAAAACATAATTTACGATTTTTTGAAAAAATATTAAAGTAGAAAATTAAATAAATATAAATTAACGGTTCAACGAAAAATATATATTGAAATATTTATTCAACTGTCATCAGAATGACAATATAATATATTCGAAAATTGAAAAACGAGACTGACACCGGAATGACAATATATTATATTCGATAATTGAAAAAAAAAAACACCGGAATAATAATATATTTTATTTGATAATTGAAAAGAAAAGACGACCGTAATACATATTTATTATGATAATAATATTTTTTAAAATTATATTTATAATATAAAACTATATATTAAAAAAAAATTGATAATAATTCGCTAATATATTTTAGTTTTTAATTATTATTTTTATTAAAAAATATAATAATATTAATAAATATTATCATATTATTTATCACTTATACAACAATAAAAACAACAACAACAACAATAACAACAACAACAACAACAACAACAACAACAACAACAACAACAACAACAACAATAATAATAATAATCCATCAAAATCTCTACTTATGATTAGAGATTTTATACTATACAAAATTTTCACAATTTTTCAGTAAAATTCATTAAAATCCACGGACTTTGAAAGTGGATGTATTGTTGAATACCTTGAAATTTTAAAAGATTTTTAAAAGTATGTATTGAATACCTCCAGATTTTAAAAGATTTTTAAAATTTTAGATTGAATACCTCCGAATTTTAAAAGACTTTTAAAAATATTGATTGAATACACCTAAATTTTAAAAGTCCAACAAAATCCTACATAATCCAGATTGAATACACTCCCCTTATGTAATGTAGGTTAATATTACTCCCCATTGTATAAAAATAGACTTATTTGATTTGGATATAAATTTTAATTGGTACGTACTTTATGTCTTTTACAGTAAGGTTGTGTTTGTTTGGAGGATTTGTTAGGATTTTAACTATTCATTCCTTTTTTTTTTTTCTAAAAATATCAAATCAAATATCTATTCTTTATTTTTTATATTATATTAAAAATTATTTTTACATTCGAACCATCACATCAATATCTATTTATATCACATCATACAACTATTTCAATTCAAATTTCTTACTATTCAAATCCCCAAACAAACACACCCGTAAAAAAAAGATTCAAAAAGAAAAATGTATTGATTTTTTTATTAAAACAAAAAATAGACAATTTTTTATAATAGACAAATAAAAAAAAAATGAACTTTTTTTTTTATAACCGTGGGAATACATTATATTTTGATTGTAAATTTAATTTTTGATATAATATAAAAAATAAAAATTAAATTTAAATTAAATATTAATCGAATAATAGAAAATACCTAAGAATCTCTACATAATGTAACGTTCCATTATTGAATCTTACACTGAATTTAAAGTGAAAACTGAGATACTCATCACATGGACTAGAACCCTACCTCCATTCATAAGTGGAAAATTAGGTTAGGCTGTGATTGTTTTGCCTGTCGAGCTTTGTTTGCTTTGATGGGGGTTTATCTAGTGCGTACTTTCTAATAGCGTTTGTGGATTCTCACGTCATAAAAAAAATAATAAATTAAGTTAGGTTGTGATTGTTTTGGCCAGAGTTTTATTATTTATGATTTTTTATTCTTTAAAAAACTAAAATAAATTTATATTTGTATATTATATTAAAAATATTATATCAATACATATTTATATCATAATATCAAACAACTATTCTAATTCGAAATTCAAACTTAACTCCAAAATATCCACAAACAAACACACCCTAAGAGTTTGCATCGTGTGTTTGTTTTTTGTTTAGGTTTTAAAGGGAAAAAAAAATTATGTAAAACATAAAGAATTGTGTAGATAATATATAAATAATGAGTATGTATAATATATTACTCTCTTCGTCCCATGTATCATGGGCGTATTACTGTAGATACGGAAACTTAGATAAAGTATAATTAATAAGTAATTAATAAGTGTATTAGTAAAAATAATTATTGTATAATAAATATAATTGTGGATTAAGATTACGATATAACTAAATAGTTTGATTAAAATTTAAAAAATTATAAAATTTAAAATGAGATTAAAGTGTATAATTATATATTGCCAAAAGAAGAATTAACAAATTATGTGAGACGGACAAAAATAGAAAATAAGGACAAATTATGTGAGAAGATAAAGTAATTTTTAGGGGGAATTGTGTTAGAAAAATCTTACAAAAGAAATAAACCCGTTTTTGTAGTTATGTTTTACTCTAAATATATTATATTTAAAGATTATAATATTTCCATTTAAAAATATAGACATGTTTTTTTGAATTATTATTTAAAGTAATTATTTAAAACCTCTTTTTATCTTAAAAAATAAAACCAAAACGACCAAAAATATCCAAGGAAAAAAAACAAAAAGACACAATTAAAACTAATAATCTAGTTCACATACAATGTATGTAGTACAATTGAACATTGGTACATGCATGAACTTGATTCAAAAATAAAAATAAAATAAATGGTGGATTAAAGAAATCGTAGATCATGTAATTTTATTCCAATTTCAACCTGCCCACTAATTTCTTATACTTAGGTTGTTTTGGCCATTTCCGTACACACACACATATACATATACATATATATAAATATATATATTTATTTACCTATACTCCCACAAATTGCTTTTAATCTATTCTCCTTAATTTAATTTAACTAAAATATGTCGAAGTTTTGGTTGTCACTTTCGAAGATTTATATGAACATCTCATTTCAAATATTGTAGATGACTATAGTGATTGTAGGACTCATTTATTATTTTATTGGATTGAATAATTCCACTATTCTTATTTAAAATATTTGGGTAGTATGTCACTTAATTTGCAAGTGTTTATATAAATTAGTTGATATAATTGTAATATGAATTTCTTTTATAGAATAATTGTGTATATGTATGGTGGCAGTTACAGTGAAATATGTTGTAATTTATCTCAATATTAATATAATGTAAATGTTAATTTAACGCACCATATATATATATATATATATTTTGACATCATCTCAAAATATATATATATATATATGTGTGTTTATATTGTTAATGATATAAATGATTGCAATTACTTAAAAATTTATTATTCTATAAAATATTTTTGTGTACCGCACATACGATATAATGAATATAGTAAATGTCAATCTTGTATTGTTATCTGCAATAAGGAACCCTTCTCAAAGTCTTAGTCAAAAAAGTGAAAGGAATTTAATAGAAAAGTGTTCATATCCAAAATCCAAAAAGTTACCTTAAAAATCCCGAATTCAGATTTGGATTCATTTAATTTTTAAAATCGGCATTATTTATAAATTATTTATCAGAATCTTTTCAATTCATATCCTATTTTTATTTCCCAAATATATCCATCCATACCAAAATTAATTTTCAGTTAAAAAAGATTTATGGAGTATTAGAATTATTGGGTCTAAAATAGCCCATTATTTAATATGGGCTATTAGGTAAGTAACTACAAACGGAATGATAGCACTATACTAATTAGCCCATCGAGTACATATATGATCATCTTTTACAAATTGAATGCATAGAAAACTAAAAATAAAATAAAATTGAATATATTAATAAGTATATAAATAAGATATTATAAAATTAAAACAAATCAAGTCATAGTGTTTTCATTTATGATCAATTAGTTTAGTTTAAAAAATGGATTTAAATCTCATGTACTAAGAGATAATATTATATGCGTCGAATACCCCAAACATCACGATGAAAATAGATACACAACCTAGGAGAATGAATTTCAGCAATTAAAACTCACACTATTTGATATAGTTGCATCTATCCAAACAGACTTTCCCAAGAAAAAACTACTACTATTGTGTTTGTGTCTGTGTCTGTGTAGAGAGCTGCAAGAAAGAACCTGTCAGTCAGTAGCCATCAGTCTTTGCACGTTTTCATTCATCCATTAACTTGAACTGAGTCCGAGTCCAGTTCCAGTTCAAGCAGCATATCATCCAACGAGAACTTGTAGCAGTCTTCCAGTCGTCCCGGTTTCAGGAAATCGAATCCGCCATCGAATCCATTACCAGCTTCATCCATTCCGTCAGCCAGCAGCTTCGATTCTGTGTTCGGATATGGCAAATTCGGAGGTTGTATGTCACTGCATTCTTTATCCAATTCCTCGTGCTTCACATGTTGCAGCAATCGCCAGGCGGGAGCTCTTTCATTGACAACATTAACAGGTTCCTTGGCTGTGCCGTGCTGTTCTTGCTTCAGGGGATTGTGATCTTCTTGCTCCTCATTGTTACTCTTTACGCTGGATGCAGATGTAGTTGGCAATGAAGATGACGAATCTTTAGCATCGGATGGAACGGAGTTCGGGAAGTTAAGGCGTGCCCGAGGGCCATACATGGCTCTAGCAGCTTCGTCATAAGCCCGAGCAGCTTCATTTGAAGTGGCGAATGTGCCCAACCAGAGGCGGCTTCCCCTGTCCGGCTCCCTGATCTCCGCCACCCATTTACCCCAAGTTCGCTGCCTCACGCCCCTGAAGTTGCAGCACGCATTCTCAGGACCGCCCTTGCCCTTCATACAACCTTTCTTGGATCCTTTGGCAGGTGTTTTCCGCACCAGCTTTTCTCCATTGTCGAGAGAAGTGAGTCTTACATTGTATTCCTGCCACTTTGCAAGCGTTTCCTTCACATATTTGGTTCCGAGCACGCGACTTCTGGATTTCCTCTTTCGAGTACAATCCACAGGTTGAGAAACTGCATTAGAATCTTCATCAAACTGAGCCATCTTTGAGAACCGTCTGCAATAAGAACAATAATGGCTTCCGATCAAAAAAAGAATAATGGATTCCGATCATAAAAGTTCAATCCGATCAAGAAAACAATGGCTCGAGCATTTACTTAATCTAGGTAAGGTTTTTTAGAAATATCCAAGCAGTAGTTATAGTGCACTTGCAGCAACAATAAGACGAGTGACTGTAGCGAATGTCTTTCAGATTAAAGTGAAAATTTATCCCTTGGAGCTCAACATTTTGCATCCCAAAGCTTAAACAAGAATCACTGATGTAGAGCTCTCTTCGCGATATGTATATATGTTCTTCACTCATTTTAGCAAATTATGAAGCGAAAATGGAGGCAACTCAGTTCACACACGAGGAAACCATGCTCTCCAAGGAGATTCTTTCCGGCGTTGCGAAAGAAAAGCAAAAAAGGACTAACCAAGCGTTATCCGAAACATATAAACCAATCCAAATCTCAGAAAATCAAAAACCTAAATAAACACACCATTCAACTGCCGAAAACCATCATCTGCTCAATCAAACTCCAAATACGAAAAATTAAAAAAATAATAATAATAAAAAAATGGCGAAAAAAAAGAAAAGTAGAACAACCGCCAGATATAACTCTCAGTTACGAATTTCAAACCAGCATACCTCGCACGAATCCTTTCCGAAATGCCTCCTTCCTTCACCAAACCCCAGCAATTCCCTTCATCCCTCACTCCAGCACCGCACGCGTTCCGCCTTTTCCAATTCTCCAACACACCAGAGCAATGCTTCGGGGACCGTGATTTTTCCTCCGGCAGTAGGTTTCAATTACGTGTATCGGCGATCGAAAATTCTGGTTTCGATGGAGGTGTTGGGATATTTATAGCCTTCTAGATATTTTCTCGTAGCGCCCACCCCCCAAGGATCGTGCTGCCTTCGGATTTCATACTGACTGATGACGTGGGCTACAAGACTACCACAAGATTTGCCACGTGGCATAAAGCCACGCGTACCGCACATCTGTGATTCGGCTTTTGGGTTTCTCTCTCACAAAGCGTCTGCTGTTTTTGCTTCGGGGCGAAGCTTGATTTCGATTATTTCCTTTTGACCCCTGTCTTTTAGCCAAATTAATGAAATGCCCTAGCTTCGAAACCATCAATGTGTGCGCCGCTCTTTCTTAGCCACCAATCCAGACTTATATTCATATACTTATAAGTTTATTCATTAAAAAACAAAAAAAAGAATTAGATTAAATGTTGGGTTATGTATAATAATATAATATACATTTTCTTAAAATTAAATTTAAAATTTATTTTATGTCGATCATGAAGTACTAGTGTACATACAATGTATTTGTGAATGCAATATCGTTTATTCAAAGCTATACACTTGTGTTGTATTCCTTCCTCTAAATATAGACATGCAAAATATCAATCAAACATTCGATTCTAACACCTAAATCTCAACAATCCATCTCTCATTACTTTGTCTCTGTGTCTCATTTCTATTAAAAAATTTGACCCAACTTAATTTGACGAATCTCTTTTAATAAATATTAATAATTGGTCCACTTTTTAACCTGATTCTCGGACCCGATCCAATCTCAAACTCAAACTCTTTAATCCAAATTCAAACCCCAAGCCCAAAATTTTTTACCCTAACCCATTTTGTTAGTGAAAAGTTACAACCAAATTAGTTAATTGGTTTTTGATGGTTTTTAGATTAAGTGTGTGAGTCCATTAAGGAGGAATAGAGATACGGAGAGGTGAAAGGAGCAATGGAGCAAAGGAGATGAGAGTAGAGAGGTGAGTTCCAGTTTGTTTGGGGTATTGGATTTTAGATTTAGATTTAGATTTTTAAGTTGTGTTTGTTTGAAGGTTTGAATTTTGTAATAATTATGTTGAAAAAAATTATTATTTTATTGAAAAATGATAAATTGATGCGATAGTTTGAAATGAATTATATTTAATATTGTTAAAGAAATTATAAATAAATAATAAAAAGTGATGTTTGATTCGATATTTATTAATTAAATTTAAATTTAATTTCTAGAAAAAAAAAATTCTTTTATATTTTTGGATGATGTGAGTTCTCGCAAATTTGTATTATTTATTCAATTTTTTTTTTCAAAATTATCAAATTAAATATTTTTTTCTATATTATGCTAAAAATTAATTTTACATTCAAAGCATCGTATCAACTCTGATTTATATAGCATTATAATACTCTCTCCATCCCAATACAATAGTCTTGTTTATCATGTTTGTCCGTCCCAAAACAATAGTCTCATTTCCATAGATAACCATATCACCATAAAATTATCCTATTTTTTCATTATTATTATACAATTAACACTACAAAGGACAAAAAAGTCATTTATCTTTACTTTTTACCAACTACGTGCCCAACACAACAATACTATATTTTTTGGACGAAGGAAGTACTATTTTTCAATTCTTTTTTTTTTTTATATTTCAACGCCAAACACACAACACTATTTTTTTATTCTGCAATGGGATGCGCTGACAATTTCTGGGATGCAGTGACAATTTCTGAAAAGGCAAACTGCTATAGAAGGGAAGTGGACTGCAGAAAGGAAGTAGACTCTAGGGTAGGGATTAATAGGATTTTGAGGGGAATTAAGTGTACAGTGTCTATACAGTAAAATTAGACCAAAATTGCCTAAACGAACATACCTTAAGTGTAGAAGTTTTTTTGTTGACAAGTTCGGTGGGTGTCGAAATTTAAAGTGAAGAGTCCACGTCTACCTTAAAGTGTGATTACTTCGGTCATTTCATGCCTTGGATTGAGCCAAAAATTGAAATCCTTAGCCTCCGGTGAAGAATTGATGGAAGAAATGAAAGAAAACACCACGAGATGTTTTCGTCGGAGTTGCCTAACGTATGGAGGGATTGTGCGAAAATTGGGGGGAGGGGCTCCAACCCACCCCCAAATTCCCCAAAAAAATGGAGTTTGTGTATTTTTGTTATTTTTTTTAGGTATATTGTGTAATTTTATCTTTTAGAAAATGATACGTAATTTTATTTTTTTGAAAAATTATGTATAATTTTATTTTTTGGAAAGTGATATAATTTTATTTTTTTAAAAATAATGTATAATTTTATTTTTTTAAAAGTGATATATAATTTTACCTTTCAAAAAGTGATATATAATTATATAATTTTTAAAAATAATGTGTAATTATATATATTTGGGTTATATTGTAAAAATAAATTAAAATTGAGGTGTAATTTATAAATATAAAATGCTATATAAAATAATACAAAAGAATAATATATATGGAATATACCAGTGAAAAATTAAAGTTTATAGTTAAACTGTAGATCAACTGCGTAGCTACTGCAAAAAATAAAGAAAGTGATTGAAGATATTGATTTGTGATATAAATTCACAATAATTACATCTATATATAATAAAATAAAACTAAATTAGGAATTCAATACTCTGCAAATTAAGCCAATAAGACAAATCACACTGGATGAACAGTGTGGCAAATGGATTTGGAGACTTGAATATGTGACTTTACAATCACAAGTACACTTCACACTACCAAATCATCTATTTCAGGATCCCATTAATTTATTTGTGTAGTAGTTAAAAGACAGTCGAATAAAAAATTCTTTCCCTTCGTTGCCTACCACTGCTTTTTGTCATCATCATCATGGTTGTCCAGAGCTGTCCGTTGCACCATTGGACATTCCAAAATTTGTTGTTTACCGACTGTAGCTGCTCGTATTATTGTTTATTTGATTTATTTTTGTTAGATGCAAATTTTCAACAATATAAAGTAAAATTTGAAAGTAGAGATTATTTTCGAATTTGATAAAATAAATGTCTGAGATTAGAAATCCCTAGGCAATATAGAATACATAACTAAAATAAGAAAAATAAAAACTACAAACTGAAAAAGTAAAGTGGTAATCCCAAAAACAATTCTCTTGAATTTGATGTCTATTGAAGATAATTTTTTATAACAGACCCGAATCCTTAAATATTCCTTAAATAAACGTTTTGAACCGTCGTCGCCTGGTCGATTACAGCAACCGCTATCAACTGTCCATCAATTTATCCTCCATTGACACGTATCTTTAACCGTCTCGCCAACCGCATAACCCTACAATTGACCAACCGATCAATCCAGAGACTAACTGGTCGCTAGACCAAACGACTCACCGGCCGCTCCATCAAGCGACCACCATATGGTCTCTTCAATCGGCGAGACAATGAATCGTCCAGACGATTCAATGGTCGCCCCAATCAAACGACTAAACTACTGTTCACTTAATTGGGCGACCAATTAACAGATCTTTCTTCGCCCGACTTTCTACTTCGACCGACCTCCGTATCACCCGTCTCATCCTTATTCCCCTGACTTCCTCTTTTGACCGACCTCCGTATCGATCATCTCTTCGTCGACTTCATCTTGCCCGACCTATATGCCGTCCGATCTGGATGCATATCATTTCCTTCATCCGTCCTCTCATTGCCCGACGTCATTTCGCCCGACCTTATGCCGTCCGACCTGGATGCATATCATTTCCTCCGCGTCTGATCTTATCATGTCCGACCTCCTTGTCTGCTGAATTATTCTTCTTTGCCCAACCTTATCATGTCCGACCTCCACGTCTGCTGATACTTCTTCTTAGCTTGACTTTTGGGCAGTTTAATCTTGTTATTATTATTATTATTATTATTATTTATTTTATTTTTTTTATTTGTACGTAACAATTTTTTTTAACATGATATTAAAAATCCTAATTAGAAATATACGTATATTATATTGATCTAAAATTTCATTTCCCACAAAGGCATGGAATTAAAAGAAGGGATACGCATCCAATCATGCCCTTTCCTTCCAACAAAATTTACATCACAACCACTCACTAAAAAACAAAAAATAGTAGAATCAGCAGACCACACACACGTGACACGTATTATAAAAGCTTTAAGAATAAAAGAATATAATAAAAATAAAATTAATAAAACCTTAAAATCAATCGCCGCCACCGGCGGCCGGCGACGACGTCACGGCCGCTCCGCCGTCATCCCCGGAGCTGGTCCCGCCGGCGCTCTCCGGTCGGATCTCCTCGAGCTGCTGCAGTATCTGGTGCGCCTCGGGCCGGGCCGACGGGCTCGGGTCGACGCAATGCAGCGCGAGCTTCAGAGTGTTGAGCAGCTCGTCGCCGATGACGGCGGCGTCCCTCATCAGCTCCAAATCGAAAACCTCATTCGTCCACTCCTCCTTCACGATCGACGCCACCCACTGCGGCAGATCCTGGCCGTCCCCGCCGGCGGCGCCGCCGCCCGGCGACTTCCCCGTCAAAATCTCCAGAACAATGACGCCCAGACTGTACACGTCGCTCTTCGTCGTCGCCTTCTTCAGCTTCGACAGCTCTGGCGCCCGATACCCCAGCGCCGCCGCCGTGGCCATCACGTTCGCGTTCGCCGCCGCCGTCATCAGCCGCGACAGCCCGTAGTCGCCGATCCGGGCGTTCCCTTGCTCGTCGAGCAGCACGTTGCTCGACGTCAAGTTCCCATGGACGATCCCGACGTTCGTGTGCAGATACATCACCCCCCTCGTCATCCCTTTGCAGATCTTCATCCTCGTCGGCCAGTCAACTGGCGCGTCCGGCGCACGCGCTGTATAGAAAGTCAACACCCCACAACAGTCAACATCAACCAACCTTAACCAATCCGAACTAGGAAAAAACAAGACTCAAAGCATTTTAACGAACCGTGTAAGAAGGTAGCGAGAGATCCCTTGGGCATGTAGTCGAAAACCAGCAACTTCTCGCCCTTAGGCCCTAAATAATAGGCCCTTAGCGCGAGTAGATTAGGGTGCCTTATCTTCCCCAGCTCGTTGACCTCATGTTCGAATTCCCTCTGTCCTTTGGTGATCTTCTCCCTCAATCTCTTAACAGCGACTTGGATCCCATCTTCCATGGTGGCTTTGTACACTGTACCGTAAGTGCTCTTACCCATAATTTCAGCAGTGGCACACAGTAGATCGTCTGCGCTAAACGCCATTGGCCCATCAAAGTGTACAAGTTTCCCGCCACTTTCTCCTCCGCCGCCTTCACCGCCTTCAGTCGCCGCCGCACTTTGTGGGGTCCCCTTTTCCGACCGGGAGGCGGCGGAGGCGGAGGCGGCGCCGCCGCCGGACTTGGTAGAATCTCTGGAAATTCTTCTCTTCCTCAACAGGCAGCAGAGCAGAATGCAGCAAGTCACTAAAAGGATGACGAGAAGGACCCCTGCTGCAATGAGGATAATGTCTTTGGTGCTCAGCTTCCGACGACGTCGTTTTGGGGCTGGACCTGCTGGGGGAGCTTCGGAGGGGGATAAAGGGCAGGGAGTCGAAGGACTGTAGCCGCAGAGGAGGAGATTCCCGGTGAAAGCAGTGGAGTTGAATTTTTCCGACAGGGTTTTGGGGACTTGCCCGGAGAGATTGTTGTACGAAACGTTGAAGGATTCGAGATTCGGCAGGCCGGCGACGGCGGCCGGAATTTCTCCGGCGAGGTTGTTCTGGGCAAGATCGAGCGTCTTGAGTGAAGAGATGCTCCCTATCGAAGGAGGAATCCGCCCCGTGAAGTCGTTGCTTCTCAAGTCGAGAACCGACAGCTGTCCGAGGTTCGACAGGCTGTCAGGAAGGCTACCATTCAACGAATTATGTCCGATCGTCAAAACTTGAATCAAAGACACATTTTTCTTACCACCCCCCCAAGAATCAGGGACAGGGCCGGAAAGATTGTTGTGTTCCAAAGCAAGGAAGATGAGCGAAGGAGACAGGGCGAAGCGAACCGGGATCGAACCGGTCAACGAGTTGTGACTCAGATTGAGCCGGAAAAGCTTGGTGGAGTTGACAAGGCTCCCTGGAATGGCTCCCGACAGGGAATTGTTGGAAAGATCGAGCGTCTGAAGGAGAGGGCAGAGGCCCAAGGAGGCAGGGATGGAACCCGACAGGCGGTTGTTGAACAGCTGGAGACCTCGGAGATTGGGCAGGAACCCTAACGATGTCGGAATGGCGCCGGAGATGAAATTGTCGTGAAGGCTGAGCTTCCTGAGGGCCTGGAATTGGCCAATTTTTTCTGTGATTTTTCCGGCGAGTCCTCGCCAGGGAAGCTGGATGACGATGACTTGGCCCTGGGCGCATTTAATGCCGGCCCAGCCGCCGGAGCAGGCGCCGGCGCCGGAATCATTCCAGGATTTCAAGAACCCTTGTGGGTCGATCAGGTCGTGCTTGAAAGCCTGGAGGGCTTCGAAGTCTGCCTGAGTTACGATCACCCCATCCCATGTCTGGCTCCAGACAGGCTGCAGAACGAACACCACCGCCTGTAAGAAAATCAAGAATTGAAGATGACGACAACGATGGTGCTGAATCTTCCATTTCTCCTTTTTCCTCCCTGGAAACTGATGGTTTGGGCTTCGAACATAGCCGCCGTTGCTATTGACCTCCATAGCTGCTGTAAGAGAGAGGTAGAGAGAATTAGCTAAAAACAGGAGGAAATGAGAGTGGACAAGAAAGCTTTTGTAACGGAGGGGAGGAGGAGCCAGGGGGGTTAGTGGGGTTCCTGTGATAGGCACGTGTGGAGTGAGAAAGTAGAGAATTATTTTAGAGAGAGAGAGAGGAAGGAATCTGAAATTGGGGAAGACATGAGCAAGGGGTTGTGCCACATAGATTCGGCCAAAGGCCCTTCTTACACATTTCCTCTCTGCCCAAGAAATGTAACGGCTAGTTTTTTGTCACTCACTCACGTATCGCTTGCCTGCACTGGACTGCACTGCACACATGCCTAGGGTTTTACGAAATTTGGCTCCAATCTTTTAATTTATTAATACTACTATTTATTTATTTGTTACATTATTTATTGCTGCTGTTGTTTCGCTCTTTTTGTGTATGATTCTTAAAGAATTTGGCTTCTTCCAACGGCTATCTTTTTCATCTGGGCCCCGCAGAAGACTCCGTACAGTTCCCATTTTTGAATTCTCAAGTGGAGTGACAAGAATACCCCTGGCTTGTCTGGGTCGGAGGCTGCTCTTGGAGGGTGTTTTTGGTCCATTTGAAGAAAGAACGGTTGCTGTCCATTTGCCTAGGTTTGACGTATATTGGATTCGACGTATACTAATCACAGGTTATGTATTCAATTTTATAAAATATATATTAACAATTTATTGTATTTAAGGAATACTATTTTTTATAATATTATTAAAACTTATATTATTTATTTCAAACTACGAGTCCAAGGTTTTTGTAGTTTTGAAATTTTAAAAATATATTGGCATAATTTTTAAAGCATGTTTGGGGCTTTAATTAGGTCGTGTTCTTGTGGTTTTGTTCGCTTAAATTTTGTGTACATAATTTGTACTACGAGTCCAAGGTTTTTATTGTATATTAATAGGATTGAATTTTAGGTGTGTTTTTAAGGTGTTTTTTAAATAAAAATAGTAATCATATGTAATGTGTTATTAGTGTATAAATGGGATTGAAATTTAAGGCTTGTTCACTTTAAAAAGACATTACATAAAACAATACCCATTGTTGTCAATATTAAATAATAAATATAAATATTTTTTATAGTTTTTTAATATTAGCAAAAGATTACCAAATACATTTTAATCACTAAAAGAAAACAACTTGTTGTGGTAAAGTTGTCTTTGTGATTGAATTTGTTTAAAATTTATGTAAAAAATTTTATAAAATTATTATATTTGATATTTATATTGCATTCAAAATATTTTAAATAGAACATATTTTTTATTTAAAATATTTAAATGGTTATTCACTTTGATTTTATTTTTTTTCAAAATTAAAGGATTGAATAGTAAAAATACAAGAAGAAGAATTAAAGAAAATACTTCATTCATCATTTATTAAAAAATCTTTCATAGAAAAAAGTTGTAAATTTAAAATTTTATTTTGATAATAAATACTCCATCCGTCTCACATACCATGTCCACGTTGTCGTTTCTGTCCGTCCCACATTCCATGTCACTTTCCTTTTTTAAAAATGATTATACACTTTAATCTCATTTTAAACTTTTTAATTTATTTTTTAAAATTTTAATTAAATTAATTAGTTATTTTAATCTTAATTTATAATTATTTATATTATAAGATAATTATTTTCGCTAATACATTCTTAATTATCTACTAATTATACTCCTTCTAAAATATCGTATATACAGTGTAGCAGACACCGTACGTGGGATGGAGGGAATATATTTTAAACATAACTTTTTTAATATAAATAAATACATATTATCATATTTTTAAATAAAAAATTATTATAAATTGTCTAATTTGTTTTTTTTTTTTAATTCGAGTTTTTTTAACTAATTATTTTAGTACTACATTTTCTAAAATAAGATAAAATAAAATAATATATGTACATTAAAATTGTAGTAATTAGTAAAAACAGATATGTTTAAAAACCTAAACAAACAATTCCTAACATTTTATAAAAGCACTCAAAGCAAAATAATATTAAAATATGGATATATACACGTGCGTGTACGATTTCACATAAAAAGTACATAATAATTATAGAAAATCTCATTTTATCTTTAAGAAATTACATTCACTTTTTTCTTTTTTTTTTTTCCATTCTTAGTCATCATTTCATTCAATTTTATTTTATCCAATTACTAAAACCTTCGTTCAACTCATAATTATATCACTATGCACACCACAATTTATATTACATATTTATTTTTATCGTTTAAAAAATTTATACAATTCATTGTTTTTTACATTACTAATTAATTAAAAACTAAAGTAATTTTAAATTTTTTTATTTCAATTATTTTAAAATATTTCTCTAGGTAGCCATGACAATATAAAAGTTGCCGACCCCCAATCCCAATTATTCGATTCACAAAGACATTCTCTTCTTTCATTTTCGGCATTTTATTTTATTTTTTTGTATTATTCATTTTTGTTTTTATTTTAGTTCGTCAGAGCTTCGATAATTAGAAGTGTCATTTTTCATTTTTTATTTTTACAGACAAAAGTTGTTTTCTCTCTAGAATTAACACGTCAGCTACCAGAAGTATCACCGAAGCGTAATTTAATTTGCAAGAAGAAAATAGTCTTTATAATTCTTATTCAACAACTATGTATCATTTATAGTCCATGAATTAGATCACAACAAATATTTTTGATTTAGTTTTTTCAAAATTGTATTTTCAATAACGTCGGCAACCAACCTGTTCTTGCAGAAGTAGAATAATTGTTTTGCAATTGTTAACACTGTAAATATATAAAAATTAAATTAATTATCCGATATAAGATAATATTGAAAATATATTTGCCGAGTCAAGTAGATTGATCATTTTGTATATATATTTTATTATGACGTGGAATCTGCAGTCGCTGATGATACATTGTTTTCAAAGATATAATGGTACATCACAAAAATAGGTGGCATCTCAAAACTCGAAGTTCAATTAAGGCGGCAAGGCACGTGGCTAAGTTGCATTTATGCACGCGTATCATAGTTTTGATTTGCTATATAAATCAATCATAGCTAAAACATCAATTAATGATATACTTAAGGGGAACAAAATTTTATTAACTAATTAATTTAACTACTTAACTAATTAATTTATAGCCTAAATTAGTTGAGAGTAATATACCATCATTAACTTCGTAACTCTATAACTTACTAACCAAATGCATCGAGACTAAAATAATATTCCCTCTGTCCCATATTAATATTTTATTTTAGTTTATCTCACATACTTGGTAATATTTTTAAAATTAAAAATAATTAATTATATTTTATTTTAAACACCACTCAAATAAAAAAAACAAATAAATACTCCATATGTCTCAATTTAAAATATATTTTTTTTAACCATTTTTATTTTATATTTTAGAAAAAGTAATTATACAATAATATTAAAATACTCTTTTAATAATACTAAAATACTCTTTTAACTGTTACTTAAATTGAGAACATATCATTAGGCATATAATTACGTTACCAAATAAAAAAAAGAAATGTCAAAATCTCTTACACAGCTAACCATTAAAATACTAATATGTTTTAATCTACTACAAAATCCCAAAAGTCCATTTGATAGGGGACATGGAGTATATATATTTCATTCTCATTACATCACTTAATTAATTAATTTTTATATTTTATTTTATCTATTTAAACTTTCGTATCAATTAATTAATTAATTTTTTTTACATTTTTATTTTATCCATCCAAACTTTCGTATCGAAATTAAAATACTCCCTCCGTCCCATTGCAATATTGTCATTTTTCATTTTTGTTCGTCCCAAAACAAGGTTAGTATTTCATAATTTAGTAATTGTTCTACCTACCTAATACAATAAATATCCTTCCAACTTCCACTATATTACACAGATGTCATTACTTTTACATTACACAATACTAATAGGAACATTTTCGTTTTTTCCACTACAACTTATTATAATACTAATATTAAAAAATTTATGTATAAAAAGCAAATGACAACCTTGTACCGGGACTTATAAGATTTGAACTTATATTGGATAGGGGGAATATTAAAAATAGTATAAAGATTTTCTTTTATAAAATATAATGCCCTGCAATATTTGTAAATCAGTTAATAAATAAACACCTAAAGAGTAGGTGCGGCGCAGGATAAGAGACGGGGCGCATGTTAGCAAAGAGACGGGGTGCATGTTAGCAAAGAGACGAAGCAGTTGGTGAAGAAATTGATGAGATGTGGCGGATATCTCGAAGCACTCTTAATAGAAGTTCTGTATAAAGCGGAGACTCCCATTTCGTCATTCCTCGAGAATTTCCTCGCCGTGATCTCTTCTCGCCGCCGGATCTCTGCATTTTCATCGCGCCATGGAGTCAGCCGCTGTTCTTCGCTCATTCCACTGTGAGTCCCTCTCTATATGCGTGCGCGTAAAATTTTTTGTTTGTGATGTAGGTAGTAATTGCGTGAAAAAGTGAATGTTTGTAGCTAGTGCATCGAATCGGATTTTTCGCTTGATTGATTCATTTGAGGAAGCCGTTAATCGATTAGATATTTCTGTTGTTGTCCTCCAATGTCTCTGTAGTTGATTTAGCTACCATTTGTTTGGTTATGAACGCTTATCAGCGTTATGGTTGCTTTTCGACTCGGTGTAGTTGCAATTGTTGTGGAAGTCGCAGTTTCCGTTGCCGTTGCGGTGGCGGGGCAGCCATGGCAATTAACTATTATTTTGTATGTGTGTGTTGTACGAGTTGAATCTGTAACTGTTTTATCTGAACTGAAACATAACGGTTATATGTTCTCCAAGTCTAGCACTCTCCATTTGTGGATAGTAACTGAAATCTGGTGATAAATGTTTGTTTCTGAGTGAGGTAAGTGTAGATTGTATTATTGAATATCTATTGCAGAACTCTGGATCAACTATAAATAACTATATGTCTTTCTCTTATATGAATTGATTAGAATGTAACTGTTAGGTAGGAGTATAATTTATGTACTCACCTCTATTTGAGACTAAATTGTTGTTTCCTCTGTGTTGCAGATTCTTTCAGCACAGGATTACAATTAAGAACTGATGTTAGAAAATCTGGCATGGTTACCATGAACAATTCAGTCTTCCCTGACCTGCGTGTCTGTGGTGGAAAGGTAATTTCATCCACTAAGAGACGTGATACCTTAGTTGTGTCTTGTCAGAAGATGCCTGATGCTACTGCAACTGGTGCATCTAATGGTGAGTTTTTTTCCTCTATGTAAAACGAATAAGTTTCGTAAGATGTTAATTATTTTATCTAAGCTCCATGTTAAATACCTTTGTCACGGCTGCTGCAATTTACCATTTAACTGTACATGTTTTATCCAACTCAGGTGACCCAAATGGAGCCGTACTATCAGATAGTCAACAAGATGAGTTGCTAGAGGAGAAACCAGGGTTCAGTGCAACATTTCCCAATGGTTTTGAGGTGATCGAGATATTCTCATTTGGCACTTAATAAGTTGTTTAAATCATTGCCTGAAGAACTATGGTTTAGAATGATGTAGTGTAGTGCTTTATGCCCATCACTTATGTTTAGCATTTGGAATTTTGGCACCTGAGTCTTAATTTGAGAAATTTATGAAACTAATCCTATAAGTTATTCTAGAGCTTCGTTAAGGATATGCGCTTTTGTACTGTTGCTCCATAAAGTAATTACAGTGAACTTCTTGGTGAGAGAAAATATAGGAGCTGTCCTGTTCTAAATGTTATTTATAGGTGCTCCTGATTGCATTATCAACCAGTATCTCATTTTGAGTCTTAAGTTCAAATCCGTAGGGTGAGTGTGTGAGTGTGAAAACTGTTATGTTCATGTCATTATAGTTCAGGCATCATTCTGATTTTGCTTCATCAAAACACAAGCATGTTGTATTTTAATTTTAATCAACACTTTTGTTTTATCAGAGCCTGCTCACAGAAGTCTGCGATGAAACAAAGATTGCTGAGCTCAAAGTTAAGGTAATGCCAAAAGTGTCTGTTTGGGTACTGTAGTTTTCATTAGAAAACAATATTGAAAATGTCCAATTCCTTATTTTTGTGATTGTGAGTTACAGAACTTTAAAACTTCTGTTTTACTTCAACAATGTGAAATAAAAAGGGTTTATTGAGACGGCAGTAGTGACAAGGAAAAACCCTGGAGTCATTTTATATTAGAGTGAAAAAAAAGTAAAAAGAAATTGTTAAAACTTTCACTATGTTTGGTAATAAGCAAAGAGGCAGTTTAAAATGTCAGGGAAGTTATTCCTGGCAAGGCCATCATATTTTTATGGCTAATGTGATTTACCAAATTGGTTACATGATGAAAGTATCTATATATGCACTAATTTCAATACTCTTTGATATGCCTCCCATTTGAGCTTTCGATGGTTAGTTCCTTGCTGTTTTCGGTAGCATTATGGTATTTGTCACAGGTTTTTGTTAGTATTAAGGCTTTGATGAAGGCGTAGGGGGTTTGACCCATGACTTCACAGTCAGGAGTCCACCCCCACACCAAGAGGCCATTCCTTACGGGACTCCCTTGCAATATCTATTGTTTAACAATAATGTGGTTTGTGTTGATGCTATAGTCAGTAGCATGTACTTTAACCATTACAGAGTCGATGAATTATTGCATTTTAGGAATACTAGTGCTTACAGTAATTTTTATTTATGGAATAGTTTGGAGAATTTGAAATTTTCATGAAGCGGAGTATTGATTCCCCAGCTCCCCCTGCACCTGCTAGTCCCCAAACAATTACATCACCTGTTCCAAATACGCCAACGAAAGATGCAGCAGCTGCTGCTCCGCCACCACCACCACCTAAAGCATCTGGGGAAAAGGTGAAGCCATTTACAAATGTCTTTATTGAAAAGGAAACCAAATTGGCAGCATTGGAGGCCTCTGGAGCTACTGGCTATGCTATAGTATCATCACCCACGGTATGTGTTGCATGGTCTTCTGTTTAATTGTATGTATGTGTCTTAGTAACCGTTCGTAAGTGATTTGTATCCTTTACTTCTTAAAGGTTGGTTCATTCCGAAGAGCCAGAACACTGAAAGGAAAGAAGCAACCCCCAGCTTGTAAAGAGGTGCGCAAAATTCAATAATCCTCCACTCTATCAAACATGTTTTCTCTTTTGATGCTACTTTCTTTCCTTCTTCTTCTTTAGTTTTTGGTAGCTTGTCCCAAGGGGTGTTCGAATTCGAATGATATTAGGACATTTTTTAAGTATTGTCTACCCTTCCATGAAATCTACCTGTCCTTCACATATTCCTTGGCCTCCTTATGTTCTACACCTGAAATGTTTATGTTCTAACACTCCAACTTAGCTGAAGGATGTGTGCCCATTTGATTTAGTAGTAAGTCACGTATATTGAATTGTGGAATGTTCTTACTTCCAGCAAATATCTGTCTGCAATGTATTTGCTCTGTTCTAGAAGCTCCATCAGAACCATCATGTGATATTTGCTCTAATATAGTTCAAAAATGGTTTGTGACACGATAAATTTTTTTGGGATTCAACATTGAAAACGTGGTTCTGAGTGTCTTGCAATGTTCTTTTATTAATGTGAAAATATTAGAGCTGGCCGTGCTGCATGGGCAAGGTTTCATACCATTGAGATATTTCTCAGCACATTTTGAGTCAAAAGTACGCAGAGCAGTGATTTCAAATTTGTATAACTGATTGATTATACACATCCTCCGCTCTCATTTCAGGGTGATTCGATCAAGGAAGGCCAAATTATTGGCTTTTTGGATCAGTTTGGCACTGAGCTCCCTGTCAAGGTAAGCCTTGTTTACAAAACTTCTCATCATGATCCATTTTGCAACGGCAAATCATGATCATCTTTCTTTTATCCATTTGTCATCCGGGATAATCTGGAGCAGTCTGATGTTGCTGGAGAAGTCTTGAAGCTCCTTTACAAAGATGGAGGTACAATGACATGCCCTCTCTCTTACCAAACTGAAATTTGATCAATTGATTTACACTCATTTCTGGAATCAAAGACATTAAGTACGCACATTTAACATTGTTGTCTTTGCACTTTTAAATTATGCAATAAAATTTACACGTGGTATTTTATTCATTTATGTTTAAACATGTGTGATACAATTTATCCTAATAATAATAGTTAGTTTGGTCGATTCTTACATCCATCATCATGGTTTAATTTTCAGAAGCTGTGGGTTACGGTGATCCCCTCGTCGCAGTCTTGCCCTCATTCCATGGAATCAACAAGTAAAGACTTTTGAAAGATTGAGGTAAGTTTGATAAGATGTTGTGGGGATGCATTGCTGCTTCGTCCCTCTCACTGAAATTTTCTTTACTTTTAATTTTCTGTTACATTGCTTTAGGGCCCCCTTTTGTTTGTTGTAGGCTGATTGTTTTTCCAGTCTTAATTGGTTTCCTTTCAAAACAATCATTGGATCGGATCGGATCGTTTACATTTGATCTGCAAATACAAGACGTTACCTACACATTTTTGAGTAGAAATCCTCTTTTGATATATTGTGTAATGATATGCTCTTCCTCGACGACTTTTTTGCATGTTTTAATTCTGGCGTTGCAACTACCATTATATGTTATAACACAATATTTATAATATTTATATCTATATTAATATAAGATCGTCTTTATTATAAATATTAGAGCTGAGCTGGCCATTCGGGCCCGTCTGATTTTTTCATGTCGGACTTGCCCGACCTGGTCTGGATAGTGCTGGGTTGGCACGGCCCCGATTTCAGATCGGGCTTGGAAAGGTAAACACAATTTGGTTCGAAATTGGGCTGTGCGTTTTGGCCAGTATTTTTTTTTTTTTTTTTTTTAATTATGTTTTTTAGTTTTAAATTAATTTAGAAAAAAAAGTGATAATATTATATTTTTTTTAAAAAAATAAAATACAATCATGATTTAAATCTCAACCTATTATGTTTTCAAATATTAACACAACTATCATTTATAGACCTCATATAATTTTTTTATACTCATTCTATTTTAATTTAAAATTTATATTACTAATCATAAAAAATTCTAATTTTATCTATACAAAAAGTCTACAAATAATATTAAATATATATGTTTTTAATCTCTATGTCTACAAGTTTTGAGCATAATTTTGTAAAATAAGAGCAACTTGTAGTATCCTAAAAGATGATCTGGTGTCAAATTTGGATCTCTGTAAAATGGATGGAAACGGAAGGGATAAGAATACAAGATTGCAAATTAGTACAATGTGATAGTGTGATTTGTTTTGTTTGCAAGATATTAGATTTGAGTAAGTATTACGCACTTTCGAGTAACAATGAGAAAAAAAAAATAGTGAGATTATGAGTTTAAACCTCTATCCACGTCTCAAGTCACATCTCATACATGATTGATGTAACGTGATTCTCGTTGGATCCCTTTCTAAGAGCAATGATAATGACACTCGCAAAAAGTGGCCTTGAAATAATGACGTGTCTAAACCCGGTTGCTGTAGTTGGCAGATGGAAGTAATATAATACTCTATCCATCTCAAACACCTTGCAATATTTTATTTTTGTACATCCCAATCCCAAGTATCTTGCAATATTTTTAAAATAGAAAATAATTAATTATATTTAATCTCTACTCCACGTTTTATCCCATCACATCATAAAATATATATTTCTTTCTTCATCACATCACCTAATTTGTAAATTATCTTACTTAATACTACCCACCGTACCAAAAGTAAATGTTGCATCTTGTGCGAAGAGAGTAAACCCCCCCCCCCCCCCCCCCCCCCACCTTCTTCCAAATCTTGGTCTTGCCTGGCTCAATGGTAAAGATAGCACTGGATGACAAGGCAGACACGGTGGACAGAGAAGAAGAGGGAGAGAGAAAGAAGCAATGGTGAGAAGAAGAGAATCATTTTCAGTGTGATTGTACTTCGGCTGTATGAGGCAATTGCAATATTTGATGGAAAATTTGGCCTCGGAATTTATTCCGTTGTGCAAATGTCTTTTTATGGAAGAGGAAAAATTAATATTTTTCTTTATATTTAAAATATTTAAATTTTTTTAAAATTTAATTTATATTAACTATAAATAAAAAATATATTTTATTTATTATTATATAATTTTTAAAATATTAAATATATATTTTTTAGTTTTTTAATTATATATATTATATTTATTTTAAATTATCAATATAAATAATTATATAAAAATAATAAAATAATATATTATTATTAATTAATGAAATATTATTCTTTTAATTGTCGTCAGCACCAATTAGGCTTTGCTTAAAAAGAGTTTTTTTTATTTTAAAAAATTAAAAATTAAAAAAAAAAAATAATATATTTACTTAAAAAAAATATATAAATAGTGTCAAAATATATATATATATATATATAAAAACAACCTAAATTCTCTCTCCATTCTTCTCCAACCCGTTATTTATTTCCTTCCTTTTCCTTCTTTCCTTCCTCTTCCCCATTCTTTCCTTTCCACCTTCTCTTCACCCTCCCCACTCCTGTTCCGCCGCTGTGACCGTGACCGCTGCTGCCGGTAACGAGTAAGATATATATATATATTTTCAAAAAAATAAAAAAATGTTAAAACAATTGGACCGAGGGTTTACAGTTCGGAGAATATAGTAACGAAACCTAACCTTGTAAGTTCGATGGCGGTTACGGTTTGAAATCGGAACTGCCGTTTTTGAAAATGCTCGTGTTATTGCTTGAATGAGGTCTCTGCAAAGTAAAATAGGTTATTCTGTATCATCATCAATCGTCAAGTGAATCATTACTGGTTTGGCACCCCCAGGCAGACGTAGGTCTGCTCTATTAACAGCTTATTGTGTCACATTTGTTCATTCAGAGCCAAACTCTTCTAGAGGAAAGGATGTCGAAGCAAGGAGGATCCCTCTCGAGGCCACCCCTGCTGCTGGAAGAACAAGACTACCTGTACTGGAAAGTGAAGATGAAATTCTTCATCATGTCGATGAGCGACGAGATGTGGGACTCCGTCGAGTATGGTTGGACTCCACCACTGAAACCATTCCTGAAGCAGCACCGCCAGGCAGCAGCGGAGGAAGTGATCGAATTCCCACTCGCTTTGTGACAAAACCGAGGAGTCAGTACACTGCTGAAGAAAAGGCCATGTATAACGCGAATGCGAAGGCTCTTAATGTGATATTCAATGGAGTCGATGGTTCCTTGTTCGGAATTATTTGCACCTGCACCACGGCTAAAGCTGCTTGGGACGCTCTCCATGCCACTTTTGAAGGATCTGAATATGTGCGGAAAGCAAGGTTCGAATTGGTCGAGAGCCAATTTAATAGGTTGAAGATGCACGAGGGCGAGAATATACTCGACTACAGCATCAGGTTCAAGGGTGTGGTGAATCATGCTCACATGTTGGGATTGGTATATGACAAGAGAAAGCTTGTATACAAGATGCTCGGAACAGTCACTCGCGAGTTTTATCCCAAAGTAATTGTCCTACAAGATCTTGAAAAAATTGAGACAATGTCACTGGATGAGATAATCGGGATTCTGAAAGTCTATGAACTCATTCATTTGCAATCCAAACAAGGGAAAGTGTCTGGGATAAAGTCCAATAAACCACAAATATCTGACAATGTGATCTGTTACGGCTGCAATGGATTTGGGCATATCCGATCTCAGTGCCCGACAGCAAAGAGGAAAGACAGCAAGGCCATTGGAGCGACCTAGAGTGATGACGACGATGACCTGGAGTGACACGAAGCAGCTGCCAAAAAAGCAGTCACGTAGGACTTTTTATGCGCTTATTTCTCATCCAAGTTTCATTTTGCATACTCGGTTATCTAACCTTTTGTGAATGATGATACATTTGAGATTTAAGCTTTTGTTACTGTTAAAAGGCTTGTGATTATGCTTGAATATAAAACTACTCATTTTGTCCCTAATACTGAAGGTTATTGTGCATCATCGTACTTTTCTAGCTCTCTGTGTTTTATTCTGTTCCTTGTGCATTATGGAAAGTAACCCATTGAGGCTTTTGGTATCTTCTCCGATAATCAGTTCAAGGTCAGAAAGCTTATGATTTATAATGTTTGTTGTCTCTATACATGCTCATTGTACACATGATTATTTAGTATCTTCCTTATGATGTATTTAATAATGTAGCTATGCTTATCAGGTTGAGGTATTAAGGATTTTACCTGAGGATAAAAGTATCACAGTTTACAGATGTGGTCCTTTGGTTGATCTATGTTGTGGATCTCACATACTAAATACCCCTTTTGTGTAAGCATTTAGCTTTTTGAAGGTGAGAGCTACCCACTATTAGACAATATATTCATTTTAAAGTAAAAAAACTCGCTTATTGCTATGTTGTTAATTAGGCCTCATCTGTGTATTGGCGAGGAAATAAAGACCGCGAAAGCTTGTTGTGTAAGCTCTTGTTTCTCTTTTTACAGTAATTTCATGATGATCGAAGCATTAGCATTTCTCCATTACTCTAAGGCATATCTATCTGATGGGAGTTTTGATTATCTTCGTTTTACTATTTTATACTAGTTTTGTAGAATCATTCATGCTTTTTAACACCTTACAACCAACGAAGATGTGAATACTCTTTAAGTAAGTTCTCATTCATAATGTGATATCTGCAAATATAATTTGAGATTGCTACCATGTTTTTGCATATTTTGTTTTTAACATTTCTATCTGCGAACAAACATGTCTTCTTCTTCATCAATTAGGATTTACCAGCGGATCATTATCTATTGCATCACTAACCACCACAGGTTTCCTCATTCTTTTCTTAAGCTTAGGGCCCTGAATCTTTTGCTGTTGGACCACCAGGACAGAGGCGGTGCCGTCGAAATCCGATGCTGCTAAAAGGTCCCCTACAACACCGAGTTCGGGACACTCACTCCAGGCGCCAAGGCTGGTCAGTATCTCAGATTCTTGATGGTTCTTCCCTACTATAAGCAAGTTGAATTGCTTTCCGAGGTCTCTAAGTGCTGCTGCTAGGCCAACCCCGTCTTTAACGACTTTCTCTTGGTAGATAAAATTCTGGTTTTCCATGTTAGCTTGGCGTACTTCCTCGATCATGAGGTTGTCTTGTCTTCTTTCTCTGCTGGTGTCGCACCCCAAGAATAAGAACCGGGTGACTGTTAGATTAACATTGAGGTGTCTTCCCATACGCGCGCCATAGCTTAATGACTCTGCATCATCTGATCCGCCTATGTATAGAACACCAATCCTGTAATTCGATTGGTTGTTGTTCATAATGGAGAGCGTGCCCGATATGAGGATTCCTTTGTCTATGAGGATTCCAACCGAACAAGGTGCCTTGTTCATGACTTGAAGGTTCAGATTCTGAATGCTCCTGTTTTCGGATCTCACAGATCCATCTATTTCCCAGCTCCTGTGAAATGGGAGGATGATTATGGTAGCACTTTGGTCTAGTGCCAGTCGGCAGATATCATCGTTTGCTGTGTTAGTCTGTGAGATCGCACTGAATGCCTGCAGGGTGACGCAGTTTTCGTGGCACTTCTCGTATTGGTGCAGGGCTTTGATTATGTTGTCTGACCTTGAGTTCGTCGGCTGCAGCATTTGCGCCGGTCGGTGTGCAACTAGCATCGGCGTAGTTTGGCCTTCTGTGTCGTGCAGTGTCACAGCTATGACAAGAATGGGGCTCTTTTCGGTTGCATTGGAAGCCTCAAGTATGTTTATCATTGTCGGTACATTTTCTTGGTTCTTGATGCAGACTAATATTCGAAGTTCGGAATTCTTCTTCATGTGCTGAATTGTCCTCCTCTTCAATGGAGCAGAATTCTTCGTAGGATCGTATAGAATTTTGATCAATGGAGTTATGATAGCTGTGACTACAACAACCGAACCGACGCTCAGCGCAAACTCCTGGTCTCTTAGAACCTGTCTTCAGGTGAGTTTCAAATTCAAGTTAGAGTCAGATTCATTACTAGTTAACATATGATATGTGCTAAAATTTAATTATGATATGTGTTATATGAACTATTATCATGTGCTGTCGATACCTATATTAGAAACAAGATGGCATGGAACTTACCCGATTGTTCCGCAGTATATTGAACATTACGAGCTCACTGATGCCTTTCGCATTCATCACGAGTCCAATAATAACCGAGTCGTGAACTTTTATGCCGAGGAATCGGGATATAATTACAACTGATGCCACCTTGAATGTGCAGGAGCAGAAGATGATGACAGCGATAATCCATAAAGACTTAGGATGAATCGTGAAAAAATTGGTCTTGAGCCCGCTGGTCGTGAGAAACGTCGGGTACAGAAACCTGCCGACAGGATAGTCGAGTTTGGCGACGATTGGATCGCCTAAAGGCTGTCCGTCGGGCACCAGCAAGCCGAACACTAATGGCCCTATAAAATGCTGGCCGATCACCTCTGATGTTAATCCCACCAGGAGAGTCCCGATAACGCAGAAATGGACATAACTTCCGGGCAGGGTTCTATTTGGAGGCACTGTCCTGGCGATCTTGCGGATGATCGGACCGACCCCGAACACCATGGTAAGTACAAGCAAGATTGCTGATAAAATCATCTTCATCGCGGTTTCGGGTTGGTGTTGGGATTGTATTATTCCGAATGTGACGGCGATTAAGGTGAGACCGATAAAATCGCATAGCATCGTCGCTGCGATGGCGATGCGCCCTAAATTGGTGCTCGACATGTTGAGCTCTGTGAGGAGACAAGCAGTGTTCGCGAAGGCGGTGAGAGACTGAGACAGAGCTATAAAAGGGAGCGCGAATTTAAGTGTTTCGTCCATACTGACATATTTGATCAACACGGCAACGAGTGTCATGGTGCTTGCCAACGTCCCGAACATTGCCGACAACCCAATCGCCGCCGCCTGCCTCCCCGGCCGGATCATCATCGTGCAATCCTGCCGCACCCCGAGAGCAAACAGGAAAAACATAATCCCGAGCGACGCGCATATTTCGAGATTCATTATGCTCCGGGCGGGAAATATGATTTTCGAAAACAGGTCTTGTGTCCCCAACAGCGAAGGCCCGAACAGCACTCCGCCCTGTCGGTATGTATGAATTCATTCGTTATTACATCAACATTAAGTATATATATATATATACACACACGTACGTACATGACGTGACGTGACATGAGATTAATGCTAACTTACGAGGATATGTGCGACAATCGAGGATTGTCCTAGAGGCCGGAGGCAAAACTCGATCGCCTGAGATGTTATGGAGATCAAGGAAATCTGGAGGAGGAAAATCGGGAGAGAATAGCTCAACGGATCCCGGCCGGTGAGGAAGTTTCCGAAGGAGGCAGTCTTCTCTTCGTATTGACACACAATGTGCTTGTTTCCGGCAGACACTGCATCGACGGATATACTGCCCATGGTAAGATCTTTACAACTTTCTGTTTTGTTTTTTTTCAACTATGTTGTGTCATTCTTTTGTGTTGTCCTAAGAAAAAATTTCCAGTTTTTAGGATATGGTTTTTGATATCGAAGAGGGAAAAACTAGGGAGTGATTTTTGGCTAAAAGATAGAAAATTTCATTACCTCTAATTTGTCTGACAGGTTGTTAATGGTAGATGGATTAGATTACTTTGCTAAAACCATATTTATAGTGTGTTTATATTGATATATTTTTTTGGTATTTATTATATGTACTATGTACAAGTGTTTAAAGAGAAATTATGAGCGAGCTAGCTCGTTTCTTGCTTGATATTTTCTATCCCTATTCTAGTAATAAATATTCCTTCACTCGTCAAGTTTATGTTTATTTTTTCATAAGTATATTATATTATAAACAGAAGTATATTTTCTATATATTTAAATATTCTTCATATTTTATTGTATGATAATAATTTTGTTATTAAAATTCATTGCCACGGATGGTTATTATTGATTAGATTAAAAAAATCAAAATTTGGTAGATTTTTCTAGTGTTTGAAATGGTCCCATCATCCCATAAAATTAATATTTGTTCAAATGGGGTGCTTATGGATTCGGTGTCAAACTTCTTCAATTTTAATTGCCTTTTAGTTTGTAAAATCGAAATCCAAATTTTTTCAAATGCGAACTTGTTTCGTTAGGGTTAAAACCGAACAAATTAAACTCTAATTGCTTTGTTTGGTTTGACTTATTAATATTAATATTAAAAATACATATACTTAAAATTATAGTAGATAATTTTTATTGTTTGTTTTTTTTAAAGTTTGGTTATTTCAATTGATAGAAAATTATAATTAAAAATCATAAATGAATTTTTTAATTTAATAAATTTGATTTTGAACTAAATGGAATTGTCCAAATCAAAAATAAATTCTATTTTTTTTGATTTGGACTGATGAAGGCTCACATTTATTTATAGATGTACCTCGTGTGGTGTGTGCTTGTTCCCTATTAGATTGATTTTGTTTGTTCTGCATCCGAATTTGATAATTTTATATGAATTTTAATTTAAATAATATTTTAATAAGAAATTATACTTGAGAAAATATATTGTTATTAGGATTCATACATATTAAATAATACTCCCTCCCTACACATGCCATGTCACGTAATTTGAAAAATGACTATACGCTTTAATTTTTTTAATTTTAATTTTTTAAAATTTTAATTAAATTAATTAGTTATCTTAATCTTAATTTATAATTATTTATAAATATAAATAATTATTTTTATTAATACATTTTTAATTATCAACTAATTACACTTCTCGTAAAATACCGTGTCTACAGTGTAGCAGATACGGTATGTGGAACGGAGATAGTATCTCTTTTATCAATCTAAATTATGTTAGTATTTTTTGTCATTTTTTTTAATTATTTCTATTATTTTTTTATTAATTCCATAATATATTTCTTATAATGTTTTTATTTTATTTTTTAACTATCCTATTTTAATATTATACTACTATTAGGTTTTTAGTTTTCGTATTGAGCAAAATTTACATGCATTATTTTGAAGGACGGAAAGAAAATAATTGTGTATGTTACGTAGGAATTCGCAATCGTTAAAACTTAATAGTCTACAAATTAACCTGGTAGATAAGTTACACCAACAAATCATGTGTTGGATAAAACTTAAAGGTATGGAATGGTTGAACACATGATCTTATGATCATAAAATCATCACACACCACTAGAACATCGTTTCATATCGCGAAGATGGTAGATGGATAGAGTAGACAAGATAAGAGTAGACATTGAATGAGGAGTGGAATGATTAATTTCATTTCATTGTAGTATAACCACACATTTGGGGACGATTACGGTGCTGATTAAATTTGTATCGGTAGTTGTACACTCCAAAACTCAACCATAATGCCCAATCCATATTGGAAGCCCGATCTAGGGATAAACACGGCCCACAAGAAGGCCCAAATCAGTAAAATACTTGGTCAAAGAAGAGACGGATAAAGCATAATTTGAAAGTGAGAAGAATTCGGGGAGGTTGGAGAAAAATAAGGGAGTAAACCTTATCCGAACAAGATTTCAAGAATAAAAGGGAAAGAAGACGCCGTGAAAAGAATATCATCCTCTTCAACATTAATTTTTCCTTTGCAATTTAATTTCCGCGGTATTTTTTCAGAATTTTTACAGCTTTCTTCGATTAATTTCAATTTAATTTTCAGCTTCGTTCTTGTTCAATTTACCTTCTTTTTTCGTTAATTACTCGGATATCGCGAGATAGCCCGGATCCTTTCTTGAGGAGGCCGGGGAACCCTTCGAACAAATCAATTCCAACAGGTTTTTTCAATTAAACCGTCGGTGGCGATTTTTTTACGACAACAGTAGTCAAATAATGTAGTATGTCAAACACTATTAAATATAAATTTTCATTATATATAATAGAACTAACACCACATAAACATTTTATAGGTATATTTTCATATGGTGTTTAAATAGTTATTTACTCATTTCGTTTCACTTTCTGTGTCCATTTTTTTTTTTTTTTTGTCATTTTTTTTTTTATGAATATAAATTATACATTTTAATTTTATTTAAAAAAATTTAATGTATATATATTTTAATTTTAATTTAAAATTATTTTTATTATATGTGTCCTAAATTTATGTGTCTCAGGTATAATAAAATCCTCAATCAAACAACCCCACTCATTTGCTCTGACACATTCATTTAACCACTTGTTCATCCACCAAACGAGGATGCATTTATGTCATTACAACGGTGTTTGTGTGTTTGTTTGAGAGGTTTTGGTATTGAGTTTGAATTTTGGATAATAAAATTTTCAAGTAAAATAATTATTTGATGTGATATAAATAAATATTAATGTAATATTACAAATTTGTATAGTATAATATTCCCTTAGTCACATAAAAATGATACTATTTTTTTTTTGTTCCAAAACAATGATATGATTTTTAATTTAGTAATTATATTTTTTACTAATATAATTAATATTCTTATAATTTTTAATATATTATTACAAATATTATTATTTTTATATCACCCAATTTAATAAGGATATTTTTGTTATTTTCACTATAAATTAATATAATACTAATATTAAAAAATATACGTAAAAAAAACAAATATTACCTATTTTACAAAAGAGAAAGAGAGAGAGAAATAAATAAAAAATAGAGTAGGTGTTTGGAATTCAACAAATAATAAAAAGCAATAATAAAATGTTAATTTGTTTACTTTCACAAAATTGATAATAGAATAAATATAGCGGCGGCCTGGACTAAAAAAAAAATAAAAATGATAATTATATATAAATAGAAGTAAAAGTAATTTTTAAACGTAACATAAGCATAATATCTCTAAACATAGCCAAAATGTTTTAAATAAATAATGGTGTAGTGGATAAACATAGACGTACGTACACGTCGGCAGATTTCCCAACTAAACAAAAGGATGGCCATCCTCCCATCTTTTTATCCATTTTTTCGTTGAAGAAAATTGATGTAAAATATAATTATTAAATAATTAAAAAATATATTATAAAAATAATTATAGTTAATATTAAAATTAAATTAACTAATTATTTTAATTATAATTTTAAAAATTTATTAATCATAAAATCTAAGTTTTTCTTTTTCTTTTTCTATAAATAACAAAAAATACATACCAAATTAAAATTCATGTTAAAAACAAAATAAATCTATTTTCATAAGAGGGAGAAAGTATATGATGACATTAAGAGGAAATATAGGATAAATACACGCAATACTTTGTTATTTCAATATATGGAAAATTATGTAAAACGTATAAAATATTATTTTAAATTAAATATATATTTTTTTATTTTTATAAAAAAGTATTTTTATCTAATAGTATGTTATTATTTTTGAAAAATAGTCATAATATCCTAATAATTGTTTGGAATATCTTAAAAAACCCTTCATTTTCAACATATTTTTTCAAATCGTCTGAAAAGTTGAATCTGAAATATTGAACATTCCAATTTTGGGATAAAACAAGAAGCATTTATACGGTACCATTGCTGATTGACGGAATAATCCTAAAAAATATGCACGGTAGTATGTATCACCAAACATAATACTAGTAGAGTAATATTCTGCAGAAGAAACATACAACGACAACAATCATCATGATATTGGTACAGGAATTGCCTCCCAATCGTCATCTTCCTATTGGTCGGTCACACACAGCACACCTCGCTCACACTCTTACCAAATCTCGCATCCAACACACAGTACGAAAAACTAAAAATATCACAAATTAAATAAAGCACACCACACCAAACCCTAAGAAGGAGCAATGAAGTCAGTCTCAATGACTCACGCCGCACTCTCTTATTTATTTTACTACTATTATTAGTATTATTAAATTTTAAATAGCAAGCACGAGTCCGGGGACTGATTTACCGACCAGATCCGGAAGACTGCTCTGCCAAACCTCGCCGGCGCGGGCAGCGGCGACGGTGGTGACGCAGCCAGACTGGTCTGTAGTGTTGCCAATACGAGTCACGGTGAGGGACGTGTTGGAGTATTCCTTCACCTGAGTGATTATCCCATCCGTCACGGTCCAGGCGTGCACCCAAGCGACGGATCGCGATTCGTCGAATCCTTCCGCAAGCACGGTCGAGCCGAACGCCGAGATGCTGTGCGGCACGAAGCGGAAGCTCGACTCCTGAAGCTCGCCGGTGAGCAGGCGCATCAAAAACTGGTGCGACGGCGGGCCGTGGAACCACCACTCGAGGTCGGCGGCGAGGATCTTCTGGATCGTCTCGGCGTCGCGCGCGTTTAAGGCGTCATATAAGGCTGTTACCACCGCTTTAGTGGTCGTCTCCGCCGGAGCTTCCGGAAACTGAGGTATCGCCAGTTCCTGAGACTGCGAGTTGGGGGTCTGGGAAGAGGGGGTGAGAGAGATGAGAGTTGCTTTGCAGAGAAACTGAAAAGGGGAATGAGGAAATGAAGAAAATGGGAAATGGATTATATAGGAAGGACGTGGGAGGGCATTTTGGTAAATTAGAGTCATGCGGGAATTGTGATTAGTGTGACGTGGCAGAAACATGATTTCATTTCAAGCCAACTAATTTTGACCAACAGCTATGACTGTGCTGTATGGTTTTACACGCGCTCCAAAATATAACTAGTATACTTCCAATTTTTCGTCCAAGATCATTTGATACAATTTTTATTTTTATGTTTTAAACTTTATCTATTTTAATGGACATATGTATATATTTAATAAATTATATTATTTTAAAACATATTAAAAAATATAAAATAGTTTAATTAATTTTATAATATAACCTTATATATTATGCAAGGACATTCCAAACCTATTTATTTTTATTTTATTTTATAAATAAATATTTTTATTTATTTTTAAATTTTTAAATTTTATATAAATAATTATATTAATTATAAATAAGTACTCCCTGAAGAACAATACTATTTTTTATTTTTGTCAAAAAAAAATATATATTTTTTCTAATTTAGTAATTGTATTATATCTAACACAATTAATATCTATACCATTTTTAAATATATTATGCAAATGTAAGATAGTATTTATTTATTTTTATATATGACTATTTTCATTAGTATTTTTATTGTCTATGTATAAATAATATAAAAATAATGAATATATAAAATATATTAATTTTTTTAAAAAAATATATTTTTTAAAATAGGTGAAAAAACACACCCAGAGTTTTTCCAGAATAATAATAATAATAATAATAATAATAATAATAATAATAATAATAATAATGTTCTATGTGTTTGTTTGGTAGTTGAATTGTGGTTGAAATTTGATTAAAATAAATATTGGTATAGTACATATTTAATTAAAATATTATTTGTAAAAAATGAAATTAGATATAATATAAATAAATAAATATATATATATAAATATATGATTAATATAAATCAATGAATTTTTTTAGAAAGCGATATAAATATATTTGTTTACTTAATAAAGATATAAAAATAAAACAATATTGTAGATATGTTCATTTTGAAAACTTTAAAAAACTATATAAAAACTAGAAAGCATGATACGAATCAGAGTTAAGATGATAATTGATAAACAACCACAACCTTGGTCCTTGAACATATACATATACGTCCAAAAAACACGTCCATTCATCGTTCCCTTTTAAAAATGTATGTATGTATGAATACGTATATACACACACACACGTACATGCCGCTTATTGAGAAAGAAGCTTAAAAGACCAGTGACTTGTCTTCAAGTGCATAAACGTCCAAAAATGGTCCAAACACCATTCATCAAAACCAAGGCATGCATCCCTCTCTCTCACTCTGGATTATCAACATACTTATCTTCATTTGATCCTTCTTATTATTATTATTATTATTACTATTATTATCTCTCTCTCTCCCCAATAAATAGTCACAAAATAGTATATAATTATGGTCCCGCAGCTAGTCTACCTAGGGCTATATGTAAAAGGTTATATATCTCACTCTCACTCATTTATACATTATAAACTCTACAGATGCCATTTTCCAAAACTGAGTGTCACACAAATGTACATTACAGCAACAATAATTGAGATACAATATACTCATTTTCATACATAATCCACTTACAGTTTATCCAAAAAAAATTTACCTCATTAACTTGCTCCTCCACTTTCCCACAATACCTCTGTTTTAATGTCACAATCAATTTATAAAATATATATATATTATGAAAAGAAAGACCCTTTAACAGCAATAAGCCCTCCCCATCTGAGAAGCAGACAATTAAGGGTATTCAGGGATGGATCCCTACAGTTTTGTCGTGATTAGCTGGAAATTAATAAGCTCCACTTAAATGCACAAAAATGCAATATGTGCGTGCATGCATATCAAGGAAAACGACTCAAATACAGAAAGACAGCCACATGAATAAGACAGGGAGGTTTAATCTGGTGGGGGCGATATTATTAATTCATTTTTGGACCCATCTTCATATGTTAACTGGCGGTCCTCGAAAGCTCCTATGATCCACAACTAACCACAACATATCTATTTAACTATACCATCTATCTATCTATATGCCACTCTACTTTCGAATTTCTATTGAATCTGGTAAGAAATATTGCATAAGGTAAGTCAGTTAATGATCAAATCAGCACTGGGAAACTTGAAATTTAAAGCATGTAATCATAATTAATGCACACACAAAAACCAAACTAGAAGAGATGAGCGCACGCTCGAGACACAAACCAACCATTGTAATAACCGGTCAAGAAGAGTAGGCTTAGGTAAGATCATCCTCCTCCAGCTCTTTGGCTTTCAAGTGGTCCTTTACTCTCAATAGAAGTGTTGTCTTCCAAGCATCCTGTGAAAATGAGGTTGGGAGTTGAGTAGTTAGGGAAATGCAAATGGAGGGCGAAGGTCTAAAGTAGGTGAGCCCGAATTCATTTACCAGCTGGGTCATGCTATCGAATTCCTTCAGTGCACTTGTGAACTTTGTAATGTCTTCTTCATCCACAGCAGAAGCTAAATCCTGTAATCACAGATACGTGTGTATATATGCCGCTATGACTTGCAATATTTGATCAATCATAGCAATATGGAAGAATTGTAACCAAAGGACAAAATAGGGGGGGGAGGAGTTGTGTGTAGTAGTGCAACTTACGGCTAGCAATTTGCATTCACGTGTCCCAGAAAATGTAGGATCCAGATCCTACAAACGGGAGTTGGGGTTGGGGGGGCATTGCGTTCAGTTCATACAACTTAAAAAAGCACGGACTTGTCAATGTGTAGAAATGTAAATAATACCTGGTATTTCTCTAATGCATTTGTTATAGCAACAACGTCACCTTTGCACAGCTGACAAATTCCGGCATTAAGAAGGTGCCCTTTGACTCCATACTTCAACAAGTTGTTAGTAAGAGAATACCTAGCTATCTCTTCAAATATCTCAACGGCCTTCTGATACCTGAGGAAAAAATAAGGGCCCATGACGTATTTCACGACATGATACAGGATCATGGAAGTTAGAAAATAAGAACAGTTATAAAAATCAAAGTGCGATTAATTATGAAGACAAGAGTAAAGAAGAAAAGTTTAGATAAGAAGCAATGTGCAAATGGGATCGGCCAGCTAAAGTGGCAGCCAGAAATGTCAATTGATAATGTGCATTTAAGTTTGATGTATGCTGGAAGCAAAATAAGTTAGAGTTCGTGTAAGGATAATGATAAAACCTCATACATACAATCCATGGTTAAATTCTCCCTCCGTCCATTAAAATTAGCCCATTTGGGCTCGGCACGGGAATTATAAAAAATGAATATTTTATTGAAAAAATGATAGGTAATTGAGGTTATTTTTGAAAGTTTAATTAAAAAATAAAGTAAATGAAAAGAGAGAATGTAATAAAGTTAGTGGTATGTATTATAAATAAGTGTTGAATGGAGGGTAATGATTAAATGTTGATTTGTCTACTTTGCCAAAATTAATAATTGGATAAATTTAATGAACGGACTAAAAAGAAAAGTGAATAAATTTCGCGAACGGAGGGAGTATATCGCAAGGTTTATAAGCAACAATTAGAAATGAGATAGAGATGAAATAAGCAATGCTCTAAATTATACTACCTCCGTCCAACATACCGTATCTGCTATACTGTAGACATGGTATTTTAGGAGGGGTGTAATTAGTAGATAATTAAAAATGTATTAGTGAAAATAATTATCCTATAATATAAATAATTATAAAATAAGATTAAGATAACTAATTAGTTTAATTAAAATTTAAAAAAAATAAAATTAAAAAGTTTAAAATGAGATTAAAGTGTATAATCATTTTCCAAAAAAGGAAAGTGACATGGTACGTGGGACGGACATAAACGACAACGTGGACATGGTATGTGGGACGGAGGGAGTAATATAGGAAAAAATATAACTAGGCAACTTGTTTGGGGGATTTGTCTCCAAATACACTATTCATCCAATTTTTTCCCCCAAAAACATCAAATCAAACACCTAATTTTCATTTTTCATATTATACTAAAAATCAATTTTATATTCAAAACATCACATCAATACCTATTTATGTCATATTATACAACTATTCAAATTCAAATTTTTTACTATTCAAATCCCAACTCAAAATTCAAACCCCCAAACAAACACACCCTTAAAGAACAAAAAGAAAGATAAACAACAGCTTGCAATTCTAGTAAGAAGCATGGAATAAAAGACAATCAGCACGATATCACTCTGAAGAGAGAGAGAGAGAGCAGGCAAACTTAACTGTTCTAACTGTGCAGCAAATTGAGCAACTTTCTGTTTACATTGATTTGCAGATGTTGTTACTTCTTCACTTTGAAAGAGATCGGCAGCTTTTTCATAGTAAACGGTAGCCTTCTCCAAATTCTGCTCTTGTTCATACAACTCAGCTATTTCCTGCCAAGTACAAATATTTGTTTATTGCCTTTCAACTTACAGATTACACATATGCGCGCTATCAACAACCTAAGATGCTAGTTTCATTATTTTTTCACAAGTATGATCAAGGTTAGAAAATTTTATTAAGGGTGTGTTTGTTTGAGGGATTTGTTTGGATTTCCACTATTAATCCTATTTTTTCCCCCAAAAAATATCAAATCAAACACCTATTTTTCATTTTTTATATTATACTAAAAATCAATTTTACATTCAAAACATCACATCAATACCTATTTATATCACATCATACAACTATTCAAATTCAAATCTCATCTAAAAATCCAAACCCTCAAAAGTGTTCCCAACTCCCAAGTGAATGAGGGGTGGAATTTGATTAACAAGGACAAAAATGTCGGCAATGACATTAAAAGTGACAAAATTACTTACTTTGTAATATCTGGCAGCCATATTAAACCTTCCAATATCCAGAAATAAATTTACAGATTGCTCTAGGCATGATGCGGACTCTGCAAAATACAATGCAAATTAATAACAGTTTCTGAAATGACCTTGTGTGATGAAGCAAAGCAACAAGATGAACATAAACTACAAGCATTAGCAATTCTACTCCAACGTGGGTTTATATAGGTCATAAATTTTAAACCGTGAACACTCCTTGCACCGAAGGACAACAAAATCGTGCTCCCGTTTTACCCAGATCCAAGAATAGTTCTCCATATGGAAAGTTCCATCAACACGTACTATATAACCAAGCAATTTACACCCATTATGTGTTAAAAAAAAAAAAAAAAAAAAAAAAAAAAAGTCATACTGAACACAAGGATACCTTTGATGTTGCACTTTTTGTAGCAGTGAGCAGCATCAGCATATGCACCAGCAGCTTCATGTTTGCTGTCCAACTGCACATTGAAATTTAGATAAGCAAAACTAGGTAACAACGACAGGTGAATGGAGAAAGGATAAATTTGCTGCATATCTAGCTGCAAGCCTACGGAAAGCTTACTTTCAAGTGACAGTTAGCCAACTTCACATACACTGCTCCAGCCTGATCCCCTGATTAAATCAATGTTTATATTACATATGATCAACAATTGTTCATACATCAACGGTTGCGATCACCAAGAGGATAAATTTCATGTGTGCAATATATATATATATATATATTATAGTTTTTATATTACATTAATAAAAGTTCTTCATACAAAAGAAGGCACGAGCTTCAAATTCAACCTCAGTAGCTACTCTCGCCCATGGGGTTTCATACTTTATCAAACAATTGGAGTCGGCATTAGCTTTCGATTTGGGGGTATTTTCAAATACCATCCAGAATGAATGCACACTAATTAAACATGGAGGATCTTAAAAATGAGACAATCTTTTAAAATTCTATTTTAGATAGGAACTCGGTAGGAACTATATGATCCCAGAGGAACTTAATCACAGGCACATCAATTTTAACTGTTCTTTCTACAATTATTCTCTTGCATACCAACTTTATGTAACATTGGAGCTCATCTGCACAATAGTAATCATGTCTTCTCCATCTGTTCTTCTTCCCCCAACTAAAATACAGATCTAAAACCAGAATTCTTGGAAAATGCAATTCACTCTAATAAACCTATGATAAATAAAGCCGTTCTCATCCTTCACTAATAACCATTCAATCAAAAACCGTAGAAACTACGATTGCAATGAACAAAACAGAAACCGCAATCAACAACCAAACCGATATGAATTGAAAGGATTGATCAAGCAAAGCATTGATCGCATATTTGAAGGACTTACATGATTTAGCGAGCTTATATGAATTGGCAGCTTTATCGAATAAATCGGCTGCTTCTTCGTATTTGGAACCGAAGATGCCCCAGCCGCTGAGCGTCTTCTCGGCTTTGCTCTCGAAATCCTGCCCTCTGGCTAAGTGATCGCCCATTGTTCGACCCTCGTTTCGAATTCTTCACGTAAAACGGTGGTGTGTAATGTGTTGCTGAGGATTGAAGGAAGGGAAAGGAAAAAGGGAAATAGATTTACCAGAAATGTCGTGGCGATATCAGAAAAGTACATTCCGCTTTGCCATTGTCATCGTCAACACTGAACAACCTTCTTTGAATTGCAAACTGCTGGATGACACATACATATTTGGGCCCAAAGCCAATCCCAAACTTAATGCTCTTGGAAAATTTTAGCTAATTTGGGTCATCATTAATTTAAAATCTGTTGAATTTGTTTGTTCAAGTAAACTTTTACTCATATTATTTTTAATATAGTATATAACATCATTTTCGTTTCCTGATAATCTATCTATTTGCGGTCATTACTTTTAACATTCAAAATATCATTTTGTATAATTTTTTAATAAATATCATTAATTAATATTATAAAATACCAATAAAAATAGTTTTTATTATTATTTTATATAATAATTAATTTCAAATATTAATATAAAAAACTAAATAGATATATTAGTGGTGGATGGAGAAAATACTATTTTCGTTCGTCCGGTAAAATTAATATTTTAAATTAGGCATGAGAATTTAATAAAAATAAATATTTTTATTAAAAAGTAATAAAAGTAAAAGGATAATTTAAATTATTTTAAAAAAACATTTAAAAAATAAATAAAATAAAATAAAAACAGTGATATAAATTATAAATAAATATTAGATTGAAGATAATATATTTGTTGACTTGCAAAAATCAATAATAAAGTAAATTTAATAAACAAATTAAAAAGAAAATATGAATAAGTTTAAATAAATGATTAAATATATATAATATACTCCCAGCGTCCCAAAAGAGTTGTTTTGTTTTTTCATTTTCGTCTTTTTCAAAACAATTATTTTGTTTCTTATTTAGTAAATATGATCTTTCACTTTATAACAAAATTATTCATATTTTTCCAAACTACCATTAATTATTTATATCCACTTTTAATTAAATACTATTATTCCTTAATTCCTGTGCCAACTCCCAACAAGACATTTCTTCTGGGATGGAGGGAGTATTTTTAAAAAAATTAATATTTGAATATTAATTATTATTTCACAGTAATAATAAAAAAAAATGTTTATACTAATATCATGTATAATGATATTTGTTAAAAAAAAATTATACAGATATAATAATATTTTTAAACATACGACGATCCTTTGCCGAAACTCTTTGGGAACATTGTTGCCGAGATTGATTGCTTCGCTCGAATCAACTATGTTATGATAAACGACTCGTCTCGCCGTGACCTTCTCTTGAATTCTCAAGACTTCTGTAGCTCCATCCCCGCAGGGGCAGAGAACCCGTCGCTGTCTCGCACGAATATTTTAGACATAATATCCTTTTGTGTAAAATATATTGAATATATTTTAATATTTAAATAAAAATAAAATGAGGATTCAAACCAAAATTATATTTTATAAATTGTTGTGGTCGGCTGTTGGTACGAATTCTTCTTTTGTTTTTACACACGCATACACACTCACACCCCAGTTCAACCCTCAAACGAGGGATATCTCACTGGCTATTGCTAGAGTTTAGGCTGTTCAGTTTGTCTCTTCCACTTCCACTGCAGTTGAAATTCATCCAAAATCTTAAAGTTACAATTACAATCCGAGTATGTTTCTGTTGCATAATTTGGGAGTTTTTCACTATACAATAATTGTAGGAAAGCAATTTACATGCAAGACTGGATTTCGAAAGACAACTTCTGCATATTTACGGCTAAGACAATCGTAAATTAATTTTACAATTTTTTCTTTTTAAAATAAAAAATACTGTATATATGAAAGCATAACATTTCATAACTATAGAAAATAAATTATTTTATTATTTTAATAACTATTATTTAATAAAATATATACCATATTAATATTATTTAAAATAGAATTTTATATGTCCCGTAAGGATGGTCTGATGGTATAGAGATTGGACTTGTAATCATAATCCTCGACGCCGGGTGTGACTTTCTCTAACCGTCGGGCCTGATTTGGAGGATATTAAGTTTGGTCGCGGTTTACTCGGTACGCACTTCGGGTAGCAGCGAATTTTATATACTATAAATAAATATAAAATTATAAATACTTTTCAAAATTAATACAATTTAATATTTAAATGACATTATTATTAATTTTATAAAGTTAATTTAATGTAAACTTATATAGTTATTGTTGAGCACAAAAAATAATAATAATAATAATAATAATAATAATAATAAATAATGGCAGTAGGATTCTTCATGGGTCTGGATATAAGCCAAACGGCCCAGAAGTCGGGCAAAAAGAAGTTGGACAAGGAAGGATGATCGGCCGATACGGAGGTCGGACAGGACAAGGTCAGGCACGGAGATCGGACGTGATAAGGTCGGGCAAAGAAGTAGTATCAGCAGACGCAGAGGTCTGTCAAGACGAAGGTCGGGCAGAGAAGAAGTATCGGCAGACGCGTAGGTCTGTCAAGACGAAGGTCAGGCAGAGAAGAAGTATCGGCAGAGGCGGAGGTCTGTCAAGACAAAGGTCGGGCAAAGAAGTGTCAAGAAGATAGTCTGTTGAGCCAGTTGTCCATCTAAGGATATAAGACAAACAGAACCGGTCGGTTGGTTCGCTGTCGGATGGTTCGTAGTCGGTTGTCTCGCGGTCGGACCAAATGAGGTCGGACGGAGGACAGCTGATACGGCGGTCGGTCGAAAGAGGAAGTCGGGCGAAGAAGGACGGCTGATATGGCGGTCGGTCGAAAGAGGAAGTAGGGCGAAGAAAGACGGCTGATACTGAGGTTGGTCGAAAGAGGAAGTCGGGCGAAGAAGGACGGCTGATACGGCGGTTGGTCGAAAAAGGAAGTCGGGCGAAGAAGGACAGCTGATACGGCGGTCGGTCGAAAGAGGAAGTCGGGCGAAGAAGGATGGTTATTACGCAGGTCGGACCAAGTGAGGTCGGGCGAGAAAGAATGAGACGGACGATACGAGGTCGGACAAGAGACCAGATGGTGGTCGCTTGATGGGGCGGCCGATGAATCGTTTGGTCTAGCGACCAGTCTAAGAAGCTAGAGGTTATTGTTGGGCGGTTGACTAGTCGGTCGGGACCAGCCGCCCATTTAAGGCGGTGAGGTTTTCAGAAACGGTCAGCCGAGACAGTTGAGTGTTGTAACTGACACGAGCGGTTGGTGAGTCGGTTAACATACGTGTCGACATAAGAGGACTTTCTGGGCGGTTGACAGCGGTTGCTGTAACCGGCCAGACGGCGGTTTAAACCGTTTCTTTAAAGAGTTTTAAATAGGTATGTTCCTGACCTAAGAAACCATCTTCAATCGACATCAAATTCAAGAGAATTGCTTTTGGGGATCACCACTTTATTTTCCAATCTTTATTTTATGTTTTCCTATTTTATTTATGTATCCTACAGTGTTTAGAGATTTCTAATCTCAGGCACTAATTATATCAAATTCAGAGATATTTTCCTATTTTCGGATTTTACTTTTTGTTGTTGAAAAAATCGCATCAACAATTGGCGACCACAGTGGAAGCAAGACAAGATTGCTGATCCTACATCAACAGAGAATTTCATACGACTGAGGTCCGGCCGAATCATCAGAAAAATCAGTATGGCAGGCTCACAACCTCAATCATCATCAGCACCGGTGGGAGAAAATATTTCACCACCTGTCATGCCAAATCCAGGGGAGACTCCCCAACCACCTACCGATTGGGTGTCTTATGTTCAACAATTGAACAATCAGTATAATCTGGCTATGCAAAACATGTTGCGTGAGCAACAAAACCTTATACAAAATATGCTATATCAGGCATTATCAAAGGTTACTCTGCAACCCACCCAAACACCGCTAGAATTATCACCATCCAGATTTCAAGCAAAATTTACAGGGCCTTCATATGTAGACAGCACTCTGCCAAGTGCCACTACTAGGGTTGACAGGGAAAAAACTCCTATAACATACCCAAATAATGTTCTATTGGATGTCAGAGTTGAACCAGCCTTCTCTAGAGAAGAAAGGTTGGAGGAACAGGTTCATAATCCCATCCCAGCTGAGCCAACCGTCCCCAGAGAAGAGAGGTTGGGGGGACAGACCCATAATCCAATTTCGGTGTTCGATCCTATTCCACCTAGAGTGGATCCGGAAGACATTGCTCAAGTTTTGCGGGTGCATTTTGGAATAAATCCGCAAACGATAAATAGGCCGGCATATCAAAGACCTTTTTCAGAAAGGATCGTTAACGACTTTCCTCTCCCAAGGAATTATCGACCGCCGGACTTTCATACTTTCTCAGGAGAAGACGGATCATCCACTATAGAGCATGTGGGTCGGTTCACAACACAGTTAGGAGAAGTCGGTAATAACTCTTTTTATAAACTGCAATTATTTGGTTTGTCTCTTACCAGGATAGCTTTTTCATGGTTTGTAAATCTGCCACCTGGGCAAATACAAACTTGTGAAGGTTTAGAGATGACGTTCCATGCTAGATTCTTCAACCCTTTACCATCCGTTTCTCTTTCCGATTTGTTGGAAATGAAACAATGTCCAGAAGAGTCAGCCTCACAGTTCATCGAAATAGTACGATTGATGAAAGGACGATGTCCTACGGTAATCAACGAAAAAGAGATGACCAATTTAGTGGTTTGCAATATGCATGTTCGGTTGAGAGAGACACTAACTGCTCACGATGTGGAAGATCTGACAAGTCTCACATTAAAGGCAGGGAGGTTATAATCATTTTTTAGAGAAAATGATCACGACTTACGTCAAATGGGAGGTACTAAAGTGCAAGATCAACCAATGTGCAGGCCACCACCAGTCCGCGATAAATGGAGGTCGGGTCTAACGTAGCGTTGGACGATGGAGGTCGGATCCGAGGCTGACGTAGCCTCGGATGTTGGCTCGCGAACTCCTAAACATCACGAGAAGTGACGTTTATGAGTCTTGCGGAGGAGGCATATTGTTGAGCACAAAAAATAATAATAATAAATAATGGCAGTAGAATTCTTGATGGGTCTGGATATAAGCCAAACGGCCCAGAAGTCGGGCAAAAAGAAGTCGGACAAGGAAGGATGATCGGCCGATACGGAGGTCGGACAAGACAAGGTCGGGCACGGAGATCGGACGTGATAAGGTCGGGCAAAGAAGTAGTATTGGCAGATGCGGAGGTCTGTCAAGACGAAGGTCGGGCAGAGAAGAAGTATCGGCAGACGCGGAGGTCTGTCAAGACGAAGGTCGGGCAGAGAAGAAGTATCGGCAAACGCGGAGGTCTGTCAAGACAAAGGTCGGGCAAAGAAGTGTCGAGAAGATAGTCTGTTGAACCAGTTGTTCATCTAAGAAGATAAGACAAGCAGAACCGGTCGGTTGGTTCGCTGTCGGATGGTTCGTAGTCGGTTGTCTCGCGGTCGGACCAAATGAGGTCGGACGGAGGACGGCTGATACGGCGGTCGGTCGAAAGAGGAAGTCGGGCGAAGAAGGACGGTTGATATGGCGGTCGGTCGAAAGAGGAAGTAGGGCGAAGAAGGACGGCTGATACTGAGGTCGGTCGAAAGAGGAAATCGGGCGAAGAAGGACGGCTGATATGGCGGTCGGTCGAAAGAAGAAGTAGGGCGAAAAAGGACGGTTATTACGCAGGTCGGACCAAGTGAGGTCGGGCGAGGAAGAATGAGACGGGCGATACGAGGTCGGACAAGAGACCAGATGGTGGTCGCTTGATGGGACGGCTGATGAATCGTTTGGTCTAGTGACCAGTCTAATAAGCTAGAGGTTATTGCTGGGCGGTTGAGTAGTCGGTCGGGACCAGCCGCCCATTTAAGACGGTGAGGTTTTCAGAAGCGGTTGGCCGAGACAGTTGAGTGCTGTAACTGGCACGAGCGGTTAGTGAGTCGGTTAACACACGTGTCGACATAAGAGGACTTTCTGGGCGGTTGACAGCGGTTGCTGTAACCGGTCAAACGATGGTTCAAACCGTTTCTTAAAGGGTTTTAAACAGGTCTCTTCCTGACCTAAGAAACCATCTTCAATCGACATGAAATTCAATAGAATTGTTTTTTGGGATCACCGCTTTATTTTCCAATCTCAGAGATATTTTCCTATTTTCGGATTTTAGTTAAAAAAATACATCAAATTAAATGAATACATATCAAAAATTAATTCATAGAATTCAAATCAAATCTATGTAAAATTCAAATCCAATCTAAATTACGCCTAAATTCCCAGACCTTTTTGAAAGAAACACACCATCTTTATGCGCCATAGCAATATATATAGCTTCCCAAAAATACACTGGACGGGGATTCAGATTCGTTTCCCTTTTGATAGGCCTCGATCGTCTACCTGATTTTCCCGCCATAGCCTCTCACAAAGATTCTTCCTCTGGAATTCTCTACCATCTTCCTGCCCAGCCAGAACCCCAACACAGGAGAGATACATACATGCGTGTTTGCATTCACATCACGCACTAACCATGGCAACAGAATCGAAAACGGAGAGAAAGAAGAGGAAACCCTTGGCGGATATCACAAATGACTGCAATCTCATACCCATCTCCGCTCTGCGCGAGCTTGTGGCTGCTTCCTCCAATCCCAATTTGCGTCCGAAACCCCCAACCTCGATTTTGAAGTCCGTTTCCACTTCCACCACCAGCCAGAAGAAATTCTCCCAACTGTCGAATAAATCCGACGCGAGTGTCGGATCGTTAAAACGTAATTCTGCGCACAATTCCAGAACAGTTCAATTTCAAAACCCCCCGCGTGCGGCCCCCTCCTCTATCAATTTGGGTAACTTTCTGTTTTTCAGTATTCGTGTGTTTGTTTGTGCGATTTTAGTTCGTGTATGGAATTAATTTGTTGCTAATGTGGTGAGTTCATTGGAAAGTGGAACCTAGAGTTTTGTAGTTCCTTAAGCTCGTTGAGTTGTTTGTGTGCATGTCTGCAATGTGTACTCAGATATCATTTGAATTGTTGCTTGGCCAATGGGAGCTGTTGTATAAATCATAGTTTAATCTGCTAAGTTGAATTTTGATTGTTTTCCAGATTGGTGTATTATTTAGTTTTTACGATGCTTCCTTCAGTTGCAGTGTTTGTTTATAGTGTTCTGCTGAATTTTTGTTTTGTACTTTAGAAACCCTAAACTAAATTTCTGGTCTCTATGCTGGCATATTGTTTCGAAAGTTGGGCATATGGGTTTGTGCAAATGGTTGATTCATATTTTGGTTCCTAATTCAGGGGGTCGGAGAAATAAGGGTGCAGCATATAATAAAAAACAAATCACTGAAAAAGATTCGGAAGGAGAGGTTGATGTTCTGGTTATTAGTCCAACTCCTGTTGAGAAGAGAAAAGACAAAGGGAAGGCCATTGATGTACAATTCAATTCATCAGTGCACAGGAGTGAGGTGGATGTTCGGACTTCTAGTCGAACTCCTGTTGAGAAAAGAAAGGATAAAGAGAATGCCATTGATGGACCATTAAGTTTGTCTCCCTGTGAGAGTGAGGCTGATGTCCTGATATCAAGTTCAATTCCTGTTGAGAAGAGAAAGGACAGAGGGAAGGGTGTTGATGTCCCATCCAGTTTGTCACACCATGAGAGCAAGGTTGATGCCCTGTTGTCTGTTGATAGGGCAGCCAAGAGGAAGGCTATTTCTCAACCATTCGGTTCATTCGCACCTGAAAGTGAGACTGATATTCAGATTGTTGGTCCAACTCCTTGGGAGAAAATGAAAGACAAAGGGAAGGCCATTGATGTGTCATTCAGTTTGTCACCATATGAAAGCGAGGCTGCTGTTCAGACTTCTAGTCCATCTCTCTTCAAAAAGAGAAAAGGAACGGAGGACATTGCTACGCCATATAGTTCACCAATATGGGAGAGTGAGGCTGATCTCCTGGTTTCCAGTCCAAGCCCTGTTGAGAGGAGGAAGGATAAAGGGAAGGCCATTTATGTAGAATCCAGTCCAACCCCTACTGAGAGAAGGAGAGACAAAGGCAAGGCCATTGATGTAACATTCAGTTCATCACCATATGGTAGTGAGGCTGATGTTCAGACTCCTAGTCTCGCCCCTGTTGAGAAGAGGGAGGATAAGGGGAAGGCCATTTATGTACCATTGATTCCAACTCCTACCGAGAAAAGGAAAGACAAAGGCAAGGCTATAATTGATGTAACATTCAGTTCGTCGCCATATGACAGCGAGGCGGATGTTCAGACTTCTAGTCTCACTCCCCCTGAGATGAGAAAGGACAAAGATGTTACTGCACCATTCAGTTCATCGACATGTGAGAGTGAGGCTGATGTATTAGTTTCTATTCCGAGTCCTGTTGAGAAGAGGAAGGACAAAATGGAGGACTCATGTAACCGAAGTCTTAGAACTTCTCGTCGTTTATATAGAAAAGCAGAGAAAGGGAAGGCAGTTCTCAATTCATCTATTTCTTCAATGGGAGCACTAGAAGTGACAGAAAAGGCCACAACTAATCATTCTAGCTGCTCAAATGAGGGTGAAAATGGTAAATACGAGGGGAATGCTAGGCCTTCAGTCTCATTCAACACAAACATGCAAGAAAGAGGGAAGGAGTCTATCCTTCTCTCTGGTGAGAAGGCCAAAGAGAATAGGAACAATCTGGACATATTCAGCTCCTTGCTTAAGGAAACTAGGCACAAAGGTGAGGTGATTCACCAACCTTCTGATACAGTTGGGATAGCAAAACGCAATGAATCATCTGGTAGTCTGACGGTTGGTCGCCGACTTCTAAGGAGAAGAAGTGGAAAGGGGAAGAATGATGTTGTGGCTTCTAGTTGTCCGCCCATAACAAGGACCAAAAATCTTAGGTAACTCTCTCTTCCTTTCACACACGTTCACTGGACACGCTGCTTGCACTCTCTCATGCATCGATGCCTGCATACTTGCAGAATGTTGTGAAGGGTTAAATGATTTGTACCAACTAAAGTTTTGTTTTTATGAACAAGTAGTTTTGGAAGAATCAAAATCCATTAGGTTTCTTATAAGAAATTGTTGTATGTGTCCACATCCTGCATTGTGTATCTTCCTCTCATGTTGAGGTGAAATGTTCAAGCTACTATTCCATTCGGTCCATAATGAAATGTTTTTGTATCGGTAACCAATTGTGTTTGAATTCTCTATCCTTTTAGGACTATCCATTTAGGGTGTGTTTGTTTAAAGGATTTTGGTGGATTTCCACTATTCATCCAATTTTTTCCCCCCAAAAACATCAAATCAAACACCTATTTTTCATTTTTTATATTATACTAAAAATCAATTTTACATTCAAAACATCACATCAAACCCTATTTATATCACATCATACAACTATTCAAATTCAAAATTTTTACTATTCAAATCCCAACTCAAAATCCAAACCCCCAAACAAACACACCCTTAAAAGAGCTATAGCATGTGTTTAATTTTTTCAATGAATGGCTTACTGTGTTGCTTATATCTTTTTTCATGACCCTTTCAGGAATGACATTGATGAAGTTAAATCTTCAAATTCGTACACCGATCCACGCCCGAAATCCAGAAAGGTTTGTGCAATTTTCTGTCTGGAAAATCAAGGAAAATGTGACTATGGCTCTTACCTTAATTTTCTTGTTGATATTATAGCTTCACATTTCTCTAAATTTGTCATGCAAGCATATTACATGTTTATGTCTATTCAGGTACCTGGGGGGAAGTTATAGATACCTTTCCATACTTTGTATCTGGAGTACTAGAGTAGCTTTGAAAAGCTGATGCATGACAAATGGCTGTTATACTATTAATGATTGTTTTTTTGTTGTTGTTAAAGCTAATATACGTCTATACGGCATGAGAATGTTCTCTTTGAGTCAGTCTGGCTTTTTCCCTTGCCTGAAACTAAACTGAACTGTCAGGGAATACACTATACACAATAGTCCTCTCTATGCAACATGTTTTTTGATGACTTTGTTCTCATTAATTTGCCGAGTTTTGAAATTCAGTGCCTACTTTTTTTGTTTATGCAGAGAAGGCTCCGTAAGACTGAACCTATCAGTGAACTGCCCCAAGATTTCATTGAGCAGCAGAAAGCATATTTTAAAGAGGTTGATGAGTTTGAACTCCCAGAAGAGGAAGTATCCAACGACGAGCTAGATTAGTAGATGAAAAGGCCCTATCAGGTATGACTTTGGCTGCAACATGGATAGGGTTCTTGTACAGTCAAAACATGATGCATCAAGTGATAAGATGACGGGTTTTTGCTTCAGTTGGTGTTTTTACTACCTTTATTCTAGATATCCGTTTAGATGAGAATAAACTGAATACATACAACTTATATCGAATGTATAGAGTTTTTGTGGAGATGGGAAAGCATCTTAGGCCAAATTATCGCGTATATATTAGTTTGAAGCTGTATGTATATTCTTACCTGCTGTTACTTGCTGCCTTTATAACAATGGTTATTCTTGTTTTCTTGGGCAACTCTATCATGCTACTAAATGAAAGTATCATTTGTGTCCAATTGATTCTTTCTTTCTTTCATTGTGCTACAGGCCTCTCACTCTAAAACTTCTTGATTGACTTTACCAACATAGTCTTACTCATAGGTATAATCATTCCCTAATGGTTGAGCCATGAATGCCACAATTGTAACCATGATGTTTTTACTGGTGACTAATTATGAAGACTGCTGTGAAACACATATAGTTATTATTAATTGTTATTCATTTAGGGCATACTTCTTTTTAACATGTCTTGAGCAAGTGGACAACACTTAATCATATATGATCATGTCAAATTTGTGATTGATCTGACCCTGCAACAACACCCATCATCACTGAATTCCTTGTCATTGTAGAGCTTTATAAGGAGATTTATCCAAACATGGATTACTGTACATATATGCATTTGATCTTATGTAAATGTGTCTCCAATGAGGTAAGGAAAACATGGCATAAGCTTTATGATCTTCTACTGCTTTACTATTGCATATGTTAGCTAACAGCCATGGATGCACTAACACTTAACACACTTGTAGCATCTCTGTGTTTTGTTTTTTGTTTTTTTTTTTCCCTCTGTAGAAGGTTCCTGCAATCACGCAAAAGGTTTCGGAAAGCGGTTGTGTGATTAATGATGGATTAGCAAAGTGGTGCATGTTATCTTGCTCCCTTTTCTCCCCCTGTAGTCTTCTGGCTGACTTTTAGTCAAATCGTTCTTGGTGGGTTTGTGAGGGCCACTGTGCTTTTTCGAGCATGATCTCCAAGCAACCTGCTCGAAAGGGAAAGTGGATGGATGGATTGGTCCCAAAAATCTCAGTGTAGATTGGCGGATGCTTTTATTGCCTCTGCAACTGTTCCAGAGATTCCATGGCGTACCATTTAGGGCTTTGAATATGGTACGTTCTCTATTTTTTCACTTTGTAGCTTTATCTATCTTCCACGCTTCTTTTAGCTTTTTTCACTCAGCCATGGCAGTTGTATGTTACTGTGATCTTTCCTCTGAGGAATGGAATAGATTATCCTATTCAATAATCGTCTGGTCCCATGGCTTTTTCCCAAATCACATCATCATTACCATCACACTCTCTATCCTGTTTGTGGATTGTGACCTGGAATTTTCAACCGGAGGCTTATTTCACTTTTTGTATAAATGCACGAGGAAGTTGCCCCCATTGACGAACATTCTAAGTTCTGAATTCCAGGTTTCGACTCCAATTTGCTCCAGTGCACTGAAGTCTAGGCCTTCTTTTGGTGTGGTCGAACTTCTATGGCCGAAACGGCTGGATCGCCGGAGAAGAAGAATGTCGTTAACCCTAGAGTGGAGATCGACACTTCACCGCCGTTCGAGTCTGTGAAGGAGGCAGTCGACCGGTTTGGCGGTGGCGGCGGCCCATGGATTCCACTTCACCTGCTACGCTTGGCTTCTTCTAGCCATGTAAGACTTAACAAATTTCTTCATTGTTTCCAGTTTCTGAAATTTCCTTTGTGGATGAACGAATGTCATCATGATATGATCATGATTTTTTTTGTTTCTTCTAATGTTCGACGTCTTGTAATTGTCAGGCACTGCAGCATGACGATGGAGTTTTCGACATGGAGAAAATAGAGGAACAGACAGTGCAGCTAGAGAGGGACCTGCTGATGAAGGAGCAAGAAACACTCAACATCTTGAAAGAACTCGAAATGGCGAAGAAATTCGTCGGATGCTTGAAATCCACATTGACGCCGGAGACATTCTCGCTCGCTGCTAACCATATACCTCTTCCCCACGAAAATCTGATGCTGTCGCCGGGCTTGATGTTCGTGGAATTGAATCAGGCAAAGGTGAATCTCAGTAGAACATCCGTCGATCTTGCGCTGATTCAAGCGTCCGTGCAGTCGTTAAATCAGAAAATGAGAGCAGAGAAGCTCTTGCTCGAAAGGCGATGCAACCTGCAGCTACCCGATTGTGAAGAGATGATGCTCTCTCGACAACCCGATCATCCTCCACCGAGGAACATACCCGTTGTGGACCAGAAATTCAGTTCAGCAGACAAGCCCGGCGTTGGTATGAATTTTGAAGCCGAGCAGTACAAGAAGATGACAGAGGCGTCGAGGTATGAGGTAATAAAGGCGATGACAGAGATCGAACGGACCAAGAACAGTATCAAATTGGCAGAAATGAGGATAAATGCCGCTAAGAAGATGGAGGAAGCTGCGAAAGCAGTCGAGGCTATCGCCCTTGCCGATGGGAAGATTCTCGCAAATGATCATGAGAATTTGTCCGACGGTTTCTTGCGCAAGCCCGATGGAATAACTCTCTCGTTTGACGAGTACCGAGCTCTTACTCGGAAGGCACAGCAGGCGGAAGACCTCTGCAAGACGAAATTCATAGATACGAACGCCGTTCAGCGAACCAACGAATCCCGACAACTGGATGTGCCTATTCTGGAGAAATTCGAGGAGGTTGCGGTAGAAAACACGCGATCCCGAAAGGCGGATGGGCCGGAGAATAACTCGAACAAATTCAGGTTCAGGAACTCTCATCCTGCTCATCGGAGTCCACAAGTTCTGAACGAAAACAGATCTACGAAAGAACACTCGACACCCGGTTTTACATCAGCGACTTCGATCGGAGACATTCTGAGCAGGAAGTTGATCGTACAAGACGACGTTATTGCAGGGCGGCAAATCAAGGGCCATGCCGAGAGGCAACACATCTCTCTGAGCGAAATGCTGCGGGAACAAAGCCGGCTGATCGTTCACTCCCCTAATCCGGCGAGCGATGATCGTGTGAAAGTCGAGAAGCAATACATTGTCCAGAGGAAGAAGTTCGGGTTTATCCACGTCCCGATTCGCTGCAAGCATAGCAAGAAGAAGGCGGACGGTATGAATCTGAGGTGATATTTGATTGGATTCTGTATTGTACATTGGCCAGTATTCGATTTGCTCTGTTTTTTGGCTGCTTGATTCATAACGTTTGCTTGCTTGTTTATGGATTTGTTGCATCATACGGTGTTGATTGTTTTAGTATGAAATTCAGATTGTCCGTACGGTTGCTGCTTAAAAGCGTATTACTGCTAAAAGTGCGCTTTTTTAAACTTCTCTGTTAGCGCGGGAATGCTTTTCAATTAGAAAGAATTTTAAGGTTCCCGCGAGTTCAGTTTAGCCAAAGAAATCGCTCCCTGCTAAGATGCGCCAAGTAAGGCCGCGTTTTGCTCAAAGATGAAAGAAGAAACCAACATTTGGTTTCAATTGAATTTCATCTGATTGCCTGTGTCGCGAATATTCGGATTGTTTCTTTACAATTACTATGATATAATAAGATTAACGGCGGCTAAATACACCTCAAACATGCCATGGTGCATAAATAAAACATTTAATGCCAGGCTACCCTACGCGCGGCGCAAGTTAGCATGGTATATACTACCCAAGCGGCTCGCTGTCATAAATAGGGATTCTGCAATTTATTCGCAGTATAAGCGTAATCTAAATAAGTCCGTTGCTTTCAAGTTCGATGGTTTACCAGTCGAGAGCCAGGAAAAGGATCCACGCAGTCCGCCGTGGTCCAGACGGCAGTGCTTTCCAGAAATGGTTCATCCTTTCTTGTGATTTTTGATTTTATTATATATATATATATATATATTGTTAATGTTGTTGGTATTGTTGTTCGGTGTGAATGATTCGAACTGTTTGTGCAGTGAAAGCTGCGGGACTATGGTGGCGATTGTTTTGGCCGATATGCATGATTGCGGAGACGTGAAAAATACTCGAAAGAAGCAGAGAATAGAATGCGGAAGTGGAGAAGTTGAGCGTGAGAGGATAGAGAATCAGCCTAGATCATCGTTTCACTTTTTTATGTGCGAATCCTTTATTCTTGTCGCTGAATATATTGCTGATTTATCTACTTCTCTAGCGAGTAATTGCAAGTTTCTGGGAAGATTCTTCGCTAACTTGAGCCATTCATTCAATGAGCGATTCAATTTAGCGTTGCTTCAAGTGCTAGGGTTTGAATGACTAATAAAATGATGTTGTAGTCTAAACCATTGGATCTCAGAGTTATCAACTGAAATTAACAGTATTAGTTTGCTTAATTTTATTTATATTTGATGGATTTTAGGGAAGAGTTCAAAAAGACATGTGTAGATGGAAGTGAGATGCAGATAATAAAGAAGGGATGGGAAGCATGGATGAACATGCCAAAAGAAGTAAAATCAAATGAACTTCCATTTATGCATAGATTTTTCCCTCCTTTATCTGCATACAGGATTATCAGTATGTTGTTGGATTTCCTGGTATTTTAGGAGAGGTTGCCCTTTGTTCGCCAGGCTGATGAATTGCATTGGGAATACATGAAGCTGTTAAAGGAAGAGGAAGATGCAATGCAACCGGTAACTAAATAATTATCCAACCTTACTCTGTGCTTGTTGATGAAGTTTAGATGTTTTTCAGGAGTGCCGAAGTAGTTTGTTTACCATTTGAGCTAATCCCCGTGTTACCTTGAGGTGTCAAATAACGAATATTATGGATGCTTTATGATGGGGGGTAAAAGATCAAGATTAGGTCTAGAATGTCAATGTGGATGTTGTAAATCAAATCTTCGTCTCATTTGTCCATTTTGGGTTCGAAAGAAAGCAACAAGATGATGATATGTTACAACCCTGATTAGAGTTCCTAGTGGTTCTCAATGTGAATCCATTTTTTCCTAATTGGCTTATGAAGTCGACAATTTTGTAACTTTAAAAACATTGCCTTATGTAGACTAGTAAGATAGCCATTTTGATTTTCTACACTATAGGTGGATGAAGAAGCGGATTCATCTGAAGTAGGGAAGTATGATAAGGTCTGATCATCTGTTCTTATGTCGAGCTGCTAATTACCTACTTGCACCTACATTCGCGTTCCTCAACCTCACTTATTCATTTGGCATTAATTTTCATCAGAACTACGAGGACTTTGATATATGCTGGTATGACTCTGAAAGCTCTGGTGGATCGGCACTTTTCCTGTCTGAAACATACAAGGAATCGGATGACCTTTAACTTATTGCACGTATACCTCTGATCCCTTCATTAAAAGTTTCCATTTGTTATTTAAACACAACACGATCTGAAGATGAACCTTATATAACTGTGAACTACCGCAGGCAGGCACTTTGAAAAATTCGGGGAAAGTTGAAGCTGGACGGCGTTCTTATGAACAACAAACAGGTAATTCTCTCCATGGACTTTTGTAAGTAATCAATATTTAGATGGGATCTTAGTTTATAGTTTGTGAGTTTATTGATTTAGGAGGTTCCTCCATTAGAGAATTATTAAGCTGTGTGTGTGTGTGGGAGGAGTGATTCCTGTTTTTGATCATATCATGCCTTTGCTGAAAACTTGAAAACTTTCTTGGTGTTTTTGGAGCCTGCCTTTCAACTTGGGATTAGAGCATGTTTATTGTAAGGGGTAAGGTGAATAAAAAAATTTATTGATTAAAGATCTCTCCATGGACAACTACATCCCTCAATGTTCCGTCTGCCTGCCTGATTATACACAACCAAAGTTTAGCCTTGAGTAATCAACACCACCAACAAAACACAGAGGTTTGATGACATTCCATTCGTAATCAGCAGCAATGTTAATTTTCATCCAGAATCAGCCGAGCCATACACCTTCATAATCCAAATATCCGCTGGATTACAGCTGTGAATATCGACCATACCCATAGAAAACACAAACTTGTCCACATCCATACCATTTGGAGGAGGAATTTCGTCCAGCCAAATCAAAAGCAGCAATAACAGAGCGATAACCTGCTTCCCTACTGCTGGCTAACCAATGGATGGCGCCATTAACAAAAGCTCCGGAACGGCAAACATCAACCCTTTTCCAAAGATTTCTTTTAACAGAATACACATGTATCGGCACAATCAGGCTCATATTCATTGTCCGTGTTGTAGTAAACCATCTTATAATCATCACTACAACTATCATATCCAAACCCGTGCATTCTAAAGCTCTCGTTCCATTTCAAAGCCAGGGGAGAATCTGCCATGTAAAATTAGATAATTTAACTACATCAGTGAGAATACATGCACTTGTTTATAGTTACCAAAAGAACATACATAACCAAGTATAAAGTTCCATATCAGCATTGCATAAAGTTTATCAAGATTAACACACTCCATCTTATGGTTTATTATAAAAGCAAAATAAATTTAACAAAACAACACGAATGCAATGGCAATTCATAGGAAAGACAATCATGCAAGCAAATATAATGAATCATGGTATAATTTCAATGCTTCATTTTACTATTAATATTATATAGATATCGTATTCTCGTATTCATTTTCTTCTTCAAGTTGCAACTATTCTGAAAATCAACAACATGGAATTCAAAACAATGGAGGAAATAAAAAGGCAAGGCAGGCAAACAAGCAGTGTGCCAAAACACAGTAACACAATATCGATCACCCAATGCAGAATTCAAATACAATTCCATAATGCAGACCGATCAAAACAACGAACAACCATCCACTACCAAATCCAAAATGAAAACATAACAGTATTTGTGTGCATTATTATGATGAGATTACAACGACACTGTTACCAAGTAGAAGATCATTTTGCACCTCCATAAGCTCTGCAAGCTAAGATCCATTCCAGTGTATCATCGTATAAGCTACCAAATCTACTATCAACTGTTTTTCAAATTAAATTCAGACATTGTTTCCTAAATTGTCAACTATGGAATGTCTATGCTACAAAATTGAACCAGGCCATCATCCATGCTCCTTCATTGTTCTGAATATAAAAAAGAAGAAGACAATACAACCGATTCATTGATCAAATTCATATCTAATCAACCGGTTAATTGAATAGTCCAACGCTACACAAGGTCAAAGACACATTGTGCCTTAATTGGAGCAATGATCAAAATATACAAACAGAAAATACAACATTTTCATGTGATGCATACAATTTCCTCAAAATGATCAAATTAAGAAGCATTGAATGAACACAAAGGACCTTACCTAAGATGATGATCCTTTATATAGGCCCTCTCTTCAACCTCCATCACGTTAGCTTTCTCTCATGCATGAAATTAATCACTTTAACCAATTAACAAATACTTCCAACAGTAAAATCCATACATTAATCTATCTCAAATTCAAGTACTTAATTACCCCCAAACCATTCAATTAATACTAAAAATCAGGTCACCTTAACCCTAATTATTCAATCCGCCAAAAATCTGGGTAATAATTGGAGAAATAAATTGCAAAAAATTGGAAGAACAACGCAATCGTACCCCATGTGAAGAGCTAGCCGTCGGTGGCTACAGCTGCAGTGTGTCCGATTCGTGTGCTTTGATTCCCCCAAAATCTCGTCAATCTCCACATCCGCACTCCCTCCAATTGGCGAGACTCGATGACGACAGACCTTTTGCAATTTGTCTTCAAATCCATACCTTTGTTGAGACCCTTCGATGAAATACCTTCCTCGACACTGGGGAAACTATCCGTGGACAACCTCGGCGTCGGAGTTTTCTGTCTCGGATGATGAAGTGAAGAGGAATAAGAAAATGGAGAAGAGGGGAAGAGAGAGAAGAAATTGAGAGAACAACCCGTCGAAGTGGCTTCGCCGAGCACAAGCGACTGAGAATCGAGATTTTTCCGTAGAAATTACAGCCGTTGGGGACGAATTTTTTCGAGCACGCGATGCGACGCGGTCGACAGTCACAGTAAAGGCTAAGGGTGTGTTTGATTGGGGTTTGGATTTTGAGGTGGGATTTGAACCGTAAAAATTTTGAATTTGAATAGTTGTATAATATGATATAAATAAATGTTGATGTTATGTTTTGAATGTAAAATTAATTTTTAGTATAATATAAAAAATAAAAAATAAGTGTTTGATTTTATATTTTTTTGGAAAAAAAAATAAATGAATAATATAAATCTACTCCAATTCCTCGAACAAACACACTCTAAATGTGAGCCACAATGTATGCTCTAAGGAGGGAGGAGAACCGTACTCTACAGTCGGTTTGGGATTGGGATTGGGATTGGCATTAAAAAATATATATATTTATATAATTGTAATCACATTATTGATTTTGTTTTTTTTTTTTTTTTTTTTTATAAAAGTAATAATATGATATTAAATTAAAGTATTTATATAAAAAAAAAAATATCTCTAAGGGGATTGAGTTTAGTATTTTTATTATTTGATTTAATTTAATAAAGGGATTGAATTTAAAAATCTTATTTTTGTATATCTTATTTGTGCCATTTGCAAAGATCAAAATCAATTATTCTAATAAAAAATTATGAAGATGCTCTTTTGGGTGTCGTTGATTTTAATTAGAATTTTAATATAAATAGTATTTTGTAGAATAGAATTATATATTTGTATTGAAATCGTACATTTGAAATACAAATAAAAATAAATATATAATTGAATGTTTTTAAAGAAAATAAATTTAATGAATAGTAAGTTGTATAAACGAACACACACATCCTTTGTGTATTCATTTCTTGCCTTGATAATATTTTTATTTCGAGCATATTATTACAACTTTTACCTGTTCATTTTTATTTTCGAATCCTTTATTTTTATTATTTTATCATATATTTTAGTACACAAACTCATTACACATGAGACAAAGTAGAGATTTCTCAAAGTGGAGTGAAAAGCCATACAATATCAACAAGACATGATATGTACTTGGGTAAATCTCTTTGGAGTGAAGTTTGTATGCATGACAAATCACCAACAAGACATGCACTTGTATTGAATTAAAGCTCCCAGAAAACAATCCAAATTTCAAATGTGATCAAACAGTTGGTAGTGATACATGGCACAAATTTGAAATTTGGATTGTTTTCTGGGAGCTTTAATTCAATACAAGTGCATGTCTTGTTGGTGATTTGTCATGCATACAAACTCCACTTCAAAGAGATTTACCCAAGTACATATCATGTCTTGTTGATATTGTATGGCTTTTCACTCCACTTTGAGAAATCTCTACTTTGTCTCATGTGTAATGAGTTTGTGTACTAAAATATATGATAAAATAATAAAAATAAAGGATTCGAAAATGAAAATGAACAGGTAAAAATTGTAATAATATGCTCGAAATAAAAATATTATCAAGGCAAGAAATGAATACACAAAGGATGTGTGTGTTCGTTTATACAACTTACTATTCATTAAATTTATTTTCTTTAAAAACATTCAATTATATATTTATTTTTATTTTTATATTATATTAAAAATTAATTTTACATTAAAAATATCAAATCAATATATATTTATATTAAATTATATAACTATTCAAATTTAAATAAAATTCAATAAACATTAAAAAAAAAAAAAGAAAACCACAATAAAAAGAAACAAATAATTAGAATTTGAATTAGATCCACATCCGATTTTAATTGACTGCACTTATATCCGGGCCGACCCATTCTAGAAACAGCTAAACCCATACAACAAAAATCCTATCGGCCCAATATAATTAGAACTCATTAAGGCCCATTATCTTAAACCCTAATCGTCCTTGTATATATATATGTATATATGTATGTATGATGGCTGCGCTCCGTTCATCGCCTTCTGCAAAGCTCCCCCAGCAGCCGCAGAGACAGAAAAATGCCGGCAGGACACGGGCAGAGGGCTCGCACCAGGGATCTGTTTGCTCGTCCCTTCAGGAAGAAGGGTCCGACGCATCTCTCCACCTATCTCCGTGTCTACAAGATCGGCGAGTATGTTGACATCAAAGTTAACGGCTCGATCCACAAGGGTATGCCCTTTAAGTTCTACCATGGCCGCACTGGTCGCGTGTGGAACGTCACCAAGCGTGCTATTGGCGTTGAGATGAACAAGCAGGTATTCCGTCGTCTTTTCTGCGTAGTAATATTCCTTCGTTTTTTGCAATTTTATTTTGTTATGATTATGATTGTATGAGCCTTAGTTAGATCTAATATGCCTTCGTTTTTTCCTGTCGGTTTTTTTTTTTTTTTTTTTTTGGAGAATATGATTGATTTGTTTTCACGGTGTATGTTTTGGCGGTTGTGCTGAATACAATTAAAAGGCAGTGTGTATAACCATTTTAATGTGTGTGTTTTTGCCCAAATGATCTGTGTCTTGTTTTAGATTTGAAGAAGAACGTTCTTCTGTTCCACCTTTGATAATTTGTTTTGCTTTGATACTCATGTGTATAGTTCCTTGGGAATTGCTCATGAACACTTCAGTTTTAAAACTGTTTTTTGTTAGTTTATTGAAAAGATTGTTTATTTATTTTTTTTATATCAAAGTCATTACTCATTGAGCTGTAATTTTCCGCATTTGCCTTACCAAAGTACTAAAATTTGAAGAATATCAAGAGTATCTAAGGCTGTGTTTGCTTGTGGTTTGGATGATTTTGGGTATATCTTGTTCACTCATTGTTTTCGGTTTTGTATTTATACTTTTGCTTTTGATATTTGTAGGATAAATAGGTCAAATTTTATGTTTTTGATAAAAAAAGAAGCGTTGGAAGTGATGCTTTCAGAGGAACAATGAAAGTGGATTGTAAAAATTTTGTAATAAGACAAGCTTTCAATACAATATTTTGAATGAAAAATAGCTGGAGATGTTTATTGAGTACAAATTTGCTAACAAAATGGAATAATACAAACACATGACTAATTTGCAGCCTGAATTTCCTATCAATTTGTATTGAAGATTTAAATCTGGGTACTAAAATTACTACTTATTCTGCACATTTATACTTAATTGTGTATCTAGACATTGGTGATTTATTTTCTGTAAAGCAAATTGATCTGTACTTTGTGATTGCTTCGCATCACAAGATACACTTAAGAGTTTTTGTTTTAGAGAGATGAAATGTTATATGATTACGAATGCAGGTGGGCAACAGGATCATAAAGAAAAGAATACATGTGCGCATTGAACATGTTCAGCCATCAAAGTGTCACGAAGAGTTCCTCCAGAGAGTGAAGAAGAACGATCAACTTAAGGCAGAGGCCAAAGCGCAAGGGAAAATCATCAGCACCAAGAGGAAGCCAGAGGGACCTAAGCCCGGTTTTATGGTTGAAGGAGCAACAATCGAGACTGTCACTCCTATCCCATATGATGTGGTCAACGATCTCAAAGGTGGTTACTAAGGTAGATGACAATAGATCTTGCCTACTTTGCTTTGCTTATGTTATAACCTTTTGAATTTCAATGTTGTCGTTTCGGGTATGGTCAAGACATCGGTTATGGGTGCTATTATATTTATAATGGTCTGTCTATTTTTGCAGCAAGAATTGTGAGTGAATCTAATTCCATTTCTTTTTGTTTTGTTTTTCCTAGTTTGAGTTTTTGTTTTTTTTTTAGGCAATTTGATTTGGCATGACTGGAATAGATAGAAACCCAAGATTTCATATTTGAGCTGAGCTGAGCTGAGCAGAGCAATAGTAGTAACATCGCAGCTCCGAATCCTGATGATTATCTTATTCAAAATATGTGAATTGTAGGACAAATAAGCACACATCTTTCCAAACATATGAAGGAAAGAAAAGAATCATACAGGAGGAATATGAATAATTGCTCATGCAAAATAAGCTATATATAAGGAATAACTCTATCACAGTGAGAACAGCAGCAGATTCTTTTATCTTCTTGTACTCTGATTTTTTCGTAACAAATAAGATTTGGAAAACAATTGAGTTTGGCTCAATCAGGTACGAATCCCATGTGATAACAGCAACAAGGAAACTTCAACTTCGATAAGAATAGAATCCGTAGCATTTCCAACACAAACAGACAGTAATAGAATCCATGGGAAATGCAAGCAGTAAAGGGTAAATAAACAGGGCTGTGTTCATCTAAGCCGACTGCAACTTATTTCTTCTCATCACCAGTACAAGATGAGATTCAATACCAATCAAAAAAACTTATATGATTCATCCAATCAAGGGCACTCCTTCTCATATACGTCACTCGCGTATTTCCAGTTCATGACTTTCCATACATTCTTGAGGTAGTCTGGTCTCACATTTTTGTACTGCATGGTAAGAATTAAATAGCCAAATGAATAACTGGGAAATGCATAATGCCAGTGAGCATAGCAAGACATTAACAAATGAAACAAAGCGAGCATGGGTTCAGGAATCTTCACCTGCAAATAGTAAGCGTGCTCCCAGACATCAATACCAAGTAATGGAACCAAAGTAGGTACTTTAGAAACCAAGGGATCCTGTACCATGTAATGGATGAGTACATAATTCATCATTATCTTTCATATACTTTTAACAAAGAAAAGCCATCTTAATTCTAACTTAATCTTGCTCCAAAACCCTCAGACAAGTGTTCCGATTTGTTATTTTAAAATAAAGGGCTTGTGCAAGGATGCCGATCATTTTTTGGTGAATATGAATTCAATCTTATGGATTCTTACATCTCAAACTTCAGTATTTAATTGGTAATCATGAGCTGACGGCTGATGAAGTATAAAAAAATGTTACAGAATAAAGAACAAAGATAAGTGGAACTTTGAATCATAACAATCTTTCCCCTTCCACCAAGAATGATATAAGCAATGATGCAACCAAAGAGAGTAAAATTTTTCATTGACATTATGTCACATTTCTTACTTGATTAGGAGTTGTTTCAACCACGAGGCGCTTCGATTCTTTGTCCACACCAAGCCACTGCAAGATTATCAAATTATATGGCAAGCCAATAACAGACGATTAGTCTCTAAGAAGCCATGTTTGCAGACATTCACCATATACAGAAGCTGACAAGATAAAAAATACAGAAGCCTCACCACCCATCCAGAACCTTGTAGGGCAGCACCTTCAGCACTCATCTTCTGTACAAGAACATCCAAGGAGCCAAAATGATTATCAATAGCCGAACCCAAAGACCCCTTGGGCGGCTCGCCACCACCTTCCTGCAGAGAGGTTTCATAATTACAAAGATATTTGGCATAATTCCACAAATTGCAGGACTGCTAAGATTCGAAATCCCAAAAACAAAGATAAACTTACTCGCACGGATGCAAGATTCTTCCAGAAAATTGAGTGGTTAACATGGCCTGCAGGCAAGCAATACCACACTGAAATTACAAAAGATACAGTCTCTACTATCCACAAGAATGCCCCCATAAGAAAACACAGTACAAGAATTCCAGCAAGAAGAAAAACTGCTGCATACAAATGTCATAAAATCTACATATAAAAAATTCACCAGGTGAATGCCTAAGGCTAAATCCTAGCTCATGAAAGAGGCAGTATCATTCTCTCTGCAAATCAAAACCATTGGCGTAAAAATCCATCCAATGAACAAGGATAATACAATCCAAGGCCATAGAATTTGTAGGCCATTTTCGTTTTTCTGATGTATCCTTATCGTTTTCAGAATCTAGCATATTTCATCATTCCATACATGTATTCATCATTCCAATTCCCTTGCAATGAAAGGACCGAAACGACATTTTCAAACCCGATCCAAAAATCTAAAATTAACACCACCAAAACAGAAGTAAATGAAATCTGACCTCCCCCATTGAATTTGATGGCGCTTTGCAGCTTGACAACGGTAGAGGCGTCTCCTTTGGAAATGGCGCCATCGAGCTGCTCGAGCGCTTTATTGTAGTTGGTTATGTAAGTCTGGTGATGCTTCTGGTGGTGGAGCTGCATGATCTCGGCGCTAATTGCTGGCTCAAGAGCGCCATAATCGTAGGGGAGATCGGGGAGCGAGAAGGTCTGCAGGCCGCGGATCCCAATTGGGAGTGCCCTTAGGGTTTTAGAAGCAACTAGGGTTCGCAGCGCCATAGCTGAGTGTATTGGAGCTTCTGAATTGAGGCGGAAGAGAAATGCTGTTACCAGCAGTTGGATTGGATGTCTTTTTATTTCTATTTCTGGGCAGGAATTTTAACATAATAATAATAATAACAATAATAATCATCATCAAACATCACAATAAACCATCCCGAATACATTGGATCTTTGAATAAAATCTTTTGACTTAATTTTTTTTAAAAAAATGTTTTATATATTATTATATTTATTAATTGGATAAATTAATTGATTCACAATTTTATATATATAAAAAAAAATTAAAATTTTGAAATTGATTAATAGTAGAACCTACAAAAAATGGACACAAGACAAGTACATGATAGGAACCCAAACCTCTATATTTTACCAAAAAAAAAAAAAAAAAAAAAAAAAAAAAAAAATTCAAATCAAAATACTAAATATACAAATCCTAAATAATTAGTTATTTGATTATTACTTAATTTGTAAAATTTTTAAACAGATAAATAGATTGATTTTGTGTTAATCTGATCCATTTTGAACGGATCAAGTTCCCTAATATTTTGAATTATTATAATTAGGTTATGAATTATAGAATTATAGAAATAACATGTATATATAGTAATGAATACTAAAGTAATTAGTAAGTAAATATTATTTTCATAGTAATTAATTAATATTATGTTTATGTAATATAATATTATTAACTAAATATTTTAAAATCATATTTGAATCTTACTACATTACTTTATAAATATTATATTAGATGTTAGATGTATTTTAAAATCTTGAGTTAGGTGCATTTGCTTTCGATTAAAATGTTTTTCAATAGTATTAAATCAGTTTTTAATAAATTATAGTATTATTTTTTTATAAATATATTTAAAAAATACTAAACATAAACTTTAATAACACTTTTTTTAATAAAGACAATTGTTTTTTTCTAATTTCATCCTAAGCGTCACAATTAATAACATTTTTAATATAATATAAAACAATTTTAAAAAATAAAATTTGATTTAATAACAAAAAATATGTAAAAACCTATTTCATTTAAATAATATTATTTATTTTGATTTAAATAAATCAATAAAAATCATATACAAAAAGAAATAGAAAAAAAAAGAAAGAAAGAAGTGAAAGTACATGTAAATAAAGAAATGCAAAGCTATGTCTTGTCAAAGCACAGAAAAATCATCAATCAAAGCACATTGAAAAATCTTCAAACAGAGTTGCAAGACAAAAGGCTATTCATCTTACAATTCCTATTTCATAGAAAACCTTATTTTAAACGAAGATTTTGACAAACTTAGAGCTTTGTTGGCAAAACTTGGGCTGTTGAATTAGTCTGTGTCTGTTTTAACTTTATAGTAACTTGCTTATGCTAAACAAGTCCAAATTTCTATCCAAGTTTTTCAACTCGAAAGAACAAACTCAAGCTAAGTATTCACATAAAAGAGCTAAACTCAAACATAAAAGTGCCAATATCTATATAAGATTGAAATGAAGGAAAACTATTAAGATCGAAATGAACATACCTGATAGACATACAACACAGGTGATGGCACTTCAATCCCCGACCATCGAGCATTGGGAAATCAAAAAGACAAGCGTGCTAGCGCACATCAAGCATGAATGATAAGAAATCAATATTTTTACCCAAGTACCAAAGAACAAGATGAAGATTCCCATGATACTTGTAATGAAGTATTCTGTGAAACAGAGCACCTCTCACACCAGAAAGAAATTGTCAGCCAAATCGATCACACAGCACAAACAGCCAAAGTGATCATCACAGCAGAGCAAAAAAAAAAATGTCTATTACAGGAAATCAGTTAAGAAGAGAGATGGCCAACACCACAGGAAGCCAAAGGGCAAACCTTATGTAATCCAAATAGGATCGTTGTTTTCTCCTCTGGTTTTTTGAAACCTTGGAAATGTAGATGGTGTAGCCTCATTCTGAAGTCGTACAGAAACAACAAAAATGATGAAGTTTCGAAACAGCAGCATCAACAAAGCATCTGGAGAATATCAACATAACTTTCTTGGATCTAACACAAAAGTGCATAGATCGGAACACAGGCATTTCACAAGCAACTATTGTTGTTTTCTCTAGATAAACTGCAAGGGAGGTTCCTAACAAAACTTCGGCCTCCTGTTAAAGTGATCTAAAGTCTTTTCCTGTGTAGTGATCACAAACAGATTATTAATTATGATCACTACTGACTATTATATAGTTAACTTTCCTATAGCATATATTTTTTCCTCTACTTTCGCCTACACTTAGATCCATTATCGTTCCACATGTGCATAATACATCCAAACAAACTTGGAAGCCTGTCTATGACCAAAAACCAATTTGAAAATACTAGGATGAAACCTTAACAAAATCTCCCACAGAAGCTTTTAAATGATTAAATAGCATATGTAAGAATCCAGAATTTATATCTCTACAAGCTAATTTGTCAATATCTATTCTCCTGTACAAAATTTGCATTCTACACTTGTTGAAATGGAGAACGATTCCGAGGACCACAACCATTGCCCAAAAATTCCATGGCAGAAAAATTCAAGATCAAAGAAGAAGGGAAGGAGGATAAGAGAACGAGTGGAGGAAGCAGCATCTTCTACAGAATTTATTGGTCGAAACAGGTAGGCATAATGTAAATAAAGATTGATCTCTTTTCCTTGCTTCAAATCTATTTCAGCTTAAGTATAAAAAGACTTGCTCCATGCTCATGAATGCTCTAAATATATGTTGCTATGACACATATTTTGATTTTCTCATGGAAACACGGGTCTGTTTCCACTTAAAGTCATCAACAACCAAAGTTATCCCACATACTTGAAATAAGGTGAGAGAAAGATTGCAAATATGTAACTGTGTGTGCAACTGTGTACATTTATACACATACACGAGAGCAAGTGGTTTACTCAAAAAATTATGAAATTGACTGCTCCTTTTCCAATGTCATCAAAAGTCTCAAGCAACTATACCATGTGCTCAACAATCTTTTAGTGAACCTTATTAATTCATGTAACCAGCTGCGCGAAAATCAGAATATAAAGGTATTGTCAAAGTTTTGGCTACTATGGAGTAATGAACCATTCTTCATATGACAACAGACAATAGCAAAGCAGCAAACACAGGATTTCACTTTTAAGAAGATCTCCTAGATGTAAAAGAAGAAAAAGAAAAAGGACAGGAACATCCTATCCTTTTTACACATTTAGCTTAATCATAGTTGTGGTTTTCCTTTACAATAATCACATTACTAGTTACTAGAAGTTGGAGAATTTGTTCCACGTCTTGGTTATAATTACACTTTCAATCAAAATAGCATAAGAAAATAGCTTGGTAGAAAAAAATTTCCTTTCCAAACATAGAAAGGGTGTTAGTTAATGAATTAGGACCACATCTCATTAAGATTTTCTAAAAGTAAATAAGAAAGATAAAAAGCCCAAGACAGAAAATCAACAGGTAAATTTTCTTTATTATATTACAGAACTCATTCACACAATTAGGATAAAAAATACATGAACTTCGAAGAGCTTTTCCGAAAAAAGAGCGATAATAGAGAGTAGCGCATGCCACAATTAGGATAAGAAAATATCTATATAAACTTGGAAGAGCTTTTCAGAAAAAAGAGAGATAATACAGAGTAACGCATGCAATTTATCTTAAAAACAAAAGTCTACACCTGCATTTTACAATGTGAATGGACAGAACAGCCCTTTCCTATCGACACTCAAAATGCCTAAACCGTGCTTTAGTAAATTGTGCCAAATTTTTGACTAGGAGAAAAGTTTTTCTATGAAAAGAAATAAATTTAGCATCATATTATACATATGAATGACTACATTAGGAGCGCTAACCATATTTAATGAGTTTGAAAATATATAGTAACGACAGGATTTACAGCATAACAAGACACCAACCACAATCAATATCTCAGTAAAAGCTGAACTACCTACCCGTGTGTAAGCACATAGAATTCATCGTATCCTATCACAATTCAGAAAATCTATTTCAAAAATGTAGAAATTTAACACGTTCCATACATGCAAGGCGTTTGATGACATACGTGTACATCGAAACCGTCAACTTGGCACCTAGTATTAGGCACATTGTAAATAGACGCTACCAGTTATCAGAAGCGAATATCACGAGGAAGAGGAAGAACAAGCGCTCAAGATTGAAGGTTTTCTCATCAAACTCTCTTCATCGCCACCATGTTCAACTTCTTGGTAAATCGCAAGCTAAATTCATCTACGATTTTTCCCATTAATTTTCGGTCAGCAATTGCAGCATCTATCTTTATTTGTCTAATCAGATATAGAAATTTGATGCAGGTTTCGGAAAAGCTAGCAACCTTGGCCAAAATTGTGTGGCCTATAATTTTCACAAGCCTGCTCATGTATTCAAAGTCTTTCATCTCTACACTCTTCTTGGGGTATCTTGGAGATGCTGCATTGTCTGGAGGCTCGTTGTCTCTTGGCTTTGCCAACATAACAGGGTACTCTGTTCTCAAGGGCTTGGCTATGGGAATGGAACCAATATGTCATCAAGCATATGGGGCAAAAAGGTGGCCTCTAATGATCAGTGCCTACAGGAAAACTCTCACTCTTCTCTTATTTGCATCCATTTTAATCTCCATGTTGTGGTTAAACATGGAGCCTATACTTGTATGGATGGGTCAAGATCAGACCATTATTTCAGTGGCCAAGATCTATATAAAGTTCTCAATTCCTGATTTGATAGCTCTTGCAAGTTACCACCCCCTTAAGACATTCTTGAGGACTCAGAATATCAACAGGCCTCTGACCATATCAATGACAGTGGCCATGCTTCTTCACTATCCAATCAACTACTTTCTAGTTGTATATCTAAGTTTAGGTGTGAAGGGGGTTGCACTAGCCTCAGCCTGGAACTCGGTCAATATAAATCTTGGCGTGCTGATATACCTTCTTCTATCAAAATCTGTGATCAAACCTTGGAGTGGAGGCACAGATGGCGGATTCTCTGATGGATGGAAGTCACTGCTTGCCCTTGTATGTCCAAGTGTTTTGTCTGTTTGCCTAGAGTGGTGGTGTTACGAAATATTGATACTGCTTTCCAGTCTAGTAAAAAACCCACAAGCCAATGTTGCAGCGATGGGCATCTTAATTCAGACAACAAGCTTCCTTTATGCATTCCCATTTTCCTTGAGCTCAGGTTTGTCAATACAGGTAGGCCATGAGTTAGGAGCTGATCAGCCAGAAAAGGCAAAACAGACAGCTATTGTTGGTTTCATGGTTGCGGCTCTATGGGGAATTCTGGCTTTCCTTTTCACCATTGCCATCAAGGATGTATGGGGTAAACTTTTTACAAGTGATGCAATGATTCTTGGTCTAACATCAACTGTCCTTCCTATATTAGGTTTTTGTGAATTGGGTAATAGCCCTCAGACTGCTGCATGTGGGATTTTAGTGGGCAGTGCTCGACCCAAGATGGGTTGCTGGATAAACTTTGTGTCTTTCTATCTCATTGGCTTACCAACTGCAGCTTTGCTAACCTTCCAGTTCAAAATGGGTTTTGTTGGACTATGGTATGGACTTGCAGCAGCACAAGCTTCATGCATATGCATGATGATTTGCACCCTCATCCGTACAGACTGGATGCAGCAAGCTAGCAGAGCAAAGGAGCTAACTCGGGAGAGGGAAGACGGCACTAATGACTTAGAAGGCCCTCTGTTACAGTAAGCATATTAGCTGGCAAATCATATCTATAAGCCTGAATAAAAAGAGTTAGGAGGAGAGCCTGTCGTAGAAGTCTATATTGTGTGTTAGTCAACAAATATGTGTGTGTGATGCAATAAATTGGGCATGGGCCCAAGTTCCTTGTTTATCTAGCAATGTGTCTATTCAGTCTCAGACAATCTCTATAGGCCATGATAATTATAATATTTTGCTTACCTGTTAACTGATCAAGCATCTACTAATATTTGATGTGATGTTTTGAGAACACATTTTATATGTAATATATTAAATTAAAATAGGTATATGATGTGAATTTTTTCGGTGGGGGGTGGGAAAGGAATTAAATTACTGTAAATGCATAGTGAAAACATGGGATGCAAACACAATCAAAAAACCTCATTCAAAAGCTTGTTTGTGATTAAAATATCTAATATGGAATATGCCCGAGCAAAAGCTTTTCCTTATCTTCATCAAAGTACGAGGTGTTGTCAGCTAAAAAGAATGACACTGAAGATTGTTCGTATGTTATATATGAAGTTTGTGAGCATTTCTTTAAGTCGCGCAAACACTTATAGAACAGAGGCTTTCATACTGACCTTAAGCTGGCCCTTGGATGCCACAAAAGAAGTTTGAAAATTACTCATTGTAAAACTCTACCACAATAATCCTTCATGCACTTAAAATGCTTGTTGGTTCCCTAACTATGGCCTTTGGGACATAAAAACCATTTCACTCTGCCAGTCTCCACATGTAAAAGGGGATCAAGTTAGCTTCCTCTGTCTGGATAGATGGCATATCAAAGAACATAGGATAGCATACAAACTACATTTTTTATAACTTGATTTATTTTAGGAATAAAATTCTAAAGTTGGACAAAAGGCAGTAATAAGTACCTGATGTGTTGAAGGGGCTTCTGATTTAGCCTGATTCTCATGACTGCAATAATATATATATATATATATATATAAAATCATCCCAACTAATGCAACCATTATTCTAAATATGTTCCTCCAACCAAATGAATCAAGAATTAAACATATCCAAATTCTACCACAAGGTACATTGAGTTGCCAATAACTCGATAAGTGACAGTAGACATCTTTCATATCACAAGGAATGTGCTATAATTAACAGAAATTGAGATCGGGCAAGCTAAAGTAACAAAGCCCAGCAACATCAATTATCAAGTCAGGTTCAGAGACAGAGCATAACAAAACATAGGAACAAATATAATACCTTTGTATTGCTTACCACTACCCGTGGTTTGTATTCAAAGGCAAATACATTTTGATTGGTCAAACATCTATCCAGAATGGCCCTGAGATAAGCAAGTTCTTTGATGAAGACAAGATTGAAGATGTTCCTTATATTTCTTCTGCATGGTATTGTTGGCCATCTGAATGAAAATGGTTAATAAGATTTCTAACAGAAAAAAAATATATATATATATATATTAGAAAAAAAAAAAGAAAAAGAAAAAGTGATAGTGCTGTATTGGGAGTTGAGGGTGTCAAAAGAAAGCAAATTATCTTAGCACAAAAATGAGAACCAAAACCATATAAAGTTGCGAGTAGATCATTATGACAAATATAATTGAACAAACAAGTCAATCTGCCACCAAGCGTTGATACTGCAATAAAAATATTCATTGATCAAATTCAAAAGAAAGCTAGTGAGCTTAAGCCTGAATACAATATGAGTGTGATAACAAGTGCAAGGAGAGAGAGATAAGTGCACAAGGTATTGAGCCGCAGATCAGTAACAGCTGCACTGTCAGCACCTATAAGCAATACCACCAAGGATATCTTAATGTTGTTACCGCAAGAACAACTAAATAAATACAAGAGATGTAAATATCAGTAAAATTAAAGCAATTCTGTATATTAAAGCTATCTGAATCGACTTATTCAAATATTAGCATGCATAGAGTATTAAGTTAGAGCCGTGGGAATCGAGATTCAGTTCACTGCCATCAACAAAGTTATCAAAGCATCAACAATCGTTCTTGTTGCATCAGGCCACAGTCTACGACTTGCGGTGGTTTTGGCATTGAAGAACATTTAACCAATATCATTTGCAATTAGGAATTATATAAATTATCATAAAAAATCCCCACAACGAAAATAGAAATTTGTCCTGGGCTTGGTAGTAAAACACAATAGACAAAAAATCTTAAATTAGGAGTATAATAGACCAAATGTATATCAAGGAAGCATAGCGTACCCTTCTTTGTAATAGATAGCATACATGGATATTTTGTTTAACAAAGGGGTTTATGATTGCTAACTTTGTCATCCGGCAAGACAGTTAAGAAATCAAATAAACACATCAACGTAGGAAGTGAAAACAACACTAATGAAGTACAATTTGTTGGGAACACACACAAGAGAAGAGAGAGAAACAAATAACAAGACACGAGAATTTCCCGTGGTTCGGTCTCACACAACAGACCTACATCCACGATCCTAAAACGGGATAATCCACTAAAATATTTATTACAATTTTGCACGGATAAAATTGCAAAACCCTCCTCACAACAACTCACCAATCTCAATTTCACTCTCTCTAGTTACTAAAGAAAAAAGTTTGTTGTCATATATCTTAAAATAGGACCCAAAGGGGACAATTTATAGGAGTTAATGCCCCTACCTTTTTATCTCCTACCTTTTTATCTACTTCTGATGTGAGACATGGGAAGTTACACAGCACCATTACCTGATAGAAACAAACTGAATTGAAACCTAAGCCGACGTTTAATATCCAATCGATATCCTCTTTAAGATCCCAAACCCAATAACAGTTTGGAGTTCAATTGGTTTGTGCTCAAAAGATTTCATACATAACATCAACAAAGAGAACATAAAGTAATCAACAAGTGCCAGCTTCTCAAAGTAGTAGTGCATCAACATATAGATCAATTTTCCACGAAAATTTGTAGTAGAAAAATCATTAACTCTATAACCAATGATGAAAACAAATTTCTTCACTCCATTTATTTAAACAAAGTGTAATCAGTGATACAAACACTACATATATCCCACAAAATGCCTCAATAAATTGAAACCAAACTCAAGTGACGTCTCTGTTCATTCAAAAATTCACCGGAACTAAAGTCATCATTCATTCCCATCAATAACAAGTGGCTCATCAAAAGTTAAATGCAAACTGATCCTACTTTTCCAAACCGTAATTCATAGGCCTCACTCATCTTCACTGCCATCTGCAACCTTATTCGCTCCCGCAAATTTCGAAATGGCGAGCAATTTGCAACGGAAAACTCACGGCTTACTCGAACCTGATACGACCATGGTAACGCGCGCGCAATCTGCAGGACAGTGTGTGAAATTCGCTGCTTTCAGTTAGGGCAATGAGCTGCGCCGTGGCCATCGACTTGTCCAACTCCCGTGGCGCCGTGCAAGCGTGCGTACCGCCATGATTGCTAAGTGTAGAACGTCTTCAGTCGATCCTACGGGCTGTAGAGAGAGTGGTTTTTCGAGATCCAGTAACTTCCAGCTCCAGATTGATCAACACCGTTAGATTTTAGATGAACGGTTCCGATCTGTCTGGTACGTCGGGCTGGGATTGGTCCGTGGCATTTGGGCTCTACCTTCTTGGTTCCCGGGGCTGCGTTTTGTTTGGGAGAGTCAATTCAAAATTGTGATTCGAATAGTTTTAATCGGAATAATTATACGATATTATATAAATAAATATTGATATAATATTTTGAATATAAAATTAATTTTTAATATAATATAAAAAATAAAAAATAAATATTTAATTTAATATTTTTAAATAAAACTTTTTTAATGAATAATAAAAATTCTAACCAATCCTCCAAACAAACACATCTCTCACGTCATGTATTCGAATAGTAAAGAACGGGCTGGTTTCTTTTGATTAGTTTAATGAAATATTTTAGTAGAAAAAAATATATATGATTTTATTTTTTATTATGATCGTGAGAATTCACATACAGGGATTGTTTGGTTGGTGTATTTGGTGAGATTCTACTAGATTTAGATTTTAAAATCCTAAGGAATACATGTTTAGTTATAAAATTGATAATGAAATTTTAAGTACATAAAATTTTAAAATCCTGCAAATGCAGGATTTTTCAGCAACAGTGTACCCACTATTACTTTAAAATCTCAGGTAATTGTATTTTTCATTTTACTATTATATCATTCCATAAAAAAATTATATTTATTTTCCTTTTTAATATTAAATGTATATAAATATATATAGACTTTTACATTATATTTTATTAGTTTTATAAAATATAATATTATATTTAAGCATACTACTACAAATCATATATTTATTTATAAAAATGTTATATATATTTAATTCTTTTACTAATGATAATTTAAATAAATTAATAATTTAAAATATTAATTAATAATTTAAATTTATTTTAATGATGTATTAATTTTTTTTTAGTTTTTTTTTTAAAAAAAATAAATATGAGAAAGAATGTCGATAGTATAAGATATACTCCCTCCGTCCCACGTACTATGTCCACGTTGTTGTTCTGTCCCACATACCATATTACTTTCATTTTTTTTAAAATGATTACACACTTTAATCTCATTTTAAACTTTTTAATTTTATTTTTTTAAAAATTTTAATTAAACTAATTAGTTATCTTAATCTTAATTTATAATTATTTATATTATAAGATAATTATTTTTACCAATACATTCTTAATTATCCTCCTAAAATACCGTGTCTACGGTTGTAGCAGACACGGTATGTGGGACGGAGGTAGTAATTAAATTGTCGTATTTTTTAGAGTATAAATTATATATTACAGTATATATTACACCATACTAATATGGATATTTTTGTCTTTTTTACTACAATATAATATAATACTAATATTTAAAAATTTACGTGTAAAAGTCAAACGTCACCCTTGTTGCAGGACGGATGGAGTATATATTTTTTTTGTTTATGTTACTTCGGTGTTTAAATAATTTTTTTTATTTTATATTTTGGAACATTATACTTTAATACAAAATCCTTTAAATATAAATTTACAGAAAAAAAAAAAATAATAACTTTGTTTCAATATCTTTTAAAGATAGAATCTTAATAAATATTATATAAAATATATAATATATATTTATATTAATATAATATATATTTTATTTACATTCTAACATAAAAATGTAAATTCATAAAAAGAAATAAAGGGAACAAATACGAAATTACCCACTAAAATTAAGATGTGTTTATGGAGGGTTTGAACATTTTCGGATTGAATTTTATATTAAAATATAGACAAATTCGAAAACATGCGTCACAGGCTTTTCCAGAACGACGTCGTGTCGTCTTCCTAATTTTCGTTTGCAGTCAAGGCGAACTCGCCTCAAACGACAACTTTCAGCTCCTGAGACACCAACGGAGGAATAATAATTGAACCACCCCCTCGATCGATTCCATTCAAGTTGTGTTCGCGGTTCGATTCAGGTCAGCAGAGAAAAGGTTCAAATTTTTAAGAGCTCTGCGAATTCAGTTTGGTTGGTTATGTAAATTTCCAGTTTTTACATTTTGGTAGTTTTGTATGATCAGAAAGATTAACTCCTGAAGATAATGCAGAAATGGAGAATTCAAATTCTGAAGATATATGCAGCGTCGAGCCGATTGGTGATGAAAGAATCGGCGATCCGGCGTCGACGAGTTCATCTTATAGATTGTTCGGGCGTCAGGCTACTGTTCATCAGATGATGGGTGGGGGCAGAGGTATACACTAAGAAAGTTATTCTGTTTTCTAATTTGATTTACATGAAAATTGCAGCCATTTGAAAAATGCTACATGGTTCTGCACTTCTTTTTTCCATATGAATTTTGTTACCTTAGCTTGAGCTAATTCGGTTTCTGTGATCTAGGAAGGGTTTTCGGAAGTTCCTGTTTATTGTAACTAGTCAAATGTGTGGCAGCTATTGTTTAACTTAGATTGTTTTGTTAATATCCTGGAATCTGATTAATATTATGGTAGTTATGTTAAGCATGTATCTTGTTATTTGAGGAACAAACATTCCAGAGGCTTAGTTATATAGACTTCAATGCCCTCTCACACACAAGACTGATTTTTTTTTTTAAGAATAGTGTGTAGACTTAATTGTTCATTCCATTTTCCTAACCAAGTACACTGTTAGGTACAGGAGACATTTGAGAACTGAGATCATACCCTAAATTAAGTTTGATAGTTACTTTGGTTTTTATAGATCTATGAACAGATGTTGGGGATGCTACGTGGAAAGATGATTCTTTTGGATCATGGTGTTCAAGTGTGAGTTTAAGTACTAGCTATAAGTGATCATATTAGGCTGAATTGATGAGCATGATTTTTATAGGTTTTGCAACTTTTGCCTGCTTACGAAAATTCTTATAAATCTTTATATTAAAAGTGATGAATCGTGTGTGACAGATCATGCTATCATTTTTGATGCATTAAGTTAAGAACTAAAAAACTATCTTCTTAGTGTTCAATAGAGTAATATTGAAAAGAGGAAGCTATGTTTCATAGCTAGTCATCTTAACTTTTTGGAATTTCCTTGATAAATAAATTTTCTTGCAATAATGATTTTTTATGCCATTCATAAAATGGACATATGCAGTGTTTGAAGGAGGAGAACAATGGCTACTAACAAACATTTCACTGAAGTGATAACTAAAAACCAACATACTAATTAACCTATGGATTATTCATATAGTTCATAAATGGGTTGGTTTTTGGTTCTGCTAAGCACTGTTCCATAGCTGTGTTCATTTTACTTTTGTTTATGCTTCTTAAATTATTGAACTGGTCTCACCTATGTTTCCTATCTCCCTTTTGTAGCTGCTGATGTCATACTTTGGAGGCGTCGTCATATGTCATGCGGCATAATTATTGTTGCCACATTTTCCTGGTTGTTAATTGAGCGTTCAGGGATATCATTCTTATCGCTTTGGTCAGATATCTTGCTAATTTTAATTGTTCTGCAGTTTCTTCGGGCAAACTATGCTGTCTTAAGAAAAAAGTATGATGGCTGTACCTTAAATTAGCTATATGCTCTTGTATTTTTTCATTTTGGATTCTCATCTATGATCCTTTTTTTGGCTTTCACAGACAACTTAAGACCCTACCCGAACTTGTTCTATCCGAAGAAATGGTAAACAATGCTGCTGCATCATTTCGTGTCAAAATCAATTACATGCTGCTTATGGCTCATGATATTACTCTTGGAAAAGATTTCAAACTCTTTTTCAAGGTTAGTGTTTTATTAATATTCAGCATTTTAATCAGTGTTTACTCCATCAATATGCCTCTGTGCTCCTGCACATTCCCCTTAAGTTCATCTTTGCCACCATAAGAAATGTAACAAAAACATCGAAAAAGAATTACCTAAGATAAAGACTTCTAGTTTATTATCAATTCACAACAGTGTTCTACTTTGCTAAAAGTGCCAAAGTATATTTCTTTGATATGCCAGGAAAGAAAGGTTTAACATTGGTCAAGAGAATAGTGCTGATGTAGATTAATCTTTCTTCGTTTTCAGCACAAGTTAGAGTTCTTACCATAAAACACACACATATATAAATAAATGAGTTCAGGGAATTGTCCTTTTTGGGGTGACATTGGAGGATGGGAGATGCAAAGAGTGCCAAGTTTTATCTAGCAGTTTTAAGTTCCATTTGGGCTGACATGAAGTTTATTTTGACCATTATATTTTTCTTCTTGGTGGTGTGGATGTAATATTTGGGGTTGCATGGTTAGACACGTTGGAGGAAACATGGTATTGGTAGACCATATAATAAAATCTGAGGTTACCAAACAATAGGTAGCATATTCGGGAGACCCAACCCTGCGCCCCCATTGTGGTTTCGTGCCCTTTTAGAAACAGCAATACTGCTCTGAATGACAAAAGTCATGGCTGCATTCTGTGTTGGAGGACATTTTAGCCGTGTTGCCACCCCATTAATCATCACATAGAGTTGTACCCTCTGGGTGGTCCTGTCTCTGCCGATCCCTTTCATTACCAACATTTTCAAAAGGGTGGTATAGAGAAAATGCTCAATGGCACACTAAATGCAAGTATAGTCGGCAGAACTTGATTATATTCTGCAGCTCAAAGTTACTGGCGAAGAAATGTGGTTATTGGAGAGATAATTCGTTGCAAGCTCTAGAGCTTGAGAGAGAGAGTCCCTATGGTCGGTCAATGTACATTCAGTTTTAGGATCGTCTTTCCGACAGCTTTTAGTAAACATCCATTACATTGTTGTTATTGTTTCTATTTTCAGTAGGCTGAAGCTTCCTTAACAAGCGACACTCCATTTATGGAAAACATTTTGCATTGCCTTTCTTCTGCTATCCGTTTATACGTTTTCCTTCTTTATTAAGTTCTCTGAAATTTTATGTAACTCCTGTTATCATTCATGACGGATTTTTGCTGCACATCTAAGTCAATATACTTTTTCTTCAAACTTGTTTATTATGTAATGTGTAGGAATGAAAGTATAAGTTTCTTATGGAGACAGGCTTTAGTTTAAACTGCATCTAACGTTAACGAACAAGTAAATGCACATGCATCATTTTATATTGTTGCATTATTGTTTAATTATTCCATAGAAAGGAATTAGCTTTGCAGCTGTAAAATTTGCAGGTTGTGATATCTTTGTGGATTTTGTCTGTGATTGGTGGCCTTATATCTTTCTTCACTCTTGCATATACAGGTACGGTGATTACTCTTTGGCCTTTATCTGTGCTAACCACTACTATTCTATTCATTAAATCCTTCGAGTTTGTTCCCTTGGATTTAAATGCATAGAAATCAATATTTACATTATCTTCCCGACACGAAGAGTGGACTTACTTGAACATACTGAATTAGTAATATGTAGATGTAGGAGCATCTCTTAGAATGCTTGTGTTATTAGCATATGATAAATATTTAGTTATTATTTTTCAAAATAAATTATTGTAAAATTAGTTTAAGAATCACCAACAAATCTTGATTGTTAGTACTGCTATCAAACTATTATGGATATATCAAACAAATTATGTATGTATGTGTAAACATGTGTGTATTTTCCAAATTATATATATATATATTCTAATTGTGTCAATTGATTATGATCTTCATTAGTTTACATTTTCTGGATCTAAAATCAATTGACTGCAGGCATCATCATTTCAATAACAATCCCAGTTCTCTACGACAAATTCAAAGACCAAGTGGATAGCTGTGCTGGGATGATTCATCGCAAGTTTTCCAAGCACTACAAGATTGTGGATGAAACTTTGCAAAGCAGACTACCTAGGACATTATCAAGAGACAAAGATTCTTAATCGGAATTAGCTTTCAAGCACTACAACATCCTTCTTCCGACTGTGTAGAAATCACAAATGCCAATGCCAGGTTCCTTTCCCTTTCTCTGCAATTTGACTGACCAATTGTCTCTTGATTCTATTATATAGTCATAGGCAGCTGAAGAAGAGTGTCGAAACAACTTAATCATTTCCAATTTGTTTTAGGACAAATAAAGCACATGGATGTTGATGATGCAAAATTTAAAGCCTCTTCTTAACCCTGTTTGTATATGCTAATACTGTTAATCGATTCTAGATATTCGTGAGCTCGATAAGGTTTGATTTGTTGAGGCTTAAGCTTAGGCAAGTAATTATATTAAACAAGTCGAAGTTCGATAAATACCCAAACATTTAGTGAGCCATGCAATTCTAAATGAGAAGTGCAAAGTTTTTCATTTTTATTGTGTTAGGTTTGTTGATTGACCTACAAAACTCAGTATAGATATAGAGGTTTTTGAAGTTTAAAGAAAAAATTGAAAGTAGGACAAAATTATTATTCGATATAATGAATAGTGTTTAAACTTCTAAAAGCAAGAATTTTTGTTGTAACATATACTTTGTGTTGCATTTCATGGATTATACTTTATTTGATGGGTGATGAGTAGCATTTAGTTAAGTTATATATAGATATCTAAAGATGCATTTATTCCAATTTAACATTAAGTTAATTTTATAAAATTTAATTAATCAATTTCCCTGGAGTATGTTTTTCAGTTGTTATTAGTAAGCAAGCAATGGTGATGATATGAATTAGAGAAATAATTTAGTATGAAAAGAAGAATGTTGAATAAAGGGCCTACCCATGTTAGGGCCACATGCAATGCAACTCCCACTCCCTCTTAATAATATGCTTATCTTTTCAAATCTATTGAATAATAATAATAATAATAATAATATAGCCTAATGTTTTGTCTATCGAATGGTCCATTCTTTGATGCCCAAATCCAACAAATGTTGTGTTAATATAGCTTGGGACAAAAGTAGCTCTCATGTCTTCAATTTGTTATTTATTATGCAATTATCTTAATTTTTTTTAAATAATATATATATATATATATATAAATCGCGTGTATATCATTCCTCAAAGTAATAAGAATTTGGATCACCAAAAGAACATACAAATCATAATCAGACATATTGCTGTTAAGATTTGGACAACTACCTACATGTCTCTAATTTGTATTTCCAATTTTTATTTTTTGCATTATATATTAATTTTTTTACTGTTAAAAAAAAAACAAACAAACAAACTCAACGATGTAGGAGAGTTAAAGTTCAGAAATAAAAGTTTCTTTTTTTACCTGCAGACTAAAAATAATAAAAGTTAAGACAAGATAGATGCGCAATACATTACAATTACAGTTACAGTTAAAATTAAAATTACAATTACAATTACATAACATCATACTACAATGAATACACACAACAGAAGACCAAACCAGACCAAAAGTTAATCAGCAGCCATGAAAATAAAAATGAAGATTTGAAGTTTAACAAACAAGAAAATATGTCAAAGAGCTTCACAGAGGAACCAGTGAAGCACCAGTCAATACCATACCAAGAACACCGGCGGCACGAATGAAAGATAGTCACATAGAAATGGAATAATTAAATAATTCAATCAAGAACACGAACAAGGCCGGCGACAGTGACCTAAGGACCTTAGCAGCACGACGACAACGACAACAAAAACAGAAAAAAAATGAAAAAATGACGAACTGTAACGAATCCCCGGATGTTAATCAACACGACGACGCGCGCACGGTGTCAGTCTATAGACAGTTAAAAACAAATCGAATCGAAGGAATCGACAAAAAATTACAAAGAAAAGAAAAAACTAAAAAAAAAAAAGAACCTGAAATCAGAAGGTGCTGCTGCTTTCACTCGCCGAGATCGACGGGCCCTCAGATTTCACCGGATGCGAGTTCCGGCTTCCGATGTCAAGCCCTTGGAATCCATGCTGAAGCTGGTCGGAAGGAACCCGGACATGGCCACCACCGCCGCTACCAGCGGCGGCGGCAGGCGAGAGCATCTGGTGGCTTGAAATTGGGTGGAATTGCGGCATCTGCATGTTATCGTTTTGAGTCGGTTGGGGAGGGGCGAAGAAGGCGGCGGACTGGCTGTAGGGAATGTGCTGCATGGCCAAGTTGAACGTATCGGAGTTCGTCGACATTTCTCCGGTGGCGAGCCTCAGCCGCTCAACTTCTTGCTTTAGGGCTTCGTTCAGCGCTGCACATTTTTACGGTGAACTTGTAAGGCTCGATGGATTTTTCGATGGATATGAAATTTATGTAAATTGGATCGAGGGGTTCAGCTTACCGTCGCGAAGCTGGGCTTGCTGCTCCATGGCTTGTAACCGAAGCTTGAGCTCTGTGTTCTCGTTGCTCAGTCCCGTCGTATCTCTCTGCAACAAAAAACGGATTCCGTCAAAATTTCATCTGCTGAGTTTATATCAATTTTCGCACAATTTTTTACTATTTAGACTTTACCTTCACCGGAAAATATATGATTTTTTCTCTCAGAACATCACATTAAATATTATTTAAATAAAAATCACGTACTTTCAAACTCAATTAGACTGGAAATTAGGAAATCGAGGAAAACAAACAAGAATACAAAGATTTGTTGATACAATTCGATCATGATGATCTACGTCCTGGAGCAGCTAACCCATGTATTTTCACTAGTAATTTCAGGTGTGAATTACATAAAGAATACATCAAAAACATATATAGAAGTATAGGTCAAAACTCTAGTACGCTATAATCACATATAGTAGCCATGATTGAAATTTTCTCTGAGGCTATAAACGAGCATTCGTCAAAATCAAACTTTTTCCGAAGATACAAACAAGCATCCATCCAAAATCAATTATTATTTCTCCGTAAATGCAAACGAGCATCCACGGTAATCGAAGTTTTCATTTTTCAAAGATATATACAAGCATCGAAGGCAAACTTATAACAAGTCTAATTCCACATTTTTATATCCCTCGGCGTTGGCTAATTACATAATTTGAAATTGCCGGGGAACTTCACCGAGCGAATCATCATAAATTGATCTCAAGTCAGAATATTTCAAAACAACGGACTTAAAACAACTGATTGAAAATCCTAGTCGAGACAAGCAAAACTATGTCAATGAAAACGAGCAAATTTCCAAGGCCGAATACCTGAAAGAGTGTGAGTTGTGCGGAGAGAGTCGTCGCCTCAGTTTGAAGGGTCTGAACTTTTCTTTCTAACTCGGATATATACCGAGCCTTTCTCTCCTTTGATCGAGCAGCTGATTGTCGGTTCGCCAAAATTCTGCACGACAACATACGACAAAAATACCATAAATGCATCGCTCAAACACCCCAAAACAACGATATTCAGACATGGAAACACACTCCAACTACCGACAACATTAGTGTAATAATCTTCGCACAACCACAAAATCGAACAACAACGGATGCAGTAGCTTGAAACGACGATCATTCTATTCTAGTTGCCATAACTAACAATCGAATCCAGCCGTAAATTACAGTCCCGATCTGAAAATCAAAACCAAGATCCAGAAAACATACCACATTGTCCGAATTCCACAAAATTGTACAAATTCATGTCAAAATTCAATCCATTGTTCATCCCAAATTTTCATGCCGTCAACAAACAAACACACAAATAAGGTAAAAACCACAAGTCAACCCACTCTAAATTGCACAAAGATCCATCTCAAGATCCATCCAAACAAAAAAATTAAAATCAGCTAAAATTAGCAAATCGACAACGTTAAATCACAACCCCAAAAAAGCAAAAATGTAATGAATGGATAGAATTATAGTAGTAAATTAATTAATTAATAAAATAAAAATAATAGAGTAGTAAAAACCTTTTGGCGCGCTTGGGATCAATGGTCCAGAGCTCGGCTAACTTATCCGGCGCCATGGCTTTCTTAGCTTCAATGCTCCGCTCATTCATGGCGAGGCTGGAGCCGTCGACGGAATTGCTGTGCCTGTGCCTCGGCCGCGGCGTGGCCTCGACGTCGGCTGAGCCGTTGTCAAAAACGGCGGCGGCGGCGGCGGCGTCGGCGATTCCAGATCCGGCAGCGGCGCCGCTGAGCTTCTCGATGTCCATGTAAGTGGAGAACAGATCGTCCTCCGATCCCATCTCCTCGAAGCTCCCCGCCGGCGCATCGAACGGGTCTCCGACCAGATCTAGATCCTCCGGCAGCCGGAAGTTCACCTCCGAATGCGCCCGCCGGTGGTGAGCCGGCCGCATTGCCGAATTGAACGCCTGCTGCTGCTTCGCGTTCGGATCTTGCTGCTGCTGCATATTTATTTATTTTTAATTTTTAATTTTAATGGAGTTTTGGCTACGGCGGTTACTGTTATTGCAGAATGGGATTGGAATTTGGAAATGGGGGCTGGCTGCTAACTGTTTTTTCTTCCTTTTAGGCTTTCGGGGTTGACGAGGAATTGTGGATTTTTCTTACAGTGAGTGAGAAGGGAGCGGTGGTGAGGGTTGAAGATTTCGAGGTCCTGCGGTTATGGCGGATGCCTTTTTTTTTTGCTTTTTTACTTTTTGGGGGCGTAATTATGTCGGGAGGTGAGGGTTTTGTATTGACTCCCGGCTTTTGGTTGTTGATGGACGGTCTGGATTTGTTCTGGAGTCGAGATCCCGGGAGTTTTGTGAGGGGAATTTGGATGGATGGAAGTATAAAACTACTGACCCTTGATAAATCTTTGACTATTATTATAATGTTTTCCTGTTGGTTGTAACTTTTATTTATAATTTTTTTTTTTTTTAAAAAGGGTGGAAATGAAATTTTGTGAAAGTTTGAAGTAGTAACCTTATTGTCACATTCGACTCTACACTATCTGATTATTTATTTCGGGAGACAATATGTTGTATTATTTGAAAATATATATTGTTTTTTCATATTATAAAGTATATTTAATGAATATATTTCATGTGTTGAAATTAATTGTAATAAATATATTTCCTCCGTCTAAAAAAATATAGTCTTGTTGCATTGGACACTAAATTTTAAGTGATAAAATAATAAATAAAGTGGAACAAACCAAACTAATAATAGTGGACAAATAAGTTACTACTGGAGAAGTATTATTTTAGGAATCTTTTCGGAGTTAAATACATTGAATTTGATTTTGTATTTTAATGGAAATATGATTATATAGTATTATCAACTTAGGAATATAAAATTAGTCACATTATTATTATTATTATTATTATTATTATTATTATTATTATTTTATATAATATGAGAATTCGCAGTGTTACTCGACAAATATGTTTTTGGATGAATCTTTTGCCGAACCTATTACTCCTTTCGTCTCAAAAGTATAGTTTTATTATATTGAACACGAGATTTAAGGAATATTAATATTATATTGGTAGTTGGTAAAAAGTACGAATAAATAACTTTTTTGCTCTTGTGAGTATATTAGTATAAAAAATAGTGGCAATTGTGTAATAATAATAAAAAAATAAAAATAATTTTATGATGATATAGTTATTTATCAAAACGAGACTATTGTATTGGAACGTATGGAGTATTATTATTATTATTATCAATGAGACACGACACATACATTAAATGCTGCAAATGAACATAATTTGGTTATGTGATGTTTGTAGGGTAGGGCAGTGTTTGGATAGGCCTGGATGTTTCAATATTCCCTCTTATTGATCCAAACCTTCATTTTGGAGTTTTAGAATAAATAATAAAAAATTAAATATTTGAGTTAATATTTAGTGAATGAGAATATATATATATATATATTATATATATATATATATATTCAATGCTATATTTAAAAGAAAAAAATAAATTTAATCATCACAATAATTTCAAAATGAAATAATTGAGCATTGAGAGCATATTTATTCAAAGACCGCACTAATACAGGTAAAATATGATTCTATTTCAGTACACATCGAAGAGTATCTCCATGTTTCTTGCTCTGCTTCTATTTCAGTACCTCTCTGTGCCAATTTCTTGTTTCTACATATATATATTATATTCACACTCTCCTCCTTTGGAGCTTATCCACACTTGTTACATATTCATATGTATTTTTTGTAAATAAGATTTTTGGTTTTAAAAGTATCTTATGTGAATGTCCTTTCCTATCAAATATAACAACCAGTTGATAGGGACGTAAACATGATTTTATTACTTTATGCAATATGTTTAAATAAATGGAAAGCATAAATGTAAAAGAAAAAGAATCAGATACGATCTTCTGATCTCTCTCGTATGCATCTAAAAAGATTTAAAATTGATATTAGTATATATACATAGAAAATAAAAAGATAAGATTGAAAGCTGGATCTTGCATAATTTATTTGTAAATTGTTAAATATATTATATTTCAATATTAAAAAATCAATGATCAAATATGGTAGCAAGCGAATTCTTGTGCCATGAAAGAGCATATCTAAATTGACTATGAATTGTTATCCAAGTAAAAAACAAACGATGAAGTAGTAGAAATTTAATTAACGAACAGAGAAAATGACCCCATAAAGGAAAGAATACATTCAACAATCGAAATTAATCACATTCATTGTTCAGAATGAATTTGACACAAAATCTATGTAGGGTGTGTTTGTTTGGGGGTTTGGATTTTGAGTTGGGATTTGAATAGTAAAAATTTTGAATTTGAATAGTTGTATGATGTGATATAAATAGGGTTTGATGTGATGTTTTGAATGTAAAATTGATTTTTAGTGTAATATAAAAAATGAAAAATAGATGTTTGATTTGATGTTTTTGGGGGGAAAAAATTGGATGAATAATGGAAATCCACCAAAATCCTTCAAACAAACACACCCGTAGTATTTTCTAGTTCCAATTATTGATCGTGGACCTCAGCATGCATCATTTTAAATAAACTATCTAATACGTTATATTGCCCGAAAAGTTAGATAACCAACACCAACCATATCAAAACAATTGACTGTTCTGTACACTATATTACAAAACGACTAAAATCCAATTTCTAACATATTATTACACACGCATATACAAAGTCAAATTAAGAAAAGATATTCCCCAAGACGACAATTAACCAATTTCATAACTAAACCAGTCAATCAAATTCATTAGCCGACAACAAATTTCTGAATTAAGTAAAAGTGGACAACTTGATATTGAAGCTCTATTATTATTATTATTATTATAATACATACTTGTCGTTGGCTAATGAATTTGATTGACTGGTTTGGTTATGAAATTGGTTAATTGCGTCTTGAAGAATATCTTTTTTTTATTTGACTTTGTATATGCGTGTATAATAATATATCAGAAATTGAATTTTAGCCGTTTTGTAATATGGTGTACAGAACAGTCGATTGTTTTGATATGGTTGGTGTTGGCTATCTAACTTTTCGGACAATATAACGTATTAGATAGTTTATTTAAAATGATGCATGCTGAGGTCCACGATCAATAATTGGAACTAGAAAATACTACATAAACAATGAATGTGATTAATTTCGATTGTTGGATGTGTTCTTTCCTTCACGGGGTCATTTTCTTTTCTTGTTAATTGAATTTATACTACTTCATCGTTTGTTTTTACTTGGATAACAATTCATAGTTAATTTAGATGTACTCTTTCATGGCACAAGAATTAGCCTACTACCATATTTGATCACTGATATTTTAATATTGAAATATTGTATATTTAACAATTTATAAACAAATTATGCAATATCAAGCTTTTTAATATTATTTTGTTATTTTCTATGCATATATACTAATATCAATTTTAAATATTTTTAGATGCATACGAGAGAGAGTAGCCGGAAGATCGGACGATTGAACTCATAATATGGAGTATCTCGTCCTTTTTCTTTTACATTTACGCTTTTCATTTATTTAAGCATATTGCATATAGTAATAGAATAATGTTTACGTTCCGGGACATGCATGCATTAATTATGTGTAGATTTTATACTAACTTGTTTTTTAATTGTATTTATTTTGTAGGTAAAGTTTTTGGGAGACGAGAGGATCCGCAAAGATCTTTCGAACTCGATTTCAAACCAAGGTAAGTGATTTTAATATTATTTTTTTGTTTCCTATGCATATGTACTAATATCAATTTTAAATATTTTTAGATGCATACATGATGATCGGACGACATGCACCATAATATGGAGTATTTCGTCATTTTTCTTTTACATTTACGTTTTGCATTTATTTTAGCATCTTGCATATGGTAATAGAATCATGTTTACGTCCAGGGACTTGCATCTTAATTTTTTTTCTAAATTTTATATTTACTTGTTTTTTAAGTGTATGTATTTTGTAGATAAAACTTATGGGAGACGAGAGGATCCGCAAAGATCTTTCGAACTCAATTCCAAACCCAAGGTAAATGGTTTAAAACAACCTGAGCTAGCCCAAAAAAATATATTACTCCATCCTTCGCAAAAAAAAAATAAAAATTGCACTAATCTTTTGCGTTGCGGGAGTAATAACATCCTGAAATTGCCATATTTTTTTTTGCCAAATAAGATGTCAACTTTTTCAAATAATGGAAGCAAGATACCTGAGAATTTGAATCCACCGATATGCTGAAGCTTTTTCGAACAATACATTTGTATCAAACTGTAATGGTGCACCAGAGAAGTCCTTTCCTAATGCTTTCAGATATACCTCTTGGAAGTAAGAGATTAAGTAAAAAAACACAAATCATGTTTACACTGGTCTTTCATATAATTTTTATCACGAAATTGCCCAAAGCATTATTATTACGAAATATAGTTTATCAAATTCTCTAAACTAAGACTACTTAGTACCCGTTCGCAAACAATCTGTTCATACCATTTTTAATGTGCCAGCACAATTCAGGGGAACAAACAAATGCCCGTGAGGAAATTATTAAGCACGGCATAACAACTATATAGGTAGTGCCCATGTTTGATTAGAATATACATACACATGAATACTGGAATTTTAAAATTGTAATTATATTGCAAACTTATATAGGTAATGCTCATATTCAACTAAAATGTTATTACCTCAAGTACAATTGACAACTGTTCTGGTGGCTTTCTATCGCAATTTAATCAAATTGATTGAAGGAGAAATTTGCAAGATAGTACCCGAGAGAGAAATGACTGAACCAACGGTCGGGTTGCGCGGCGGTTCGAGCAAACCCGAATAAAATGGATATCCTCGACGGCAGAAAAAAAAAAAAAAGAAAAGGAAATTTCATCACTTCTTCTCTGACATTTTTTCCATCCATGCATTGCATACTTGCATATAAAAATAGATCATTTTCACGTCCCGAAACATGCATTCATTGATTTCGATCTAAACTTTCACACTTACTATCTATCTTCTTTTCGTATTCTATTTAGGTAAAGCCTACGTGAAGACTTGGGATCAACGAAGAAACACACAAGTTGGATTTCGAACAAAAGATGATAATCGATTTAAATTTAATTTTCTTGGTATCTCGTATATATACTGATATTATACAGGAGGGCATAATGAATATCCTCAATAGCAGAAATGATAGGGAGAATTTCCATACTTTTCTATCATATTTTTTTATCAATGCATTAAATACTCGCATCTACTAAAAACATCATATTACATCCCGGGACATTCATGCATTGATTTAAATCTTAAATTTCGTACTTAGTTTTTGTATTCTATGTAGGTCAAGCCTACGTGATGATTTGGGATCAATGGAGAAACAAACAATCGGGATTTCGAGCAAAAGAAAGTAAGTGATTTAGATTTAAATTTAATTTTATTGCTACATACCTATATATACTCATATTTCTTTAATATCTTCTTAGAAGCCTTCTTAGGAGCATAGTGTGATGATCGAAGAATCCATTTCAAATAAAATGGATATCCTCGACCGCAAAAAAACAGAAGAATTTCATCGCTTTTTCTCTTACATTTTTTGCATCCATGCATTGCATACTTGCATATAGAAAATAGCATCATTTTTACGTCCCGGGACATGCATATATTGATTTCGAACCTAAATTTCATACTATCTTGTTTTTGTAATTTGTATATGCGAGGCCTACATGAAGACTCGATGATCAATGGAGATACACACTACACGAATTTTCAACAAAAGAAGGTAATTGATTTAAATTTAATTTTCTTGTTACCTACTTGTATATTTTCTTATTTTGAATCCCACCACCCCTCACATTCCCATTCCCATCCCCATTCTCATTTGCACCTCTGCTGTATTTTTCCTTGCTGTCCTATTTGTTCCACTATTTCGCAAACCCCACAGCTTCCAACTCCATTTCCTAGTCTTGATCAGTCTCCTTTCTATCCCCATTACCGTTACTCACAGCATTACAGCCATTTATCCCTTACCCCAATCCTTAGCTCAAAAGTGACACAACAATCACAATAATAATTGAGAAAATTAAGGCTTAAATCTGAGTTAAACTATAGTTCATTCTACTATTTACTTCAATAACTGAGAAATTTCAAAATATTGGTGTCAATACAATAGATAGGTTGGTTTTTATTCTCATAATTCAAATGAAATAACCATGCTAAACATACACGTTAGTATCTAATGAAACAGAGACAGCAACACACGACATAATGATGCCATTACTAGATTGCATATCAAAATCTCCAATATCATAACACAAAAAACATAATCTAATGAAACAGAACTAGAAAGAAAAGTGCATGACTACTTCCTTGTGTAGCTTAGTCAATCCAAACACTTAAACCTCAATGATCCCCAATGTCATATAACACAAGAAACATAATCTAGGGCATGACTACTGCCTTGTGTAGCTTAGCCAGTCCAAACACTTAAACCTCAAGGAGATGACGAGTCAGAAACAAGTATCTAAACAGATCGTATGCTGAAATCTTATAGGGTTCTTAATTCAAACAGCATAGAGATAAGGAGTTGACGTCGTGCAAGAAAATGATACCTGATTGCATAGGTAACTAGAGATCTTAATAGAAATCACATGTTACTGTCTTCAAAATTTCACAATTAGCATGAAGCAAGATTTAAGCCATTATCCCCTACCCCACAAGCTACACCCACCATCCATTTTACTGTCTTCAAAATTTCCAGGGACACCTTAGATTTGAGTGCATTAAGTGTATTGATAAACACCAATACTGATACTGCTGCTCTCAAGTTACAAGTTGGTATGAAATGATCTATGATCTTAAAATGCAGTCCCACACAAGATGAAAATGTTTTCCGTACGTACCAATAATGTCAATTTTTCATAACAGCAACAAGAAACTCAAAGAAAAATTGAGCAACAAAATAAAAAATCAAGTATATACCTGAGCCTGAGATCAATTTACGCAGTAGAAGTGAACCTCCTTCATCAGTATTCAGAGGTATATAATTTCTTCAAACCTAACAATATTCCAACAACACAAAATAATTATAAAGTGTGCTAGCTGCTACAAGCTAAAGCAAGCTTAAGGATAGATTGCGAGAATGAATTAAATACAAATCCAATATCCCTATCAATATATATAATAGATGACGAATCAACTAAACAATTAACACTATCCTCAAAATTAAGAACAGAGTCGAAAACTCCGAAACGATAGATACGAAGGTCGAACGTACAGAAGCAACAAATATAAACGAGGAACTTAACTTCAATGCGCGCGGTCATCGAATGATCTCTCACACTTGGAGAGCTGCTTCAGGATCAACCAACCAGCGGAGGGATGCTTAGACACAAGCGGCTTCCGTCGTCCGGCTCTCTCAATCACACGGAATCCGACACCGAAGGTGAAATCGGTGCTTTCGGTCGCCGCCGCCAGATGATCTCTTCCTCTCTTCTCCTCGTTCGATTGATTTTCCATCTTCCCGGATTCAACTCTAAATACTTTAATAGCCTCGTACTCCAATTTCGTTTACACCAACACTAACCTCATAACACTCTTTTCAGTTCCTTTGCTTTGAAAAAATTCATAAAAAAATAAATAATTTTAATAATTATTTAAATCTTAATGAATTATGTTTGAAATATTATGGTGTGTTCTTTTCAAAAATAATATAATTTTTTTTAATGAATATATATTATATAATTTTTTATTATTTTTATATAATCTACATAATTATTTATATTTAATATAAAAAAATATTCTTTAAAATTATTTTGCAAAACAAACCTATTTCATTTCTTCAGTTTTATATAAAATATTTATTTTAGTATAAATATTAAAATTTAAAAAATATAATAAATAAATATGAAATTTACTAATAAAAATATTATAAATTAAAATTACTATAATTAAATAATTTAATTAAAAATTAAAATTATTATAAATTATAAAATTCAACATATAATTAAAATATATAATAATATTAACATATTATATAGGATAAACGGAAAAAAGAAAATTACAAATTATATATGACAAACCCAAATGAATGAATAGACTTATAGAATGCATAGTTAGATAATTCATTTTTAATTTGGGAAGAAAAATATTAAATTAGCAAAATATTGTAAAAAATATAAAAGTATAGAAATTTTATGCAATATGATTATATTTTATACAATATCATTGTATATTAAATTTAATAGGATAGACACAAATGAAAATTTGTACAAAAAAAAGTAATCAATTTTAATTTAATTTTTTTGTTATCCTCTAATATTCGAGTGTTAGATAATCCTTTAGTCATTCAAGAAAAATGTTAATTTGTTGTCATCCAAACACATTATACAAATATGAATTTTGTTACATATTGTAAATACTTTTAGATTTATATGTTATTTACAACAGTAATATTATATTAAATAAAAAATATTAGCATAATACTCCCTCACTCCCATAAATATAGTTTTAATTGGATTAGACACGAAATTTAAGAAATATTAATATTATATTGATAGTCGGTAAAAATTATGGATAAAAGACTTTTTTGTCCTTGAGTGTATTACTGTAAAAAATAGTGACAATTGTATAATAAAAATGAAAAAATAGGGGTAGTTTTATGGTGATATGGTTATTTATGGAAACAAGACTATTGTTTTAAGACGGACAAAAATAGTAAACAAGACTATTGTATTGAGACGGAGGGAGTATTATTTATTAATATATTTTTAATTAATTATTAATATTATTATGTTTAAATTTTCATGTCTATAATAATCACAACACAAAATTTGAAATTGAGTTTTATTTTGTAGCTTTCAAACATTAACCAATTTCTATACAATTCTAGTCGTGACAACAACCATATATATACAATATATTTGTTTAAGTCTAATAGATAAGGAAAAATAGCAAAAAAAGTAAATTGTAATTTGCAAAATTTGTAGAAAAAACTCTCTTCATAAACCTTGTTTTACCACTTTGTACTTTGAATAATGTTGAAAAAATATTTTTCTATTAGTACTTAACGGAAATTGTAGCAGATGATACATTTAAACGGTGAGTATTATTATAAAATTATAAAATTTGTAAAAAGTCGCAACTAATTTAATTAATACATTGAAGGGTATTCTATAACTTTTCTCGTGTTATCTATAATTTTGTATAGTACTTATAGTTTAAGCGTGGCTGCCGGAATTAATATTTTTTATAAGATTATTTGACCGTAAGTAGGTAAAATGAAATTTTTAGGACCATAGGTCTTTTTAGCAAATTTTGCAAAGTACACAATAATCTACTGCTATTTTTCCAACAGATGAATATATACTCCCTCCGTTCAAGAGTGAATTTTTTAATTATTTGACTTTTACATACGAATTAAGATGAATTAGTATTATATATATGTAATGTAATAAATTAGTGTAATATTTATTTTACCATTGACATTAAAATATAAATAATACTCACTTCCGTTCCACAAGAAGAATACTATTTTTCATTTTTATCCGTCCCGAAAACAAGAATATTTACGCAATTAAGTAATCGTACTACATATGTAACATAATTCAATACTTGTACTACATATCTAATATAATTAATACTCTTACAATTTTTAATATAATAGGACATTTTTATCTTTTTCACTGTAGATTAATATAATATTCATATTAAAAAACCTAAGTGAAAAAGCAAAAAAAGATTAAAAAGTAGAAATATTTATATATTTAATTAAAAGTTATTGTTACTTTAAAAATAAAAAAAGAAAAAATTGACTGATAAAATAAAAAATGTATTTTTGGACGAAAGAGACTATATTTAAGTGATCCATATATATTTATATTTCGCATCCATAATAAATTAAATCAATTAATAAAATTTATAAACATACATATTCTGCGTGAGGATAAGGTGGATTTGGTTCGAAATGTCATATATATATATATATATATTCTTCTCTCACTATAAAAAAAGGTTTGATTTTCACACACATATATACATAATTATATATATATATATATATCCATGTACAGCGAAGGTATCTGGTTCCCCCAACTCACTTTTATTTTCTCACTCATTTCCAGGGGTCCTCGGGGCAATTGACCCCCCAAATTTTTAAAAATTAATTGTTTTTTTAGTGTAATTTTTAGATTTCATATAATTAGGTGCGCTGGTTTGCTTCCCCCAAAAGTCCTATCCATTATCTGGTTTCTACTTTAATTTATTATTTTTATTATAATATTTAATAATTTTATCATAAATATACTGTATAATAATTAAATTTTGTTTATATAAAAGCCTTCCAATATTAACAATATAGTAAAGAATGTCTATAATGTGATATTTTATAAAAAATATTTGATTTGAATTTTTTTTTTAAAACTACTATTGTTTCATAGTATAAAACATTACAAAATACCTGTATAAATAAAAAAAATATTAAACTACTGGTTCTATTATCTAACAAAAAAAAAAAAGTTATAGTTCAAACTCGTAATTTATAATTCAAAATATATTGAGACAAAAAATAATAATAATATAATAATAATAATAAAACCAAGTTGACGACTTTGCATCGAAGTCCAAATACGGGTTTCATCACTGCTCATTTCTGCATACCATTTTCTCTATCTGTATTATCTTTCATTCCATTGCGATTGCTTAATTAGGTGACCATCTCACATCAATTGGATCATCTTTTATGGGAATAGGATGATTAATTTTTTGGTTTATTTGATTATGGTTGAGATTGATTTAAAATATAGAGTTATTTTGAATTTTTGTTTAAATAGTATTTTGATAGAATATTTTGTAAGAAAAAATAGTATATTTTTATTAAAAATTGTGCAAAGAATAATATTAATTTGGATTTAAAAAGATAAAAAAACAAAACTTTCAATCGATCATTTGTTGGACTGTAAATTTTAACACATTGTTTAATTTTCTTAAAGTAAATATTCGGGTAAATTTAGTTAAAAGTGAGTGGAAATAGGGCGAGCAACAACAAGGGCAAGGTAGTTTAATCGTTGCTTTGAATCTATCAAGTATACAAGCGATTAATAAAGTTTAGGATTAAAATATTCAACCAACACATATACTAAAGTAATATTATGAAATCAATAACACCATATCTACAGCTAATTCTCATACTCCCTCCGTCCCACATAATTTGTCCATATTTTTTATTTTCGTTCATCCTACATAATTTGTTCTTTCCTTTTTTGGAAAATTAATTATACACTTTAATCATATTTTAAATTTTAAAATTTAAGTTTTTTTTAATCTTAATTAAACTATTTAGTTATTTTAATCTTAATCTATAATTATTTTTACTGAATAATAATTATTTTTACTAATACATTTCTTAATTATTTACTAATTATACTTTACCTGTATAGTAATAAACCCATATTATATGGGACGGAGAGAGTATTTATTTTCATTTCGGGTAATGAAAAATATATTTGTCTTTCATGAGTTTAAAATCTGTTAGGATTTTGATTTGACTAGTTTAATATGACTTATTTTACATTAACGAAAAAAATAAATAAATAAACAAATAATTGAATAGTGCCCATTTCCAACAGCTTTAAAGCTTCCTAAGAGATTCTTCACTCAAAGCTAAAGAAAAACCCATCCCAAACTAAATTTCATATCGACTTTCAATTCCCACATTAATATATACATATATATATAGTTGCAATAAAATTCTGAGGGAAGAGAGGTTCAATCGTATATATTTATAATTCGATCCATTTCTCTGAAGAAATTTTAGCCGTTTCAGATTGTTCGGAGAGATTAATGTCGATGAATCTGCTGCAATTTTGATAAGAACCCTAATTGATGGGTTCTGCAGAAATTAGGGTTTTGTATTTGATTCCTAAATCTCTGAAGAAAAAAAATCCCCCGTTTTTTTTAGCTACTGCTGATTAAAGGGTTTAGGGTTTTTGTAATTCGACGAAAGCCATGATTCCTCTGCTTTCGATTTCGTTCGTTGTCCGATTCGACGTTTCCGATGAGGAAAATCGTCTTCTTCGCAGTTTGGCGTCAGAAATAAATCATTTTGCTATTTATTATTAATTATTGCATCGAATTCTGATTTATTAGACGGAATTCGCGATGACTTTCGACCGCCGCCCCCACCGGAAGCTGCTGGGGGCCGCGCCGTCGGCGGGGGACGGCGGTAGAAGCCGCGCCGCCGGCGAGAATTTCGACACGAACATGGTGGTGATTCTTGCGGCGCTTTTGTGCGCTCTGATTTGTGCCTTGGGGATTAATTCGATCGTCAGGTACGTCCTGAGATGTGTACGGGCGGCGGATTCCGGCGGCGGCGGCCGGGTGGACGGAGACGAGCCGGGTCCGCGGCGGAGAGGGGTGCAGAATAAGGGGCTGCTGCGGCGGATTCCGGTTCGGGTATACGGATCCGGGGAGCGGGTCGGGTCGACGGACTGTCCGATTTGTCTGGCAGAGTTCGTCGACGGCGAGAAGATCAGAGTGCTGCCGGAATGCCGCCATTGTTTCCATGCCAGGTGTGTCGACGTGTGGCTGACGGCGCACGCCTCCTGCCCCACTTGCCGGCGGGTGCTCGTGGCGGAGACGGCGGGGAATGCGCCGGCGATTGGGGATGCTCCGGCGACAGCCGCCGGAGCGTTTTCCGATGAGGTAGGATGACTCCATTGAGATTTTTCTTGTAATTTTTTTTTTTTTTTTTAATCTGTTAAGTGTGTGGATATGTTCTTACAATTATGGTATGTTTTTGCTCAATTTTCTTTTTTGTGTTGTTCCAATAAATTTTTAACACAATTTTCTATTAAAATTTTTAAATGTGTATATATTTAAAATTTTACATAGTATTACTTTTGTTGTTCAAATTTATTATTATTTTTTTTAAAGTAAAAAACATACCACTTATATATATATATATATATATACTTTTCTACTCTAAAAAGTAACAATTAACAATTATTATCAAATTTTATTAAAATATGTGCCCAATCATGTGCATATAAACTTTTAACGGAAGTAGGATAATAATATACTTTGTCCACTTAAAAAAGTCTAACTATTTAATAGAAAAAAAAATATATTTTTTATATTGTAAACATTTTCTCATACTAAATTAACATAAAAAATTATATATATATATATATCTCTTAAATTAAAAATACAAATTAAATACACTTTATTATTTTCAATTATTATTATTGAAAAATACAATAAATAAGATAAAAATGTATAACTCACAAGAAGCAAATGTGTGATATCTATAACATATTTACCTGTAGATATTTTTAAAACATCTGGCATTACTTATTAATAGAGTATTTTTTTTCAAAACATATAACATTTAATATGTTTTTTTTATTACAAAATATTGCATTAAATATCATACTCCCTCGATTATTTAAATGATTGGATACAAATTTTAATAAAAATAAATAGTAATTAATATTTTTTGTCTTTTATAATAAAATTACAAAAAATAATTACTTAAAAAAGAAACAAACATATTTTTTTATGACAATATAGAAAAAAATAGATAAAATTAAATGAAGAAAGAAGTAATTTTTTTACTATTTTAAACATTTTTTAAACTTCAAAATAATTCGCATAACAATTTTTATTATTTAATTTTATTCTTTAAAAAAAATTATATTCAAGAACTATATATCTAATATTGATTTTTATTTTTTTTTAAATGAGGTACAAAAACAGACCGAATCATTTTTTTATTGTTTTTTTATTTAATTATTACTATTAATATTTTCAAATCTTGCCTAATCTTAGAATTTTTGAGCTACCTTTATCACTGTTATATATATATATATGTATATATTCCAGTGATATATTCGTCATAAAGTCGAAGAAAAGAATGAAGATTCTTATTCCACTTTTATATGGAAATCGACTTTATTATATTCTTACCTGAAATTTTCTTTGCACGAATAAGTTTTGACACAAATTTCTTTAAAATTAATAATAAGTTTTTTAAAAAGAAAAAAAAACCATTGAAATGGGACAGAGTATATTATTAGTAGTAGTAGTGTCTATTTTCAAAAGATATTTTTATATGAAACGTTATTTTCATTTTTAAAATATTAAAATAAAAATAAAAATGCATGTGATCGCGCGCAATAATTTAGGAAGACAAGAAAGAAACTCCACAAAAGACACATGCAATATCACATATCTACTAGAAAAACACATAATAAATAAATAAAAATCGAATTGGAAATAAGATTTGTCTCTTCTACCTGTCCTAATTGGAACAACTCATTTCCGCAAATGGTCCTAATAAAACGTACTATGCGGTTTAGAAGACCGCGGATCAAGTTCTGATTTGATCAGATCTAACATATAGTATCATACCGATATCTTATATAACATAACATATGATGTATTATACAAAAACATATGATAATTATTTTTAGATGATATGCTGATCTGATTTAATTGGATCAACACTAATCCACATCCAATTTAAAATATATTTAAAATAAAAGTATTGATTTGAATTTATATTTAAATAATATTTTAATATAAAAAATTATCATATTTTTATTAAAAATCCTTACCTCTACATAGTAGTGTAATTATATGTAAATTTTCAATATACAGTACAATAATACAATCAAATTCCATGTAAATCACACATTCAAGAATCACATGTAACAAAACTTAATAAAGAAAATGACAAATCCGTTTTCCTTGAAAAACTATATAATATGTAATTAAATATATATTTTTAAGTGAGACATCATTTAACAGCAAAAAATAACTTCTTTCTTTTTCACTACCAAAAAAATCGTTGCTCTATCCATTATCCATTGCCGAGGCATCGAATCATCTCCAAAATGCTCACAACTTCCCCCAACTCCGGCCGGTTCGAAGGCGCCCGAGACGTGCAAATCAACCCGAGCTTCATCACGGGAACGGCCTCCTCGCTCGGGAACCTTCGCAGCCTCCCATCGACGCATTCCTCAATACATCCATCATCTAACGCACGTCGAACCATATCCGAGAGCACAACCACGTCGTCTTCCAAGTACTCGACGGGCCTCTTCCCCGTTACAATCTCCATCACCAAAATCCCGAACCCGTATACGTCGCATTTCTCGGTGATCGAAGAATTCTCACACCCAAACTCGGGAGCCATGTATCCGAGCGCGCTCTGAATTTTACTGCCGAGAACGTATCGATCCAGCATCGGCAGAAGCCGGGCGAGGCCATAGTCCGCAACCTTGGCCTCACCCGCGCCATCATCGATCAAGATATTGCTCGATTTCAAATTGTAATGGACTATGTTCATCCTGTGAAGATGAGACAGCCCTTTCGCAATCCCGACGATAATGTCGAACCGCTCGTTCCATGTTAACGTCCCCCGCTCGGTTTCTTCGTGCAGATATGTGTCGAGGTTTCTGCCGGCGACGAATTCGTATACGAGAAGCTGTACGGATGGAGTCCAGTAGTATCCGTGAAGCGCCACGACGTTTACGTGGCGAACCGTCCCCAACTTCTCGACTTCTCGTTCAAAATCTTTTTCGGATTTGACGAGGCTCGAGACGGTTAACTTTTTTACCGCGATGGATCGCCCGTCTTCGAGTGTAGTCCGGTAAACGGCTCCGAATCCTCCGCGTCCGAGCTTGCAGTCTTCGTTAAGAAGCGCGCACGTGCCCATCGGGAAATCGAGATTATCTGAAAACACAACGAGCTTGCCGGAATCTGTGTCGCTCGATGTCGAGAGGCTCAAGTCGTCACCGGCAGGATAAAAGTTCAGAGCCACAGTCGACTGAGATGTTGCTCCGCGAACGCGGAGATTAACCACAGTGACAGCAATTACACCAACAACGATGGCAGCGGCTGCGCCGATGGCGATAAGAGCTGAGACGCTGAGAATCTTCTTCCTCCCGTGCGTGAAACCGGGAGTCGTCGAGCCTGTTGTGGCAGCGTCGGTAGCGTTTGGATCAAGAACTATTGGCTTGGGGACAACTCCGGGGCAGCTTCTGTTGACGGCTGCGCCACAGAGGGACGGATTTGCAGACACAGACGAGGGATCGATGGTGTTGAAGAAAACGCTCAATGGCAGCTCGCCGTGTAGCTGATTGTGTGAAATGTTGAATACCCGAAGTTTGACGAGATTTTCGAGCTGCTTCGGAAGGGTTCCTCTCAGCTGATTAAACGAGAAGTCCGCCGTTTGAAGGTTCGTAAGTTTCGCGATAGATCCCGGGATAGAGCCGGTGAGCTCGTTGCGCGCGACAGACCTGCCAAATTCGATCAAAATCATTCAAATCCATCAAGATGAAGATCAATCCAACGATGCATATATCGAATACTATAGACGACGAGCAGGAAATAAACATACAACGATACCAGGGCAGCACAGTCGCCGATAGATGCAGGGATGTCGCCGCCGAGTGAATTATTTTCAAGCCTCAGCTCCACAAGAGACGCCATTGATCCAAGCTCTGAAGAAATGCTGCCATGGAGCAAATTCCCTGCCATATTCAAAACCTGCAAGCTATAGAAATTTCTTAAAGCAATCGGGATTGTGCCGGAGAGATTATTCTTCGAGACATCTAAAACCAGAAGGCGTCCTCGCGAATTCTCTGTCGATGAAGCGAAAGCATCTCCGGTACTGCCGCTTAACCTGTTGTCCGAAAGCAAAACTCTCTGCAAACCGAGGTCGAACATCCAAGAACGGAGATTACCTGTTAAAGCATTGTGACTAAAGTCAATAGTTATAAGATTTGTACAGTTGATCATAGTCTCCGGAGGGCTTCCGGTGAGGGAATTGGTTGAAAGATTCACGGCCTTCAACTGCTGCAGCTTCGACAAGGAAGTCGGAATCTCGCCGGAGAACATGTTAGCGGAGAGATCTAGAGTTTCTAAACTTCTCAATTCTCCAATCCAATCAGGGATATTTCCAGTAAATGCATTTCCATGGAGAATCAGATCACTACATAACGAGAGTTTCTGCAAACTGCTCGGAATCTCTCTAGAAAACGAATTTAGACTAAAATCGATTACCCTTAGCCCCAAGCAGTTCCCAATTCCATCGGGAATTTCGCCGGAGAGACGATTGTTCCTCAGAATTATTTCCCCCAAACTGCTCGCACCTTCAATGCCGGCAGGGATTTCACCCTCCAACAAATTGTACGATAAATCGAGCGAACCGAGTGCCGACAACGACCAAATCTGCGGCGGCAATCGTCCTGAGAACTGGTTGCCGGAGAGATTGAGGGAAGCCAGAGACGAACAGGAGCTCAAACTCTTAGGAATCGAGCCTGAGAAGGTGTTCTTCGAGAGGGAAAGGGAGCGCAAATTCCCGCACTGAGTAAGGAAATCATTTCCGATTGAACCAGAGAAAGCATTCTCGCTCAAATCCAGCACTCGGAGATCACTCAGCTGTGCGAAACCGACGGTTGCATCGCCGGAAAAGTTGTTCCGCGAGAGCGAGAGTGTCTGCAGGAATTTCAATTGAAGAATCCCTCGCCCTAGCTTACCCGACAGGCCGTAGCCGTCGAGGACGACGCCGGACACTCGATTGGAACTCGGATCGCAGCTAACTCCGGCCCAATTATTGCAAGGACTGTCGCTGTCTTCGTTCCAGGAAGCCAATTTTCCGTCGGGGTCCTGTACATCTGCCTTGAATAAAATCAATCCTAAAACGTCGTCGTTCAAGGAAGCGCTCACAGATTCCGCGGCAAACAGGAACAAACTGGTTAAGAAGCAAATGCAAAATGTAACCGCCGAAGACATTGCGGAGGTCAAAGCATTTCGGAAATTTAGTTATCGAGGAGAAAATCGGACCACTGGATAGTGGATAATCAATCCAAGAGATAAAATACTAGAAAGAAATTCTCCAAAAAACTGCAAACCATTAAAGCATCTGCATCAATCAATGAGTTGTTCAAAATCTACAGATGAAATTGAGAAAAGCTTTCAGAATGGAGAAGACGAAGCACAGGGAGAAATCCAAAGGTGAAGAGCGAAGGTGGATATGTATGGAGTCGATAATGGAGCAATGCTGACGACCAGAATGCGAGGTAAAATAAAATTACAGGAATCTACCGACGAGAAGGCGATAGTCGGCGGCGGCAGCGATTCCGGCGACGGCAGAGTCAGGTTAGGGACGGACTACAGCGTATATATCACTATACCGCAGTGCATTTATGAGGGTTGGCTGTGGTGCACCGCTTTTATTTGTTTTCCACGTGGCGGTTTTTTATAGGTTAGTTAGAAATCCAAAGCTGGATGTCGCTTTGCATTTGAAAATGCTCACTAGCTTGATACGATTGTCTCACACAATGATATTTATTAAAATATATTAATAAAAACAAATTATAAATTAATATTAAAATAATAACGAATTAGATTAATTAAAATTTTAGAAATTATAAATTAAAAAAATTAAAATAAAATTAGATGCGCCATCGGGACAGCCTTTAACATTCAACGCAAGTCAAATGTGCTACCAATACGGCGCAATTAACGGCGTCAGCGTGTGATTAAACTATGAGACAGGTGGAAAGGGACAAAGCGGCCGCCGTTAGGTAACGGATTCCCAGAAAATAAGAGCACGAAGTCAACCAAAATTTGACTTCTTTTAGTAACATTCGGAATCCGAATTGGGTGAACTTTCCAAACTTTCGTCAATACACGAATTTGATTTTTCTTTCTTTCTTTTATATATATTTAGGTATGTAAAAAATATGATATATGTATATATATAATACGAATTTATTTAGTATTTTAATTTAAAATTTTTATTCTAAATATAAAAAATAGATATTGTATGACATTAAATATTAAATATTTAAATTAAATTAAATATCATATATATATTAAAAAAAAATAAAATTTTAATATAAAAAATTTATTTATTCTTATAAAATTCACATTAAATATTCAAAATTCCAACTCTTTTAAAATTTTTCAAAAGTTTAAAACTTTTAAATTTGTTTAGTATTTTAGTTTAGATTTTTTTTAATATTAAATATGATAAATGTTTCGATAATATAAAAATAATATTTTATATTAAATATTGATTTTTTTTATTAAAAAAAATAAAATATTTATCATATATATTAAAATGATACAAGTTTTATAGGGCTAACAAACCCTAAACCTGAACCAAAATGGAATCTATAGTATTTTAAATAGAATTTTAAGCAAGAGTTCATGGTTAAATAGTGGGCCTTTATATTCAAAGCCAACTATATTTTTTGCTTTATAATAAATTAAAAATTAAACAGCTCAATTTTAATTTGGGCTTCAATATTTTTAAGGCCCAGTCTTTCAATGCCCACATTGGTCAAAAAAAAAAAAATGTTTTTCTTTTTGTGTATGTTAGTTTCAAATTCTGGTCTACAAATCTGATCCATGTTAAATAATAAAATATAATAATATATATAAGATAATAAAATAGTATAATACCATTGAAACTCCAGTTTGTGGATAAATAATTAATAATTGTATTTTCTAATTATTTGAGCTTTTAGTTGAGATATTAAATATACCGTTTGTTTTAAGACTATTTTTTGTTTTAATATTGATTTGATGTTATGTATTGTAAAAATAAATAATGTATTTTTATTGAATAATGAGTAGTAAAAATATAAATAATTATTGTCAAGAGAACAAAATTAAAATATTATACTCCTCCGTCTTATTAAAAGGTTGTTATTTTTCATTTTCGTTTGTCCCAAAATAAAGTTATCATTTCCTAATTTAGTAATTGTACTACTTACCTAACATAATAAATACGCTTCTAACTTAAAATATATTACACAAATTTCATTACTTTTATATTACACAATACTAATAGGGGTATTTTCGTTCTTTTCACTACAATCTATTATAATACTAATATTAAAAAATTTACGTGCAGAAAGCAAAATCCGCCCTTGTTCCGAGACGGAGGGAGTATAACATAATTTATATCAGACACCATTATCCTTATGTTTTAGATTCTAAAACGATATGAACTTATTCAAAATACAAACTAGACATACCATTATTTGATTGGCGAAAAAGTGAAACCATTTTGGGAAAGATGGTGATAATATGCACATGAAATGATCAGAAGCTGTCTTCCACTATATCTGCATATATACTACTTACATCGTTTCCAAATAAATACATAATAATAAGAGTAGTATTTTATTTTTATTAAAATATTTTAAAATTATAAATCTAAATCAAAATTTTAATATATACTATAATTTGGGATAATCTTGCCTTTTTCTTTTAATTGCTAGTTAGAGGGTGTTTGGGAAACAATATTTTGAAGAACTTTTAGTTTATTAAACAACGCTGTTTGACCAGTCAAAAAATTAATTTTTGAAAAGCTCATCTACCCCACGTTTGAAAGAGCTTTTTTATTTTAATTTTGATTATTTCTTATTTACGCTTAAAACTTAATTATTTATTTTATACATATAAATATATTTTGATAGCAGTATTTATTAATTATATTTAATTTATTAAATTATATTTTTATTTTTGTAAATTTTAAATAATTACTATTATTAATTATTATATATAAATTATTATATTTGTAAAATATATAAATTTTTAAAACTAAATCAAATAAAAAAAACAAAGCTTATTAATTTATTTATATATATTAAAATAATAAATATATATATATATGAAAGATTTATTATTTTATATTTTACATAATTTTAATAAAAAATTATTATTTTTTAGTAAAAATAATTTTTTCAGAACTAAATAATAAAAATAAAAATAAATATTTTATAATATTTTTATAATTTTCAATAATTAATAACAAAAATTTTCATAAATTTCAAACCAAAATGAATAAAATTAAATATTTTAAAAAATAACATATCAATGTCCTTAATAGTCATTTTATGTATAAACAACTGATGTCAAACAATTGTTTTACCAAACACTTTAATACAAACAGCTAATTGAATCAGCTAGTCAAACCAACTAATTGAATCAGCTAATTTGTCAAAAGCACCCTAAAAACTTGTTTATAATTCATTTATATTAAACTTTATACATTTATAATTTTATTATTTGTAATTTAACAAATGACCAATTTTCTATTATTATTTTTATTTACCCGAACATTTTAGTATTAACTATTCAATAAATTTTATATAATACACTTAATTTACTTTTTATTTATACCATTTTTATATGAAAATGTATTATGTTTTAGTTTTCATGCCCGACCATTGTAGCATAAATAGCCCGGATGGAGGGGTATTATAAAAACAAAAGAATTATTGAATAGTTAATAATAAAATATTGAAGTAAATAGAAAAAAATAGTCAATAATTGATTATTATTATTATTGGTTAAAATATATATAGTAAAATTTTATCCAAATAAAATTGTTTACTATACCTAAATTATGCATAAATTTATCGGATAAAAAACATTGCATAATTATTCCAAACGGAATGAGTAATATAATAAATATGTTGAAACAATTATTTGTAAAAACATATAAAAAGAATATAATATGTTCAATGACTTTTTAAATAATAATAATAATAATAAAAGATACTCAAAAATTCAAAAATAAATTATACCCTTTTTCTTATCATGTCTCTGTCTATGTCACTTTCCCTTTAAAATGGAACCACAATGCATCCCACACTTAAGTGTCCACCATTATTGGATTTATTTATTTATTTATTTATTATTTTTTTTACACGATTTTTAATATATATATATATTCTTTTTTCATAAAAATTAATATTCAATATAAAATATTATTTTTATAATATCGATACAATTTTTTATACCCATATTAAACAAAAATACAAAACCTAAATATTTTAAATGCAATGTGTTCATTCAAAAATACAAAATAAACAAAACCTAATACTCCTATAATTTATTTTTACACGTAAATTAAGTATTAATATTTTAAATGCAATGTCGAATTTTACTCCTGTAGATGTTTTTGAAATGATGTTGATGATATTGTTATAATAATATACATTACTCCCTCCATCTCAGTTAAATTTTTCTATTTAGCTTGCGCACGAATATTGTGTAATTAATAAATAATTAATAAGTATATTAGTAAAAATAATTACGATTTAATAAAAATAATTATAGATTAAGATTAAAATGACTAAATAATTTAATTAAAATTAAAAAATTATAAATTATGAATTTTAAGATGCAATTAAAAAAATGTATAATTATATTTCAAAAAAAATGACCAATTATATGGAACGAACGAAAATAAAAAAGATGAGACAAATTAATTAAGCGGGACGGGGGAGTAAAATATAATTTTTTTTTTTTAATATTTGAGAACTATAATTACTAAGGAGGAAAATAATAAATTAATTCGGACATATAAAATTGACAAAATAAATAAATTAATTACAAACTGAATTCAAAACCATATCCTGATTGATTTACATATTTTAGCTAATAATGGGAGAAAACAGATTTGCTTAAAATATGCAGTTTGAAAGTTACATCTGACCTAAGTGTTTTTTTTATTTTTTGGAATAATTAACAACAACTATTATTTTGAATTTATTTTTCCTTTGTCTTATTATGTATATTTTCAAACCTACAATCATTTATTCCATATTTAAAAGAATTTCCAATTATAAATTTGTATTGCAATAAATGGGCCCGTCATGCAAATTTATGCTCGCTTTTCTTTTTAGTTTGTCATCAAAAAAATATTCTCGTTTCTTTTTTAAGTAAAAAATTATTATACTTTTGTATTTTTTTTTACTATAAAAGGAAAAAATAATAATTATTACCCAATTTTATTAAAACTCGTGTCCGATCAAGTGAGCACACATTTGCATGACGGAAGGAATATTATTTTTAAGGTTTATTTGATAAATGTATATTTTGTCATTTTTTATTATTCGAATATAAAATATTTATTTTGTTTATTTTTTAAATATGTATGAATTCAACTGTACTTTCATATTTATATTTATTTATATTGATATCTCACAATAACTTTACACATTATAAAAGTAAAAATATTCTTTATATACCAAAACTATTTAAATTATAATTTAAACTCAAACACAAATAAATAAAGGCTCTGTTCATCATCAGTTTTATATATATATATATTTTTTCTTTCTAAATTTCTATTAGATTTTCTCCACTTAATGGATAAGCTTTTGTTATCGAGATAATTTCTTCTTATCTGAAATTTTGGTGATTGGATTTGCACTAACGGAAACCATAAATTTTAAACACAATAGATGAATCAATTTGCTTGTTTTTAGATAGTGAATAGAATTTTAACATTTATTTTTTAATTCCGATTCTCTGAAAATAATAATAAATAATATAAAGTACTCCCTCCGTCCCTTAACAATCTATCCATTTTTTCATTTTGGTCCGTCTCATAACAAAGTATCCGTTTCCTTTTTTAGTAATTGTACTATCTACCTAACATTACAAATACCCTTCTAATTTACAATATATTACACAAATCTCATTTACTTTATATCATACAATACTAATAGGGTTAATTTAGTCTTTTTACCTTTATTTCTACTTTATCCTAATATAATACTAATATTCATAAAATCTCGTGCATAAACAAAATGGATAGATAGATTGGGGACGGAGGGAGTATCTTTTACAAAATAAAAAGTCAAAAAACGATAAAATTTAAATATTCATTACAAAAATCAAATATTCTAACTTAAAATAATATATTTTATATTTTACATCAAAAATATGATTTAATTAAAAAGAAAAAAGAAAAAAGAAAAATTCAAACCAAAACTAAACAAAACCCAATATTATTTGTCATAGGATATATCTTTATTTATAAAAAGATGTTAAAGATGAAATTTAAAAGTTTGGATGCTTCAAACCAAGACGATGAGAAGATACCTTAAAAGTTGGGTTTTGGGGTTTTGAGTTATACATATATATATAATATTAAAAATATAAATATTAAAAAAAAATGTATCATAAAAAGATTCTAATAATAAATTGTTTATGCATAAGACAAACATTAAGATCAAATAAATATTCTTCCTTATCATCACTTAATTCAAGAAATATATATATATATATATATATACACACACAATTTATTCCATAAAATCTTTGATTTCATCACATGAACATTTCGAAGTCCTTTGTAGACACTTGTTTGGATATATTAATACGTACAAAATGAATCGAATAGATAATATTAAAATTGCTACATTAAAAATAATAATAATAAATGCAATTTTAGCTCGATGGGATATTACTATTTAATTTATATTATTTTTAATAAAAATATTTCATAAAAGACCCTCGCTCACAATAAATTTGAATAAAAAAACAAGAATCTAAATGTGAGTGGGAAGTATGGCTTTGAACTGAACGAAATCTAGACAAACAATTGAAGACAAAATATAAATTTTATGGAAATTTTTTTTTTAAAAAAAAAAAGAAAAAAATGATGAAAAATAAATTTAGCAAATGAAATGTAAACATTTCAAAATCAAAAGATTTCTGGGTACATTTGGAGTTAAGTGCACCTGAAGAACATTTCAATCACGAGGGTTAGTAATAATGAACTATTTTTAAATAATAAATTAAAATATTATTTAAATCAATTTGATATAAATTAAACTAAAATAAAAGAGACCACACTATTATGTAAAGGTTTGATTTGATTTTATACTACTAATTCTTTTTACTTGTCAAAATTATTAAATCAAATGTATATTTTTATTTAAATTAGTATGGTAAAAAAAATTATTTTTAAATATTCTTGTACTTTACATTGAATATATATATATATATATATTAATATATTTTTCACTATTGTCATATTTATTTGTTAAATTCAGTGTCAAGAATCTGTGGCAGCTTATCATTGCACAATCATACACCCAAAAATAAATAAATAAAAATCGATTCACAGTCACTTCAATTAAAGTAAGAAATCATTACACAGTAAAAATATGTATCCTTTAAAATTTTACTCACTCCGTCTCAAGTATCGTGTGTCTGTTACACTGTAAACACTGTATTTTACAAAGAGTGTAATTACTAGATAATTAAGAATGTATGAGTGAAAATAATTATTTTATAATATAAATAATTATAAATTAAGATTAAGATAACTAATTAGTTTAATTAAAATTAAAAAAAATTAAAAAGTTTAAAATGAGATTAAAGTGTATAATTATTTTTTTAAAAAAAGTGACATACAATATGAAACGGACATAAACGACAATGTGGACATGGTACGTAGGATGAATGGAGTATTAAATAATGTATAGGTCAATTTATTCTTTTGTAGTTTTGTTTAGGGTCTATTTGTTGGTATTTTTTTTGTCTAAATTAATTTCAATATTGTTTACAACTCTTACTAAAAAATATATTATATATTTTTTAAAACAAGATATCACATGTGTTTCTTTTGACAAAATTTCTCAAATTTTATTATTTGATTCTCTATTTTTTTTTAAAAAAAATAAAATATATTTTTTCTCACAAAATTTTCATCAAATATTATTTTAATATCATACTCAAATCAAATACTATTATTTTTATATTAATATGATATAATATTCTATTAATATTGTTGGGTTTATACTGAGTATAGCTAGATGATTTGATAAAAAAGAAAACGTATTAAAATTAAAATTAATTTATATAATTTATAATCATTAGTAAAACTGTTGTGTTTTAAAACCCAATAAAAACAATTAAAAAAAATCTGAAAAAAAAATAAATATATATATATATACACAAGTCATACACCCCTCAATCCTCATATACTGGAATACATAACCCTCTCCGCCAATAATTTCTCTCCCCCACTCTCTCTCTCTCTCTCTCTCTCTCTCTCTCTCTCTATATCTATATATATATATATATCGTCTTTGTGTCATCAGAATTAATTAATTTCCCCCAAACAAACCCAGCTGTAAGAGAGAAGCCTAGGTAGCTAGCTAGAATCCACATACACTAATACAACAATGGCATCATCGCCGGAATATTCCTCCCCGAAAGCAGCAGCCGCCGGCGACACCCCGACGGCGAACGGCGGCGGCGTAGGGAATCCTCCGGTTGAGCTGGTGCTGATACACGGGCTGGGGAGCGGCGCGTGGTCGTGGTACAAGGTGAAGTGTCTTTTGGAGAACAGCTGTGGTCATAAGGTGACGTGTCTTGACCTTACGAGCGCCGGAAAAGACCAAACTGACCCCGCCGACGTCCACACCTTCGCCCACTACAATAAACCCCTCATCGATTTCCTCTCCTCCCTCCCCACCAACCACAAGGTAATTACTACTACTAATTAGAGTCTCTGTCTCTATATATGTATGTATGTATTGTGGACAGACACGTGTCGGTGTGTGAGGTGCAGGTGATCCTGGTGGGTCACAGCGCGGGTGGACTTAGCCTGAGCGATGCAATAAACCAGTTTGGATGTAAGAAGATTAAGGCTGCTGTGTTCCTGGCAGCCACCATGTTAAAACGTGGCTTTCATGCTCCCCAGGACCTCAAAATAGTAAGTCCGCTGCCTCTGCCCTTTTTGGTTTTTTTTTTTTTTTTTTTTTTTTCTAACTATTTTTAAAAAATTAGTTTATCCGTCCGCCTAAAAAAGTATATATATTTCTATTTTGGACTTTCAATTATAAAGTAATCATTTTATTAAATACCCCATTTTTTTCCATAAATACTCTTACTTTCACACCATTACTTTTATACAAAAAAGTAAAGACAAAAATGTCATTACACTACTTTTACATATCTATTATAATTAAAATATTATTATTTCTTAAATTCCGCGTCAAAAGTAAATATATACTTCTTATTTGACGGAGGGAGCATTATATAAAAATGTAATATAAATTAAGAAAAAATGACAAAAGTATTTCTATTAGTGTCTCATAATACTATTATGATAACATTTGTGCAAAAAATTATATAAATATAATGATATTTCTAATGTTAAATATAATGATGCAAAAGGTAAATGAGATACTTAGAGTCGGATGAAAGAAGTATTTTACTCCATCCGTCTAACTTTTCATGTACACCTTTCAATTTTCGTCCGTCCCACTTATTTTGTCACTTTCTTTTTTTAAAAAAAAAAAAGAATTATACACTTTAATCTTATTTTAAAAAATATAATTTATAATTTTTTTAATTTTAATTATACTAATCGGTTATTTTAATTTATAATTATTTTTATTATACGATAATTATTTTCACTAATATATTTTTAATTATTTACTAATTATACTCTTCTAAATTCCTATATCTACAATAAATCAGACAAAATATTCAGAACGAATGGAGTAATTAATATTTTTTTTTTAAAAGAAAAAAGAACAATAAAAAATCTCTAAGAATTCGAAACTAAACAAGCCCTTGGGAATTGAAATGGGGAGAATGTGTGTGGTAGTGAGTGTGTGTCATCCCACACTATTATTGGCTGCTTTTAATTACTTATGCAGCATCTCTTCGTTTGACTTTTTTTTTTTTTAAAAAAAATGACCTGATAGTGATTTTTATTTGCAAATTGTCTGGGCTATATTTACTTTAAATTTTAATATTTACTTCTTTTTTTTTTTTTTTTCAAATGCAATGTTTATGACTTTTTATAAAAATATATACTATCTTCATTCCTATTCTAATTTATTTTTTTGAGTTTTTAATAAATTTAAAATATATTAATATTTTATTTGTTAGTAAAAATATTTAAGATAATTTTTTATATTTTTACTGTTGAAGTATATATACTTTTAAGTGAAGCTTATACAAATAGTAAAAGATACTCTCAATTAGTATTATGAAGTAGGAATAGTATTATTTTATAAAATATTATATTCAAATAATTATAAATCCAAATTTAATTCAATACAAAGGTGTGTTTGGATTGAATATTGAACTATTCCCAACTTTTTTTTCCTCTCTAAACTTATCAAATTACAATGTCTTTGGTTTTGATTTGAATTTGAATTGGTTTAAATAGTACATAGATGTGATATCTTATTATTATTATTATTATTATTATTATTATTATTTTAAAAAAAAAGTTTATAAAAACACCCAATTGAAATACATTGCATAATATGTTTTGTGATGTGATGGTTAAATAATATTTAAGTGTGTTTACAACCAAGAATATTTTCTTACTATATTATGCAAAACCAAAATTTCATTCGAAATTAATACTCCATCCCTTCTAATACAATAATTTCATTTTTGTCCGTCTTAAAATAATAGTCTCATTTTCATAAATAATCATATCACTATAAAACTATAATTACTTTTTCATTATTATTACACAATTGTTACTGCTTTTTACACTAAGATCATCTCCAATGTAAAAAAAAAAAGGGGGAGGGGCTCCAACCCAACCCCAAATTCCCCCCATTTTTGCAGATATGCACAGTGTTACTCCATTTTTGAATGTGTTTTTTATATTTTTTTTATTTTTTGGGTGTATTGTGTAATTTTAATTTTTTAATAGATGATATATAATTTTATATTTTAAAAATTTGTATGTAATTTTATTTTTTTTAAAAAATAATGTATAATTTTATTTTTTAAAAGTAATATAAGTTTAGTTTTTGGAAAGTAATATAATTTTATTTTTTTAAAAAATAATGTATAATTTTATTTTCTAAATTGATATATAATTTTACTGTTGAAAAATAATATAAATTATATGTGTATGGATTTAGGGCGTGTTTGGCAATTAACTGTTAGCTGATTCAATTAGCTGGTTTGACTAGCTGATTCGATTAGCTGTTTGTATTAAAATGTTTGGTAAAACAATCGTTTGATATTAGTTGTTTATACGCAAAATGACAATTGAGGACATTTCTATTTTATTCGTGTTTCTAATATATTCAATTATATTTTTTTGAGTTTAGAATGTTAAAAATATTTTGTTATTAGTTATTGAAAATTGTAAAAGTGTAATAAAAATATTTCTTTTTATTACAGTTATATTTAAAAAATAATATATTTTTATCAAAATATATAAATAATTTTTTTTTATTGAATATGATGTAAAGTATAAAAGAATAAATTTTTAGTGTATATATTTATTATGTTAGTTATCGATTAGTTCATTATATTTATAATTTTCATTAAATTTAATTTATTTTTAGTATAAAATTTATATAATGTAATTTTAATAAAAAAATAAATTATTAATATTTATATTTTTTATTTTATGTTGATTTTAATAAATTTATATATTTTACAATTAAAATAATTTTTATATAAAAATTAATTATTTTAAATTTATAAAAGTAAAATTATAATATAATAAAATATTCTAATATAATTAATAAATAATCAAAATATATTTATTTGTGTAAAATTTATAATAAATTTTTAAGGGCATATAAGGAATAAAAAAAAACTATTTCAAAATGTTGGGTAAGTTAGCTTTTTAGAAATTAACTTTTTGGGTCCAAAAAACTATTCCAAAAAGCTAATTTACCAAACACCTAAATTAGTTTTTTGACAAGTCAAACAATTAAAAGCTATTCAATAAGTTAAAAGCTATTCAAAAAGCTATTTGCCAAACACCCCCTTAATGTAAAAATAAATTAAAGTTGGGGTGTAATTTATAAATATGAAAAGCTATATAAACTAGTATAAAAGAGGAATATATAAGGAATATACGTTTTAGAGTAAAAATTGAAATTTATGGTTGGAGTAAAATTACTGTAGATCAACTGCATTTTTACTGTAGCAACTACAGAAATAGAGTGGAGGGTTGGAGATGGCCTAATACACTCACAAAGACAAAAAAGTCATACTTTTTATCCACTATCAATATAATATCAATATTCTTTAAATTTCATGTCAAACCCAAACCAGAGTATAGTTCTGGGACATAGGAAATATTTTATTAATTTAGAAATGTATCTATAAAATTGCTTGCCAGAAGAACACATCCTTTGTATTTAATGTGATATTATATATATATATATATATGTTTTAATATTTTTATTAGAAAGATGAAATTGATGTGTGCATAATTGCATTGCAGGGAATACCAGAGAGATTTGGAGGAGGAAAAGGAGACGACAAATCATCATCGGTGCCAGCTGTCAACTATGAAGATCAACAGCAACAAAGTCTCCTACTCTGCCCATTGGAGGTATGTATGTCATTTGAATTTCAGATCAATATTATTTATTTTTTACAATTTTAAATAAAAATATATATTTTTTAATTTGGTAAAATTTGTATATTTGGATCCCATAAGAAAATTAAAAAATAAATTTTATTTTATTAGAAAATAATAAGAAAAATAATTGACAGTATTTTTATATATTTAATAAAAAATTAAAGAAAAAAAAAAGACAATATAATCAATATAATGATATTTATTTAAAAAGCCCACGAAAAAAATGCATCTATGAGAACTATATAGTAAAGAACTTTATTTTAAGAAAAATATAAATGAAACTAGGCTTATATAGCATAATTTGAAAGATTTATTGTGATAATATATATATTTAGGACGTCGTATTGTCGGCATTATTGGAGAGGCCGGGGCCACTCCCGGCTTTAGCATCGAGTAAGTTTGAGGAGGGTGAGGACGCGGACAAAGTGCCGAGAATATATATCAAGACAAAGTACGACAATGTCTTAAAGCCGTGGCAACAAGAAGCGATGATCGAGAAATGGCCTCCCGAGGATATTTATGTGATGGATAGCGATCACAGCCCTCTATTATCGAATCCGATTAAGCTTTCGGGATTATTGCACAAGATTGCCCTTATTTATGGATGAATAATAATAATAATAATAATAATAATAATAATAATAATAATAATAATAATGACTACTTTTATTTAATTTGGGGTGATTATGTCTTATTGTAATAATTTAGTTAAAGCTTTCTTAACGATCCATTGATTCAATGTAGTTCAATTTATGTTATATTTTAATTTAATTAGTAAGTAAAAGTTTTAAAAAATTATGTTATAATTCTTGACCAATTGATTTTTGTGATTTTATGTGCTTTGATTAGATGGTGATATACAGTTTGTTTGCTTGGCATTTATTTTTATTTTTATTTTTTAGTATTTGATTTTATATTTTTAATAAAAATATATTATTATTATTATTATAATAATAATAATAATAATAATAATTATTATTATTATTATTATTATTATTATTATTATTATTATTATTTTACAAATATGCTATTTAAACTAAAATTTAAAATAAATAAAAATTCACCAACCAAATACAATCATAAATAATATAGGTAGGAAAAACTGAAAATTTGCAAAATACAATAATAAATAATATCATCCAAATGTACATAATTATAATTTTTATTAGGACAAAATATATTCTAAATCTTTGCAAAGTCATCATTTTCTATTTTTTGGTCGCATGTGGGACAATCTTTGTGTGAATATAATACACATAAATATAAGTAAATAAATTTGAACAAAAGTGTAAAATGTATTTTGTCAGACAGATAATAAAATATCACATATGGATATTTTTTTGCAATTTTATCAATGTGGATATATAAGTAAATAAATATCTAGATATCTTCTTCACTATGATATCATCAACTTCACTAAGGGTGTGTTTGTTTGGGGGTTTGGATTTTGAATTGAGATTTGAATAGTAAAAATTTTGAATTTGAATAGTTGTATGATGTTATATAAATAGGTGTTGATGTGATGTTTTGAATGTAAAATTGATTTTTAGTATTCCCTCCGTCCCACATAATTTGTCCCTATTTTCTATTTTCGTCCGTCCCACATAACTTGTTCTTTCTATTTTTTGAAATATAATTATGCACTTTAATCGCATTTTAAATTTTATAATTTTTTTAATTTTAATTAAACTATTTACTTATTTTAATCTTAATCTATAATTATTTTTACTAAATAATAATTATTTTTACTAATACATTTCTTAATTATTTACTAATTATACTTTACCTAAATTTCTGTATCTACACTAATAATCCCATATTTTCTGGGAGGGAGGGAGTATAATATAAAAAATGAAAAATAGGTGTTTAATTTGATTTTTTTTTTAGAAAAAAATTGGATGAATAATGTAAATCCAATCCAATCCCCCAAACAAACACAACCTGAATATAATTGTATTAGAAAATTTATTTCGACAATTTTATTGTTTTAAAAATATTTTATATGTCCATTTAAATTTTATTTATTGATTATCATAAATTCGTCTTCGTATACAATTTATTCTGTGAAATTGCCAAGGACTGGTGATCGCGTGCTCATATATATAGTCTTTTCATTTTTCATCCTTCTAGATACAATATATAAATTTATTCCAAAAAAATAATAAATAAAATATTAAAATGATACTGGTATAAGTATTACCTAAAAATCAGTGTTAAATGTAGCAAAAATATTAAGACCGACAAAGTAATAAATAATTTCAAATGAGACGCAAATTGAAAATTAATTTATGGGCCTAATATTCAATATTATTAGGCCCAAAAATAATTGATAAATCAGCCCATTACTGAGTGTAAATTAAAGTCGTTATGACTAGTTACACGACTTTAACTGAAACTGTACAGAATTGTAGAGAAGGGTACCGGAGGCGTTGCTCTAAAAGGGCCTTCGTCCAGTAGCGTAGGAAGGTTTGTCAGTTCCACCTCTTCAATGGCTCTCTGCGCTCCGAGCATTTCTGTGAGAATCTGCACCTCAACCGGTCTTCAACGCCGTCGTTTCGCGCCGTCGAGTCGGACGTTGAAGCCGAGGGCCACCGCCGCTGTCGAGACCAAATCACCTACGGCGGTCGGCGGCGGTGGCGACGGGAAGCTCCTGCTTGAAGTCAAAGACCTATCCGCGGTAATCGCCGAGTCAAAGAAAACGATTCTGAGAGGTGTTAATCTGAGTATTCATGAAGGCGAGGTAACCAATTTTCACTGTCCTATTCCGTTTAAAATTATTCATTTGATGTTTATGCCGTGGAGTATGAATTGGAGCACGTGGTGCGCGTTGGGTGAAATTTTTAATTTTAGCCAAATTAAGGTTAATTTTGATACGTATCACATATTTCATTCGATTTTGGTTGTTTGCACGCAATTTTTGGACGAGCAAGTGTATAGTTGGTTGACTGTTCTTTGTAGAATCTGAATTTAGGGATTTTTATGTCTTTGTTATAATCTGCTGGATTTGTAAGGTTCATGCTGTAATGGGGAAGAATGGTTCTGGGAAGAGTACATTTGCCAAGGTCAGTGACTGCTGCCTATTGCTTGCTTTGTGATTTTAGCATTATCTGATGTTTTTGCTCCAGTGTAAGAGAATGAAGTGAATTGATTTTTTATTTGATTTAATTTTCCTACTGAAAATAGTTTTGCAATCGAATTTTGATTCAATGGTGACTTAGTTTGATAATTGAATTGAAATCTTGAGTCCACAAAATCTTGAGTTTGTGTTTTGGCTTCTTAGATTTGAAAATTTTGGTTGTATATGATGTTTTGTATAGAGTTTAGGTGTTGAAAATGTGTATTTGGGTCAGAGATTTTTTTACTGTAAATGAAGTAGTGCTAACTGTTAATAAATACACACGTAAACAGGGCATAACTTTTTGGGGGGTTCTGATGTCGAGCTTTAGAATAAAAGCACCTGAGCTAACCCTACATGTTCCAAGATGTCTTTCTTAAGAGAACATCATAAGGGTAAGGAATAGTTGGGCTCACTAGCAGTCTGATTCAGAGGTGAAGGAGAAACGACTGCTAATTTTATTTTCTGGAGATCCATGATATGTTATGCACTTTGTTTAATTGAATATATCAATGGTCAGAACGGGAAAGTTTGTTTGGTCCGTAAAACTTTTACTTCTTATTTCTGTAATTAAATATATTTTTGGTGGTTTCTTGTCTTAGGTCCTCGTTGGTCATCCAGATTATGAAATTACTGGAGGCAGTATAACATATAAGGGTCAAGATTTGCTTGAGATGGATCCAGAGGAAAGAGCTATAGCTGGATTATTTATGAGCTTTCAGTCTCCAGTTGAAATTCCTGGAGTTAGCAATATTGACTTTCTGAACATGGCTTATAATGCACGAAGGAGAAAACTTGGGTTGCCAGAACTTGGACCAATCGAGGTAGTTTCTAGACTCCTTAATTTGTTTATCTGATAATAGTATTCAACCATCATATGCATATAAAAAATGGAAGCAGGGGTGTCTCGTGTTTTTTTACTCCATTTTGGATTTGTTTGGTTAATAATTTGATTATCATTACTTACTGCATTTTGATATATTTTTGAGTGTTTTGTGTGATGTCTTGAGCAGGAATAAGTTTTTGATGTATAATTGTAAATGACAAATAAGTAATGAATAGCGCAGCCAGTTATTACTGAATTTTATTTGTTGAAATTCGTTTGTTTGTGGTTGCCTTGTATGTTCACCTTGTTGTTCTCGTCACAGTTTTTCCGGAATAAAATTGTTATGCTGCATGAACACTGTTCTTTCTTATTATAACTTGACTGACGGTTTGGTGCAGTTTTATGGTTATGTTGCTCCAAAGCTTGAGCTTGTGGGTATGAAGATAGATTTTTTAAACAGAAATGTCAATGAAGGATTTAGTGGTGGAGAAAGAAAGCGCAACGAGATTTTACAGCTTGCGGTAATAACATCTGAACTTTATTGTTTTGGCATTGCATTCTCTTCTATAATTAAGTAGTAGCTATTAGTTGATATTTTGTGGTTAAACCTCCGTGAAATCATGATTTGTGCATCCGAAAGACGTCGAAGAGTTGAGGTTAAAGTTGAGTTTCACTGTTAAGTTTGGTGCTGCTGAAAAAAAGGTGTTGAAAAAAGGGGCTAATGTTTTATGACTTCATGGCCGAAGGAATCTTGCAATTTTCGAAATGAATATAGTCTTCTGGGATGATTGAAAGCTTCTCTTTTATATATTCGTTATTTTGACATAAATTTTTGCTCCTACTGTCGCATTTTCACGCATATGTTGGTTGTTTCTAAAAGTTCATCGTTTACCACAGGTTCTCGGTGCAGAATTGGCTATATTAGATGAAATCGACTCTGGCTTGGATGTTGATGCCCTTCGAGATGTGGCAAAATCTGTTAACGGCCTCTTGACGTCACAAAATTCAGTTCTCTTGATCACCCATTACTTACGTCTCCTGGAATTCATAAAGCCGACCTATATCCACATAATGGTAAGTGAATAGGATTGCAGCCGATGGAGTATAATTTGGAAAGCTTACACATTAGATATTTCTTCGCCTCTCTCTCTTGATTTTCTCAAATGCTCTAAAAAATAAACTTCTTGCCTTCTTTGCTATAAAGCAGTAATTATGATCTCCAAATGCAGGAAAATGGCCGGATTGTGAAGACTGGCGACATTTCGTTGGCTGAAATTCTCGAAAAAGAAGGTTACAAGGCTATTTCTAGCGCGTAATTTAGTTTCTTCGATCCCCTCCACTTGCCACACTAATCTGCCTGAATTCCCTGACTCGAAAGCACTCATATTTATTTCTCTTGGTTCCTTGAAATTTTGATGGGCACAAAAGGTGCCGAGTTGCTTTGTTCGACAACAGATCACAGTGTTGCGAAGGTATTATTGTCTGGTTCCAGACTTATGAATGGAATCAGCCATTATTTTCCGGTAATGAATAGTTCCTGGCTTTGTGTCATTGTGTGTTTATTGTTTGTGGGTTGTGGAGATGCTCTGTTGTTTCTGGATTCTACCATCAATGGTATGTTGATTTTACACAGGGATCTCTAGGTAGGTAGGTAGGTAGGTATGTATATTGACTTATTGAGAAGGACTTTGGGAATCTTCGTTTGGGAGAATGTTGGTGTAATAAAATCTTTCATTTCGGGTTTAGTAAGATAAACTTTTCATATGGATCAGTTATATTTGTGGTAAGTAGTGCCAGAATTAGGATTTAATACCAACATACTACATATCACAATTGATTTTCCACTACATACTAAAATATTATTAATTTTTATTTTATTTTTTACATTAACTTTTAAAGATAAAATAAACATTATATTATTTTATTATTTTAAGTATTTATAAAATATTATTTACCTTACCATAACGGAGAGAGTATTATTATTTTACAAAATACTCGGAGATAAAAATATTAAAGATTTTTTACACAATTTTATTAATCTAAAAAATACTACTCTTTCGGACATGTTAAATAAGTTTATTTGGTTTGGGTATAAATTTTAATGCGGTGTATATATAACGTAGAAAAAGTGGTTAAAAAAATAAACAAAAAAAAAAAAAAAAATTTACAAAAAAAAAAATAGACTTAAAACAATTGAAAAATACTTTGTCACAAATCCTAGCAAAGATGGCATTTGGCAACTAATAAACACCTCAACCTTATTGTCAAATAACACAACAACCATAAGGCAAAGAGGGAGAGCTAGCCAGTACCTTTTTCGAGTTTTTCTACCTCATCCCGGTGTCTTCTTTCGACTTCCTCAAGCTCCCGAGCAGCATCCTCCTCGTCCTCCCTTTCATCCTCAGCTTCAAACTCATCGGCTTTCGCCAATGCTTTCATCACTGGATTGCGCAGTGCAGACATTAGACCACCACCAATTCCAAACTCTTGTCTGTCCCCAATCAAAAATAGGCGTTGATCGGGTCCACTTGCCATTTGGATATCAACTGCCAGTAATTTCATATCATACTGCAAAATGTAGCCAGCAAAAAAAAGGTAATTTATGAGACATTTGATCAGTTCAATCGTATCGGGATTGTGCAATTTATGTTAATATTTGGTGATAACAAGAACAAGAACAAAAAGAAAAGAAGTGTAGAAGAAACCTGGCCATTTTTCTTCTTCACTTGAAAGCTAACCAAACCATTTCTTTCCGAGCCTCTTATAGGGAAAACAAGAAAGCATCTTTTGCTTCTAAACCTAGGGCGTAATTTCTTTAAGTTTACGCCCTCTCCGGAAATCACATACGCTCTCAAATCTGTTCCTGCTAGCGGCGCACCCATAACTTCAAGAATCCCTGCCGATGTGTTTAGTTTTCTCATAGCCATTAGGTAAACTTTGTCCGGATCGATATTGTGTTTTGCGCGCAAGAACAAGCCCTTCGAATTTAAAAAAAAACAACACTGCTATGAAGTATGAACATTACTTATTTCCAACCAACAAATCGACAAGATGATGACTTGATGATCCAATACATTTAGAAGTTAAAACAAACAAACAATCCATCGAATCATTTACATTCCAAGCAATATATAAGATTAAGCTATCAAATCAGAAACAAATCACTATATATGTTCATATCAATACATAAACAGAATGCACAAAAATTCTGTGTTATAAAATGATGAGAAACAATTCATGACCCAAATAATCACCACGAAAGAACATCATCAAACAGTAATAGATGAACTTAATCATATATTGACAAATATTCAACATCCAAAAAGATCAAACACAACGTTTAATTTGCAGAGTACTCACAGTAATCGCCACCATAGCCGACGAAAGTGCAAGGAAACCATACTCAGCCACGCCCTCAGAGAAGCCGAAAAAAGCATTGGCAACCCCAAACAGGAATCTCCATAGAAAAATGCACGCCATAACACCACTTACACTCACCACCACCAGATAATTCCTCTTCCAGAACGCCTCAATCTGCAGCCTAATTGCCTCTCTATACCGCGCAAGCGTATTCTTAACAGCCAAGCCAGGATTTACCGCGAAATTCTTAGCAAAAATTCTATAATCGTTTCCAATTTTGTGAGACCAAAAATACCTAACGCCGAGGACATTTCGACTGGATCGCGAGCCTGATTTTCCAAAAAGTCCTAACACATTCGATGATGGTGGAAATTTGGGATTTGGTGAAGCTCCTGGAGACCAATAAGATAAGTTAAGCTTCTGAATGCTCTTTGAATCGCTCGTAACAAGATGAGAAATGCCGCAGATCATCGGGAAACCGCTAGTCGATGATTTTGACGCAATGTGGTGAGAATTCCTGACGGCGAATCTGAAGGACCACAATTTCACGATGGCGTATCGATCAAGTATCATAATGATATCGAAATAGATTGACGGAAGCAGGAATTGATCGGCTCTTGGAGGAAAATGGATGAAACTCGTCCCTCGAACTGGGTGGCGACTGAATCTATACGGAGGGAGTGTAACTGCACGAGTGAGTGCACATTGTACTGATCATAACCGTAGAGGTATATATACATACATACATACATACATATATATATATGATTATGTTTTGTCAGTTTGTTTAGTGTCAATAATTTTAGCTATTTTTTAAAATAAAAATTTAAAAAGTACTACAAAGAATAATGTATCATGTATTTTTATTGTATCTATATATTTAACGACTTTCAATGCACAATAACCTTTATAATAACGTTATTATTATTATTATTATTATTATTAGGTGAAATCCGCCGCAGTTATCCGAAAGTGCGCACTGGGTAAACTTTCGGGCGAACCTAATACTCTGCAAACTAGACCCGACAAGCGAGACACATTAGACGAATCATATGTAGCAGATGACCTGAGGCGTCGGGACTTTGAACCCATGACCTCGCGATTACACGTCCAACCCTACAATTTTTTGTACCTATTAATGTCATCAGAATACAACCTAAAGCATCAATTCTATATGTACTGCAAGAGAGGTGAAAGTCACATTAAAAAGCTATACTTTAGAGGATTGTACGGACCAATAAATCCTGAGTTTGATTTCAGGTGAATGCGCGTGTGCTTGAATTGAGTGAAATTCTCATTAGATCAAGTGTGTATGTGTGTGTAAAAGAAAGATATAGAACACATCACAATGTCAAATAAAACATTTAGAGTATGAAGCATAATTACGTCAATAAGGTACCAACATAAATTCTCCATATATATAAGTTATAGTAGAATGTATAAATCTACCAAACGAGAACTTATACCCTCATCTATTAATATGTCAAAAATAGAGGCCTAAGCACCTAATGTCTAATGTTGAATTTTCTGGCAAATCCAAGTTGAACTTTTTTGGAGAATTATCGTCAATAATGTACTAGAATGTGAGCTTTAACGTTGAATTTTGGACGATGATGTGGAATCCAAAGTTAGTTTCGCCATTTTAGTGGCAGATCGGTGGAGTACTATAGATATTTTCTAGTATTGTATTATGTGTTACTGAATTGGAAGATAAACCGAAACACAGGCTAGATGATATAATCTTTAAGAAATCTACATAGGAAGCTACACAATATCCGAAAATATATATGTATTTATTTCTCACATATCCTTTGGATGGTTAAGACTATAAATAAAGTTTTAGTGGATGAAAGAGTACGATAATCATAATGACATGTTTGACATCGAAAAGATTAAAATTAGCGATAAAATGAATATTGTTGAGAAAGTTCATGTACTTAAAGTTATACTCCCTCCGTCTTAATACAATAGTTCTGTTTACTATTTTTATCCGTCTCAAAACAATAGTCTCATTTTCATAAATAACCATATCAGTATAAAACTATACACAAGGGCAAAAAAGTCTTTTACCCATATTTTTTACATACTATCAATATAATATCAATATTCCTTAAATCCGGTGCCAAATATGTTGTTCTCATAAGATATTTCTATTTTTCATGATGCTATAGAATTTTGAAAATTGAGTGAAGTATAATTTAACAACCTAAGGGTTTGAAGTTCAAGTAAAGACTGACTTACGGTCCAATTCTATCAAAAGTGATAAAGTAATGATGTTTATAGATCATAAGTTCATATATGAGTGGAAATATTGATTCAAAAGACTATCTTTTCAAGCACTAGATGAGATACGGGCTTGTGCCCTGCAATCCTCTCGAACTCTCAATTTTTATTTTAATTTATTTTTTCGTGTAAGCAAAATAATATTTAATTACTTTTCTATTTTTATAATTTATTATATTTTTCTTCCTAATTTCTCAAAAATTATTGACAATGTATTTTAAAATATGATAAATCTCGTACAATATTTAAATCATAAAGTATATACAAACTGTCTAAACTAAAGATTATAAGTAATTTTGTTAAAAATAAACTTACAAAATGATAGGAGCTGTGACCACTGACCACTCCATCTAAGCTAATTCCAAACCAGCGACTTTAATTAAATTGGAAAAAACGCGTTTTCTTCGTATCCCCGCTTACTCCATATACTACTAATACTTTCAGATATTTTTGTTATTATTATTTCCATCTTCAACCCTTCCGTCTCCATCTCTGCAAATGTTCCGTCTTCTTCTGCCATGCCCCCCCAAATCCATCGCTTCTCTTCTCTACTCACCTTGCCAGGAGAAGGAGGAGACGTGCACGTTTCTGTATGATTCGGTTGGTTTCTGAATGATCGCTCATTTGACTCAGTTTTTGTCCAATCCCTCTTCTCTCTCTGTAAAACCCCTGTTCAGATTGTGAATATTCACGTCTGTCCTGTATGTATTGTTTTTGTGCAATCTTCTTGTGCTGTAGATATTCGTTGTTTCGATTGTAGTCTGAAGGTTTTGGGATTGGTTATCTATGGAGAGATCAAGCTCTGATGCTGCAAATATGGAATCATCTTCGCCTTCGTCAACAAGCAATGGAGGTGGAGCTGGCTCGGGAAACGTCCATTTCTCTTCTCTGCGGTTCTTACAATCTCCTGTGTCGTCTCTACTGGAGTATTCTGGTATCCTAAGGGTTCGACCAGATTACACTTACTCGGAAGCGCAGCCGTTGGTACACGGTAACACGAGCGTTGCCGATAATGTACAAAGCCCTAGAAATTCGGAGCCAGACGAGGGCACCGATGGGGGTGAAGACCGTGAAGTGAGTGGTAATAGTGGCGATGGCGCTGGGATTGGCAATGTCAATAGTAACGGGGAGGTTTCGATTCGGATAATTGGGGAGCAGGACAGGATGAGGGTTGTTAATAATGGGGATAATGATGTCAGTGGGGTGGAGCTGGTGGTGGAGGAATCTATGGCGGGTGCTGATGATGTTAATGGAAATGCAAGCAGCAGTGGTAGTGACAGCAGTAATAGCCGAGAAACCTCTCTTTTACAGAGGTATGATTTACGGATGATCGCCAGGTGGATTGAGCAGATTCTTCCATTTTCTTTGCTTTTGTTGGTGGTGTTTATCAGACAGCACTTGCAAGGTAATTTTATGGAAGTTCATTTGAATTTCTGTAATTGTTCATATCTGAAAAAAAACTAAATGTTTATGGATTTTGAATTGGATTGATAAAGAATGCAATTGGATTAACATCATATTACACTTAACTCTAATCCATTGTTTGGATCTTGTAAGACTTTTAGAAAGTATTCGAAGAGTAATATGAAATGCATTTGATCCAAGTTCATTGACACAAATAGGGCTTAGTTATTTTGCTCCATGGTTTGTTACCTCTGCGTATGAATATTGTGAAGTGAAAGTTTCTGATTATGACTTGGAGTTTAATTCTTTGTTATTTATGAAGAACACTTGCAAATTATACATGCAATGGTGACTTTGATGATGCTAAAAAGTGAAGTCGTCAACTCTTGTTTTCTTGGTTTTTCAATTGGTAGCTGTTGATTGCTTTTACTTCTTAAAGCGAATGTTAGTTTGATATGTACAGGCATTACTTTATGAGGGATTTGCTGAATGGATGGCATTTTGGGAACAAAATTAGATAGAGTTCCGATTTGGTGCAGTTTCAAAACTTTGTGGTTGATGGAAATTTGACGGTTAAAACTATTTACTGTTTGAAATTGCTTAAACTGTGAGAGCGGAAATCTTGACCTCCTGCTAAATGCTCTAGGGTCGATCTGCAGTATAAGAATACTAACAGTCTAGTGGATCATCGGTGTAACCTCATTATTTTTTCCATCAAGTTTGGATGGAGAATAGATTCATTTTTATAGTTATGTTAAATCTTCGCATTTATATTTTTATCCTGATGCAGCCTCTGTTTATTTGCTTATAACAATTTTCCTATTAAATGTTAGCAAATGCTTTTGCTATAGTTTTCCTAATGTCCGTGCTAATGGTTTTGTGGTCAGTTTAACTTGTCGCCTTTTTCTAAGATTCTGATGTATGCGTGTTGGTTTCAGGGTTTGTTATTGCTATTTACATCACTGCTGTCTTATTCAAGTCCAACGACATTCTTCGGAAGCAGACAGCTCTAAAGGTGTGTACCCTATTCATGGTATAATATCACATTATTGGCACATGTGGTCATGTCCTCATTATAAGATAACCGAAGGAACTCACATATTTATGAACATTTGAAAATTACAGGGTGAAAGGAAGATTTCTGTCCTTGTTGGTTATGCAGCTGTCTTCATGCTTCATATACTTGGTATCTACTGGTGGAATCTCAACGATGAACTTTTGCGTCCATTAATCATGCTTCCACCGAAAGTGACACCACCTTTCTGGCACGCAATATTCATTATCCTGGTAAACGGTATGGCTGTCAACCCGCTTGTTACTTTCTTTTGTTGCTTTACTATGGCTTTTGTGAGTTTATGTACGACCAATTTTGATTCATCAATACATGCTATTCGGTTGACATTCTGAAGAACCAAGTGTTAGAAAGTAAATGCTTTAATGACTATTTTGCAATTAAGCTGCAATGTTGTGAATCGAGTTAGTCGTCTTATTTTCCCTATTTTGTTGGAGGATTTCTAAACGGCTAACGGGAGTTTATTCTGATATATACAAAAAAAAGGGGTGCAAGCATAGTTTTGACACCGATAATGTGACTTAATGAATGAGTGTCGTACTGTTGTTTGTTGTCCACCTCCTGTTTATTCTCGTTCATCTCCACATTCTAGTAAATATTGTTATCTGTGGTTATTTTCCATTTACTGTTGTTTGTTACTACCAGATACAATGATGCGTCAGGCGGCGATGGTCTTGAAGTTGGTTCTGTTGATGTGTTACAAGAATGGGAAAGGACACAACTTCCGAAGACAGGTAACGGACAATTAAGTATGTTTAACATAATCAATATTTGACCTAATAATTTATGGTTTAGTTGCTCGGGTGCCTGATTCTCATTTTTGTTCGATTGTCAATTAGGGTCAAATGTTGACTCTTGTCGAGTACACATTGCTTCTATACCGCTCGTTGTTACCAACAGCTGTATGGTACAAATTTTTCTTAAACAAAGAGTACGGAAGCCTCTTTTCATCGCTGACAACAGGCTTGTATTTAACTTTCAAGCTTACGTCTATAGTCGAGAAGGTATGCTATTGACAACTGTTATACGCCCTCTTGTCTAACCCCTTCAATCTGGAACTGCCGAATCTGATTCGTCACATCCGTCTTTCCCTGCCCTACAGGTCCAATCATTTTTCGCATCCTTGAAGGCATTATCAAAAAAGGAAGTGCATTACGGGACTTATGCAACATCAGAGCAGGTGCAAATCCCTTCCGTTTGCTCCAAATCCAAATAATTTTGCAGTTAATTAAGTCGCTGGTGTTGTGGCAATGGCTTAATATTTTCTCATTCATATGTTATCGAAAAAATTTTCTTCGTGGTAAATTTTAAATCTACATAAAATAAATGTTATGCTTACAGGTCCTTTCAATTTTTCTTTTAGGTTAATGCAGCTGGCGATCTATGTGCCATTTGTCAGGAAAAGATACACTCCCCGATTTTATTGTGCTGCAAACATATATTCTGTGAAGACTGTGTCTCCGAATGGTCAGTCAGTTTGGTTATACTCTATCGACTGCATTAATCTTCTTTTGTCTCCTTTATATTTTTGCATGATGATCAATGTCGACTCTTGAATTTATAGTTTCATTGCTAATTACTGAAACTTAGGAATCGTATTGCTGTCTCTTCTACTCGTAGGTTCGAGCGGGAGAGAACTTGCCCGTTGTGCCGGGCGCTGGTTAGACCACCTGACCTTCGATCTTTCGGGGACGGGTCGACCAGCCTCTTCTTCCAGCTGTTTTAATGTTGTGCCAAAGCTTACCATTTTCAGCTTGTGTTTGTGCGGGAAAAACACAGTTTGAGAACCTGCTGAGTTGAGAATTCAACAGCATACAAAGGTACATAGATAGAACAACACATTTCTCTCTCTCTCTCTCTCTATAGATATATATATATATTTACATATCTATAAATCAACCCTTGGGATTGGATTTTGGGACAGGTTTTTAGTAAGAGGAGTCTATAAAATATCAAGACTATCTGTATTTCATGACAATTTTAATGTTGTTTGTATACAGTATACTTATATTACTAATGGCTGTGGTTATGGTAATGAAATGGGATAATTTAGCATTATGCTGACAATAATATGAAATACAAATGAGCAATATGTGAATATAAATCAATATAATAAAATGTATGTCAATATAATATAAATTTGACAATATGTAATAGTAGTTTACACAATATATGGTATCACTGAGTGATTTACTTCAGGCAAAATATATATTTATACTTAGCATTTGCATACATGCGTTAGACAGTTTTTATTTTATATATTGATTACAGATAATATAACACCCAAGCCATTTTTTTTTTTTTTTTTTTTTTTCTGTTGATAATAAAATATTTTATTTATTCATTACTTCGTTATTTTTAGTTTAGCAAATAATAAAATTTTTCTTACTATTTTTTCTTATTCATCCCATATTCTTTAATAATTTTTAAAATTTTATTTTGTTTTGCTGTGTTTCTTATTATTTTAGTTATAGTCGGTATAAAAATTGTTTTGTAAATAATTCTTTTTTCGCCCAGGAGATATTGCACGTAGCACCGTCTGGCATGCCATAACATGTGTCTGTCAAATTGGCTCAAAAATTTATTTACGAAATTAAAATGATAATTGAGTTAATTATGGTGTTAGCTGTTTATATCTGGTGCAGGAAGACCAACTGTATTTTATCTACTTTTTATTTATTTTATTTTATTTTAATATTTTTATTTCTCAATCTCTATTATACAATTTTACGAACAAAAAGAATAATTTATTTTCTTTCTATAAATATTAAAAAAATTCATTTAGTTAACGTATATAAATTCGACAATGATAAGTCTTGCCTCTTTCGATGTTAATTTCAGATTTTTCTAATTTTGTCTATGATCGTTTCTTCCATTTATCATTTTCGAGATTTCACATCGAGTGATTTGAAAATCTGCTTATCTATTTATTTATGTTTTCAAACTGTTTTTTTTTTATTTTTTATTATATCATATTTAATTTTTATTAAAATATCATTAAAAAATTTCCTTTTGTCAATTTTAAATTTCGAAACAGTTTAAACACGTATAATTTTAACTCTTTCAGGAAAACTTTTCGGGCCAACACAATCAATAATTTTTATTCTAAAAAATAGTAAAATATTTCGTATTTATTTGAAAAATGTAAACAAATGCGTTGAGTATTCAAGGGTAAAGTTGTCATTTCGCCATCGATAAGCTGCGCGGTTACGGTTACGGGCTATCGGTGAGACGGTGACCAGTTCCATGGTCATTAATTATCTTCCGACGAGACACGTGTCGACTGATTATTCGATAGCCTTTCAATTTGCAGAAGCTCTGCGTTCATCGCACCTCTAATCATACTCGCTTCCCAAATTTATTATCTCTCAGCGGTGGCGGCGGGAGACGAGACGAGACGACTGCCAAGTTTCGAAGCCTCTGCATCTCTACAGGTTCAATTAAAATTCAAATCCGTTACAGAAGATTTATACTCAATTGCGATCCTGGAAAGTCCTTTGTTTCTTTCTGATCAATTTTTTTGTAAGAGGTTTTATTTCTTGATTAAAATGTATTTTTATGGTAACCAGTACCTTTGATCGTAATTTAAGTGCAGGTTTCATGGCCGATTCGGTGAAATTGCGGTTGGCGGTGGGAGATTTCTGGACATTCCATACTCGTTGAGATCCGTAAGCAACTGCTTGATCCATTTTCGATTTTGTAAGATACTGAATCAGCGTATTTCGTCTTTTCGTTTTTGTTAATTTAAGGATTGACTATTGAGCAGTTATTCTATTATGATTTGGAAGAAATAATTTGTGATCTGCTACACTCACGTAGGTTTTTGAATGCTTGTTGTTGTTTCCCGTATTTAAGTGGAATGCAATTTTCGTTTATGCTTGGGAGTTGAATTTTTCCTAATTAATTCCAAGTTTGGTATTCTGGTTCATGTAACTATTTTTTTGGTTCAGTGGTGAGGGCTCATCAGCTGCCCCAAATGACTTCTGCTGTTTCGACGTCAAAAGGATTACTTCCGCTGGCTGGATTTGGGGTATACGAGCCGATGGGCAGGAATTCGAGCCCTCTAGTTCAGCCGGAGCCTGAGTTCAGTGACAGTGATGAAGCTAAGTTGTATTCGGTGTCGTGGAATCAGGATTATAGTTGCTTTGCTGCTGGCACAAACAACGGTTTTCGCATTTATAATTGCAATCCTTTTAAAGAAACATTTAGGCGTAATTTGAAAAATGGAGGGTTCAAGATTGTCGAGATGTTGTTTAGGTGCAACATATTAGCACTTGTGGGTAGTAAATCCAACAGCCAGTACCCTCCGAACAAAGTTATTATATGGGACGATCATCAAAGCAGGTGTATTGGCGAGTTTTCGTTTAGATCTGAGGTTCGGGCTGTTAAACTGAGACGTGATCGTGTTGTTATTGTTCTAGAGCACAAGATATATGTTTACAACTTTATGGACCTGAGACTGTTACATCAAATAGAGACACTGACTAATCAGCGTGGACTTTGTTGTCTGTCTCACCATCTGAATACATCTGTCTTGGCCTGCCCTGGCCTACGACGAGGGCAGGTTCGAGTTGAGCACTTTGGCTTGAATGTGACGAAACTGATCAATGTGCATGATTCGAAGATTGCTTGCTTGACGTTGACTATGGATGGGCTTCTTCTTGCAACTGCCAGTGTGAGAGGCACCTTGATAAGGATTTTCAACACAATGGATGGGACTCGGTTACAAGAGGTAAAGTCATAAGTACCCCTTCCGAATGTCCTATCAAGATATAAATCATTCCTTTTTCTTGCAATTTTGGAACATTCTTATCGTGCATTTATATTATGTCACAAGTCTTCTAAAATCTGAATGGTCTAATTTCTCATTTGTGTATGGTAGGAAAAATTCATGAATTTGCTTACTTATTTGCCTCTCATGCTATGCTTGCGCTCAATAGGTTAATGCCTCACATTGTTACCTAGTTTGCTTCTGCAATTATGTTATTTTCTCCTTGCTTACGTGGAAGGGTGATATTATGTAGTTTTTGGCCTTTTATGTTGTTTTGTATGATCCTTTGCGATAAGGCCATTTTCTATTGGTGCTATGCTTGCGCACAATAGTTTAATATCATACGTCATCTCATTATTACTTAGTTTGCTTATGCAATTGTGTTCTTTTCTCCTTGTTTATGTGGAAGGGTGATATTACGCAGTTTTTGGCCTTTTGTGTTGTTTTGTATGATCCTTTGCGATAAGCCATTTTCTATTGGTGCTATGCTTGCGCACAATAGTTTAATATCATACGTCATCTCATTATAGCCTCGTTTGGTTCTGCAAATTACGTTAATTTTTCATTATTTTTCTTCCCATAGGTACGTCGAGGAGTAGACAGAGCAGATATATATAGTATCGCCCTTTCTCCAAATGTTCAGTGGCTGGCTGTGTCTAGCGACAAAGGTACTGTCCACATATTTAGTCTCAGGGTGAGAGTAGTTGGCGAGGACAGCTCCACGGATTCCACCGCTGCCAAAAGTCCGCAGCTCCTTCATCAGAACTCGTCGAATGCACTGGATCCTCTAATTTCTCCAAGCACTGGGGCCAATCCTGGCTCATCTTTTTCCTTCATGAAAGGTAAGACAATTACTTTGCAAGAAGCCTGTCGGTTTGTGTGTGATTCTTTGAAAGGAGTAATTTGAGTTTGACTTGGTTGAGAGTTCATAAATTGATAAACTCTTAGCTCTTAAGTATGAGGATTGATTACACATCAAATTTACCAATAGGGATGATAAAAATTATTTTAGGAAATGTAAAACTAGTTTAAGAACTTCGACTTAGTTGTGTTAAATAAATGCAGGGTAATTCTCTAGATTCAATATTTCTGACTTATCTACCCAGCATCATATTAGTACTTTATGCAAGAAACTTCCGATCTAAATAATGCTGCATAAGATCTCATATATTTGCAGAAACTGCGATTTTAGTAGATAATGGGAATGAATAAGCTCCTTGGATTATGAAGAAATGACGAGGGCAAATAGATTATAACTGTGAGAAGATTTTGATTAACACTTGCAGTGTTCTTGTAGATATTGAAAATTTTGCCAAACTAATGGATTGACAACTCTTCAAGATCAATATATGGTATCATTATCTCAGAGATTTTTGTTCTGTGAAACACCTAAGAAAATTCTAACTGGATTGTCTAGGCGCTGAGTTGATTCATATTTTGTGCCAATATAGTTAGACATTGATATTGAATCCCACATGGTTTTTTCTCAAAATTCTAGGTTGTGTTCTTTTAGTGTTTAAATATTTTTGTTAATTATTGGGAATATTTTTGTTAATTATTGGGAATATTTTTGTTGTTAATTATTGGGAACTGTGAAAATGTTATGTAACATATATATATATATTTCCTTAAATATTTTGAGAGAAAATAATTCTCCCATCGTCACATTTGGAATGAGTTTTAACATAAGTATACACTTTTTGTTTTTTTTTCCTTTTATAGAAAAATACAAAAAATCCTATGATTTTTTAATGAAAAAAGGAAATAGAAATATTTTTAAATGATATATAGAAAAGAAAAATGAGCACATTTTTATGTGACAAAGAGAGTGAATTTTATTGAAACAATGTAGCCTTTTTTGTAGTTTTTGTGAAAGTGAACAAAATTAAGGGAACCATAAATGATGAATTAAATTTCCATTTGGTCCTTACATTACTCAATTTGTCAAATCTACCTCTCAAAATAAAGCATGTTTGTGAATTGTTTGCCTTGTCATTTTGGTTGTCCTAAGGGTGTGTTTGTTTGAGGGTTTGGATTTTGAGTTGGGATTTGAATAGTAAAAATTTTGAATTTGAATAGTTGTATGATGTGATATAAATAGGTGTTGATGTGATATTTTGAATGTAAAATTTATTTTTAGTATAATATAAAAAATGAAAAATAGGTGTTTGATTTGATGTTTTTGAGAGGAAAAAATTGGATGAATAGTGTAAATCCAATTCAATCCCCCAAACAAACACACCTAGTATTTAGAAAATTTTGAGATTTTTGTTATTGTTATGGAGAATTGTAAAAGCATTATTAAAATATTTATTTTTATTGTTTTTTTAGAAAATAATGAATTTTTATTGTTAAGTGTTTTGTGAAAATAAACAAATCCTTGTTCTTTTTGAATTTTGAACACTTTCTATTACGGAAATTGTGCAGGGGTTTTGCCTAAATACTTCAGCTCAGAATGGTCTTTTGCTCAGTTCCACTTGCCCGACACTACCCAGTTCATCGCAGCATTCGGTTCTCAGAACACAATAGCCATTGTTGGCATGGACGGGAGGTAAGAACACAATCGCCACTTCTCTTTTTCCCTCGCATCCAATATCTTACTCAAGAGCGCGAATTATTCAAACTTCCGAGCATAGATATTTCACAGAATTCTTTCAATTCAACCAGTAATTCAGTGGCTCTATCTATCAGTTTCTACAGGTGCAGCTACGATCCTGTGAATGGAGGCCCTATGGTGCAGCAGGAATATATTCGGTTTCTGAAAACCGAAACAAGACCCCGGTAAGGATGCTGCAGCGGGTTTATGGTGGTTTCTATGGAGCCAAATGGGGTACACTTTCTCGGCCGCCGAAAGATCCTTAAAATGTATATATGGTTTCTATTGTCCCTTCATGTGATATTTGTCCCTCTCATTTAAATTGGAGCAAAACTGTGTAAATGGCGATTGATTTCTTGACCTTCTCTCCCCAATGTTAAATAAATCCCTTTGTTATATATATACATAATATATGTGTATATGAATAAAGATACACTACCGATTTTTATGTGCCCTTTTTGCTCTGTTCTAATTTTTGGTGGTGCCATTTGTCTTTTCTTGATTTTCTTTTATACTGTCCGGATAGTAAATTTTGAATTGAAATAGTTATTTAATGTGATATAAATAAATATTGACGATATTTTGCACACTGATTTTTTTTTCTTGCAAATGTTTTAGCAATATTGTATTTCATATAATTAGTAGTCTTGAGACATTGAAGCTTTATTCTTTTAAAAAAAATCTCTCAATTTTTTAGAATACAATTTCATCCTTTCTAAGTTTTTTCATATAATTAAGTCTTGAGAGCGCCTTAATTGTCTATATATAATAATAGTTCACACAATCATGTCACACTTAGGCCATCTCCAATCACACTCTACTTCTCCCGTCCCACTTTCATTTCTGCCGTCACCCAGCTCCAACCCAACGCATTTGCAACACCATTTTTGGTGTTGCACCGTAGCAAACGCCATTTATGGTGTATTTGTTTTTTTTTTTAATTTTTTTTATTTTTAAAATTATAAATTTGATTTTTAAATTTAATTTTTATTTTTTAAAATTTTAAAAAAAATTATTTAAAATCATAAAAATAAAAAGTTATTTAAAATAATAGGAAAAATTGAATATTTGAAGAATAATAGGGAAAAATAGAGTTATGGTTAGAGTAAAATTACCGTAGCATACTTGGAGATAAAATTGGATAAATAGAGTTGATGGGTTAGAACATATGATAATAATCCACTCAACACATTGTATTAATTCAAATTATATATTGTTGGTTTATATTTCATGTGTTGATTAGCCTTACTAAGCACCCTAACCATCCCATTGTCATAACCTTTTGTATTATAACTACAGATAAAAGAGCGTACATGCATACGGTGATGTATTTTGTCCCAAGGCCTTATTACAAACATACATAATAATCATCTTAGAGCTAACCTTTGGCCTTACCATGGTCGAAAATCACTTGAATCTATTCGCAACATTCGACTAAAGTTTAGGTCTTGCAGCTTTCTCATCATCAAAAGTAATCAAAACCTTTCCGATTGCCTTTCGATCTCGAAGAGCGCCGAATGCAAGATTCGCCTGCCAAATTTCGACATGAAACAAACCAACCATTGTGTATTATTATTAATTCAATCACCTCTCCCAAAACTCAAAATCTGAGCCCCAAAGCCACACAAAAATGAATGTAAGAAACAAGGCATTATTTTCATTTCAAAGGTAGGCATATGATCCTAAACTTATTTACAAAAATAACACAACTACTTAAACATTCAATTTATCAAAAATTTTCTCCCACCTTATTAACTCACTCGTATATTTCCCAAAATACTTATTTTATATCACAATCAACCAAAATAATACTATATAAATTAAAATCCGTGTCCAACTCAAATGAACATATAATTAATAGACGGATGGAGTATATATATATATTGTCGACTCTGACCTGAGAGAGGTTAAAAGTATGGGAGATCTTAATGGAAATCACTCCTGTAGCCAACCACAATAGCAGCTCTTTCAGGGAATCTTCTAGAATTTTCGGACGATGTATTTTGTAACTTCCCCAATATAGGCCGTGAATTGTCCAGTTCTGTAAGAACAAAACATATTGTTACCAAGATGCTAAATTGTGTTCATTCGAGCTCCACTCTGATAGTTAGATTCTCATAGGTACATATTAACCCGAAGCAGTAAATATTTAAATTTTTGTAGCCACACAACCAATTAATGAGATCAAAAGAATCAAGAAAAAATATTATACAATTTTGATCATTTAAGCGGATTCTAGATGAAAATTGTCATGTATATCTCATTTGTGGTCGCTTTAATTGTCCTATATCAAGACACTGACATTCATGTATACTTTTTAAAAAAATCGACACGTGGAAAGTCTGCCATATATACATGAGTGTGACGTGCAGATATAAGATCAGGATCATTAGAATGACGACAAGTGAGGCACAAGATTATCTCTATACAGAGTAATTACGTTTTTCTCAAAAAAACCAATCAAGAACATCAGATGACTATCATGTAATAAAGCCCAAACACCGTACCTTAACAAGAGCTATATTTGCGGGGATTAGAGGCACCTCGTTGCTTGCAAACCCTATAACCAAGATTTGGGCTCCCCAATTAAGTAACTTCAAGCATTCTTTTGTGAGCTTGCCTCCGACTGGATCATACAAAACATCAACACCTTTCAGTTTTCTCTCCTTTAGGAAGCCCTTAACGCTTTGAGTGACATTCTCCTTGCTAGAATCGACAACATGATCTACACCCATAGTCTTTAGAAACCGCACCTTCTCGTCTCCCCTACCACACATACCGCAAATACACAATCATTCCTCACAAATTAACAAAGCCGTAAAAAAACCAAAAACAATATGACCCTTCTTCATAAATCTAAGGATTTCAATTGAGAATATAGTCGGAAATTCTGCAGTGAGTACACATTGTTCAATTACCTAGCAACCGCAACAACAATAGCGCCATAGATCTTGCCAATTTGTACGGCGGAAACTCCGACTCCTCCAGCAGCGCCGAGAACCAGCAACACCTATATTTTGCATTAGAAGTACAGAACAGAATCGATTATCAATAGCCATCAAACAGATAAATTCAGGGTGAGGTGCAAACAAGATGTATAGTTCGGGTAGTATAATGGAGAGAAGGATACCCTGCTCTACCTGACCGGCGTGCAGCTGTGCTCTATGAGCGAGTGCAACGTGCGACGTGCCATATGCAACAGCAAGTGCACCAGCAGCAATCAGGTCACAGCCTTCAGGCACCAGAAATCTGCAATTTTCAACTTAAAAACTCCGATTAGAAAAACCTTTGTATATTATCTCTAGCAAGTATTATATAGTGAAAATTGGTTGAACCTCAATAATCGAAGCATTAAAATCTCATCACTCTAATGGGTATTACCTTGAATAGCACATATTACTACACACATACATCATTTGTTAATTGTCGGGCAAACATGTATTGATCAGAAAATAAAGCTCCAAAGTACAGTCTTAGAGCCTGCCCGTCTGAGCTTAAAAGCAATCATAAGCTTTCTTGTTGAGTCTGGAGTCTGGACAAGTTGATTGTGTTGTTTTGACACACATCACAACTTATTCTTTTTCTTAACGATGCATTTGTAACTAATATGTTGACAAAGTAATCAGCACAGACAATTCCAACTCTTCGATCCTAAATGTGTTTGGTAAAAGAGAATTCAAGAAAGCTCTTTAAGACATGAAAATTAATCTCCTTCGATTGAAAGACAATTCCAAATCCAAGTCGAAGTATTCTTACCAGATAACTAATTTTAAAAAATGTATAGTTATTCTACCAATAAATTGTTATATTATTGAAATTTAAAATGTTCAAATAAACAATTACCATGATGAAATATTATTTAAATTAATATATATGATAATTTAAAAATATTTTAACAAAAAATGTAAAAAACAAGTCACTATAATTATCTTATATGAAATCAATAAAGTATGATATTTGAATTTTCTATTTAATGTTACAAATAAATATACAACTATATAAATTTTTAAAAAAATTGAAAGAAAAGAAATTAATGTTGAAATATATTTTAGCCATCATAATTCATCATAAAACATTAGCTATGCATAAGAATAAGCTGTCAATTCTGAAACTATAAGTAATAATAAGAAGATGATCCTAAGGTTAGAAGTGTTGTTCAAGCTGAGTGAGTATCTCATTTTCGAACATTAATAAAATTATCGCCTTATTGAGTTTTTCATCAACTCCGCACTCTATTTACTTTAAGATTTTATTGTTTTTTCCCAAAATTCTCTACTATCCAATCTTCGTTCCTGTAAAAAATTAATTGTTTCCTTTCACAAAAGTTACATCGGACCTACTGTTCAAACGAAAAAGAAAAACTAAAATCCAAATATAACTACACATTATACAATTTTCAAGTAGTTTTTTTAATCACGTTTGAGCTATACTTTGTTATGATTAACAAACTAAGTTTAAGCCAAGCACGAGGCTTATCAAGAAATTAAGAGAGCTGTTAATTCTGAAACTTATAGCTTCTAAGCCTGATAGATATTCATATAACTGATTGCTGCTGCAAGCAAATGCTATGAAATCACACAACAAAATGAATTGAAACTATTGAATTAATTTCCAAAAGTATGCATCGTCCTAACGAATTCTAGGTTTCCAATTTCGGATAAAAACGATGAATCCACTTACAATTCGGATTCATCGGAGACGATAAATTGAGCAAACGATCCTTGGCCGGCGACAGAGCAAACTCGATCCCCAATTTTGAATTTGGTGACGGATGTTCCGACGGCGTCGACGGTGCCGGAGTAATCCGACCCCGGAATAAATGGCAAAGGCGGCTTCTCCTGGTACTTGCCAAGGATCTGAAGATAGTTGGCGAAATTCAAGCTGGTTGCTCTCACTCGTACCCTCACCGCCGTGGGTGAGTGCAGTTGAGGGATCGGATGAGCAGTGGATATAGTGAGGGCGGACTCCTCCGCGGCGTCCGGCGGCACCGTGGGATCCCCAATTTTTCGGCAGAGTAGAGCTTCCATTTTTGGCTAAAATCCTGTATCCGTTTTTGTGCCAAACAATCTTCGGATAGATATTAAGAACCTGTAACTAAGTGTATATATATATATGCGAGCAAATTTATTGCGTAACACTCCCTCATCGTCCAATGCTCACAATGTCATTAAAAAATTATTTTCATTTATTTTTTTAATAAAATTTATATTATTACCTCCGCCAAACGGAGCACAATTTAATATTTTTTTCGTATATTTTTATTTAATATATTATAAATTATAAATATATTTATCATATTATGATAGATTGCACTATCAAAAATTCATTCTCCACACAATCATATTATCTTTTACGAGACTAAATTACGTTACTTATTAATATATCATATAGTGAAAATAATAATAATATGAATTTGTAGTCTATTGTCATATGTTTATCTCATGTGTTATATTTGTATTTTTTATTTTTTGTCTCGAAATATCTTGGATCAAAGAGGAAAGAAAAATCAAAGTACAACTGGACAGTGTAGTTCTAAGGCTCCGTAGTTAACACAAAAGCGAAAACCCAACAACATCGAACACTTTTCGAGCAAAAATCCAAAAGTGCCCAGCGAAAGGCTCGACGCCGAGCAAAGCCCAACAACATGAGCAAAGACCTAATAATATCATCAAGCAAAGCCCAAACCGTTGAGCAAAAAACCTAATGAATGGCAACCCATGATCTAGGGAGTCAAGCTTCAAAAGCTAATCCAATAAAAAAAAATAGTCTTGTTATAATAACCCATAAGAGCTAGAGGTCCAAACTAAAAAAAATAAAATCAAATGAGACTAAGTCACTAACTTATTGAAAGAAAAATAGTGGGAGATATTTGAATCTTATCGTTGAAGTTAATAGCCAAGTAGACAACTGATTTAACAAATTCTAAAGTATATTCAAGTGATATGTAGTTCCGTACGGGGATAGCATGGTAACGTGGAGTAAATTCATAACTTCAAACGGTGAAGTTATGGGCTTAAATTTTACTTTCAAATTTTATCTTCTACGTATAATTCACCGGGTATAACTTATCTTATCTGATTTAATTTATAAATTATTAAATTTGATTGAATTTTTTAAAATATATTCAAAAAGTAACAACGAATTTTCAAGTTATTAAAAAAAATAATAATAAAATAAGTGAGAGAAGTATTGCGTGGGATCATGTTTGAAACCCCACATTTTAGGATAATAACTAAAGCACAAACATTACATGTCACACAGCCATTCACCCAAAAGACTGCAAACTTTTTTTTTATATTTTTTTAATTCTTGTTATTCCTTATGGGGTGGGTAAAAAATCAAATCGAATTGAATTTTCAATTAACCAAACAAATTTGATTTGAATACAATACTATATATATATATATATCAAAAACCACACCTTTAATTTTGATTAATCATCCTCGTATATATCACATTTAACACTTTTATTTTGTATGTAAAATATTACATCCAACAATTATTTCATTTTAAAATATCAAATCTAAAATCACACTTTTAAATTTTATTTCTCATATTTGCGGATAAGCAAATGGACACCTTTCCCCGGCTCTACAATCATTCTATAGGCCGGGGAATGTTTATACTTGGGAGATAACGAGAAGCTAAACTTGGAAACAATAAGAGCAACGATAATCTTGAGTTGGGTCAAGGCAAAATGCTTTCCCAAGCAAAGCCTAGGCCCCAACCCAAATGGGATATACACTTGTGGAAATTTGCAAGCACTTAAAATCCCGTTCGCGAATCGCTCTGGGTTAAACTTATTCGCGTCCGAGCCCCAAATATCTGTGTCCCGGTGTAGAGTTGAGATTAGTGTCCATATGCACATGCCTCTCGGCACGGTTATGTGCCCGATCTTCGTGTCTTGGAGGGCCTCCCTTGACACGAACGCGGCCGGTGGGTATAACCTAAGAACCTCTTGAATCACCATGTTTACCTGAATAAATGAAAGATCAACTGGTTCTGATACCATGTTACGTATTGTTAAAAATATATATAGAGTAAACTGATTTTTTTGTCTTGTAATTAGACCTCTTTATCATTTTAGTCTCGTAACTGGAGTTTGTTGCAAACTAGTCTCGTAAGTGAAACTTTTTCGTAATTTTAATCCTCTAACGCCGGAGATTGTTACGTGGCACCCATGTGGCTCGTCGGAGGATACGTGTCTGTCAGGTGTCGCTGACTTGGCGGACACGTGGATTCTTTTTTAAAATATTTAAAATTTTAATTCTTTTTTGAGAATTTTAATTTTTACAAAAAAGACAAAATAAATAAATTAAGATTAAAAAAAATTAAAAATTCATGTGTCCGCCAAGTCAGTGACACTTGGCGGACACGTATCCTCCGGCGAGCCACGCGGGTGCCATGACGTAGGCATCTCCAGTGCCGGAGCGGAGGACTAAAAGTGCAAAAAATTTTCACTTACGATACTAGTTTGCGACAAACTTCAATTACAGAACAAAAAAAATCAGTTTACCTATATATATCTTGTAAGAGATGAGAGATGTACCGTTTTCAACTTGTGGACGGAGTCTGCGTCAAGTTTGCCACGAACATTGGCCATCTCGGCCCGTATCTTGTCTTGCCACTCAGGATGGAGGGCTAGGAGCACGAGGCACCACGAGGCCGCGATGGCGGTGGACTCGTGCCCCGCGAAGTAAATGTTCTTGCAATTGTCCACAATGAACTTCTTCGATGCGTTGTTGTTAATGTCGTTGTTGATTGCTCCCTCAAGTATCAACTGCAAAAGGTCTTTCCATTCCTCATGGCATTCGCCCTCGCGCGCTCTCACTGTATCCCATATTAGCGATTCTATCTCTTCCTCCAGACTCTCGATCTTCTTTTGTTGTCTCGTCGGTATCAACCTACACACAATGATACAATGCATTTAAACGTGGGAAACCATAATCGAGCATTTATTTCCAATTAGTATGTCAAATAGTGCACCTAAATGCCGGGGATTCGAATAGAAAGCTTTGCTTAGAAATCACTTTTTGAAGAGTTCTAAGCTTTGAAAAAATCTCTTTCCCCTTCATGTAAGAACTTCCAAAACAAGCTTTTGAAATCACATCCGCCGACACACTCCTCAAATCCTCCTCGGCTTTCACCTCCGCCACTCTCCCGACCTCGGACTCAATCGAAGCGCGCCATTTCTTGGTCAACAACTCCGTTGACTCCACCATCAATCCTACCATGCCCTAGCATTGTTCGAAATCTTACAAATTTTAGAGGTCTTTGTTTGCGTACTACATACATTCGAATCAAATGTAAGAAAGGATATCGGCTCGTTGTTACCTTAACTTTGTCCATGAAGAACTCAGGGGCGACAATTTTTCGTTGTTGAGCCCAAAAGTGACCGTTGGATCGTAAAATGCCGTTTCCGAGCAACGGCGCGAGCCTCTTGGTTACGTAAGAAGGCTTCCCTAAGTGAGAACTTGAACAATGGTTCATCTCCTTCACTAATTCCGGATGGTTCACGTACAAGTGTTGCTTATTTCCCGTAGAATACGTGTACACGGAACCTACGTACATTAATGCAAGATCACATACCTTATTAATACGTATGTTTGAAAAAAAAAAATCAGGACAGTTTGATTTGTTTTTAAACTGTAATCTCTATTATTCGTATACTTTATTAATATGTATGTTCCAAAAAAAAAAAAAAATCAGGTCTATTTAATTTGTTTTTAAACTGCAATATCTATTATCATTTTACATAGGCTCAGTAGAAATATGTTATTTACTCTTCCAAAATATTACTTAGAATTAAAATTTAAATAAAAAAATCAATTTTAAATTAAAATCAAACAAACTATATATTTGATATATTAATATAAACTCTATTCGAATTACAACTTCTACTCACAAATAGTGTCTCGAATAATCACTACAACTATTATTTTACAATATTTTTTAAATAAAATAAAATAAAAAAATTACTCTCTCCGTCCCACATAGTTTGTCCATATTTTCTATTTTCGTCGTTCCTACGTAACTTGTCATTTTTTTTTTCGAAATATAATTATACACTTTAATTACATTTTAAACTTTACATTTTATAATATTTTAATCTAAATTAAAATATTTAGTTATTTTAATCTATAATTATTTTTAGTATACAATAATTATTTTTACTAATACACTTTTTAATTATTTACTAATTATATTTTACCTAAATTTTTAAATTTCCGTGTCTACATTAACACTCCCAAATTACTTAGGATGGAGGGAGTAAAATTTATATTATTCACTCACCACAATTTTAAATAAAAATACATTTACTTCCAAATGCCTACTTTTTATACTTTTGTGATGAATAGTCATAATTTTGTGTTTTACACCGTACAATCTATTTGAAAATTATTTTTTCATAAAAATAGATATCATTTAGAATTAAATTATTTTTAATAAAAAAAATTATTAAAAGATAGTAACTTAAAACATATTAAAAACCTCAAAGCAAATCGCTGGTATAAAAAATGTATTTGGTTACGGGGGTTGAACGTTTTTAGTTGAAAATTGATTGGAAGTGATTTAATTAATTTATATTTTATTTAGAATGTAATATATAGTTAAAAAATTTAAATATATGTTTAATTATTGTAGTAATTATATTTTAATAAAGTATATAATATAATTGTTTTTGTAAAGATTAAATTTTTTATATAATATAAATATTTATTTATAATTAAAATAAATTAATTTTACAAAAAAAAAATGTATATAAAAATATATTTATTTATTAAAAAATATATAAAATTTGAATATATTTTAAATGAATCTGATGTAATATTTTAAAAATAAAAATATAATACTAACCGATATTAAAACTGTTCCCAAACAGATCCAAATTTCTCGCGTCTATTTTTTACTACTTCAGTGTAAGAGGTAGGATAGGACAATTATTTAGGCAATTGGCACCAATAATTGATGCTTGTAATAATAATTCCAATGTCCACGTGGCCGGCAATGATTGGTCCCAGCGCAATTGAAGACATGCATGCATATCTTTAGTCCAGGTGCATTGCACTGACAGACAGGCACCACTACACGCGTGACTATGCACGCCTGAGGGGTCCAGAAGGTCCCGGGACTTGCAAGCATATGGCCCTTGTCCTATCACGTGCCGCTCCCAACAACCCTTTCTTTTTTTACCCGATTTTTGGTTATAAATAAATGTTTTTATGTATTTGCAAAATATGGTAAAAGAATACTGTTTTTTAAAATTTTAAAAATTATTAGTATAATACTCCATCTTATAATAAAATAATTCCATTAATTATAACATTTTAAATATTATATAGAATTTTCAAAATTAATTAAATTTTTACTATTTTAATGTTATATTTTTTAAATTATTTTTTTCTAAAAAATTATATTAAATATTGTTTAAATTAAAATTTAAATCTTCAAAGGAGTATAATTCAAAACTATAAAATAATAATAATAAATAAATAAACTTCAACTGTGATTGTTACTGAATTTGTGTCTAATATTTTAAGTTAAAATATTATTTATGTAAAAACATAAAATTAAAAATAAAAAATAATGCTCCCCCTCTGTTCTTGGTCAAATAATCCATTTCATTAAATATATAATACTTCCTCTGTCATATAATTAAGTATTTATTTACTTTTTGCATGTTGATCTTTGAATATTAATTATTATATTAAAATATATTACAAATCAAGAAAAAATTGCAAAAATATTTTTATTAATGTCTTATAATAATAATATAATGATATTTGTATAAAAAATTATATAAATATAAAAATATTTTTAATCGTTAAATATAATAACACAGGGTAAACAGATAGGTTATTATGGGACGTAAATTCAACAATAAAATAATATTGTTTGGACCCATCACACACACACACACTAACACTAGGCCTCAACTCAACTCAAGTCAATTCAAGTTCCGTCGCTACAGTAGATTCCCACTAGGTGTAAATTCACCAATAAAATGCCCACGTGACATTATGTCAGAAAATCGTCCTGTTCCTTTTTCCTAACATCATTTTTAACTTCAAATTTCATTTTTTATTATAAATTAAAAAAATTATTAATAATAAATTATAATATTTTATAATTATTTTTATATAAATAGTATTGTTAATATTTTAAATATTTTTAAAATTGTATCTCAGTATTATTTTATAATAATTTTTTTTTTTATTTTTATAGGTATATAATTTTTAAATTTAAAACTTTTTTCGTCCTGTTTAAAGGATGGCATTTGCTTTTTGCACGTAAATTTTTGAATATTAGTATTATATTGAATTATAGTAAAAAAAGACAAAAATACCCCTATTAGTATGGTGTAATATAAAAGTAATGACATTTGTATAATATATGGTAAGTTGAAAGGGTATTTATTACGTGAAGGAAGCAGTGCAATTACTAAATTAGAAAATGTTAACCTTATTTTGGAACAGACCAAAATGAAAAATTATAATTTTTCAATGGGACGGAGAGAATAAATGTATTAACTAAATAAAATAATAAATATCTTTACAATTTAGAATATAAATAATATTTTTATTAATTTATTGAAAATTATACATAAATAAATAAAAAAAATATAAAAACTATACATAACTATCCATGTCGGTAATAATAAGACAAGCACAATAAGGCCATCAGCAGCAATGGTGGTATCTCCTTAATGAGATACCACCTTAAATTTTTAAAAAACTGATGGAGATGTCCCATTTTTTTTTTTTATATATATATTTATTATAATTATATTCATTTTTTTATATATATTTTTATAAATTTTTATTTTATATACAATGACATAAATATTGATATACTTTTATTTATATTTAATTTTAAAAATAAATCATTTTAATGTAAATATAAATATATATGTATATTTTTCTGAAGTTAAAATATATATATATATATATATATGATTGAAAAGAAAGAAAGTATGAAGTGAAAATGAGGAGATACCATATTGGGTATGGATGCAGATGGCTAAGTACTCCCCAGCACTTCCAAATAAACACTCAAGATTAGTCATTTTGTTTTCAATTAATTTTTGGCATATTTGGTTTGAGTGTGAAATTTGAATTAACATTGTTCAATTGTATAACAATATTTTTATCTTATAAAATATTATTTAAAAAATAAAATTCAATTCAAATTAAAATCAAACAAATCCTTTCCCTTGCCCCTTTAATTTAGGATATCATCATTATATCAAAATTTAGCTCCTTTTATATACAAGTTTTGTAGTGTTAAATTTTTTAAAAATAATAAAAATTTGGGGTATGTAATAAAAATATCTAATATGATATTTAATTTTTTAAAAAATAATAATGTTCGTAAATTGTTTCAAAAATTCCAAACAAACAGAATATCAAATCACATATTTCTAGAGTCGCTAGGTTGTTTTGATGCGATGGGTTTTACATAAAAAAAATTATTATTACTTTTTTTAATATTATCCTATAAATTTAATTTACATCTAAAATATCATATCAATTTTTATTTATATCTCGTTAAATAATTATTTAAATTCAACTTTTTTCTATTAAAAAATTCAAATATTACAAAATTCAAATTCAGAAACTAAAACTACTAACAAACACATGCATTTGTAGATGAAATAAGAGAAGCAAACAAATAGTAAAACATAAAAGGATTATTATGATGATTACCATAGCGCTTTCTCCAGAGGTCGAAATAAGGGAAGAGCGTGGAAGTGTAATCGCCGTCGATATCAGGCGTGGCGGTGTTTTTAACGGCTTGGATTCTCTGCATCTCCCAGAGGTTCCCGCAGACGATGGACGGCTTGGGGCCGCCGATCCCTTGCGCCTTAAGACTCCGGCGGATCCGCCACGGATTCACCCACCGGATTTTCACAAAATAGCACACTACTGCTAAACACGCCCCTAAGCCAAGAACATATTGCAGCAACACCTTCATTATTTATTTATTTAAATATTTATTTAGAGAGAGAGAGAGAGAGAGAGAGAGAGAAAGGGGGGGGGGGGGGGGGGGGGGGGGGGGAGAATCTGAGAATTGGGGAGGAAGTTAGCTAAGCGGAGCTTCATTATATAAAGCCCACTGAATCCTTCTACCTTTGCTTTGCTGCTGACGTGTCCTTATACATTCACGATCAGCATTCACAGCGATTGTGTATATAATGTGATGTTAAGTTAAAATATTATACTATTAAAATAAATGATATATTGTCAATGATAATATGTTGTGTTGATTGTTAGCCTATTGCATGTAACCTATATACTAAACTTATATATTATAATATTTTATTATCTTATATATATTATACAATACTTGTCACCATAAACTGTAAAAATTCTTTCCGTACAACTACTCTGGATGCAAGAAGAGTACTTCAAAAATTTTGTCAAATTTTGGCCTTCTAAATTTGGATATGTGTTTACAGTTTGCCTGCGTGCTTTTATAACAAATAATGAAAGAAAATAGATACACTAATAATTCAATTTGTCTGAATGCTTTTATAACGAATAATGAAAGAAAATTTATAATCATAGCTTTTTATGTAAATGGTCAAAGTTTAATTTGAATTCTTGAAAAGTTTCAAAAAGAGTTATTATTGAATACTTGAGAAAGATGTTTGAATTTTTTTATTTCAAGAAAATAAAATTCTATTTGATCTAAAAATTGAATATTTAAAAAATAAATTTTTTATTCATCAATTTTTACATACCAAAAAAGTGGGCTTCACAATAGATAAAACATCAAATAATTATTAGAAATCTAAAAAATACAGAATCTTGAAGTACCATACTTTAAGTATTATTGGTGCGCTAAAGTATTTGGCTAAATACACAACACCAAATATAGCTTTTTCTATAAACTTATTAGCAAGATTTAATACAATATCAACACAAAGACATTATAAATGTATTAAACACAATTTTTGTTATATTCAAGAAATCAACCATTAATCTCAATCTATTATATTAAAAAATATCTCGACATAAATCGATTGAATATGCAAATGTTGGACATTTTTCTAACCATCATAAAATCAAGTCTCAATATGACGATATATTTAGTTGCAACGGTAATGTTGTATCTAGAAGATCCAAAACAAACATTAATCTTGAATACATAATTTAAAAAACGTTGTATAGAATTTATTGTTTCGGTGATTTTGTGCAATATTTTTTAAAATACGAGGGAGCGTCATGAAGAAAATAATGCAGATTTTTCAAAGAACATGTGGATTAAAAGAAATTTTGCCTAAAAGATTTCACACATCATATTTCGGTGCACAACTATGGAGCATTTATCTTCGGGCATTTGTATCAAAATACTCTTACATACAGCTCACAACTACTCATAATTCGGGAAATAAAAATCACTCACCGTATTTAACCGGTAGGCGCAAGAAGAAACAACAGCTTACCTTACTTTCTCTTTCTTCTATCAATCCCACTATTTCTTGGATCATTCTTCATAAAAGTTGAACCAGGGCCTACGCTAAACTGCATTGAAGACGGAGATTGACCAGCAGCTGGAGAAGGAACTGGAGGGCCCGGATTTCCAGTAGCAGCAGGCGGCAAAGATGGAGGAGCCGTAGCAGCAGGGGGTGGCGCATTAGCATTAGCAGGTTCAGGAAGTGATTTTGGTAGTATATGTTTCAATCTGTTGTTTCTATAGTTCTTCCAATAGTAAAATTGCTGCCTATGCGCCAATTCCTGTGAGGACCGGTGGATATATGCCCGGAATTAGACTTAAAAAGAGATAAATTTAAGTGCAATTTAATAACTTGAGAATCGAAAAATACAGCAAAATGATACATAGTTAAGCTAAGAAATTGCACAAAAGATATCTAGGGTGTGTTGTTTGTGGTGCGTTTGGTTTCATTTGAAACCAAAATCATCATTGTTTAGTCCGTATAGTTTTCGATAAAAATATACTTTTTACTTTTACAAAATATCATATTAAAATAAACTATTTAAATAAGACTAAAATAAAAACCTCGAACTCGAACTCGAACTAAAACTAAACAAACTTATATGTTTGATTATTTTTTTTGCACTGTGCAATTTATAGTAAAATATAAATCTTCCCCATAAATCGCCACATTTAGACATATTTTCATTTAAGACGTGACATTTAAAAATAAAAATTATATTTGAAACATCACATTCAACATATCTTCGTTAAAAACATTACATTAATTTTTATTTTTTTTAAATCAAAAAATTGCAAATCCCAAATACCCCGAAAATACTAAGAACACAACACAAACAAATACAGCCTCAACTATTTTTAACTAATCTATTGCACAAAGAGATATTCCAACAAAATAGAACCTTGTTTGCAGGATGTGCCATAGCATTTCGGAAGTTTGGATTTTGCAGAAGCTCGAGAAAAAAGAGGCAATGAGGATACCTAACCCCCAAAAATATAAAATAAATGAGATGGTATCGACAAATGACGGGTCAAATGAAGATTACACATGAAAATATTATAGTATTAAAGTGCAAAGAAGTTATGTTCAAAACTAAGAACAAAAGCTCATTTATGCACACAAAAAGAAAATTTTTAAAATAATAAAACAATAAAAACTACGAACTCACATAATAAACTTTATGTACTCCGGCCTTTGCCAATATTGAAGATATTTTAGGTATCCAATAAAAGCTTCGTCTTCAAAGTAACGATTTTGAGCCAAATCTGCGCTGACATGAGGGATATATCAACATAAATAGAATTTTATATAAGAATTTGCAATATTATACAATTATGAAAAAAAACTGAACGACGTAACTAAAAGAAGACAGTACAAATACAACCTCGAGCCGTACACTACAATGAATCCAGCCTAACCTACAGAAATAATACAATCACAATAAAAGTCATGAACTCCATCCACTTTTGTCACAAGAGATTTAGTCACCTTCCAATGGTATTTTGAAACAATAATTGAATGTTCTCAACTTAATTCTCCAAAAAGCTAACAGCACCTCATTTTGTAGCAATGGAAAATGTTGAACAAAATCAAATATAATCAAAACAAAACAAAGAAGCAATTATTATCAATTCTTTCCCGAATCAATAATCGAAATATTGGAAAAAATCATCTACAGAACCAAAAACACACAGACAGAGGAAGTCAATCAAGTACGCACAATGGATGTAGGTAGGGTTCGCAAGGCACTGAACGAACTCCAGCTCAAGCAAGAAGCGCTGGCGGCCATCATCAGGATCCTTATACTTACATTTTGGTCTGCAATTGAACAAAATATCCAAAATGCACAAAATTCCGATAAACGAGTCAGATAAAAGAAAAAGGAAAGTTACGAGACATCCGAGGACTTACGAGGATGGAGGAGCCGGTTCTTCATCGGGGAAGTCTTGATCGGACGACATGGATGAAATCCCAATGCAAATTTCCTAAACCCTAATCCCTTTTACCCCTTTCCTCTGATAAATAAATTGGGGATCCCTCTGATTGAATTCTAAAAATCGGGTTTCACCATATCCGGAACCCGATCCACGCAAAACCCGCGACCCGGATCCGGTCGGATACGGCGAGAAGTCGAGAACCGATGTGGGAAAAAAAATGACAAACGTGTGTGATTAATTTTATTTTAAATATTATTAACAATATAAATAATTTAATTAAATTTTACGAACTCAAAATTTCTTTTATTTCTGTATTATTTTTAGTAAATAAAATAGTTTTATTTATATTTAAATTTTTCATATTTTATAAAATTAATTTAAATTAATTATAAATAAATAAATATTTTTTTATTTGTATTTTATAAAATTGTATTATTTGTAATATGATAATTATATTGTATATATTTTATTGAAATATAATGCTAAAAATATTAATATATATGTTAATTCATATTTTAAAATAATTATAATTTATTATTAATAACCTCTTAATTTACGTTAGTATATTATATTTTTAAAAAATATATAGAAAATAATTTTTGATTACCTGCTGGATTTTAAGTTGAAAAAAATGTGATATACTTATTGGATTTTAAGCTAAATTTGTGATATATTATACCATTAAGAAAAAATTTTAAAATATGTATATAAATATTTTCAAATTTAAATATATATTTCAATAAAATATAGTATAATATAAATATTATTTGTAGAAATTAAATTTGGTATAATACAAATAAATAAATAATATAGATATTTATTTATATTTAATATAAATTAATTTTATAATAAATTAAAAATTTTAAAAATATATATTTGTTTATTGAAGAAAAAAATAAAAGCAAATTTTTTTTAATAGATTCATTTATTTGAAAGTATTATAAGTAGTGAAGCAAAAACTATCAAAATACTGATTTTTGAATTTTGATTTGTTTGCTTTTTGTATGATTTTAAATTTTAATTCAAATAATATTTTATAACAAAATTAATATAATTTTATTTGTATAAGTTCTAGTGAGTAAAAAAGATTTGTGTTTGAAAACCCAAAGCAAGCACCCATTAATCCAAAGCATTAACTATTGTTGTCCTGCAAGGAATCGCAAGGGATGATTCGATGGTGTGAAAACTAAATTTATAATCATAAGGTTATGGGTTAAAACTTTCAATTTCTGCAGGTCACTAACCACATATGATTTAGTCTACTTACTTACTATACATATTTCTGATTGAAATTTATCTAATTACTTATTTACTATACATATCTCTAATTGAAATAAAAACCTCAACTAGTCCATTTGTTAATAAAAACTAACTATTTTCTCTTACAAATATCATATTAAATCACAATATATAATATATATATCACAAGCTAAACACACTCAAAGCTACTCAAAACAGACAAGCTTATATATAGATATAATATCTTTAATATATATTTTATAGTCTGAGTCAAGATTTTTTCCAACAAGTTAGGCTCGTTGAAAGGCTCCAATAACAGCAGCATTAAGCTAAGGACATCGGACATCGACAGATATAAGGAACTTCTTTCTATGACCGATTCCAACCTAAGCAAAATGGATGTTATGAAAACATTAAACCAAAAAAAAGTCAAAAAATAAAAAAAAGCCAGGCGATTTTCTTTCGTCCTGGAGTTTAATATGGTTATATAGATCTATAAGATTGTAATTGCAAGCCAACGTCATAAAAAGGTTGTTCTACTAAGGTTTCGAAGTAATATTGGGCACAATTGGATGCTACTAGCGGCACCCGTACGGAGGAAATACTGGAGAGCCGGGATGAAGGGCCGGGGATGAAGGGTCTTCTAGAACCAACTCGTGTGGGGCGCCTCCCTTGAGATTGCCGCATTCCAGCCTTGCTGCACCTATTTTAGTTTCTCATTTATCGCAGCTCAAGAGCCATTTACTCGAAATTTCATGGCCATTCTCCGGCAATTGCGACTGGGAAGTCGATTGTATGTAATCTGACAAATTTATTACAATTTGGAACATATGAAATAGTAGATTTATTTCTTTATTGTATTTCAGGATGTTGGCGGTGTTGGACAGGGAGGCTGCTACAGGTCGTGCTGTTGTGTACGGGACAGAAGCATTACTAGCCGAAAATGGGAAGTCTATAGATGGTTTAACTTTCGTCATTCAGGTGCGGATAAATGGTGTTAATGAAATGATGGAATTCATCTATACAATACAATTTTGATGAAGTTTGTATTTCTTTTATTAGGGATTCGGCAATGTGGGATCATGGCTGCAAAGCTTTTACACGGAAGAGAGGGGGCAAGATTGTAGCAGCAAGTGACATTACAGAGCCTTTGAAGAATCCTAATGAAATCGACATTTCAGCATTGGCATTGCTTCAACACAGAGAACACCTGAGCTCTGGCTAATTTTTCGGGGTGCAGATGCTATGGACCCCGATGAATTGTTAGTTCACGAATGTGATGTTCCGATATCTTGCGCTCTCGGTGGAGTTCTCTGATAGTTTTGTTGGGGTGAACATAATTTTTTTTTTGTTCTAAATGGTTGTGTGTAATTTTGGCTATTTTGTAAATCGAAGGGAAACGCTGGATATGTGCGGGCTAAATTCATCATAGAAGGATAGAATCATCCTACCGACCCGGAAGCTGACGAGGTGTGTTCAAAGTTTAATAAAATTGCTATATTGCATTACAATACTTTCACTTCGGAATTTCCTTCCAGATTCTATATTGTCGTTCTCCCGGATATTTATGCGAACTCGGGAGGTGTAACCGTCAGCTATTTTGAAAGGTTTCAGGTATTATCATTTGCTATATACGAAAGTTTTTTTTTTATTCTTTTTCCGATATAGTTGTTCATTTAAGAGTAATATAATTTTAACAGAGCATTCAAGGATTCATGTGGGAGGAAGATAAAGTGAATCAAAAGCTCAAAGAGATATATGACGAAAGAGTTTCATGGCATTAAAGTAATGTAAAAATCATATGCCTGTGACCTTCATATGGGCGCATTTACGTTGGGAGTCAACCGTGTTGCTTGTACCTCTTTACTACTCGGTTGGGAAGCCTAAATAACCACGACTCTAGCTACTTAAAGCTATTCAAAACTCTTATTTTACTTCAACATTACATTAATTTATTTGACAGCGATGATCTGTATGTTATTCGATCAGCTGCTCATTTTCAATGTAAAAAAATTTCAGATTTCATTGCATACTTTAATTTTATTATTATGTAATTAAATTTTCCTATACGATTTTATAAATTTAGAATGTTTTCAGAAATATTTTTTTTACTTGATTGCTTTGTTGTCACAATAATACAATTGATTCATAGTTACGACAATAACATCATTTACTAGTTGTCTTAGCATTATAGTTCTTTCTTGGCGGCAAAGTATACCTCTCCTAGAACATTTTTATTTGTCGAAAAATATCATATTCAAAGGGAATTACGGGTAAATAAAATTATATATTTACAGTACAATATATTTCTATTGTTATTTCGTAAATTAAACAACATTAATTTTCGATGCTTATAATAGAAAGTCTGCAGCATCATTTTTCTTAATGGATAGTAAAGTTTTTAAAATTTGTTCGTTTGTAAAAACTCATTAATTCGATTTTTGGCTCTAATTTATTCTCAAGAATTCTATAGAACTTTTGTATATTTTCAACAACAATATTTAAAGTTGTATTAAGTTTAGAATTCTTTATATTATTGTACAATACATGTACAATATTTTAGACTCTAATAAAACACATTATTTACAAAAAAATAAAAAAATAAATGATAAAGATATCTTTTTTATACACTAGGTAAAACACATTATATATTAGGACGATAAAAATTTGGTTGGAAAAACAAACTTTGTGTTCGTATTATTTGGTTTCTTTTGTAAAATGTTTGTATGATGTCATGTCGCAAGAAAAAACAATACATATTAAAGAAAAATATTTTTTTAGTCATGTATGTGTCCTTTTTTATTATTTTAAAACCATAACTAGACTTTGTATTAAATTGGTCTTACAATTAAAAAGGTTTAGCAGAAATAATCTTTAAATGATGGAGTTGTAGACGTGGTAGCATTGGAGATTGTATCGATGACATGTTGAAAGTATCGGAGTATCATTTTAGAACTATAACTAACTCTATATTGAATTAGCTCCATAATTAAATTTATTTGACATAATGATCCCCAAATGTTGTCCACGTGTTATTCACTTTAATTTATTAATTGATTTATAATTTTTGGTATTAAAATTTTGGAAGTAAGTATAAGGCTTTCCTCTGGTGCATTATCTTGACGGTTAGATTTTGGATGGATGCGAAAAAAAGTACACTTAAATTGCTTATTTACTAATCACAGATGTGACAAAAATATTTCATAAATATGATTTCTCTATATTATATTTATCAATGACTACCTTGAGCTTTCTGAAATGTAAGATAAAAGAATTTCAAACTTAAAACATTATAGAATTCTCCCAAATAGGAAAAATCCTATCAAAAAGTGAAGTATGCTGCTTGATTGCAGCGAGCATACGGTATTCTTTAGTAAAAGGCGAAAGAATAGTTCGCTATGTGCACATTGTGCAGCTGCATAAGTTTGCACATTTGTAGTCTCTTGGTATTTATAGTAGAACATTGAAGATTGCATCAACATTGATAATACTGTTTTTTTTGTAATTTTAATTAATTAATTGAATAGTGAGGCATATAGGCCCACTTTTTAATGCTGGACAATTACTTGTATATATATATATAATTTTGATGCAAATATATGAATCATTATTTATCAACACAATTAATCCAATGGCTTATAAAAGGAACCTTCAAAATTATATTGACAATGAGTTGGAATGATTGGATTTTTTATTTTTGATTTTTAGATTCCACACTGGCAAAGGAATTTTATAAAATTTTGAATTATCTTAATAATAAGTGGAGCCCATATTTTATAAAAGAAATGTTTTTTTAATAAATACAGTGAGTTCTGCTTAAGTAAAAAAAAAATATAAAATAATAAATAAATAAAATAAAAAATAGGAAAAATTATAATAGATTCATAAATTTAACTACACCCTGATTCTTTGAGTTGACTTTTTAAAAAATAGTAAAAATTATGTAACTTGCTTTGGTAGGGGCTGCGCGAACGCAAGCCCCACTACCACAAATTATGATGTAGGCTCAACCACTTGGGTTGACCTTAGATAGACACCCCTCCAAAGTGCAATGGAGATTGCCAACCTAGACTATGGATCTTAGTGATCATCCAACAGCCCCATCCAGGTAAGTATGGAGCTCAATGCCCTTCTATCTGCTTATATAGATACATTATTATATCATCTCCTTATTGTTTCTCAATGTGGGACAAATATTATGGTAACAATCTTACTATTTTTAGGTTATAAATTTTTAATAATAATAATAATAATAATAATAATACAGGCCTTCCAAGATTTGTGTCTAAGCTGTCGACTTAAAAAAGACTAACTCTTTTGGTTCCTTACCATATAATATTTCACTAACTCCAAGAATTTTGACAAAATCAGATCAAAGATTAAGGAAGAAGAGAAGAAATCACAACATAACGTAATTGAGTAGATTATAGTTTTTTAGTAACGATTTCCTTTTTAAATTTTCAAAACAATGATACACATTGTTTAGCCCATTTAAGTTCACTAATCAAACTCAAATCAATTATAAACATATCATTACTTTCATTTTTCTCGGCCCATATCATTTTTACTTACCGACATTAATTGATTTTGAGAAAACTTTGAACTTGATTTATTTTCAATTAATTTAGCCGAATGCACGACTAATTATAAGATAAATATTTTCGAAGCTGTACACGGTGTTGAGAGGGGTTGGAAGATGTATCTTGTGAATGAGTATGTCCGTGCTTGTTTATTCATTCTATGGTAGTACGGAGTTGAATATTGTGATATTCCACATTTGAATGAAGTTTAAGTAAATTGATTAGATTGCTTATTTAGATGTGCATACATTTATTTTTGAAAACTCAGCAAAAATTTTAGATTTAAATATCTTTGTTACAGAGCAATTTCATGAAATGTGACATTTCGAAAAATTTCCCGTGAATGAGGAAAACTTCACCATGCTAGGTGTACGTTTCATGACAGTAAATTTGTATCTATCCATCCATGTAAAACTTTGCTTATGGTTGCCATTAACTGAATAGATTAAGTTATCCTCGATATGAAAATTATATCAAATTGACAAAAATGTAAAATTGAATTAACTTGGTAAGAGGTAAAAATAAATTAAATAAAAAAAATGTAAAATTAAACTAATTTGGTTGGGTAAGGGGCTGCGCGAACGCAAGCCCACAAATTACGACATAGGCTCGACCATTTGGATCTGCCTTAGGCAGACACTCCTCCGACGTGCAATGGAGGCCGTCAACCTAGGTTATGGGTCTTCATGATCACCCAACAATCCTGTCCAGGTAAGTATAGAAAATGTACTTAATTCGTCTACTTATATAGAAAGTTTGACGTACTTTTCACAATTATATTTTCAATGTGGGATAATTACTAGAGTTGGTTTTACTATTTTAAAATTTTACGGTAAACTTGTCCATAAAAAAAAATTATACTATATATTTTTTTTATACATATATATATTAGCTTAATTTAGTAAAAATAAACTTATTTTTTTTTTAGCACTTAACAATTTTCAAAATGAACACCTTAATTACCACTTACTTAGTTGTGCAATGAAATTACAATTTAACACTATTTTGGTAACATTCTCTTTGCATTACAATAATTCCTCAGAGCAATTGAAATGAAAATGAGATGTTTATATTGTTAATTAATTTTATTAATGTTATGCATAACAATTCTTCCTTTTTTTTGTAAAATGCATTGGTAATAACTTATTCACCATTCATTTTAAGTATATCAATTCTTTTGGTAGTTCATTTGATTGGTTTAAAACCTATATTAAAATAAATTTCCTTAAATTTATAATACTTTTATAAAAACAATACTTATCTATCAAGTAGCTTCTAATATGTAAAAATTACATCACAATTATGTACTTTTAGAAATTTATACTATTTACAAATTTCCGAGTTTCTTAATAGTAATATGTATTTATTTAGTTAGATTTATACTTTTTCAATACGTATGTTTAATTTTTAATACAATATATATAAGTAGAAACTTGCAAACTAAATAAAAATCACAAAAAAAAATAATAAATGGACAAATTCAAAATAAATAAATTTTTTAAAATAAAAACAAAATAAAACTATCAATTAAATTATAGGGTTCATCCGGATAAGAAAAAATCCTTTTAAAAAGTATAATATGCTGCTTGATTGCAGCGAGTACATAGTATTCTTAGTAAAAAGCAAAAAAATAGTTTGCTTTGCACTCACTGCACAGCTCTATGAGTTTCTAAGGCTTTAATCTATTGGTATTTATAATAGAGATTGGGGTATCATCATACTCGTTGGTTTCCATTTGGGACATTGAAGTTTTCCAACAAACTCAAAATTATAATTATTCTTATAAATTGTATCACTTATAATTATGAAATATTGTTGATAAAATTTATTAATTTGAGAGGTTGGAATCTAAAATATTTCAAAAGTATAATATAAAATTTTTTAAAGATCTCTAAAAACTTGTGTTTAGAAGTTTCATCAGTTTTCATAAAAATATAAAAATAGTAGAAAATTTTCTAAAATAAATAATAATCATATGATAACCTAAGCCCATGAACGATTAGTGAAGGTTTTATTTGCATAAATAGGAGTCAAATTTCCATTGATGAATATTCAATCAAGCATTATAATAATTTTTATTTAACTCTAGAAAAATTTAGTTAAGTGTAAATGGAATATTTTAATTTTTGTTATTGTTATTAGGCAAAGTAATTTAATAATATGTATAAAGAAGGGGTGAAATCTGCTAGCCCTCTAGAAATGTGTAAAGCATTAACTACTTTTTTTTAATGCAATGTCCCACATCGAAAAACTACTATATTATTATGCTTAGGCTCAACTACATATATGAACAAGGTGTGCATTTGAAAATTCATGGAGCTGCGTCTTGAACACATAGCGAACTATTCTTTCGCCTTTTACTAAAGAATACCGTGTGTTCGTGACATTAAGCAGCATATCCAATTTTTTGAAGGGATTCTTCTCTTAAGAAGAGCCCTGCAATATAGTTCTAAATTATTTATTCCAATTAATTTCTAACTAAACTTAATATTTTTTTATTATTTAATAATAATTGCTGGTATTTGCTTGAGCCCAAAATCATAATTAATAATGTGTAATGAATGACCTTTTAAGCATATTATTCTTAGTTTTCGCGAAGTTACACATTAATAAAAAAAAAATAATAATAAAAAAAGAGTTTTAAAAATTATGAAAATTTCAAGAAATAGTTAAAATTTGGGAAAATAAAAAGTTTAAATAAAAATTCTTGCGCTTCCGTTGTTAAAATTTGGGAAAATAAAAAGTTTAAATAAAAATTCTTGCGCTTCCGTTGTTCGCAAAATCAAGCTGGTTATATAGGTCCATTTTAATCATCAACATTGGTGTGTTGCAAATGAGACATAAATAAATATTCGCCGTAGGCCTTTCTTTTTTTTTTTTTTTTTTTCATTTCACGAGTTCGGATCGACAATTTCAGCAATAATGAAATGGAAATTGTTCAATTAAATGCACATATGTGTACAAAAGTTTTGTTAATGTTATCTAATAACCGAAAAATATATAACCGTTGAAATACAAATGTCTGTATTTCGATCTATTCCAACAGTTTAGACTTATGCATTTTTACCTAATGGATTTCATCGTGGTTGATTGCAATGTTAGAATCTGAACATCTAGAGGTGATCGATCTATGACTTTGATCATTAGTTATCATTCGAAGTGCAACACGTCTTTGTCAATTATATATCAAGACGTGCAATATCAAGATATCGGAACGTTACTATTCCAAATAATGTTTTTATGAAATTAAATAGTATACTAGGACAAAAATATGTCCTAATTTACATGCACAAAAAAAATAATAATGATAAATAAATAAAAAATTCAACTTCGCTCAGCTTATAGTCGACATTTAAAGGGATTCTTCCAAAACATACTAGCTATTAAATTAAATTGCAATGAAATACTTTGTTTATTATGTCATTTCTTTGTCAATAGAAAAAATAGATCTTAGATATATTATCTCAGCATTTTTAGGAGTTATTATAGACTTTACAAGATAAAGCATGTTCTCTTTATAATTTATTTTAATTTTTAGTATTCAATTTATTACAATATTGTTATTAAACAGGGAATATTAATCGCAGAAAGAAGTGGATCCATGTTTGCACTGAATAAATGCAAAAACATTATCTACTTATGAATGCAATATCCCACATCGACATCTTACAAAATGAAATGACTTAGGCTCTCTACAAATATGAACACACTAAAACATTTGAGATTTATGGAGTTGTGCAGTGAGCACAAAGCGAATTATTCTTTCGCCTTTTACTAAAGAATACCGTGTGCTTGTTGCAATCAAACAGCTATGCATTCTTTTTATTCCATTATTAGAGTTGTTAAATGAATTAAATTATTTGATTCGATTTAAGCTTTCTTCTCAAACTTTTGAATTATAAATATAAAAAAAATAAGTATATACCTTTATTAATTATAAATAAATTTTTTGATATAATTTAAATAAATCGTTGATGCCATGTTTTGGGAATCATATATATTAGATTAAAATAAAATAAAATTTTGATATAATTTAAATAAATCATTTGACGCCATATGTTAATTAAAATAAATTATAACTATAGTTTTTCAAATAACAAGTCATGTTTAATGTGAAGTTTTAGGAAGTTAGGAATTGACATCATCAATATGCTGTAAAACAAATAAAATAATAGACAGTCAAATACACCAAAATAAAAGTTTACTAAATTAAGATAAAAAATTAATACACATATATGTTAATAAAAAATTATATAATTTTTTTCTTTTGCAAGTTTAACCTAAAATTTAACATTTTAAGAATAGTAAAATTGGCCTATTAATTGTCCCACATTGGAAAATGATTGCGAACGGCGTGCCAACATTTCTATATAAGCAAACGAATTAGATATAAGCTCCATACTTACCTGGACAGGGTTGTTGGGTGATCATGAAGACCCATAACTTAGGTCGATGGCCTTCATTGCACGTTGGAGGAGTGTCGATCTAAGGCAGGCCAAAATGGTCGAGCCTATGTCGTAATTTGTGATAGAGGGGGCTTGCGTTCGCGCAGCCCCTTATCCAATCTAGTTTCAAGTTTACATTTTTTTTTTCAAATGTTAAATATATTTTTTTGTAATTAATGGGTGTAGTACTTTTTCTTTTAAGGGGTGTACTTATTTTGTTTATCAAGTATGCAAATTTTCCCCATGAACAAGAACCAAATCATTTGGTTGAGGTGGAGGGACCTAAGTAGGTTAGTTTTGATTATTCTTGTCTAAGGAATTATTGATGAAGGTTTTTTCAATAACAAATGGTCATATATCATGAAATTATTGTAGAACAAACACACTTAATTTTAGAATTTTTGTAATTGAATTTTCGAACACATTATTAATGTGAATAGTTTAACCTATCTAGTTAAACTCCATTCAAATATAGAATATTGTGATGACCGAACAAGCACTTATTCTCATTCACGAGATACATATATATATATATATATATCTTCCAACCCTCTCGACAGTGTCAGACATATGGAACTGTCTTGTTTATCTAATCAAATTGAGTACTAGAGTCTTTATTGTGAGATAGCTCACAGAACCTTATTTGAATCTTCGTTTAAAAAATGTAGATTTCCAGGTCATTACTACTAGACAAAAATCTTGGAAATTAGACACAATCGACACAGTAACCATCGGCTTTCTACAAACATGCATATCAATATATTTTATAAGATATGGTTTTTGAAAAATTTTCTCATACACTTTTAATTTAACTTTAATCAAATATAAAATATCGTAACACAATTTCATATCAAACCTATCTATATAATATATCACAATTCTCATTTTTTTTAAAAAAAAAATTCAAATATTTTAAACATCCAATATCCAAATATCATCCCAATTTCCAGATAATAATCAAACACATCTGTAGATGATCAGATTAATCGATTAAATATGACATAAGTAAGCCCATTTGAACACTTAGTTAAAGACAAAATTATTAGTTAATTTAATCCAGTTTTAAATTCCCACATCGACATCCCATACAATTCCACCCAAAGACTCTCCTATAAATACGGACAAACTACAACTTATTAAATTCATGCAGCTGCGCAATGTGCACATAGCGAACTATTCTTTCGCCTTTTACTAAAGAATACCGTGTGCTCGTTGCATTTAAACAGCATACAATACTTTTTGGGAGGGCTCTTCGATTACGAAGAATCCTACAATGTAATGTATATACATTTGTCAGATAACTGTAATTGAATTAGTTGCTTTATATAATAAATAATTCATTCCATACAACTATATTTAGTCAATGAGTTTTTATCAAATAATTTCTATAGCTGTTAGGACTCAACTATAAATATGGACGCCACAAATTGGAGAGTTCATGGAGCTGCACAGTGAGAACCCTGCAATCCAAATTGATATGTTTATTACTATTATCATATTAGTTGCTTAACCTGATAAATATCTATTTAATGTTGAATACAAACTCGATTACAATTTGAATTTGTTTAATATATTAAGAATATAGCAATCATATGTATGAAAAAATAAAAAAAAAATGACAATATAATTATATTAAAAGTATTTCTTTTCTAGTTTGATTCATTTATTTATTTTTAGTTTATTATAATATTTTTTAATAAAATAAATACATTTTATTATATGTTGGGTCAAAATTTGAGTCTAATATTAAGTTAAATTTTTAGGAATTGTAAGAGTATTTTGGATCTATCGCATCTAGTTCGGGTTAAGTTTGAGTATAGTCGGATTCAATTTGGACCTTGGAATTAACAAAGTGTGTTTGGGTCAGGTCTTGGATCTGTCTAGACCTGACCTATTAATGTTATCCTAATCCGGAATATACTTGGATCTAACAATGTGTGTTCGGGTCAAGTCTTTCGGAATATACTTGGATCTAACAATGTGTGTTTGGGTCGGGTCTTGATCCGGAATATAATAATAATAATTATCGGATGCAGAATAACCGTCTCACCTAACATGCCCCCTCAAGGTGCAACAATTAATTATTTATCCACAAACGGGAGTCTCTAACACGCACCCTCACGTGCAAGTAAGGTATGCGAAACTTGCACATGCATATGCCGCAAATGGGAGCGGCGGGGCTTGAATCAAGATTTAGTCAAACTCTAATACCATGTCGGATGCAAAATAACAATCCCACTCATAATATGATTAATTTGCATCATCAATAATTAACCAAGTAAATCCAATATTTTAAATATCGTGAATCTGTCCGAGCATTTAATTAAATATTAGAAGGATTATCTAATTTAATCAAATATAATTTTTCAGCCTCCCACGTCGAAAAACAACCCAACAAAATTGAAGGCTTCCTTACAAATATCGGCAAGCCGCAACTTACTGCCCTTATGGAGCTGCGCAGTGAATGCATAGCGAACTATTCTTTCGCCTTTTACTAAAGAATACCGTGTGTTCGTTGTATTTAAGCAGCATACTCAAATTTTTTTTTAAAGGGTTTTTTTTTTTTTTTTCATTTGGAAGAGCCCTACAATTTAGTTTTATTTTTACTTTTAATTTGAATGCATTTTAGCTTCTGTCCAAAATGTAAATAAAAGGAATAGAGTGAACATACTTTGGTTGAATGGTATTATTTCAACTTTGATAGTTAAAACATTATTTTAAAAACTTATTTTAAAATCTCATGTAATATCAGTGATTTCATTAGTCATAACCCTTACTGTGTTCGATCTTTATATCATTGAAAATGGACCTTTCCATTGTAGAAAATGGGAGTTGTGTCTAACGAACTAGAAAGAGGAAGACTCAATGAATCATCAATCATTTGGTCTTTTTCTTTTTATAAAAAATAAATAAATAAAAATTGCCAGAATCCGTAAGTCACTGATATCTAAGTACATTTTGAATAAACTCTTAGTTAAATTTAATAATCTACAAATTAAATTGATAAAACAAATGACACTAAATAAATTATGTGTGATAAACAAAATAAGAGGCACGAAAGGTTTGAATATAACATCAATCATTTGTTGTTGACTCTTAATAAAAACAAGGAAAGTAATTGTCTAGGGTCTCTTGTGGAAAAATAATTTACATTTCTTTTAAAAAGCTCATGATTAGTATTTAGTATGTCAAATTTTATGTTTTAGCCTATATTATTTATTCTTCACATATGTCTAATTAAATTTTAATTCTAAATTAAATTCTAATCATATATATATATATATATATATAGTTGTGTCTCTCCTTTCTAAATCCTAACCCTACACAAGCTGCACCTATCTTTCAATCATTGCCTTCGCGCCGTCGCAGCTCTCCCCTTCACGCTGCGCCGCACCTACTTACCGTCCAATGTGGCACCATTTTTAGTATAATAGAAAACTGGTATTTTTGAACGGGATTAAATCAATGATAACTTTCATTCTTCAATATTTTTCATTCGGCCAATACTTTTGAATGGGATTATTTTTATGATACTCATGGAGTTGGGACATTGTTTAGCCAAACTTCCGTGTGTGAATGAATCGGTATGAAGTTATTCAAAATCGAATAAAAATTAAATTGATTGAATAGATTATCAAACAATGTACACAGAAGATACGCATAAGTGAAGACATAAGACTTTGCTTACTCCGTGAGAGAAAATATGATATTGAATAGAGAACATGTGATATCCTTCGAAAGACAAGAATTAAACTATTGAAATTTACTTTTATTTATTAATATATTTATAAAATTATTTTTCTAAATTTATAGTATTTAATTTACAATTTGATTTGGGTCAGTGCAAGTGCAACTTGACCTTTATGGGTCCACACACGGCTCTATTCATATTTGTTTGGCCAGATACAGTTAATGTTTTTGGACTTATTTTTTAGACCAAAGTAGGATTTTTTTTGTTGTTTTTCGGACCATGTCTATTTTTGCAGCTTAGTTAATATCTTCCCAGAAAAGGGCATTTCAGTAATTTTATTTGCTTCGATTTTGGCAGCTATTCTTAAGAGGGAAAATTTAAAATGACATCGGCGCATCGCCCGTCACTGAACTGGAAGATCATTCGATTCTAGGGTTTTCAGTTGTTTTCACAATCCTTGCGTGACGAAGAAAACTGGGTCGCGCATTGATCTCAATGCTCGGGAATGAGCTACAAGGAAAATGCGGTGGCTGTAAATACCGGCGGTGAGTTATCGTTGGAGCAGCGAGCTCGAATCTCCCAAAGTTTCAGAGCTGCCAAGGCACGCCTCGCCAGAAAACGGCAGAGGTTTGAGTCTGGCGGTTCCACGGATTGTCTCTCGAGCAGTGAAGCGTGAGTTCTTGATTACGGAGTATATGCAATTCGTGTGAATCCTTGTGGTGCCTTAAAAATAAACAAATGTTTTGTTTCGCTATTTTAGAACGGTTCGTTGAGTACTCAATTTGATATTAGTTCAATAACAATGCTGTCTTCATTTATTTTTTTATCCGCGTTACTGTATTTAGTGTTCTTGGTATTTTGTAAGTAATTTTCGTTTCCGTGTAATCATTAGTTGGTTTTCTTGTAGTGCGTGCCTTGTTTATTTTGTAGGATTAATTAATATTTATAACTAATGGTTTGATTTGAATTCCTGAGATGAATGAATTTTTGAATGTGAAGGTCTGGAGACAATAAGGGTGCAAAAAGTTTCAATCAACTTGATGAGATTCAGAGGCTGCCTCTTTCTGAGATATCGACAAACATATCATCAAAACCTTCCCCTAACGATTGGAAATTGTCCAGAAAGCACAGTACTGTTGTAAAAATTGAGGCTAAGGGTGAGGTGCTTTTTACTCCAATCAGACAAGGTGAAACCTCGAGCAAAACGTGCTCAATAGTTCCATGTGGAACTGGTGAAATTGAAGGTTTTAGTGTAGAGAAAGGCCGATGCACTTACGAATGTAGGTCAAGTTTGAATTATGGTGCTACTCTGCAGTGGCAGCATCGGTGTGCAGCTGAGTCAAATTCGGAAAGTCATTCAGTAGAATCACTAGTTACTCCTAATACCCATGGCTCTCTCTTGACATCCAATTTTTTGAATGATGATTTTGATGAGTCAATATTCGAACTAATTGATGCTGTCTGTGAAAAAACCCCATCGTGTAGTTCTGTAAGGGAAAATACTGCAGTAAATGGATTGGGTACTGGAGTTATTGTTAAGGATTCAGAGGAACATACTGCCCTCCAAAGTCATGATGTTTGCGATGAGGTGCTAAGATCAAAAGAAATTTCAAGTTCTTCTGGCGATCAAGCATGTGAAACAGAAGTGTTGTGCGAATCAAAGAGTAAACTGACAGAAAGTATGCCTGAGGAGTATGCAACGTACATTCAGTCTCTGAATGATAAACAGAAGGAAGCAGCGTGTTGTGACACTTCAATTCCTCTAATGATTGTTGCTGGACCAGGAAGTGGGAAGGCATGTTTTTCTTGTTTTATCTTTTGAATTACGTTCATACATGTTTCATAATATTAATGCTTCATGATATTGATGCTTAATATTCATGTTGCAGACATCTACTATGGTTGGACGTGTTTTGATGCTTCTACACAAGGTAGGTTTATTATATGCTGTATGCTTATTCTAATTATGCTTATATTGTATACTTATGCCTCTCCTCTGCCACATGCTTGGACAATTCAGGGTGTCAGTCCGTCCAACATTCTGGCAATGACATTTACTACAGCAGCTGCAGCTGAAATGCGAGAAAGAATAGGAGCAGTTTCGGGGAAAGCAGCTGCAAAAGAGCTAACTATCAGCACTTTTCACTCATTTTCTTTGCAACTTTGCCGTCTGCATGCTGAGAAGTATGTATATTTTAACTTCTCTAAATAAATTTTTTGCATTGATGGTAGATTTTCCATTTTTCCAAAAGAATTTTGTTTGGTTATGTTTTGGTGTATCTTGTTGTTTTGGAAAAGTAAAAAATAAGAAATATAGACATAGTTGTTTGATGTGAGGTCTTTTAGGGGTAAAAAAGCTCATTGTAGAAGAATAATGAAGATGGATGAGGGAACACAATTAAACAATATTTGATTTACTTTAGTTGCTAGCTGATAGGTACATTGGATTCCAAAATCAGGGGATAATAACTACGTGATCTTGTGTGGCTGGCACCTGCTGTTCCTACTTGAAATATGAATTGAAATAGTTTGTTTACATTGCATGGCTTATGAGAATTTAAAGTACAATATCTCCAAAATCCGGGGGCAAATTGTATTTCACTTACTTAAGTTATTTTGAAGAGAAACTACATTAAAGTGGTGGGTATTTCATAATTAACCATTAAGTTATCCTATTTACCAGTATTTCCTGTGTAATCATATATAGTGGATCCTTGAAATAAGTCGAAACATTTCTCAGGAATATATGCTTTTGAGAACTAATCGTGGTGTTTGTGAAAGCACTTATATTATTTTCCAGTAGATACCTGACGCTAGTTGAGATTTGTGCGGCAGACATTGAACATCAGATTTATTTTCTCTTAGGAGCTAATATACTTGAGGTTTGAGCCACCTGAATAACATGTTTTCTTTGCCGTCTCCTTAGTTATTCTTGTGACATTGTCAAGTTGATCATCATTCATGAAGCACGTCCAACATTATATCAACATGTTCACTCATGCAATAGGTTAGGACGAACCCCAGATTTTTTAATATATGGGCATGGACAACAGAGAAAAGCTATAATAGAGGCTGTTCGCCTGTTGGAGGATGGAAAGAAAAGGGCCAATCTTGAGCTTTGTAAGCTTGCGGAGTTGCCTAATATAGATTCTCCAAAAAATTTTAAAGACATGTCAAAGAAATGGTTGAAGTTTGTAACTCAGGTATTCCTTTTTACCTATGTACAAGTTTTCTGAATACTTCTATACAGGACTTGTTTTACACCACTACAAGGAGAGAGTATTCCCAAACCCAGACATAATAGTGGTCCCGTGCGTCTCATAGTTGTCACCTTCTGTTTGCATCATTCTTTATAAATCACAGGCTAAAGCTGCAGGAAGAATACCTGAAGATTTTCAAAAAATTGGTGACCACACAGGAGTAGGCTCTTATTTAGAATTTTATGTCTGTTGTTTTAGCCAATCTTTCTTTTATCTCAGCATTTGTCTTATTTCTTTTTTGGATTTTACTCCAGGCAATTATTCTCGAGAACTACAACAACATATTAAGATCCTGTAATGCATTGGATTACCATGACTTTATCAGCTGTTCCGTGAGGCTACTAACTGATTTTCCAGAAGGTTCATACTATCCATTCCAAACACGTAAATTTTGGAGTTATCCATATTGCCATTTACTGACGATAGGTTTAATAAATCCGATTATGACTGAAGTTTTTAAAGAGTGCCAAGAATCATGGAAGGCAATCGTCATTGATGAGTTTCAGGACACAAGTGCCATGCAATATGTCTTGTTGCGGATTCTTGCATCCCATAAATGCATAACCATTGTTGGTGATGAAGATCAGGTATGCTTCATCCTTGATTATTATTGCCTTTGAAAAACATTTTGTCTTCTCGATTACCTTCTTACGTGCTGTGCTCACTTAAGTTTAATATCTACCTTTGTGCAGTCAATTTTCAGTTTTAATGGTGCTGATGTTAACGGGTTTGATTCATTCAGAAAAGACTTTCCAATGTACCAGGAGGTTAGGCTGTACAAAGAATCTCATTCTCACATATCTAACTACAAAGTGCCACAGATTCTACTTATAATGAATTCTTATTCAAATCTCTTCCTATCATATATTTAGGTCAGACTAAATAAAAATTACAGGTCTACACGCTGTATCATTGAAGCTGCATCATATCTTATACGAAACAATTCGAAGCGCTGTAATTCAAAGGATATTCTAACTGATAATTCTTCTGGATCAAAGGTAAACATCCTTTGAAGGGGTTGGTTGTATCACTTTCAGTAGCTAATCAAGAATATTAGATCATGCTGAGCAGATTACAGTCAAGGAATGTTGCAATGAAGAAGCACAGTGTGCTTTTGTGGTAGATAAAATTTTGGAAATTGCATCAGATGGTTCATCTGCTAAATGCTCATATGGCAAGATTGCTGTTCTTTACAGGAGGCAGGTTAAGCTATTTCTTGTTGCCCTTACAGCTACATCACAATCATCTTTTGCTGCAATATAAATTTTCTGAAGATTTTATAAAACAGCTACATCACAATCATCTTTTGCTGCAATATAAATTTTCTGAAGATTTTATAAATGCTATGAAATTATGTTTGATATTTCTATTTGTGAACAGGCAACAGGAAAAATATTTCAAACGGCATTTCGTAACAGAAAGATACCATTTAACATTCATGGTGTGGCTTTCTACCGTAAAAAGGTATTTTGGAGAAATATGCATTCCTCTGTGAATGTGTGGGGTTGGGAAATGTCGATTATTTCTGTAGCTCAAAGTTTTGAAAACTTGTATATTCCATAAGAATATTTGAAAAACCTAATATGGTCCTGAGCATTGCTCCTCCTTTCCTTTCACAATGTTGCCTAATGAATATTCAATTAATACATACATATAATGTATATATATATATATTGCAACATGGGTCTGCATAGTAGTATGCATGCTGACCCATGCTGTTCCATCCTGTAACAGGTAGTTAGAGCAATTATTGCCATGCTGAGTACAACATTACCTGGTTGTGATGATGCACCATTTCGTCGAGTATTCAAGGCTTTACTTCCTTTTGATAAAGATGAAAAAACGAAGGTATTCCTTGTCCTTTTACCATCCATTATGTTTTAAGCCTTTCTTCTTGGGAAGAGCTTCTAGATTTCAAGTCTCTAGTTAACAAGAGTCACATTACTTATTTATCTCTTCAGGTAATTGAACACATTGATAAAGTTTCAACTGTGAGAAAATGCACCTTTATTGCGGCTGCACGTGACATTTTTAATGCAAAAGTATCTGGAATCTTTAAGAGGTTTGCTATGTGTGCCCTAGATAACCCTCTTATTTTTGTCTGCACTTACTATCCCTTCTTGTTTGGGTGGATTATTTCCGATGAAAAAAATACTCTACATGAATCATAATGAAATGCCTTTCTATGGTCAAAGTCTCCTCTCTTACTATATTATTCATTCTAGACTTTTATCAACTAGAACTTATGCGCCTCAGCTATTATGCTTATAGGTGGGATATACGTGATATAATGATCTTTATTTATTATTAACTGGTCTATATGAGTGCTCTTTTCTCTGTTTCTGGTATTCTTTGATTCTCTTCAAGTGTTTCCAAATGGCCAATGAAGCATACAAAATCAATAGATAGTGAATCTTGTATTTTCAATGTATAATGATTGCAGGAGTGAACTGACACAAGGGCGTAAGGTGCTGCTCACTCTGGACATGATTTTGAAACTAGTCTGCAGGGTATGCAACTCAATTAACTTGTCTGTCTTCATTGATACAGGAATAGATTTGAGCTTGATTATCCATATGTTAGCTTATTATTAAACTTCTATATTGAATTAATATGGATCAATTGTAAAATGATTATTATTTATGATCATGTATCTTGTTCATTATCCTCTAAAGGTCAATATTATGCTATGTGGTTAACATTTTGAGAATGAGATGCACGTGTTATTGACACATTCAACTATTTCCGATGGCTCAAGAACTTTATCTACATATGCATTTGTGATGTATCATGTTAAAACTGTTGTCATCATATTACATCTTGCAGGAACAATCCATTTCAGCTGTAATCAATTCTGTGGCTACTATGATACCACAGGTTTGTTTCACTTTTATGCAGTAAATTTGTAATATTTTGTTTTATTTTTGCGGCTTTGATTTGCTTAATAGTGTCAATCATTTTGTCTCTTTTATTTCTCTCCAATGGAATATTATCTCCCTAGCGTAGACTTGTATGATTAAAATCTTTTAATTGATGAATTCTTCTTGCCACACAGATTATTATGATCTTCAGATCAACTCCTCTACATTTTACCTTTTATATTGTTAAAACTGCGAACTTTTAGATTGGCCTTTTGTTTTGCTGTGCACACTTGCTTGTTTTTCTAACTTTATTGCAACTATATTTCTTTGGAAATTTATTTCTGTGACTTCGAAGATGACCTTTTCTCATGCGAATCACTTCTGGTAGCAATAAGTTGCGCTACAGTCATACCGTAACATTGAATTTATTCATCCTGTAGAAATATCTTCTTGAACAAAAAGCAGTTCTTGATGTTGATGGAAGCAAGCTGCTGAATGAAGATAATGATCTTAGACCTGTAAGCATCTAGAGTTCTTTCTAGTTTCTTATTTCACTTCACTCATGTTTTGATATATTCCATTTGGAAATAATAATTTTTAATTATTTAGAAAAGGAAAATTGCTATCAGATATGTTTCTTTCTGCAAGTTTGAAGGGAAAGTACAAACTTTGGAGCTGAACATACCACAATCTGTTTGCTTTACTTTGCAGGTGTTGCAGTATTTGTTGGATGATGTTTCATTGTTTTTGACAACCGTGCATAATGTCGTAGAATGTGGTAATGATAGTATCACAGAAGGCAAAGGTTGCATGAGTACACTCAAGGGATTTATTGAGTATATTACAGATAGGGAGAGGGAGAACTTTCGACTGAGAAGGCATGAGAATCAAGATTCTGTGACCCTTACAACAATCCATCAGGTTCTACAGTGCTTTAACTGCTACAAATCTATTCTTTTGTCCTAGGGTTTGGTGCTGTTAAAAATTCTACTGAGTGTTTTTATGCCAACACAATCAGGTTTCTTACATCCTTTTATATGTGTGTGTATATATATTGCAGTCAAAAGGGTTAGAATGGGGGACAGTTTTTATTATAAAGGTACTAGTTGGCTGTAGCTTCAGTTATGCATATATGCTGTTTCATCATGTAATTCAGTATCACTAATGGAAATTGTTTTTCGTACTAAGGCAAATGAAGGTGAGATTCCCTTGTTGCATGAATATAATGGCATTGTCAATGAGAATGCTAACTCCATTGAGGTAATCCTGTGTATTTATCCAAATCTTCTGCACAAAAGTGGTTGTAGAACTATTACTTATTGTCTGACTTGCTTTACTTTTAGGAAGAGCGGCGATTGCTTTATGTGGCGATGACTCGTGCTCAAAAGAAACTTTTTATGCTGTATGTCATCATGGATTCTAATTGGCAGGTAAACACATTGTTTTGAGTTTTGCCACAACTTGTTTATGGTGCTTAAGCATTACCAATCTTTGCAGGTTATTCATCCATCCCGGTTTCTTAGAGAAATTCCTCATCACCTACTAGACACCCAAGTAAACTTTTCTATCAATTATAAAATCATCATAAATTTTACAGCTTTGCTTGAAGTATGAATAAAGAATGAATTATTCTCTTATGCTTCTAAATCTTATTTATATATCTCGGTGTAGAAAGAGCTAAGTTCCGTAAAGTCAACGAAAATTAGCGCCCAAAATGACCAAGAAGCTTCTAAAGAATCCAATACTTGCAGAACAGAGTTGCCTGAAAAAAACTCAGGGCCTCATGCTCCTGTCGGTAATGTAATCAATGAGGCATCCAAAGAGCCTACTGAGGTCGAAAAGTATGGTAGCAGCAACTTTTTACAAAGGTCCTTTCTTCAAACACATACCTGCTATGAATGGAATGTTCGTATATTGGCACAATCTAAATGTCTGCTACCCATGTTAAAAATTTCAAGTAGATTTTCTTAACTTTATAGGTTCAGTGCGGAGTACCGAGGTGTTGTTTCCCACTTGTTCCACCAGTGGGCAAAGAAACCTGCATTTCATGACCCCAAGAGATTACTTAGCAAGGTGAACCATAAATATTTTTCTTGTGCAATTCAGAAAACACTTAAAAAAAACAAAGAGTTTTTGCTTCCGTTTTATAATCCCATTTGCAGTTAGGGAAGCCAAAGCTGATTTTCATTTGTGAGAGACATAGAAATGCAAAGGATATTGACCTTTGACAATAGAAAGATGCTAAGCAATAAGCACATTTCTTCACAGTAGAAAATGCATAATAATAAGCCACTGCCATACTCATATCAACACCCATTAGTCGCAGCACTGCACCTCATTGGCGCCAGCCATTTTCCATATCTATAAAAAGATCTATAAATTCTTGTCATAAAAAATCTATTGCATTGTAAGTTTGGAAAGTGTACAAGTAGTACGGTTGCTTCTTTTTCCTTTTTTAACTAGAACGTTCTCATTGTCTGAGTTGCCCAATTAACCAGATAGGAAGTAGCCAATAACTATTTTTTGGGTTACATTATGCTACTTGTTTATCACTAATCATTCTAACTACAGGTTGCTTTTGTGATTGATGAACGTTTGTGTGCCAAGAAAAGTACCCCCAAGGTGCTACCAATTCATTTCTAAATCTTATTTTCATTCTAATGATTTAGTCTCTTTGTGTGTTCAACTGCTTAATTGTTCTGGACATATTGGTTTTCTCTCTCTCTCCCCCTCTTTTTTTTTTTTTTTTCAAATCATTTTTCATTTATAATATTTATGAAAGGATAAAGGAGATATTATAAAATGTTTGTTGTCCATGTACAGTTAACTTCTCCCATTCTTCAGTTTCCAGGTGTTCTTTCCATTTTTTCTCCATAACTGATATTTATTGACATGTATATACAAACAAAATATTGGGGTGTCTGAAAAGGGCAGTCATTAGGAATTTTTTCAAGTTTTTGTGCATAGTAGTAATTATAAGTGTGATAACCACAGCATGAAATAGGGGATTTTTCCAATAGTAATCACACTTGCTTGTTTTTCTCCTATTGCGCTATTTTTTGTTATTATTATTTTTCTCGGTTAGTAAATTATTGAGTAACTATAAATGGCAGGATGTTCTGCGTGAGCTGAAGTCTTGTTTAACAACTGACGAGGCTTATAGCTTTGCTGAATCAGTAAGTACATTATTTTAAATGAACTGAATGGTTGAATACGACAAGAGATCATGAACCCGCCATAGATTTATTTGAATTGTTTCCAATTCTTAATTATATTTTATTTTCAAATCTTAAATATTTCCCTTAGGTGTTACAGTGGGAGCAAATTCCAACCGAAAAGCGTGCTCATTTGATGAGAGAAAAACAGGTATGTGTTAGTTTTATGCAAGCTATCATTCCTGGTGACAATTATTTTTTCCTACAGCAATGTAGTTGAATCGGTTTATAAAGTGTTCGTTCAATTTTTTTTGGTTCAGGAACATTTCCAGAAACTAAGAATGGAGAGCGCAATGAGTTCATCTGAACCAACTGCTAAGCAGGTCATTTTCAATACCCCATTTCTTATCTCATCTTTTTTACATAATTTAAGGCTTCTTTTTATAAAATATTAATTTATTTTATTTTATAATATAAGGCTTGTTACTGGGCTGCAGTTTACTAATTTTTTATTTATTTTTATTTTTATTTTTATCTTTAAAAATTGGGACTGACAATGATAGATTTGGATAGGTTTCCATGGCCCACAATTTATTGGGGTTGGACTTGTTGGGATTGTGCATAACTTTTTTTCTTAATATATAATTTTAGATTGTGCCACGTCAGATCTGATATTGAGTCAGTCATGACAGATTCAGTCAGTTATCCATGATTCCCTATTTTTGATTGAATTTATTTATTTTATCTCCTGAATTATTATGCGACTAATGGCTGATTATTGTTATGAAATGGGCAGATTTCGTATCTACAGAATTTGGGATGCACTATAGTGCCTACTTCCAGGCTCCATGCTTCTCGTTTAATTGAGGAATATAAGTCGCTATGATTTCATTACAATATATACAGAGAATAAAATAAAATAACACATTGATATTTAACGCTACTTTTTGGTAATAAGCATATTAATGGAACTGCTGTTGTGGATTATGTTTATTCTAAGGAAAAAAATACACACAAATGAGCAAAAGGTGTCATGTTATTTATTAGAAAGAATATATTTTCTTTTGCCTAATTCGATCAATACACAAGTTTGATTTGGTTTCTATTATGATGTTTTCTTTTTTTTGTTTTGGAAATGTATGTTAGGTTGAATTGAAAACATAATTAATCAAACATATATACATTTGTTGAATGGAGCTATATTTTGGGCAGAGAACAATGCTATTTATTTGTATTAAAGATTGATGCTACATTCAATGCTATTTTTACTGCAAAAATGATCTTCTTCTGAAAAAGATATTATACCTACTCATATTTTTCATTTCAAATACTTATTTTCCATTTAAAAAAAAAAAAAATTCACATTCAAAACACACCAATCCGAAACAAACAAAACCCACTCAATAATTTCACTAGAAAATGGTTCACTAATCACATGAACCATAGTGAAATTTTTGAGGGTCATTGACATTAACTTAAAAATCAATAAGAAGAAGATCAAAGCTCACCTGATGTGATCTATGTACACATGATACAAGCAATGCAATAAGTTGCTGCAAACAGGTCAATCAAACGGGTCGATCCGTGGATCGTGCTCGCTCGCCATTGCCATTCCCGTGCAAAGGCATGTCGGGCACATTACCTACATCAGCCAAAACATGCAACTTTGCGTTTAATATAAGCCTACCGACGGAGAGAACAAGGCATGGCTGTGCATCATGACTACAATATAATGCTCAGGACCTCTCAAGTTTTAAGTACTTTTCACGATAATCACAAGATAATGCCAACAGGTTACTGGACTTTAAAAATACTGGTGAGGAACCAAGATAAGTGATGAGATTTCCGTACCTTTCCAGACCCCGAACAGTTAGGACACCTCTCTGTCTTGGGTTGAGACAAGGGTGTATCCCCGTCTTTTAATGTTGAGACTGGTTCAGCAAGAACAAGTGATCCGGTGCTTGAACACCGAGCGCAAGCAAGATATCCTGAAAATTGGAAATATTTTCATGTGTGCCTATTTATACACATATATATATGTATGTATGTATGTATCCCCATAGTTGTAAAGGCACTAGGTGGTATTAATTTTACTGTGATTGGAATTCACTCAAATATCGAAAGGAATTATTTTCACAATCTAAACAATAACCCAATTTTAGGTTTATTGATTCTCAACCCCCACAATCCCATATTCCCAGGCGGAGCTCTCCATAAGTAGTACTACATAATTAATATGAACAATCAATATATGTGCAATCAATATGTAATTGAATTCCAGTATCCTACCAAAAGACATTTGAATACTGTGATATCACTCTTAAAACTCTTCTTATAGAATTCACATTCTATGCTGCCTTTAGTATTTGATGTGAATAGAAGATAGATGTTATGTGATATATCATGTATTTGATGTGATGTTTTGAATAAAAGATATGTTTTGGAATGTAATATATTAAATGAAAATTAGGTTTTGAATATAATTATTTTAGAGAGTTTTTTGTGAATGGTGCAAAAAAAACAAGTTTGAAAACACAAGTAAATAGAGTTTAAGATGTGTTCGATTGAGTTAAACCAAATCTTGATTACTTAAGATTTCCCATCTTTCCTTGTGATTTTACTAATATTTACAAGCATAACCAACAAGAAATGTCGGTTACCTGTGCCAAGGCAGTACTTGCATTTCTTGTCCTCTTGCTGCTTCACATTGTTCAACTCCACCACCATCAAGGCTGATATTACTCCAACTGCTCCCCCCGAGAATGATGCCACAATCGGATCAACTTCACTGTAACATCATAAGTTTTCTTTATGGTAAAGGACATGAAAGCAAACACCATATCCTGAAGCATTAACAATGAAAGCAACAAGGGCCACATGAAAGCACATTGCATAAATACCCCACCTTCCAAAGTTATTGCATATGTGATACTTTGATATAAGCGATAAGCCCAAACTAGAGATAACAAATCATTAGCTACGCAGGCCATAAGAATTTAACAATGCTTGTCACCACAGTACTCGGCCTTGTTTAATAAGAGAACTTGTGTAGGATTAGCATTCAGTTGATCATACAGGGAGGAGCTAAATCATTTTATTGCTGCTTCCCATTCTAATTACCTCCATATAGAGAGGGGATAAACAACATAAATTGAGACAATAAAGGGTGTTCCGACAACAGCTACCATATAGCAAGAGGTGGATTACTGAAGACATCATTCAGATGGTAATGTAATCAGTCTTAAGAAACATACCTGAGTTGCATTGGAAGATGCATACTCCGGATAAAATCAGCATATGATGTGCCCCCTAATCCTAGTTTTAACTCCAGCTGGCATAAGAATCAGAAAGGGAATAAATATCATTAGGAATACATTCAACTTTATAATAAACTTGTACTGCAATTATTATTTTTTTTAATTTTTTTATTTTGTTCCTTTACTGTCGTAAGCTTTGTTCTGTATAGACAATCATATAAATTTTCTTCTTGCTTTGATTTCCAATCCTTTTATTTTAATTTTAGATATCATAAATTCATAGACACACCAATAAAGTGTGTGTTAGAAGAATAGAACAGGTAATTTCGTAGTAAGTAAAAGGGCATAATGCATTATTAAAAGTGTCAATATCATTGCCCAAATAGTAAAAATTTTATCGCTTATATATAATACTGATTGAAACAACTGACAGAAATGAGATCTATTCATTTTCTATTGATTTCAATAATATGCTTATGCACACTACTCTTGCTATAACATAGGTAATCAAATCCCATAATTTAAGGTAGTCAAATTACTTCTAATTTTAGCAAACCAATCACAAAATAACATGTATGCATACTACATGCCTTTTTTCCACACTCCCAAGTTGGAGAATAGAAATTTTCCATTCCCAATTTGGATACACTACTCTCAAATGCTAAACCACTTAATCCTTTAGTAAGCACATCAGCCAGTTTGTTGTCCATGTGTAGACAGGCATACGGGGTGTACAAATTAGTCCACTATCAAGTTTTTCTTTGATGAAATGTATATCAACTTTGTTAGTAAATAACCCTCTCACCTAAAAGCATAGGGAAATGCATTTATAGTCTTCCAATTCAATGTCTTTTGTTTGATCGTGCTGAACTGGATTGTAAGCTATGTAATGGCAAATTTGTTGCACAATTAAATGTTAAGCTTAAGACAATCTATGATTTAAGCTATATGGAAATGCCATGCGCAATCGTATAACTACATGATGAGTAAAGAAAACACACACACATACAGGAACCATCGACATCCATAATTTATTATTAGATATGAGATGCAGGTTTCCTATGAATTGATTAAATGCAAAACTAAAATGTTCTACACAATAAGATATATAACTTACAGTGGGAGCAATAAGTCCACCAAAAAGCACGATTCCAGTAAAGAGTGCAAACCATGTAGCATAGTATTGCTTAAGATTCGACGAATTCTGCCAAAAATGCATAATACGAATGTCACTACCCAAAAGGATAAACTCTGAATATAGAATAAACCAAAACTATAATTCTAAGCACTAAAATCACCAGCGGGGGCAAAAAGGGAATAAATGAAGGGAAATCGGGGAGCTCATTTTCTTGCTCATCCTTCAAAATCCCTAGCTCAGCACTTTTAATTCGTTGCTGTATTCTAAGCCGGCGAACCTACAAATTAGATGATAAATAACCATTACCAAGAGTTTGAATCCAACTATATTTTTAAGAACATAATTTCCTTCGTGTAAAATAATCTAGCGTTCAGAAGTTCTGGAGCGATCCATGTGTGCGGTTTATTATTTATTGAACGGTAAAGGAAAAACACTAACCTCCTCCATCTGCAGAAAGATTTTGTTCCGACGACTCCTGATATTCTCCTGAATTTCCTGTAACTCCATTGCCGCAAAATCCTGGACTGCCTCCGGTCCTTCAATTATACAAAACCTACACCGAAACCCGCGGAAATCACTCAAAAATTTAATTCAGTCAAACATTCAACAAGGATGAAAGAAGAGAAACAGATCCTACTCAAACGCATACCACAAAGCATATGCTCATCAGATAAATCCTAAGTGAAAAAAAAAAAAAAAATACCCGGCGGAATTACTTTCCCCCGACAAATCGGAATCTACAGAAGCGGCAGAGGAGGAAGGCTCGGCATCTGACGCCTTGCGTCGCCATTTGAGATTAGATTTCAGGCTGGTATGAAGAGGACATCTGGAGTGTGACAGGTAGAACGCCGCCGGCGGAAGAGAAAGCGTGAGAATCCGAGCAGAGCAGAGCATTTTCTTCTTCTTCTTCACGCCAAAATTGAGGGAATCTCTCTGGAGTGGAGTGGAGACCAACGCTGCAGCTATGCATCTTCTGTGTGTTACAATAAAAAAAACATCTGGTGGGAAATTTATTCTTGCCACGTGTACTTATTTTGTTGGCTATCAATTTCAACTGTCTCACTATATATAAGTTACTGTTGAGGCTTTTTTTTTTTTTTTTTTTTTTTTCTTTTCTTATTTGAAGTATGCATTGTTTTAAAAAAATATATATAATTTTTTTAAAAAATTATTTTAATGGTCACATTCAACTTATTTTTTTTTATATAGATGGTTTTTAAACTCATCGGAGATTTTTAAGGATAGAAAAATCCTTTTGTATCACCAAATCGAACCAACTATTGTAACGTTTCATGAATTTTCAATTCAGTAAAAGAAACTCATTTTGGTTTTGTTGCAACAAAAGAATTTATATCCTTCCTAACGTTTTTATTTTGTTATTTACTTTTTATTTAATTTTACAAAAGTTTTGAAGTGTAAAGTGATATAAGCTTGGAATTTAGTTAAATAGTTTTTTTTATAAATATAAATAGAGTATAAGAGCAAATGCAACAATAACATTATTAAGGGCTTCTCCATCCCTGTATCGAGGCTATTCCTGCTATGATCGAAAATAATACTCAGTCTCTACCATCCCTGTATCGAGGCTATTCCGGCTAGGATCGAAAATAATACTCCTCAGTCTCTATAGATTTGATTATGTGCATTACATTTAAAAAATATTTAATATTATATTAATAGTGAGTAAAAATACATATGCTCTTGTGAAAGATAATGGGATGGGACGGGACGGAAGAAGTAACATATATTGTATAGAACTTTCATATAGTGGCTATGTATTATATTAGTATCATATATATATATATATTATATTTTGTTTGCTTCTATATAATGTCCTGTGTACTGTGCAGAATCTGTAACAATACTCCTAAATTAATATTGGCAATTATAAAACACAAACCAAAATTCACTATATATTTCTCACAAAATAAAAAATAAAGCCAAAATAACAGTAGAATTGCTGTTAAGCAAGCAAGCCTTCATAATTTGTACAGAAAAAGGTTCTGAAAAATAACATGTTATATATATATATATATGATATATTCTTCAAAGAATTGAGGGGCTAATATAGAAACTCGAACACAAACAAAACACACGCAAGGCTTTACCGATGATCGAGACCTGATGGCCACCGGGTACCTAAGTTGAGCAGCACCCGCTTTTTTGGTTGACAGGTTGTCCACGGATCTGCACTGTTGGCGGTCTCGCATTGCTTCCTGCCGGCTGGCTCGCCATCCTGCAATAAGTCGAATGTATGAACGACAATTGATACCTCCAAACCAAAAAGTAATACAAATGGGATCGAGTTTAAGCTCGAGTTACATCTACTATATATAAATAATATATATTCACTTTGTTGAGTTCTATCAATCCAAGCCTACTCAAACATAATAAATTTTTGAGTTTTTTCAAGTTAGAGCTCAATTCGCTAGGCAAGTACTGCATACGAAAATGAAAATATACTGATAAAACACAAATGAAACGATGGTATAGTAACCTGTTTTTAACATCAGCAGCCATAGCCATGAAAGCTTGTTCGACGTTGGTGGAGTTTTTGGCACTAGTCTCCATGAAGGGGATGCCAATTTCATCAGCAAATGCCTTTCGAACAAGTAGCAACATGATTCAGATACAGGTTTGGGGTTTTACACAAGTTTTAAAAAATAATACTAATAATAATTAAAAGTGCTTACCTTTGCTGTCTCGTAAGGCACAGCTCGGTTGTCACTAAGGTCGCACTTGTTCCCTACCAAAAGCTTGTTTACATTTTCGCTAGCATAGCGGTCTATTTCGTTCAACCATTGCTTCACATTGTTGAAGCTCTCCTGATCAGTTACATCATATACTATCTGCCAGACAGTAACCGAGTTTATTCATAGGTTTTAACAAATGCTCATTAGGTTGTGAAAAGAATGCTAGATAAGCTTACTATAATCCCATGTGCCCCACGATAGTAGCTACTTGTTATTGTTCTGAATCGTTCCTGTCCGGCAGTATCCCACTGGAAACAGAGGCACGAAAAAAAAAAATGTACATCAAAACCGCCGAGCACTACAAGATTCCATAGGGTAGAATGAAGTACTTGTTGAAGCAAAAATGTACTCACATTCAATAGAGACTGTAATTTCATTATCAGAAGAAAAATAACAAAAAATAATAGTAATAATAATAATCAATAATAACAATCAAACACCAATCAGAGGAGCATACATACACGTGATTTCGCTATGACCAAGGACGATAAATGATAAATCGGGCTTAAAAGAAAGGAGAGTATAATTAGGTCAGAATACTCACAATCTGAAGTTTAATAGTCTTCCCGTCTTGCTCGACAGTTCGAATTTTCTACAAGAGTAAACTCTCAGTCACGACTCCACAAATAGAAACATTCTTAGGAGTATTTATGCTAGAAAAAAATTTAGCACAACAAAAGATTGTAAGCTTACAAAGTCAACACCAATTGTGCTGATGTAGCTCTCAATATACGAATCATCCTGTATCAGCAAAAAAAAAAATGTCATTCCTTGCCCGACATATAACCATAATATTCAATAACTGGGGACGAATAAATGAATCATTTACACCAGGCAAAAACTACGGACAATATATTTTAACGGTAATAAGTTTAGCAATTGGAAAAGTTACTGCAGATATATTGGTTTCACTGACAGGTGACGCAGTGTTACTTCCTTTACAGAACATTCAGCTGTATAATTTATGCAAAACCTTACAAAGGGAAGAATTGTCACTTAATCTGATCAACATTCAATTATTATGTACAGGCATAAATTGTGTCGGATGAAGCATAGTATATCCGACAAAAAGTTATTCCAACAACCACAATAAGGAAGTTTGTAGTAACTTACAGCAAATCTTAGGAGAAGACACGACTTTCCAACACCTGAATCTCCGATTAGAAGGAGTTTGAACAAGTAGTCACTGCCAATACACAACTTCATATAAGTAAAATGATACAATTTAACCCATAAATTATCATAGATTGAAAATGCTTTAAACGTTTCCGGCAAAAAGCCCATACTTCCATAAAATACAGCAGAAAATAGTTCATCGCCTTATCAGGTGTATTAGTTTTCCGGACATCAACCAACTGCAGCCTCCATTGCAAACCAAAATGCATTTACTAGCTGAATTAATACTAAACTTCACCTAGATTTATTATATATGATTTAATTAAGTCCTGCCAAAACCATATGCAGCTGCAATTTTCCGTGATATATCTTGCATTGAAAACATCTCTTTGTACAATGGCAGAGGAATTACATTAATTAGAACGACAACACAACGAAGCATTACAAGTTGAAAACTTAATTATGAATCAATTGAATGAATACTAATTTAATTGCTAAAAGACCTACCAATACCATTCACAGCTGCAACATTCAGATACAGAAAAAATAAAAATAAAATCTCACTTATCAACAATTTGGTGTGTTTGTTTGGAGGATTTGTAGAGATTTTAACTATTCATCCAATTTTTTCCCCCAAAAAACATCCAATCAAACACATTTTTCATTTTTTATATTATACTAAAAATAAATTTTACATTCAAAACATCTTATCAAATACCTATTTATATCACATCGTACAACTATTTCAATTCAAATCTTTTACTATTCAAATCCCAACTCAAAATCCAAACCCCCAAAACAAGCATTGATGTGAAATCAGCCACAAGATTGTCAAAGAACACATTTGAATTAAAAAAAATGGTTTAGCCAATTCAAAGCATCAGTAACTTAAGCTCCGCATCAAAAACCAACACACAAAAAATTTCATTAACACCACTAAGAACCCTAAAAATGAATATACCTACAATCTCCTTTCGTCATTCAATCAAACAATTCGCATATTATTACCCAAAAATAACCGGCAACGAGAAACATAAACAGCCAAAACCTCATAAACAGTAATCAATTCCACCAGAAAAGCAAGGGTGAAATCTGTGTTCTAATCGAAATTATAATAATTCAAACATAGCAAATTCATAGATCCAGCAACATTACTCCAGGAACAAATTCAGAAACAATAAAATTGGATCTGTCGAATTCAAAGCCAACACAACAGTATATCACAGTCCAGAAACAAAAAACCCTAGAAATTAAAATTGCATCACGTTCGTTGATTGGGATGCTCTGAAATAAGAGAGATTTACTATTCAGGAGTCATGATCGGAGGCTGTGATAGACGATAGTGTAACTCTCCCCTTCCGACGGTCGGGTCGGAGATCGTTGAACGGCGGCGTCGGAGGAGGAGTTTGACCGTTGGTGGCGGAAGGGTCGGCTCGGCTCGCCTTTGAAATAAAGAATAAAGAGAACTCCACCACCGCTACCGTAGATCGTATATATATAATTATAATTTTATACGGAGGGAGAAAAATACTTATACACGCCGACAACGTACAATGGTGTAGGAAGTTCTAATTGGTTGATATAAACCCAATCTAGTATTACAATAATAAATGGGTTTTGGGTTTGTTTAGATTTGATTTTAAATCCTGGGTTTGTTCATTCAACAATAAAAAATGCTTTGGTAAATAAGAAGTTTGGGAGGGTATTGGAATTTTGAAAATTTGAAAAAATTAAGAAGATAGAATTTGATTTGATGTTTTACGAGAGAAAAAATGTATTTGATGAGATTTTTTTTAAAAGTGAATAATGCCAAATGAATAAAAATGTATTGGGTAAACAAAGCCGAACTTTATGGGTGTGTTCTATTATACTCCCTCCGTCATAGTAAGTAATTAAAAAGTGTATTAGTAAAAATAATTATTGTATAATAAAAATAATTGTGGATTAAGATTAAAATAACTAAATAGTTTAATACAAATTATAAAATTTAAAATTTAAAATGAGATTAAAGTGTATAATTATATTTTAAAAAAAGGAATTGACAAATTACGGATGGACGAAAATAGAACGTAAGGATAAATTATGTGGGACGGAGGGAGTAGCATTTTTCTATAAATTTATTGTTAATCATTTATTTTCTAATAATATCAAATTAAAAATTTATTTTTTATTTTTATATTAAACATTTATATATATCATATTATACCACTATTTTAATTAAAAAATTTTAATAAAATATATTTTTACTTTAATAAAAGTACTTTCATATTTAATACATAATATTATGAACAATACCATTAAAAATAAATATATTTAAAATCAAAATTATTTGTTTATCTTTCCACTATACAATTATCTATAAAAATATTAATATATCTAAATAAATACATATGACTCCTGACAAAGAGTATATATTTTATTTTGTCATAAAAAAATCAAAATATATACACAATTTTTATATTTATATCTTATATTAAAAAAATATATATCTCAAATTAAAATACTAAATAAATACGCTTAAAAACCTAAATTGCTTTTAAATTTTAAATTGAATAATTATTTGATATAAATAATAAAATTTTAATTTTCAATATTTATACTATTCCCCTTAGAGCTTAAATTTTATTATTCAACACTTAAACAACAATTTTGAAAATTTTAATACCATTCAATTTTTAAAAAACTCATACTCCCTCCGTTCCAGAAAATATGGGACTATTAACGTAGATAGATAGGAGAATTTAGGTAAAATATAATTAATAAGTAATTAAAAAGTATATTAGTAAAAATAATTATTATTTAGTAAAAATAATTATTATTTAAAATAAGTAAATAGTTTAATTAGAATTAAAAAAAATTATAAAATTTAAAATGCGAATTATGTGGGCAGAAGGGAGGGAGTATTAAATATGTAAATACTAAATTATTCAAAATTTAAATATATAAATAACAAATTTTATCATTTTCAAATTTTTAAAACAACCAAAAATCTCGTGTAAACAGTGCAATGTATCTGCCTATAGTGAAAGTCAGTCCTTACCAAGATTACTCATGGACGAGCAACACATGTTAAGTCCCTACACCCAACACTTGTTCTCTGTCCATGTCGGTTCTTAGTAATCAATATTACATTACTTTTTATAGCATCATCAATATCATCGTAATCTTTTTAATTTTAATCGCAAAATTATAAGTTCAAAACCATCTTGATATCGACTGTCAGTCAGGACAATCTTGGATTCAAATTCAACTTGTTTCCTACATAAAAAATATAAAAAAAATAACGACCGCATATTCCTACGTCATAAAATCGTCCATCCTCTGACTACGAGAACAGCCCAAGGAAAAAACACTAACACCACAAATGGGATCGAGAAATGAAGAAAACCTCCGAACAACAACGGCTACATTTCATCGCCGGAGCCGAAGGTTGTTGTCCATAAACCTCCGGCCTTGCGCAATATCGTTCTCGGCGATAAAATCCAGAAAGTCCCGGAAACTGCTGGCGTTGTACCCGTTGGGGCGGTCGCCGTCCACCATTTCCGCGGCGGCTTCCATCTTCACGTCCATTCTGAGCCCATGCAGACCTGCGATCGAAATCCGAGTCTTCTCGTGGTTCACAGCGACGCGGTGCAGCACGCTCTTGTACCTCCCGTTGCTCAGGACCTCGATCTGGTCCCCGACTTGGACGTGGAGGGCGCCCGGGATCGACGGGACGACCCTCCATGAGTCGTCGTCGTCCCTGTCGAGGATTTGAAGCCCCGGCGAGTCCTGCAGCACTATCGTGACACACCCGTAGTCCGAGTGCAGGGGCAGGCCGAGGGCGAGCTCTGGCTGGGGACACGCCGGGTAGCAGTTCACCGTCACGACTTGCATCCCTTCATCGAGTTTCGCCGTTAGGTACTTTGGCCCAAGCCCGAGCGACTCTGTTATCAGCTCGGTGATCGTCTCGGCTAGCTTCTGCATTGCCTCGACGTATCCCCCCATCTTTTCTCTAGACCAAAAATTCGTCGGAATATAGAAATGTTACGATTTTTTTTTTTTTTGTCGGACTTTAGAAATGCGCTCTGTTTTTATATATCGGAATTGGAGGCGAAAGAGTACCTGTAATCCGGAGGTTGAAGAGGCCACATTTCAATCCAGCGATCGAGAGGATGCGCGTAGTGTTTGAGGAAGGCGCGCCAGTACTGAACGGTGTCAATGCCGTCTTTCAAGCTCGTGCAGTATCTAACCGGCTTGTGGACATCGTTTGACATGAATGGGGACTTGCACTTTGTCGGGAGGTCGAAGAAAGCAGATGCAGCAGCAAGAGCTCCATCCATGGCTGCCTGAGATATCCCATGGTTAACGACCTGCGTTATTTTCCAGCACTCATTATCAACCATGTAATAATATGCAGAAACAGAAGAACCATACAGTATCAAGCTTACATGGAAAAAACCATTCCGGAAACAGGCGCTCCCGATTTCTTCAACCAGCGTCTTTCTCCGTGCCGGATCATTCATCCCTGCCAAATCGACGAGGGGAAATTCGACAGCCTTCGAGGCCTTTTCAGGCATGTCTGAAGATCGAACTTTGTAGCATCCCGGCAAGTAAGGCAACCCTTTCTCTTGAGGAGTTTCTCCAATCGGAGAAGCGCCAGCGCCAGAGCTAGAGCTCGCGTTCTTCCTGTCCATTTTCTTTTGCAAACAGCAAATTGGAAATCGAAAAAGAATTCAAGAGTGACAAATTAATCAACAATGGCGAAAGTGAGGGGTATATATACATGAGTTTAAGACGGTAGATGAGCCTGAGTAGCTTAACAAAAGAGGAAACCAAATGCTTTGCACGAGGACTACAGGTAATACACAAAAGGATCTTTTTCATGTGTTTAGTAACAAAAACGGCAAAATAATGACACAAGCTAAAAAAGAAAAATTACGGAGAGATACCGGATGGGTAGATACGGTGAAGTCATCAGCAGCCTTTTCCCGAAAGAACATCTCCTGCTCTGACAACATCAATTCCGGACAACATGGCTCAGATGAATGTATTTAAGCTCAGATCATAGATAATCAAGATGACGGTGCAGTCGAGTGTTTAATGTTGACTACTCTCAGCCTGACATAAATCATACTAAATATATCCTGCCTTGTACATTTAGCACAAAGCGCGTAAACTTACATATTAGATGATGTATGATTCATTGCCTGGTTCTGCAAGAAATGCATCTGTTAGCTTCGAAGAAACATTGAATTTCACCTTTTCGAGCTCAGTTACGAGGAGACGAAGTTAGAGCATCCAATGATTGAGCAGCAGAGTATAGAGACAAAAATGCTCAAAGATTGTAACATTACTCAAAAAACAATTATAGAAACAGAAAAACAAACTCTACCTTTACGAATATTCCGAATCTGGTTCTGCTCGTGACCTACATGACATCACTCCCAGAAAAAGTTTTATCGAACCAAGCTAGCATGATCTTTTTTCAAGTCAAGTCATTACAAGATAAGGTTTTCATTCCATCTAAGGTTATCATTATATATATTAGAGGAAAAAGGAAAATCAACTGCAATGATGACTTCGACATACCAAGTTGTATTAAACCTACTTTAAATAAATCATGCAGGGGAGAATTGAAACCACCTCAGGTCAGAAATTCATTATGTTTCATCCCCATTAATCAATGAATACAAATAAAACGCCGTTGTAGGAAAGAGATTTACCAGTGTTAGAAAATATAATAGGCGTCTCGATTCTGCTAGCAGCATTTCCGCAACTTTGGATTGCAAGGGAGCTTCTTTTTCGCCATCAGAAAGCACTTTCCTCAACCTAATTTCAGCTTTAACTCAGATAAACATATTCACTTGTCAGAATGAAAGAAATCATACAAACAGAAAGCTCTCGGTTGTGAGATAGACGTGCGAATTTTCAGAATGGTGTTAGCAATTCTCCTTTAAACTGATCATTTGAATATACCCAAAATAATACATAAAAAATAACATCATAGTTGATAACGAATTGCATATAAAACTAAGAGAAACAGGAAATCAATAACCTCAGCGATGGAAGAGAAGCTGTACAGATCTGTATGGTTAAACGCTAGTATACCAAATTGATATAAGAAATACATTACACTTGCAATCAGGAAAATATAAGAATGCAGAAACCATGAATGAGATGAGATTGCTCAGAAATAGCAGATTTAAATATGGTTCCTTTCTGCCAGCAATTTTCTTCAGCTAAAACCTGCACAAGAGGGAGCTTCATGATCCTCACAGCAACCTCCATTTCCCAAACTAATAAATTGCAATTTTACTTAAATTCAAAACAACAACAACAATAGCTTCTCTGTTTTGACATAATTCAACAAACATATAGATCATTCTGGTAAAAAAAAGTGAAAAATCGACATGATCTGTTGAGGTTGAACTTCAATCAATCAAATCAGGGATCATTCATTCAAATAAAAGTAAAACAAAATCATTAAACAAACAAGAGCAAGAAGAACAGCATCTGCATTTTGCCAATCCGCCGAAGCCGTGAATTTACAATTTTTGTGTTTTTACACGACTCGATCCATATTTGTGATTGAAATTCCATCAAGACGAATTTGTTTACACAAGCATTGCAATTTAAACAATCTAGTACGAATGAAAGGCCTAAATAAAGGCGAGATTACAACCGCAGGGGCAGGGGCAGAGGCAGCTTTCATAAAACTAGTTGGTGAAAAACATCGCGTCACTCACTACTTATCTTTGGAAGCAGCAGGAGTGCCAATCCCGTACTTCTCCTGCAACTTCTGAATCTCATCTTCCTTCTTCTTCTGGTCAAACTTCTTGCTCATCTTCGCCTGCTGGTAATACAAAACAATGAGGTACCTATTCGCCACGTTGAAACCTGACAGGTGGTCGACGGCGGTCTTGGCATCGTAGATATCCTCATACACCACAAAAGCTGTGCCGCGGGTGTCCTTGTTCGTCCCGATGCGAATCTGCCTTATGGCACCGTACTTGCCGAATATGTCGTACATCTCCTCGCTCGTTATATTGAACGGCAAGTTGCGCACGTAGAGCACTCGATTCACCTCCGGCGGGAGCCGAGTGTTGCCCTTGCGCAAGCTGATCGCTGCCATCGCCGACGAATTTGTCGATCCGAAAACCCTAACCTAAAGCCTTTAGCCCTAATAATCGATTTGTGAATTTACAAACTATAGCGGCACAATTGAATATTTTCTTTCCCACGTCGAAGGCACGTGACAAGGCCTGCACGTGTACAGTTTGAGGTCATATCACTAAAAAATAAAAATTAATCGTATTAAAATAGAAAAACAAAAAAATTATCAATTTTAATTTTTAATATAAAAATTACTATTAATTTTAATTTTATTCCAAGTAATAATCAATTTCGTTTCACATTAAGGGTGTGTTTGTTTGGGAGGTTTGGATTTTGAGTTGGGATTTGAATAGTAAAAATTTTGAATTTAATAGTTGTACGATGTGATATAAATAGGTGTTGATGTGATGTTTTGAATATAAAATTGATTTTTAATATAATATAAAAAATAAAAAATAGATATTTGATTTAATGTTTTTGGAGGGAAAAAATTGAATGAATAGTGTAAATCCAATCCAATTCTCCAAACAAACACACCATAAGATTATAATGTCTTTACGATTCCGAGATGCAGTCCTAAATTTTTTTTAGGACATAGTAATATAATCTGTACAAAAACCAAACAATTAAATCATCAATGTACAAAAAAAAAGACCATCATAGTATTATCAATTATCACCCCTAATGCTTTCCTCGAAGCTTTTACACTATAAATAGCTATCTAACCATAATGAGTGATAGACATCAAGGCGAAGTGAAAAAAAATCTACTATCAACTAAAGAAGGAACAAAGTGAAAATGAAGTAAAATATTCAAATAATTAGGTAAAATTGCTTATAACTCCCATGTAGTTTTAAAATTAAGCAAAATCTTCCTATATTTTAAAAATTGCATGGTACCCCCTTATACTTTAAAAAACATTGCATGAAACTCCACCACCGTGAAATTTTCCTTATGTGGTTAAAAAATGATTTTCTATCTATATGTTTTGCATGGCAGGGGATTTCATGCAATATTTTTGAACCTATAAGGGAGCGTCGTCATGCAATTTTTTAAAGTAAAGTGAAGATTTATGCTAAACTCCGAAACCACATAGTGGTTTCATGTAATATTTTTTAAAGTATAAGGCGGTGTCATACAATTTTTAAAATAAATGGAAGATTTACGCTGAATTTAGAAACCACGAAGGGTTATGGACAGTTTTGCCAAATAATTATATGAACTTAGTTCACAAGTTATGAAAATGTATGATATAGAAGTGAGAGACGAAGATAGAGAAGTGTTCTGTATGAGGTGAAATGTATACAGAATGGTGATGGTGGAGATGCACAATGGTAGTGGTTGTGGGGGAGAGAAAATAATCACAACTGAGCTATGAAAAGAATGAATAATGAATTAATTTAATTAAGAGAGTACAATACATAAATATATACTTGGATTAAGCCCAAAAAAAAAAAAACCCTTTATATATATAGAGGTAGATATATATGCTTATTGTAAGCATTTTTAATTAAAAAAAAATGGAGAAAAAATTGTGATTGTTCCAAAAAATTTATACATTAAACTGGGATATAATATCAAATGATTATTGATATTTCTTTGCCGAATTTCCAAAGGTAACGCTAAAATGAAGTTCTATTAATTCAAATGTTTTTTTAAATTTTGACACTATTTATATATAGTTACTTTTTTTTAAAAAAAATTATATTAAATATATATTTTTTTCTATGATTTTTGAAATTGAGATTTTTTATATGAATTTTAATTTAAATAATATTTTTAATGTAATATCTTATAATAATAATAAAAAATAAACATGTTATGTATCAGATAATATTTTTGAAATAATGTTAAATAATAAAAATAAATAAATAAAATTTGTACCGCGGCTTCCTGACCACAGTCAATATTGAAATTAGAGACGGAATGGGTTCGAATCTTCTATCAATAATTCTTTTAAACTTTATATCTAATTTTTAATGAAATTGTTGTTATCTACATTGTTGTATAGTGCATATCCATATACATACGTATCTATATATAGACATACCTGTATAACACTTGCCAAATTAGTGATGTCTAACTCTATCGAGAAAGCGTGTTTAGGCGCTGAGGAGTTACCAAAAGCGTGTTTAGACGCTGAGGAGTTGCCAAAAGCGTGTTTATGGGAAACCATGCACGTCATCAGATGGGGAGGCTTCTGGTTTCCGGCCGAAGTCGTCAAACCGGCCATGACCTTCCGGTCCAGCTTCACCGCCCGAAACGACGACGTTTCGCTCGCCTCCTCCATGAAAACCGGCACCACGTGGCTCAAGTCCCTCGCCCTCTCCTGCATCCTCAGCCCCGACGACGGCGCCGACGACCTCCTCGCCGCTGACAGTCCCCACATCCTCGTCCCCTCCGTCGAGGCCGTCGTTTTCAACAGAAAACGCCTCAAATTCGACATCTACGACGCGTCCGCTCCGCGATTGATTCACACGCACATCCCCTACTCTCTCCTCCCCGATTCGATCAAAAGCTCGTCGTCTTCCACAAAAATTGTGTACATCGCTCGAAACCCTAAGGACACTCTCATATCCTGGTGGCATTTTTTGAAATCCAATTCCAGATCAATCCCTCTCGAAAAGGCCTTCGATGCGTTCTCCTCCGGTGTCTGTAACTACGGCTCGTTCTTCGACCACGTGGCGGAGTACTGGATCGAGAGCCGGAAACGGCCTGAGAAGATTCTGTTTCTGAAAAACGAGGAGCTGAAGAGCAATCCGAAAGCACAAATATCTAAAATGGCGGAATTTTTGGGAAAGCCTATTGGGAGTGAAGATGAGGTGGAAAAGATTATTTGGAGATGCAGTTTGGAGAGGATGAAGAATCTGGAGGTGAATAAGAGCGGGAGAACATTCGTGCCAGTGAGCAACGACAGCTTCTTCAGGAAAGGGGAAGTGGGAGATTGGAAGAACTACTTGACGCCGGAGATGGCGGAGAGGATCGATCAACTGTCACGTGACAGGCATGAGGCTATTGGTCTCTTTCTTTGATTTCATTCAATTTAATTTCTTTCGTATGTTGATACAGAATAATAGCTTTTGAAATTGGAATGGAATCATCATAAGCTGAACAAACGTGAAACGACAAAGAAGTTGCTATTCTTTATATATATATATATATAAATATCAGCATCCCTGTCCTCAAGTGCACCCTAGATATAGCAAGTGACTTGAGGCATCGGGGTTTGAACCATTGACCCTACAATAACTAGTCCAACTCCTACACATGGTCAGACCATCTCTTACAAGACGTACTTACCTCTAGCTTTTGGAATGGCAGATTGAGGGTTAAGAGCAGTAAAAAAGAACCGTAGACAGGCCTTTCCTGTCAGAAGCTCGATTTTGTCATCTGCAACGGCCGTGTCTTGATATTAAAATCTCGATCTTAAATCGCGGCCACCTGAAGCAGGCGAGGCCACGTGGAGTAGGAGGAGGTATGTTCTCTAAATAATGATCTTTTATGTGGTACAAAAGAAAATAGAGATGTATGAGGAAGGGAAATACGATATAACTCACCGGAAATGAGATGGAGATGCACGGTCAATGCGGGGGCGTCTCCTACGCCAATGTCGTCTTGGTGCGAAAATTGGGAGGAGTTTTGATTTTAATAAAAATAATAATAATTTCACATTCTTGTTCAAAAAACACATTTGTCACGCTGCATTGGCTGGACACATAGGCGAAAAATCTTGAATGATCAAATTCCATTTAACAACAGTTTAATGATCTTTCCTATGATTATACACAACAAAAAAAAAAAAAAAAAAAAAAGGCATAGTGTAAATCATTGCAAATATTGGGCTGCCAACAATATTAGAGTACAAAATATTAGCCGTATGCTTCATTTCTTCAACCAATTGAGCACAAAAATCTTCAAACAACCTGGAATTCGGCCAATGTTTTGGTTGTTTGAAAGAATTCAATGTCCGTTCTGTTTCCTTATGTTGGCCCCAAATTCGCTCAAAACCAAACAACAGCAATCACGAACAATAAAATAACACCAAAATATTTCCAGACAAATTCAATCGCATATAGACAATTCGTAGATAGTCGAGATGAGCTTGGGTTGGAACCCCCAAATGTAAATTATTGATGACCGAACTGAGTTAACAATTGGTTTTTGCATTTTGCTTTACTGCCTTCAGTGTGTCTACATTGTCCGGTCTGATTACAAACCTTCTGTATTTAATCGAGTTCATATTGGTGTGTTGAAGTTCTGCCTTATTGTTTGCTGAAATTGGTAAGTTGAGACCAACACCTTGCATTAGCATCGCCAAGGATATTTTGATTGTTATCATTATGGATTTTGTCATACTACAAAATACTTTAATTAGTGCGTTCATCATCGCCTCCACGAATGTCTAACACATTTAGCTATCATATGTGCTAAATAGATGAGCTATTGGACAAACTGTGAGATAGTATTTGCAATAGTTTTATGCTAATTTTGAATTAGCATAAAACTAATAGTATTAGTTTTATGTGCTAAATACTATTTGCAATAGCAGCTTCTGGTTCTCGCAGACCGTCATAAAGCCGGCCATGACCTTCCGGTCGAGCTTCACCGCCCGAAACGACGACGTTTTGCTCGCCTCTCCATTAAAACCGGCACCACCTGGCTCAAGTCCCTCGCCTACTCTTGCACTCATCGCCATGGCGACGACGACGATGTCGAGGATGCCCTTTCCGGCGAGAATCCCCACTTCCTCGTCCCTTCAGTCGAGGCCGTCCCTTACAACGTCAAGATCTTCGAATTCGACATCCATGGCGGACGACTGCTTCACACGCACATCCCCTACTCTCTCTTCCCCGATTCGATCAAGAGCTCTTCGTCTTCCTCAAAAATTGTGTACCTTGCTCGAAACCCTAAGGATACCCTAATCTCCATGTGGCATTTTTTCAACTCCTATATGAAGCCGCTCCCCCTGGATAAGGCCGTCGATTGCTTCTGCTCCCGTATTCATTATTACGGACCCTATTTCGACCACGTGTTGGATCGAGAGCCGGAAACAGCCTGAGAAGATTTTGTTTATGAAGTACGAGGAGCTGAAGAACAATCCGAAAGCGGAGGTCATGAAAATGGCGGAATTTATGGGGAAGGCGTTGGGGAGTGAGGATGAGGTGGAGAAGATTCTGTGGAGATGCAGTTTGGAGAGATTAAGGAATCTGGAGGTGAATAAGAATGGGAAATTATTCTCGCGAGTGAACAAAGAGAGTTTGTTCAGGAAAGGGGAAGTCGGGGATTGGAAGAACTACTTGTCGCCGGAGATGGAGGAGAAGATCGATCGAATGTCCCGCGACAAGCTTGAGGCTGTCGGATTATTTCTTTAATTAGTTGATCCACCAAATTAAAATTTAGGGTTTTTAAGTCTTTTTGGATTTGGGGTGTGGATTAATTTGGATTGTTTCACTTGTTGTTTCTCTTTGCTTTAATTTGATCAACTACTTGCTTTCATCTTGCATGGTCGTGCAAGATAGAATCAATCCAAACTTTGTGTTTAATTTAAGGCAAATTGCCCATAAATCATTGTAATTTCGAAATTCAGCGTAAATACTTTATATTTAAAAATTGTATGGCCTTTACTTTAAAAAATGTTATATTAAATCTTTTTTACATTTTTCGTGATATACAATGGCACGTGCTCCTCAGCCCTTTTTATTTCCAACCCCCTTCACTCCAACAAAAGGACTACATACCTCTTCTTTTTAAAAAAATAAAATAAAATAAAATTATCAATTGAAAATAAATTGTTAAAAAATCTTTGGTAGAATCAAGCATTCCAATTCTAATTACTCTCCTAAATCGATGTTTTCGACATTGTCCTAAACCAACTATAACCATCGTTGGAAGAGGAAAAAAGATTTCGAAGTCGTCGGAATCATGGATGTAGGAGAGTTGCGGAATGATTAAGAGGCTAAGGAACGCGAGCTCTAAAAAATATTCAAGTGCACTGCATATTTATATTAAAATGTGTTTCCCGTGTTTTACTAATTATTTATTAAAATCTTATTTTAAAAAATTGAGGTAAGGAGCCAACGTCGACATCTATTATTTTAATTAAAAAATGATATTTGAAGGGAAAAGGAATTGATTTGTGAAAAGCATGATATGCAATGAGGGTTAGGAAGCTAGGACATGATTTTTGTTGGTTATTTCCGTAAATTCAATAGGTTGGACACTTATTTATTTCTGCTTGTTTGTCTTTGTCCTCAAAAATAAAAGAAGATAGCAAGCAATGGTAGAAATTTCGTATTTACAATCAGAAATCGGTTTTGCACGAAAATGATATTTTATGAAAATTTTAAATCCATACAAAATATTTTTATGTAAAGAATAAAATATAGAGTATTTTTATGGATAATTTATATATTATTATAAATTAAATGCACCAACTGCGACTTTCTTAATTGTTTTTAATAAACGTGGAATCTACTCATAATTTTTTAGTTAATTAAAATAATTCAAAAACTATAGAAGAAAGGTAAGTTGTAAACGTATCCCACGATTTCGTATATATAGATAAATTGTGGTTTGGTATAGTAGGTTTTGAAGGAATCAAAGTTCTGTACATGTATTTTATTTTGATTTTAATTTTTTTCTTATGTAAATATTATGACTTTAGATTTTTTAAATAAGAGATAAGTATTTGATAGAGCACTTTTTAATAAATAGTTGAAAATTTTAAATAATAGAACAATATTTATGATAATTTGCGTGTGCTTAGTTGTTATTTTTTTTGTTTTTTTTTTTTAATGTTAGACACTAAAGAATTATATCGATAATATAAAAAAATTTGTATTAAGTTATTATTGGGGTGCAAACCCAATCCCACATTGGAACCTTATTAGTCCCAAGTAAACTCCACTATTACTATTACGAGGCCTTTTGGAGAATATCAAAAAACAATTAATAAATTATAGATTATATTAGAAAATTCAAGACAAACTGAACTGAAGATATGAACAAAAGATGTGTATTACCAAACGATTAATATTATTATTGAAGCGTGAAATGCCCAGTTGTTAGGCATTTAAATATTGAGAATTGATGAACCTACGGTAATATATATACACACATAAGCTAAAGAAGCTTCCAAATTAATTAACGATGGCAAAGTACTCAAACGAGAAATCGTGTTCAGAAATTATCGAAGAATTACCAAAAGCGCGTTTTTGGGACACCGCCGACATCGTCCGCTGGGAAGGCTTCTGGTACATTCCGAACTTTCTAGAACCGGCGATGAGCTTCCGGTCCAGCTTCACCGCCCGAAACGACGACGTTTTGCTCGCCTCCTCCATTAAAACCGGCACCACGTGGATCAAAGCCCTCGCCTACTCTTGCATTCATCTCCACGACGACGAGGATGCCCTCGCCGGCAACAATCCCCATTTCCTCGTCCCTACCGTCGAGATCGTACTGTACAACATCAAACCCTTCGAATTCGACATCTACGACGCGTCCGCTCCGCGATTGATTCACACGCACATCCCCTACTCTCACCTCCCCGATTCGATCAAGAGCTCGTCGTCTTCCACAAAAATTGTGTACATCGCTCGAAACCCTAAGGACATCCTAATCTCCATGTGGCATTTTTTCAACTCCATGTTTAAGCCGATCCCGATCGATAAGGCCGTCGATTCCTTCTGCTCCGGTTTCTGCAACTACGGCTCGTTCTTCGACCACGTGGCGGAGTACTGGATCGAGAGCCGGAAACGGCCTGAGAAGATCCTGTTTATGAAATACGAGAAGCTGAAGAACAGTCCGAAAGTAGAAATATCTAAAATGGCAGAGTTTATGGGAAAACCGTTGGGGAGTGAAGATGAGGTGGAGAAGATTATTTGGAGATGCAGTTTGGAGAGGCTGAAGAATCTCGAGGTGAATAAAAATGGACGATTTCTGACGTCCATGTCCAACGACAACTTCTTCAGGAAAGGGGAAGTCGGGGATTGGAAGAACTACTTGACGCCGGACATGGCGGAGAAGATCGACAAAATGTCACGTGACAAGCTCGAGACCATTGGGCTCTTTCTTTGATTAATTGATTTCATGTCTGCTTGAGTGTTTGTGATCTTCTGTAAGAAGATCATTATTTCATGTTGTTGTGTGCTTTCCCTTGTAATATATTTGGTTAATAATAATTGATATTGGAATCTACTTCTCGTAGATTCCAAGCCGTTGGATTTTATAATAAATTAACGGTCTAAATTAATTTAGTGTGTAAAATAAAATAAAAATTATTTTTATCTCAAATCCCTCGATCGAAACCGAAGCATAAAGTCATAAAAAAAATTAAAATTGAAGAAGAAACTAACATATTTCAAATGCTGGAATGAGACTTACATTAAGGGTGTGTTTGTTTGGGGGTTTCGATTTTGAATTGAGATTTGAATAGTAAAAAATTTGAATTTGAATAGTTGTATGATGTGATATAAATAGGTGTTGATGTGATGTTTTGAATGTAAAATTGATTTTTAGTATAATATAAAAAATGAAAAATAGGTGTTTGATTTGATATTTTTGGAGAAAAAAATTGGATGAATAGTGTAAATCCAATCCAATCCAATCTCCCAAACAAACACACCCTAAGAACACTTTGAATCCTAAAAGTAATGTTTTTAGGTATTTTTTTGTTCACCGCACATCATATAGGGTTTGTTTGTTCTGATCTGGTTGGAGAGAAAACACTGTGTGAAGTGCCAGGCCAGCTCCCCCATGACCGATATTGGCTGCAAAATGGCAGCAAAAGCTGCCATTTGTATTATTATTATGTTTTTTAATTTTTTTTCAAATTTTATATTTATTTAATATTTATAATAATTATATGGTAAAAAAATATATACAATATATATCGTTTTAGTAGAAAATAAAATTTTCTATAATACGAATAAATAAAAATTTAAATATATATGTTGAGTATAATATACATTCATAATAAAATCATACAATATAAATTTTATCAATTACATTTATTACATATTTATATTATTTTATTCATTATCTATCAAATCAATACTCATCAAAACTTCCAAAATCCAAACCAAACTCAAACACAAAAGAAACAACAAGATTCAAATAAAAATCAAACCTAAATCCAAATTTCCACCCATCTAAAGAAACATACCCATAATTTTATTGTATAACCAACATATTAAAAAAGTATTTCTACGATAGAAACTGAACATATCATTACTTGCATTATCCGGAAACTAAAATCTTATTGTTTAGCCGTGACCGTACAAGATTCTATCACTTTTGTTTAAAAAAACATGGACAATCACAAGGAATAATAGCCGCCAAGAAAATGGAGGCCGACATTTGCCAAGATCAAAAACCACTTTGGATGAGAGCATAAACATATACAACAATTTGGTTAAAAAGCTTTTGTTTGCCTAGGCGTCATGTGATCAAGTCAAATTCAATTGTATACAAAGTAATCTTCAAATTATTTGCGGTTCTCACAACTTGGATGATGTCTCACCTGTACCAGGAACCATCCATGTTGTCATATTTTAATTGGCCTCTATAATTAAGCTGTTTTATAATTTTTTATTGGGTAAACTGTTGTTTTAGTCTCGTAACTGGACTCATTTATCATTTTAGTCCTGTAAGTGGAGCCTGTCGCAAACTAGTCCCATAAGTAAAAAATTTTCGCTGTTTTAGTCCTCCGGCGCCGAAGACGCCCGCGTGGCTCGCCGGAGGTGACGTGTCCGCCAAGTGTCCCGCCAGGTCAGCGACACTTGGCGGACACGTGGATTTATTAATTTTTTTTTTATTTTTTTAATTGGACCAAATAAAAAATACAAATAAAATTAAAAATAAGTTTTAAAAAAATTTTAAAAAATAAAAAAAATAATAAAAAATCCACGCATCCGCCAGTAACGACACCTGGCGGACACGTCACCTCCAGCGAGCTACACGAGCATCTCCGGCGCCGGAGGACTAAAACAACGAAAATTTTTTACTTATAGGATTAGTTTAGGACAGGCTCCACTTACGAGACAAAAATGATAAAGGAGTCCAGTTACGGGACTAAAAAAATAATTTACCCTTTTTTATTTAAATTGACAAAAATAGCCTCTTATAAAATTGTTGGATCTCTGTACATATACCATTGTATATACTCTGTTGGTTTGAGAATTGAAAACTTCTGAGCGAATTGATTGATTAATTACTTGTATCAACTATTGACTATGTGCTAATCACTTTTGCCTAACTGTGAATTGCATGATGTTATTATTATAAACCCATTGGGCATGAATACTTTTAGGTTTAAGTTGGGTGTTTCGGGTTTAAAAAATATGTGCACATATTATTTATTTAATTACAATATTAGATAATAATTTAAAGTATTTAATTAACACTCCATTTGTTCAAAGTTTGTGACTTTCATAAGCATCATGATATAATCATGTTTAGCCTGAGGAAGTGACTCGGTGAAGATATCTGCTACTTACTCGTTGGCTACATAAAACATTGTTGCAATTGTTCCATTCACTACAAGTTATCGAATGAAGTGATGCTGCACGGCAATATGTTATGTCCTCCCATGAAGACCTGAATTTTTGGCGATTGCATTTGCTGCCTTGTTGTCATAGAAAAATTTGTGTCGCTTTCTTTTGCTGTGAATTTGTATGAAGTTTCCAAATTCACAAAACTTGCTTTGCTGCTGAAGTTGCTACTGAATATTCTGCTTCACATGATGATTCGTGTTTATTAAAGCTCATATTACTGCTCCAGAACCAAGATTAAATATACTTCCTCCGTCTCTCATATCTACGTATCTATTTGCTTTTTGTACGGAGTTTTAAAAATATTAGTATTATATTGGGATGTAGTAGAAATAAATGTAAAAATACTAAATTAACCTTATGAGTATTTTATGATATAAAGATAATGAAATTTGTGTAATATATTGTAAATTATAAGGGTATTTGTAATGTTAGGTAAATAATACAATTACTAAAAAAAAATGAATACTTTGTTATGGACGAACCAAAATAAAAAAATGAATAGATTATTAAAGAGATGAGAGAGTATTACCAAACATACTTTTCTAATCATTCCAGGAGTCACTATTAGTGAAGCCAATAAATCTGAAAAAAATTTCCTGTACCAAATGTCAAAGTTCAACGTCTCAACAATATAACAAAGAATCCTCTTAGCAGTGTGTTAAATAATTCAAGCCACCAACTAAACTTCGAAATAAATTTGTATTTTTTCATTTTATTAAAAAAAGGCCTAATTACATATTTACTTATTTTATTTGTATAAAATTTACATAATTAGACATGTATTTATAACTAGACATCAACAAAAAAATATTTTGTGCAAATTTTAAATTTACATAAAAGAATTTCACATTTTATGTATTTTTACTTAGATAATTTATATATGTGGTTTGGTATAGATAATGTGGTTTGGTATAATAGGTTTCGAAGGAATCAAAGTTCTGCATATGTATTTTATTTTTATTTTTATTTTTATTTTTTATTATGTAAATATTATGATTTTAGATTAAAAAAAAAAACATTATTGTTTAACAAAATATTACCTTAAAATAAATATTTAAATAATAATAAAAAAAACTCTTAAAAAACACCATATATATGTTATTTTTATCTAGATTGATTTTTGTATGTAACATAGAGAATTATGCGAAAGTATAAAAGATATTATTTTAAGTTAGAATATTTGACTTTTTGGATTTTTTGTGATGAGTATTTAATTTAATTTTTTTTACTTTAATTTTTTTGTATTGTTTATTATTATTTCTTAAAAATCACAATGAAAAAAGAATATTGGAAGAACATAGTGCATATGTTTATGTGTGTTTTGGCTTTTATTTTTGGTTTAAAGGGTGTTTGGGAAACAACGTTTTCAAGAGCTTTTAACTTATTGAACAGTCAAAAAGCTAATTTAAGTGTGTGGTAAATTAGCTTTTTGAAAGAACTTTTTGGATCCAAAAAGCTTATTTCTGAAAACTTCATCTACTCAGCGTTTTGAAGAGCTAATTTTGATTATTCTTTATTTACCCTTAAAACTTAATTATTTATTTTATACATATAAATATATTTTTATAACAGTATTAATTTAGGAGTGACACAATAAATAAATAACTAAAAATATATTAGTATAAATAATTATAATATAATACAAGTAAGATCTGATTGAAATGGCTTCCGGCATAGTTTTTTACTTATATTTCTAAAATCCTTAAGTTTGTATATTTTTTATTGATTTATGTCCAAAAGCAAAAGTATCTTTTGAGGGTAGTTTCTGAAATAAGTATTTTTTTTTTTTGGTCAAAATTAATATTTTATCTTTAATAATATTAATAAATGCATACTATAAAATAATATTAAAATAATTATTATATATATATATTATATTTTAATAAAATTTTAAAAAATAATAATTATATTATTAATTTTAATTTATATATTATACTTGAATTAAAATTTAAAATTGAGATATCAAATTTAACTTTGAGTATATAAATTTAATTATACTAAAATTATTAAATATAATTTATAAAATTTTAAAATAAATTTAAAATACAAATAATTTAATATTATATTTTAATTTTATTTTAATTGATATATTATCCTTAAATTAAAATTTAAAATATAAATAACTAAAATTTTAAAATATATTTTTTTTATAATTTAATTTAAAATCTTTAAATATAATTAATAAGTTTAAAAGTAAATCATAAAAGTTTTATAAAAAGAAAATACTATAATATTAACATGTGTTTTTAGTTAATTTTAATAGTTTAAAAGTACTTTCAATTCGTCAAAACAATTTTTTAGAATACGTTATTTTTATAATGATCAATTCCAATACAAAATTGGCTGCGAATACTCTGCTGATCCAGTTAAGTTACGGTGATGCTGATTTGACCGTATCAACCTATGCTGTAGAAGTGACCAATATATATATATATATATCTGTGTTATAAGATACCATATGCTGAGTTATAATATACTCAATATATATTGCATTATAGATATACTGATCTATATATATATAAATATATATTGGTCGCTTCTATATAATATATTAGATCCGGTCATATCAACACCATGTTGACTTAACCGGATCAACAGCTGATCCATGCTCTACAAAATCAAACTGTTTTTGCTTCTACTTTTGATTTCTGTTTATTTGCTTAA